TAATTAGTTTAAAACTTATATTATATTAATAGTTTTATTTATTTAGTTTATTATTAGTTTAGTTATTTTATTATTATAAAGTATATTAAGTTCTTATAGTTTATAAATATTTTAATATTTTTTACTTTTTTATATATATTTTTTATTATTAAAATATATTAATTATTGCTATTAATTTTTTATTATAAATATTATAATTTTATTTTATATTTATTATTTTATATAAATAATATATTATAAAATATTATTTATTATTTATCTTCTATTATAAATATATTTTTATTATTATATTTAATATATTAGTTTTAATTTATATTATTTTTTAAAGTAATTAACTTTAATAGAAAATTTATATAAAAGTTTTTATATATTTTTTTTAATTAATTAAATACTTATTATTATTCTTTAGTTTAGTTATATTTTTTTTTATTAACTTTATTAAAAGTAATATAATTTATAAAAACTTTTATCTAAATTTCCTATTAAAGTTAATTACTTTAAAAAATAATTATAATTTTTTAACTATTATTAGTTCTAACTAATCTAGTATTATCTATATTTTTTTTAAATTTATTACTAAGCTTTTAATATTTATAATATATTTTAAAAAAAGTACTTTTTTCTTATAAAATTTATACTTTTCTAATTTAAATTTAAAATTTATTTCTATTAAATATATAAATATTTTTTTAATATTTTTTATATATTATTATATTGTTTTTAAGAATATTAATATATTATTTAAATATATAATAATATATTAGTTTAATAGGCTTTTTAGAATATTATTAACTAGTTCTTAGTATAGTACTAATATATTAATTAATTTAAAAAATATAACTATATATTTATATAATTTATATTTTATTTTAAAAATTATTTTCTATTTATAGTTTTTAGCTATTTATATTAAGTTATATACTTTATATATATTGAATTTTAAAAATTATTTTGTTTTTTATAATTAATCTTTAAGTTTATTTATATTTAGTAATAAGTATTAATTTTTTATTATAATTTTATTAAATTTCTTATAATTTATATATAATTATAATTTATTATTCTTTTTTAAAATAAAAAAAATTAAGTATTTAACTAAAGAAAATAATAGTTTTATAAATTTTTTTATAAGGTTTTTTTTTAATACTTATTTAGAATTTTAAATTTTATTTCTAATAATTAATATATAAGTTTAAATATTAATTACTTATTATTAATTAATTTAATCTAATAATTTTAAAATTAATATAATAGTGATACTTTTTTTTAATTTTTTTTAAAAAAATATATTTATTTTTTATATTCTTATAATATAAAAACTTTATTAATAATTTTTTTTAGCTTTATAATTAGTTGACTTTTTTTCTATATTTATTAAAATTAATATACTACTTAGCCACTTATTTTTTAAGATCTAAAATATATAAATATTTTTAATATTTTATTAAATTCTTTTATTTAAAATTATAGTTATAAACTATTTAAGTTTTTAGGTTTTAATAATAAGTTTATTTTTAAATTTTAGTTTTTTAAATAACTAGTTAATAACTAGGTTTTGTTTTTTTAACTAAAATATCTTTAATATAATATTATAAATAATTATTTTAAATATATTAAATTATTATTATTATTTATATAGTTTTTTTTATAATTAAGTTAGTTTTTATTATATTTCCTATAGCTATTATAATTATATATAGTTTATTTATTACTTATATTTTAATTTTAATTTCTTATACTTTTTATTCTAAAATATAGTTTTTCCCTACTTTTATATCTATAAATATAGTTATTAGTATATTATTAAGCTATATATTTATTATAATATATAAATTATATTTTTTAGTATTTTGCGCTTTACTAAAATTGTTAATTATTATTTTAAATAATATTTTTTATTATAGTTTTTTATTTTAATATATTTTATATAATATATTTTTATAATATTATTATATAGGGTTTTATTACTATATTAAAAGCTAATTTTCTTTTTATAAAATATATAGTAAATATATTCTATTTTTTAGTTTTTTATTAGAAATTAGTAATATAACTTATATTATTTATTTTTATATTTTAGAAAAAATTTATTTTTATATTTATTAATTAATTATATAATTAATTTATATAGTTTTTTTATAAGATTTTTAATAGATAATTTATTATATTACTATTTTAAAGATTTTATTTTCTAGTATATATATAATATTATTTACTTAGTATTTAAGCTAAAAATTAATATAAAAATATAATATTTTTTAAAAAGTTATTTATTACTATTTTATAATTTCATATTTTTATATTATTTTAATTTATTAAAAAGATTTTATAATTTATTTTTAAAGTATTTTTATTTATAATTATATTATTTATATATTTATTATTTTTATTTAAGTTATTTTATTATTTTATTAAAATTTATATTAAATAGTTTAAATATTTTTTTATTTTTTATAGAATTTTATTTATAATATTAATTTATTTTTATTCTTTATATTTAATTAGTATTTATTTTTAAATATTAATATTTATTATTATAAAAAATAATATATTTAAATTTATATTATTTATTAAATTTTTAATTTTTTATTATTAATTAATAATAAATATAATAATAGAAATTTTTATAAAATATTTAATTATTTTTATATTTAATTCTTTAACTAATAATTATATATAATATACTTTATTTTATTATATTTATAATATTTTTTAGTTAAACTTTTTATAATTATTTTTACTATTATATTATAATATTAATATATTTAATTTTATAAAATTATTTTATAAATTAGTATTTTTAAGCTATTTTACTTTATAATTATAGTGTCTTTAGTATCTTATTATATTATTACTATATTTTATAATAATTTATTTTATATACTATTTTTATTATTTATTTTATTTTATATATTATTAATATAGCTTATTATTAATTTTAATTACTACTTTTATAAAACTATTAATATTTTTAATTTCTCTACTATATTATATAAGCTTATTTTAAATATTATTTTTTAGTTTTTATTTAAATATAAATATTTATATTTTATTATTTTATTTTATTATTATTATATAATATTAGAAAATAGTTATATAATTAGCTACTTTTTTAATTTATTATAATTATTATATTATTAATTTAATATATTATTCCTTATTAGTAGGTCTAAATATTTATTAGATTTATTTTTTAAATTTAAAATAGTTTTTAATTTATTTATAAGTTTCTATACTAGTAGTTTTATTTATATATTTTCTAAAATTTAAATTAATTTATAATAATATTTTATTTTTTATATATATTACTATAAAAGTTATTTTAATTTTACTTTTAATATTAAATATTAGTTTAAAATAAAAGTTTAATTAAAATAATTAATTATTAAGTTTAATTTTATTTTTTTTAATAGTAGTTAATTAATATATTATATATTTTTACTAAAAATATTACTTATTTAATATAAATCTAGTTATATTTATTTTAAAAATTCTTAATATATTATAATTTAATATTTAAATTAATAAATAATATTAGCTAATTTAATTATAAATTAATAAGTTAATTTTCTTAGAATATAAATAATAATTAAAAAGTAAATAAAAATAAAATAGTAAAATAGAATTAAGTTATAACTATTTTAAATTTTATAATAAAAAATAAAATTTATATTAAATATAAAAAAATTTATTTAAAAAGAGAAATAAAAAGTTTTATATATATAATTATATTTAATTTACTTAATAATATTTAACTTTTAATTACTTTAAGTTTATTTAATTTAGAAGTTGCTTAATACTCTTAGCGCTTAAGCGTACTTAAGTACTTCGGCTATTTTTTCTTCTTTTCGGTTATTTTTCTTTGTAACCTAGTACGGCTGCAGTCCTTGTTTTGTAGCGGTTACCTGGTTACGCCTGTTGCGCAAGGTCGTAACAGCCTACTGCTCACCCAAAATACGCTAAATTTTAGTGGTAGGAGGTTCACTAGCGGCGGGGGCAACATGTTATGAAAACTTCGATATTTATCTTTAAAAAAGCGGATCCTAATGGACTGCACGGACCAACTCTTTGAACTGCTACCAATCCAGTCCAAGCTTTGGACCGACTATGTCCAGTCTAAGCTTTAGACTGGACGGTTTAGATGGTTGCCAACAATGATCATCTATTGATAATCGATGTCCGTAATGTAGATACTTGGCTGTGAATCTTCTTTTCCCGGCCCTATCTACTTCGTGACACCCGCCGTTGCGACAGAAGATAGTGACTTTGAAGCCGTGAAGATGGTTAAATCACTCGTATCGCCACGAAGAACACAGCCTTTGAGCCCGAAATATTGCATTTTGAGACTCCCCACATCGTTTGATTTCAAGGCTCCGCAGAAACCCGAGGGTTTCATGCAAGGCCGCTGAGTGATCATTGAGTAAGTCTACGCAAGGCTATAGTAAGTGTTGAGAGGGATTTATTTGCGGTTTGCACCGTTGCTTGTAAAGCTAAGTAGCGTTGTATGCGTCTTCTTCTTGATCCACTTTGTTCTTCAATGCTTTATTGCGTCAATTTTCCTTTTGTCTAGGTTGGTGGGGGGTATGTCTCTCGCAGCCCGTGGAGCCTCGAAAGGAAAGTTTGGAATGGTAGAGACTCACAAAACCTTTCAAAATGGCGCCTCTAGCTGATCTAAATGGAATGAAGGGTACGTGTGGCAGCATGCGATTCGTCTAGCACGACGCATGGACGAGGAAGCTAACCCAGCCCCTTGCTAGACCGTACTCCTCCGAGGCAAGCGAAAGGAAAAGAACCCGAACTTTGGAGAATGCCTTTTGGAACGGCTACATGCCGATCGCTATGCAAACGTCGTGCGGAGTAGCAACAATTGGCCTCAAGAATGACGCTCGGACAGATATATGCAGCTGGCTGCCCCCAGGGCAGGATCAAAATCTTCAAAATCTTGTTTCGTACATCGGATACGTTCAACTTTCAAAGGCAAATAGCACATTGTTTACAACATGCCGTCCATCAAATTCGATGATAGTCGCATCAAAGACTACCCTGACAAACGTCTGCTGGACTACACTCGAGCATATTTCAAAACGTTCACTGACCCCGATCCTGAGGCGATGAGGGATTTCCAGACGAAGGACTATACTATGACTGACATTCGTGCGATCACCCAACTAAATCCTTCATCATAGCTTCGTCTTGTTCTAACCCGTTGTCATTCCGTAGCACTCTGTATCGTGAACGTCGATCGTGACACCTGGTATCAAGGCAATAAAGCCTTCGTGTCAATGACTGCGGAGACTCAAGTGGTAGCACTGTCCCTTGCTGGAAGCTCAGCCCCCGGATCTTTCTCGATCATGGAAAATGCCATCAGTTTCAGGCTGACCGCTGACCCACCTCCTGGCCCCGATAAAAATCTACCCCCTGGGGCAAAAGCCGGCGATATGGTGGGTATGATCATGCTGAGCGTGCTTTGGTGGAACAACGAGGGGAAGGTAAACCGCGAGCTTGAATACGGACGATTGACATGGGACACTTTTGACCTCAGTGCATGGGACAGGGCAAAGCGGAGGGGTGTCAAAGGCCTGTATCGTTTGTGAAAAACTTCATGGGCATTAGACGGCGGGATGGACAGAGAGAGGCGCAGCAGTTGATTTTCAAACTCCTAGTGAGAAAGAAACATACTCGAAAATGAAAAGTAATTGCTAAATGTATTGATGCTGCTTTTATGTAATCATTGGGGCTAAGATGTTGTGACATGAGGCGTTCGACAGAGATGTCCATGGACGAGTCAAAGATGTGGTCCCATCGGACGTGAAATGGCAAATTGGCCTCGTGCATTTGATTGGCTTTTTTTCAATGCACGTTGCGGAAGCCGCATTTCACTGAGACACAAGCTAAATCTCGGTCATGTCCGCAGACCTGAACGTTATCGAAGACAGATGAGGGGGTGTCATGCATGAGTTCTATATTGGTTAGGAGAGGCCGTAGATGGAGACGTCCCCATTTCCTACTTTCGTAAAGATGAAGGTTTTATGCGTCTGTGCATCTTCAAACCCCGCAGTAGACAGCGTGCATGATGTCGCAAAAGCTCGGCCGAGATGGAAATTTTTTGCAGACTTAGCATACTTGTGTCACCTGCCAACCTGGCCTGAACACGGCTGTTGCTCGCTATGTCCATTGCAGACGAAAGTCTCAAATTATACCAGCGTTGGCTCAAGTACCAACGAGGTTTCACGTACGTATTTCCAGGCCGTTGCGCCTTGCATTCTAGACTCATCCAAGGTCAGCATGAGGAGTGAACAAATGTTGCCTCTTTTTCATATCCTTCGTACAGGTTGACTGGGGGATGGAAAGCAGGTAGTCCCAGGGACAAAGGAAAAGGCTGTTGGTCATTCACCAGGGTATGCAGGTTGGAAGTTGAATGACATATATTCAAAGTATGGTCTGGTTCTCCTTTTCAATCTTGAAGATGCTCACTTGTTTCTTATTTCGCACTCTGAGGTCGAGTCACTAAGATATCACTTACCCATCCTTCTGTAATTGATCGAACAAAGGGCTCCGTCCGCCGCTTTCGTAAAGTGGTGAATGCATAGTAGTACCTCAGAGCTCTTGGAAGTTCGACTGCATCGTTATTCCAAAATACCCATGTTGAGACATCAACAATAGCCGCGTGTGCGAGCAACTCCGCCATTGAGCAGCTCCATATCTTAGCTGAAGTAGCGTCCTCAGGGGAATCGATCTAATAAGGGATGGCGGTAGATCACTCCCGCTTTCTCGATTGACATTGTGGAACGATGCGCAAAGGAGAGTACGTGCACTTCTCTTTATTTTCAGGCAGGGTGCAGCACGGGCAATCCCACTTTTAAATAGGAATGTTGGACACCCAAAGGCAGAGAATAGTAGTGTCGTCCTAAGCCATAGTAATAGACTGTGAACGTTGTCAGCGGCACTCTATTTCATGGTACACTGCTTACACTGTAGGCATTGATCAAGGGTGCAAGCATCCGTCAACATTTATCATCAAGATGCCTGGGTCAGCTGAAGCGTCCTGCCTATCGTCACGACGCTTTGATTCAACGTACAAAAGCTACGGCCAGCGTATAATCATCACTCTGCCACGGAGTCTTTTGCATTCTGTGGCTCCATAATCGGAGCACAACCGCTCCAGTCATGATGCATATTCCGGCGATTAAAAAGCCACCGAATCCTTCAGCGTTGAAGTCATTTGGGTGTGAGATTTGGAAGTCGATCTCCTCTTGTGGCAGTGCCATCCATTCGTCCTGCGACAGAGTACATAGATGTGGGTTGCGAAAGACCTCGAGGGATCATGAGGGCAAGAACGAGAATGGAGACCGCTGCAAATCAAGCGCATTTGTGCAGTCGTTCCGTCAATGGCCCTGTCGATCTGCATCTCTCGAGTTCTTAAATGGGGATTTGGCAGGCCTGACCGGTCTGCAGCTTTGTAAGGGAGGGATGAGTGAGGGGACGGAGGGGTAACAGAATTGCGCCAAAGACAACTTTGCTGTGGATGTAGATAGTCCTAAGATCTATCGACGATCTGACATTCAAATGCTGTGCCTGAATGTAACAGCTTCAGCAGTCCTTTGCTCAAGCCGGCCTACTGATGAGTGACAATTTTGACACGAGACCCTCTTCAGCAGAGCTTGAAGGTTTTGGCCTCCTCCTACGGTCGCTCGTAGTCGCCGTCGCACTCCCCGAGCGGCCTTTGGTCAAGGATGGTCGCTCCTCTGCATCCAGAGTAGAAGGCGTGCTGCTTCGAGAAGCATTCCGAGAATGTGATTCCGATCGTGCTGAAGAATGTCGTCTCTGCCTTTCCTTCTCACGATGATAATTGTGATGATGCTTTTCGTTGTCACCTCGACTCGTCGGCTCAGGAGGCCTTGCACCTCGTCTGCCCCTACCCCTCCAAAGCCAATGGCCTTGGTCTTTTGCAAGAGCTTTCTCCTTTTGCCGCAACCCCTGGCGCAGCTGAGCACGGCGCTCGTTTTCTCTCTCCCAGTACTCCAGACGATATAACTCCCAATTCTCTCGAAAATCAGGGGAAAAGGGTTTAGGGAGCAGGAGCAACTTGATATGATCTCCGCCCGTCAAGAGGTCTTCTTCCCGCACTAGCTCAAGTTCCTCTTCCACCCCATACTCATGCTGACGAGCCTTCAAGTGATTGAAGGATGTGCCCGTGGGGGGGAAGAAGGCACTGTAAGGAAACAAGAAGACCAAATGACCGAAGAGCTCTTTCCACCAGACCCTTTTTATTACCACGATCTTTGCGTTGATGCTCCGCAAACCCCGGTTGGCGACTCCAAGCCAACGCCGGGGCCATCGAACTCCACGGTCCCACTGTCCAGTGCCCCATATCAAGATGCCTGTAACGATGCCAACCATCAATGCCACTTTCTCTGTCATTTCAACCACCCAGTACACCGAGCCACCAACGCCGCTCCCATCTTCACGAAGTCGAAAGAAAAGTAAATATGTAAATCCAGCCACCCACCAGGAGAGTAGCAAGATGAAGAAAATATTTTGCCGCCTTCGGTTGCGTAGAGTTAAGTATTGGGAGCGCAGAGAGGCTTCAAGGATGAGTAGGTTGAGATAGATTTGAGGCGGAGAAGACGGTAGCTGAGACGGAGATTCAGTAGGGAGCACCAGTGATGTTGCTGCTGGCGGGCCTGACGAAGTTGGCGATGGCGACCGGGACGCAACGACTGGCACTGATGTTCCCGGAGGAGGTGCTCCCTTGACAATCTGATCTAGCTTCGAGCTAGACATGTCATTCAAATATATTCACCACATTTCATGGATTGGTGTCCCTTGCTTTTGCCAAACAAGCCGGAGAGGTATCATCTTCGGCGCAGTATGCTTCAAAGTCGGGGCGCCGACGGTGAACCTTCTTGCAGTCCCCACTCGAATTGAGGTTTGACTAAATAAAATGAAGAATAATCGTTTTCGTACTCGCGAGCCTCGATTGTCTCGGGGGCGGCACAACTACAAAGCCGCAGTGTCGGAGTTAAGATCTGGCTTTTGCGCGCTCGAGATAATTCACCCTACGAAGGCGGCCTCACCATGGAACGTCAAGACAAGGCACCAACCTTTTCAATCGCCGCCCCTCGTGACCTGTGTATAAAATGTTTGCTCCAGACCGATCTTGACCTTGCCACAAACATAACCATACTTTCATAACAAGCCATCCTTCTTTCCCTTCGCTGCAAAGTTACTATCTATAGGGCTTTAACACTCTGTCGCCCACCTTGTACGTTTTCGCATTGTGCTAATCACCGGATGGCCAGCACCGCTCCTAACCCAGGGCCAGACAATGATCTGCGAAATAAGACGCAGCAGAGCCCACTGGCTTCTCAGCGTGACGAACCAAATAAGTCACCTGTGACAGCAAGTCGCCGAAGCAGACTGAACAATCTCTTCCCCCTTGGATATAAGGAAGGCTTTGGCCAATGGGTATGTGTCTCAGTGGATAAAGGTTGTATATCTCTCTGACCTCTCTGTGGTGGGCCAACGTTCCACCTGCGACCGCAGAACATAATGTCATGTCATTCATCCCGTACCTGAGGAAGCCGCCAACACACAAACACACCGGGAGAGATCTGCCCACCAAAACACCTTCTTCGACTTCGGTCTCGGACAGTAGTGCTCATGAAGCTTCGCCGGTGAAGACCTCTTCCAATACCGATCCTTTCGGTCCCCGTCAGTGGCATTCCAATCTTGTAAAGCTCAGTGGGAAGGATCGCTCTCTCAATGAATTCTCCGTGGAGAGATTAGGAGAACTGGCAGACCAGAATCTTGTTATGCTTCACGGGTATGGAGCTGGCCTCGGCTTTTTCTACAAAAATTTCGAAGGCCTAAGTCGTGTACCTGGCTGGAAGGTATACGCCCTAGATCTTTTGGGAATGGGGAGGAGTACTCGGCCTCCGTTTAAGTTGAAATCGAAAGATCGTCAAGAATGCATCTCAGAGGCGGAAGACTGGTTCATCGATTCTCTAGAAGAGTGGCGAAGAAAGCGAAACATTGATCGCTTCACATTGATGGGCCACAGCCTCGGAGGCTATATGGCGGTGGCTTATGCATTGAAATATCCGGGACACTTGAACAAACTCGTACTTGCGTCTCCAGTTGGCATTCCGGAGGACCCCTATGCCGTCACCGCAGAATTACCAGAGCCACCTGAATCGACGTTGGCGAACGAATTTACCCAGGACCAACAAGACGACATCAAGGACACAACGAACCCAAGGATACCTGACACGGCAAAGGTAGGCGATAACAATAATTTCCTCAACGCCAGGAAGAGGACCGGTACAGAAGCCGCCGATGGTGGCCAAGAACCAAATGCTCCAAGGAAGCCTTTGCCAAAGTGGCTGACGTACCTCTGGGAAGCCAATATCTCGCCATTTGGCCTTGTGCGATGGACTGGACCATTAGGACCATGCTTAGTGTCTGGTTGGACATCGCGACGATTCTCTCATCTGGGGTCTGAAGAAGCCAAAGCACTCCATACATACGCGTATTCACTTTTCCGCCTCAGGGGTAGCGGCGAGTATGCTCTCTCGTATATCCTAGCTCCAGGAGCTTTCGCCCGAAGTCCTCTTATCAGGCGAATTGGTGGAGTGGGACGGCAGTACTTGCAGCCAAATGGTTCGGTTGCTTCCACCGTTGATTCTGCAAAACGAGAGCGGGAGAAGGGCATTCCAATCGTGCTCATGTATGGTGAGAACGATTGGATGGATGTCGCGGGCGGATACGCCGCCGAGCAGAAATTGAAGGAAGAGAAAGAGCATGTTCTGAAGGATAGCCTACCGGAGCAAAGAAGCCAAGATCGTGGATCAGCGAAAGTCGTTGTAATAAAGAAGGCGGGCCATCATGTATATCTGGATGGCTGGGAGGAATTCAATGAAGTAATGCGGAAGGAGATGGAGGATCTTTCGAGCCTTACATGAGGAGGCTGATCATTTCAACACTGTCCATTTTTTGTAGCTCTTAGCGTCGATATCAGCCCAGTGTATTGCCAGCCCGGTTCAGCGAGATAGACTTGATCGCATATTGACGTATAGAGATAGAAATTCGGTCCCTGTCTCTCGAGATTCGCGTTTCCATGCCATAGTCTTCTGGGCTTTTCTCCCCCCCTCACCAGTGTAAAGGACGGCATAGAGGGCCCCGAATTTGAGCAAGCCACTTGGTACGTTCTTTCGAGAGTCGGCTCCATTTAGAGACTAAAGTAGATGTAGCGATCCATGATCTGCAATTCAGCTAACGAACTGCGAGTCCGTCTCAACAGCTGAAACGTTGACAGTTTGGCGGAAATGTAGCGCTTGATCGGGCAACATGCTTAATAGTCAGGTACGCCCTTGCCTTGAAAGTAGCCATTGAAGTATCGATCTCGTCATTATCAGCCCATTTCACGCTTCATCCAAAACATGTATAGTAGTGTAAACGCTGCTCCTCGCCAGAGAAGATTCAATGAGCCATACGGAAATGCACAAAAATGGAAATGCAATCTTTCTACCACGGTTACTAAGAGATGGAAATGATAGGAAGCGCATTCTCAGCTATGAAACGTAAATGTCTGCGCCGTTCTCGAAGAACTTTGACTTGACCCGGAGGAACTACTCGGCTTATGCCTCAGTATGGTCCTCCCAATGTTCGCCGTATCCAAACTCGTTGTCGATTTTGACGGCCTCCGACTTGACATTGATTCCTCCGGACTCTGCGAAACGCCTTCATGCCCCCAGGTCGATCTACACACCGGGGATTCGGAAGGACTTTTCCACTGCCATGGGTTTTCTGTAAGGCCGCTTGAGGTCGTCGATCGACGGTGATGTCTGTAGCGATCGTCGCCGGCGGCAGGCAACTCGAGACGAGAGTTCATTTGAGTCCAGAGCACATCGTCTTCATCGGGACCGGGCATTCTCCAGCCACCAACGCCTTCGAAGTCCCGGGTCGGTTCGCCGCCGCCGTAGGCTCCTAGACCGATAGCCTCGGCGGCCCTTGGAGTGGAGGAGCCACCATTAGATGAGCCGCTGGCGGCGCTGTTCTCTCGCGAGATGCGTTTTCTGACGGGTGCACTTTTGCCTTTCCGTCTCCTAACAGTAGATCTGGAAGTCTCTGTGGAGGATGAGGGAACGACGAACAGGTTTTGGAAAATTGCAGTCGCCAATTCTGCGTAGACCAGTAGCGCTCGAAAGAATAGTGTTGTAAATGCAAACATTGATGTCAAGATTGCAAGCAATGCAAGCGGGACCGACAGAAAAAGAAGAAAGGGAGATATGAAAATACATGCAAGCGTGGGCATTCTTCCGCAGTGAGAAATGCTCGAGGCTGAGATGGTTGGTGATTCAACAAGTATAGGTTACCTGCTGATGAAAAGGTTCCACAAGAATCTTGGCATTTTATCTGTCCCCTCACTTGCTTTCCCCTTGGTTGCGTTTTGCCTCAGCCTCTTTCGCCCCCAACAAGGTATTTGTAGGACTATCAGTCTGTAGCTACTGGGGTGAAACACCAGGTATAAGCATGTCTTCAATCAAGCAGGAGGTCGAGGAGCCTCTACCATGGCATCTGGGTGTTTTCGATGCCCACTGTCATCCTACAGATACCGTAGCCTCCTTAGGGGATATTGCTCACATGAAGACCAAGACACTTACTATCATGGCCACTAGGCAGCAAGACCAAGGCCTAGTCGCAAAGTTTGCGGATGTATTTGGACTGATAGACGCACAAGATCGAGGGGGACGTGTTGTACCGGCCTTTGGGTGGCACCCTTGGTTTTCCCACCAAATCTACGATGACTTAGCTCCAAGTTTTGCTCATCGACCTAGTAAGGAGGATCATTACAAGCGAGTAGTCACCCCGTCACCCAACCATCCCGACTTTTTGGATGTTCTGCCTGAGCCACGACCACTTTCAGGCCTTCTCCAAGAAATTCGCGACTGGCTCAATCACTATCCGCTGGCACTGGTTGGTGAGGTTGGACTGGACCGCGCATTCCGAATCCCAGGTGTTCAAATACTAGAGCCCAATTACGAACCCGATCCAGCCTTGACCTCAGGCAGCAGGGATGGTCGTCGCCTATCACCACACCGTGTAGACATCGAACACCAAAAAAGATTTTGACAGCGCAGCTCAATCTCGCGGGCGATCTGCAGCGGGCAGCATCTGTTCACGGGGTTGCTGCGCATGGTCTCTTATATGAGACTTTAGCGCAGACCTGGCGTGGACATGAGCAGGTCATCGTAAGCAAGCGTGAAAGACGAAGAAGGCCAGATTTCGAGGCTTACGAAGATACTAATCCTTCAAACGTTACTCAGAGAGACATGTCAAAACCCTGGCCGCCACGCCTTTGTCTACATTCTTATTCAGGCTCGGCAGATACGATCAGGCATTACTTGCATCCTTCTGTTCCCGTTGTGGTGTTTTTTTCATTTTCTAATCTCGTCAATTTTGCATCACAGTCGAAGAAAGCAGTCGATGCTATCAAAGCAGTCCCAGACGATAGGATCCTGGCAGAGAGTGACTTTCATTGTGCAGGAAAGAGGATGGATCATCTGATGGAAGATATCGTGAGAAGTATTTGTCGCATTCGATGCTGGTCATTGTCACACGGTGTGGAGCAGCTTGCGTCAAATTGGAGGCGTTTTGTGTTCGGATTTGAGTGAAAGATCTTAGAGACCGCTTGAGCAGTCAGTTAAGCACACCATCGCGATCTGAACGTCTCGCTTGCCGGTAGTCGAATCACGTCAAAGGTGTCCGTCATTCTGGGCATAATTGTCTCTTTCAGAGACTATCCTATGGCGGTTTTCTGGAAGCTGTCCTCACATATTAATCAATTTTTCTAGGGAAGCGACTGACATTCTGCTGGTTGTCAAGAAGCTATCTCTATACTGAAAAGCCGTAGAAGTTGGCCTGTCGTGAAGAATGAAGCTGGCTGATGCTGCAAGGTGTGTTTGCCACACTTGTAAGCAGCGAAGCGAGAAGGCATACGACTTCCGAATCTTCATCAATCAAATTCAATCCATCACGTCGATGTCTAGGGTTGGTAAGCAGCAATTTTTGTTCAGCCATAGCGCCGAACTTGGGAGGAGTGTCAAAATTTGCCACTCTTCTGTCGACACCTAGAGTGACCCCCGCTCTTTAAATTCACTTCACCGCTCCCCTCACCTTATTGCCTTCCTATCACCACCATCACTACTCGCTCACGAGAGAATGCATAATCCATCACGCGATTACCCCTGAAAGGCCATCGGCCTGCAGTTGATTGAGCCCAGTAAGTCCATCTACACAAGGTCAACACGCACAAAAGGACGCGCACATCGACTGACACGATGGCTAAGCTAGAATACCTGAGATCCTATACTCAGGTGAAGCAATGCCATACAATATGGGAAATAAAGACCAAGAAGCACTGCTCCACATCTTGGTTGAAGCCAATTCTCAGGTCTTCCAGATGATGGCTACGCGCGTCCTTCGAGGAGAGCCATTAACAATTTTGAATCTTGAAGATATCTGCGTAAGTTAGGCCTGATTGACATTTTGACTGTCATGCTTACGCATTGGGACATAGAACCAGCCTGTTTGCCAAAGAGGATCAGTAAGTCGAGACAGCTTTTCCTATTGATCCGCTACTTATATGCTGAAATTAGCACCAACCAACTCAAGTGCGTCTTGCAGAACATCGCTCTGATTCCGGCGTTGATCTGGATCAGAACACGATATATAAAGATCCACCGGCAATCAACAATCCAATGCAAAACGATCTTAACGAGACGAATCAATCGCAACTGCTCCAGATATCCCAGCATATGCTTTGCTATGATGCAGCTTCATCGATAATTCGAAACAATAGCCAAACCACTAGTAACAGTCAGTTCAGTAATCATACTAGTCCAAGTAGTGTCAGGTCTCCTAGTCCACCTCTGTTCGACCGCAAACGCAAGTTGAGACGTACACTATCCGACGAGGATTTCACTTTGATTGCTGGCCGTCAGATACGACGACCGCGACTAGGAGGTGCTTCAGAAGTGAAGCGAAGGCACTCTCAAAGTCTCGGCTTTGCTGCTACTGGCAAAAAGCTCATGGGAGAGCATGATCCAGAGAATCGCGAGATCCTCCGTCTTCGTCAGGAGGAATTACTTGAATTCGACTATATTGCAACGAGGCTGAACGCCCAACGTGCCAAATCCGGCCAAGCACCAACTCTCACTGCGAATGCGATCTATAGCCGCTACAAGCGAAATGGACCGATCATTGCTGCAAGCGAAGGTCGGGAGTTCTTGCCTACCCACCTGGACAAGAAACCGAATGGCAAACCGATCTCATTTAGAACAACGGTCCCAATCAAAGGCTTCGATGAGCGTGAGGATCAATTGCTCGCTCAGGCTGTTGCTGATATCGACAAATGCAAGTGGGAACTCGTTGCTCACCGCGTTCAAGAGCTAGGTGGAAAAGAGCATGATTCGAACATGTGCGCGATGCGCTATAGCCATCTCTGAAGTTGTAAGCTGGTAGTACCAGAGGGACTGATTCGGAGACGGCGACTGAACCTGACATCTAGATTTTAATGCCAACAGCAACTCTGCCTGTTGCTATATATACTCCCGTGATCGATGAAGACTACTTTTTTTCTTGTATGACGGTGGGCAACACACAATTACCTCAACAATAATCGTTGGCTAGAGCTAATATATAATTGCAGGTATGTCATGGTGATTTGAGGGGCTGTTTTCCTCTATCAGATTCGTCCGAGGCCAAGTCCTCGTACCGACACCCGCTAGCTCAATCTAATCCACCTACGTGGTGTGGTGGTTGGATAGTGAGGTTGTGCGATAGAGTTGGACAGAGGATTGCCCGTGACTCTTCAACGTTGAAAATAGCACCATGTTGGGGATAGGCACTCTTTCTATGTGCTTGTCCGACAGTAATGACTCAATGTCGGCTCTCTTTCGTTTTTTTGTATGGCTGGGACCGATGATATCGTTCTATGAAGTAAACATAACGAGGTCTTTCTTTACGTTCAATGTCAAATAACGCAAGTAAGACAATTCGGTCAAATTTCACCACGAAGCTGTGTTGTTCTCACATATCTCTGAGCAGCTCCGCTAACGTTATAGGCTTCCTGACCGCATTCGAAAAACCTTCATGAAAACTCACCCACACCTGCCCCGCTTTGCCCTTGCCACTCGAAATTGGCCTTGGCCTACATTTATTCCCTGTAGTGACGTTTTGTGCACTTTTCGAATGGTCTTCGATGGGCCTCCCAAAGAAATCTCGCTTCACTGCGGCCGGGTTTGGATGACTATGTTCCACCAGAGTCTTGGCTTGAAAGTCAACGGCATCGAATGGCAAAGCGTCGACCTCGGTATCGCCACCTGCTTGGTATCGAGCTTGGCGCGCTTCAGCACTCTTCTGGGCTATGTAACGCTGGTACTCCTGATCCATTGCCTGCCGAATGGCGTATCTTGTCGGGCCGGCATTCTGCACTTTTTGGCTTGCAGTCTCGAAGCTCGCTACGTGATCTAGTTGTCTGGAACGCTGGCTGTCAATATTGGAGCACTCCAAGATGGAAGAACGGCGGCACTTACGGTTCCATACGGTAAATCCAGTTTGTCAATCCGTTTCGTCCTGTATCCACTCGAGCCCTCTCGAAAGTCAGGCCCACCGCGTGCATGACTCCAACAGCGTGCGCTATCATCTCCTTTTCCCTCCCTTTTCGAACGCTGACCACTCCGGCTTGATCACCGCTGCCGCCAACAGTAACGGGTTGGACCTCTGGTGTCATCATCCTCATCAGACTTGGTACGAGTTCCATCGAGAGGTCTTTAATTGAGCGAAAAGATCGCATCAGCGGGATTGTAAGTGATGTTTGCAAGCCTTGAAGCACAGCTGTGTTTTGCTTTAGCATCTCCAACGCTATGAAATGCGCCTTTGGCCCAGCAAGGGCAGATTGACTTTCGTCTGGCTCATCAACAAACTTTCTCTGACTGCCCCAGTTTTGCCTTGCAGGGGAAGCAAAAAGGTGGTGGAGAGCTAGGATGGGGCTTGATAGGTATGCACCCAGCTCCCACTCCTGTCCAACATGCACCTTTGACGAAAGCTGATCGTGGAAATGCAACCAGTCACATGCTGTGTTGGGCTTCGTCAGGAAAGTATCGTCCTGAAAAGGTAGAGATGCGTAGGCAGCGAAGCAGTCAGTCACGATTCGATCGCTCTCGCCCGTCGTTTCGATAACCTCTCGTAAGCGATCTGTAGCAGTCCTTCTAGCTGCCTCTCGAACCCCAGTAGCAGAGTCACCTTCAGCAGTCGAGAAATGTGAAGGCTGAGACCGAGGTTCTGAGCGACTAATGCCAGCCCCTTCCAGGAAGACTCGGTCTACTGCTTCCTTCGTCCCTCCCCTTCCCAGCCCGCGCGACCCACCACCTGCTTGACCAAGACTTTCCGTCAGATTCTCCTCGACCCAGTGTTTGGTCAGTCGTGCGCCTGTTTGGTAGCACGCTCGTAATTTCGAGGCGGCCCATTCGCCCACCACCAGACAGCCCCTCAGATCACCTTCAGAGCTAGCTTGTTCCGAGCCACTCTTCCTACTCCCAACGCCCCAAGTCGCTTCACAGAGTCTTCGTACCCCGTCACTATCGCAAGGCAATCCTTCCGCGTCGAATATAGCTTTGAGACGAGTCACGACCTTGTCGAGTGGGGGATTTCGGATGTGAATGATCTCCGCCACAGTGGACGTTCGTAAAGGACGCAACGAAGGATGATAAGCATCGTTGCAGATGAGTATTAATGGTCTCATTAGCCTGAATCTTTCACCTTTGTGTTTCGTCTTCAAGACATTGCCTGTCGTTGAGGTCAGAGGTTGGCTGCTCTTTTGATCCAAGGCAACAAGGTCGATAAGAGCCTTGACGAAGCCACCTTCACCACCAGCACCAATACCAGCAACCACACCATCAACCTCGTCGATGACAACACAGACAGGTCTACCCGCCTTGGGAGTTTTGCCTTGCTTTGAGCTTCGTTTGGCACCTCTCACGGTCTCCGTACCAGCAGCGTCCTTGATTCGACCCCTTACAACAGCGCTTGACCGTTCGTCACTAGCATTGATTTCCATAACTTCGTAGCCGGCTTGTCTGGCGCAGACATGTGCCAAAGTGGTCTTACCCAGCCCTGGGGGTCCAGTCAACATTAAGATTTTCTTGTGAGTCTTCGCGTCTTCGACCTCGGTCGTCTTTCTAAGCGGTGTTGGCTTTGCTAAACCAGGGAAAACGATGGAATCCCAAGCCTTCAACCATCGCAAGACGTCTCGGTGCGTGCGGTCATCCCCAACAAGGTCCGTGAACTTACGCGCTCTATATTTCTCGGTCCAGAGCATACTTCTGCACTTCAAATTACGCTTTGATGATTCGTGACATGGCAATTGCGTCCCATTGGATGCTCGAAAATCCACAGGTGTGACATTTTTGGGTCGCGCGCTGTGCTTGGTCGCCTGGTCAAGCAAGCCATGGATATCGACACCGTAAAAGCTTTTCGTTGCTTTCCCAGGCTCGGTGATAGATCGCTCGGCCATAAGTCTCTCGAATGATGGAGACTGCTCGTTCTGTTTTCTTCGGATCGGGAACGAACGACCGGTAGAAGTCCTCATTTGGGAACCAACGTTGGGGACATCAATATCATGATTCAGGTCGATCCCAAGATCATTGTTCGCAGCATCTCTCGAGCGCAGAGACGTCGACGGTGGGCTATCCTCTTGGTCTACGCCCTTTGCATCGACTTCTTCGTCATCATCATCGTCATCATCATCAAGGAAAGGCCCCTTCGGCCTGGTTGGTTGGCTTGGGTTTTTGGGGCGAGTACTTAAACCTGGGAGGTCCTTCTCGATGACTTGCTTACGGAAGGACGAGCGCCTTGCCGGGTATGGATGATCCGTGGGCGATTTCCGCTTTTGACAAATGGTCGGGCCAAGCGGAGAAGAACTCGGCGGGTAAGTGATCGGTGATGATATGAAAGCCATCATACAAGTTCAATGGATGTTCATAGACGAAAGGTCTGAAATTGCGCCAGTGCCACGTGCCCGCTTCTTGAAAATCGAAGTTTCTATAGAGCCTTTGATACTGCGCGTGAAATAGTAACCTCACCACTTTCCCTTTATTTTTGCCAGGGTGAGCTGCTACCTACAATCCTCAACGATGCTGTGACCACTGGCGTCTTCCAACCTATCATGGTAGGCCTGAAGGACAAAGGTCTCTTGAAGACTCGCGTTCCATCTGGACGCGCTCAGACAAGGTTGCTGCCGTCCACCGTGAAGTCAATTTGGATCTTGGCATCGGCCCTTCTGGAGCCTTGGCGCATTGACTGCCCCCTCAAATCATCCGACCAACCTGTTCGCGTAATACCTCTGCATGTAGGGCTTTGCTCGGGTTTTCCATGGATACAGTCGCGTAGCAAGAGGCGGATGATTAATGATTTGGACTTATGGACACACCTCCTCAGACGCCTCCGCCTATTGGCCCTTCGTCGCCTGATTACCTCGACATCCACTATTGGGACTTTGCCTATGAGGAGAAGGGTCCTTTCCGTATGCCAACTTCAAACATTGCAGATACAACGTCTAAGACATTTGCTGAGTGCATATTTCGCGTGCGAAGATTCCCATCGCTTAGATACTAATACAGCCATGCAGGCTTCTATCTGGCGATCTAATGGAGATATATGTCGGTAAAGCTAGACGTCAATGGTCCCTCCATCGCAATCTGCTGTCCTTTCATTCAAAATGGTTCCGTCAGCAAACAGCTGCCAAGCTGGGAGAGAGGAGGGACAAGGTAGAACTATTCGATGATGACCCACGAGCCTTCGAACTGCTTGTGAAGTGGCTTTATCAGGGAAGGATTGATGATGTCGGCACTTTGGCAGTGGATCGAAAATGGGACTATGCTTTCGCATGTCAGCAGCTATACATACTTTGTGAGAAGATCAATATGCCTGAACTGAAAAATGTCGCCATTGATCAGTTCAGAAAGGGCTGTTATGAGGCAGGCCTAGTCCCAGGAGCAGAGGAAATGATCCTTGTGTATCAAAAAACTTCACGATCGTCTCCGTTCCGGAAGCTAGTCAGTAAAATTGCAGCCCGCCAGCTTATGGATCCAGAGTGCGAGCAAGATAGCAGCATATATCGGGATTGCTTCGCCAAGGACCCAGATTTCGCCATCGACGTGATCAATGCCATCAAAGAGGGGACCGGGCTTAGTAGCCTTTTCGAAGATCCTACCGAAGAAGAAGGTTGCCATTACCACGATCATCCTTCTGGTCAATATTGCAATATCCGGTTCAATAAACGAGTTTCTTGATTTTGCCGCACTTCTGCATCATTACATGCATATTGCGGGTGGATGATTTAAGGAGTGTATGAGCACGAACACCAACTTGGTTCCGCCTGCGATTACGAGAGAATGCATCAATTGCGAAGTGTTTTGCACTCGGTCGGGCTCCGACGGATTGCTAGCTTCCCATGCACCAATACGGTTGGAAGCGCAATCTTTGCACAAGTAAGACTGTACGAGTATCAATGTATGAATGAATGAATGAATCAAGTGAACATAAGTAAGTCACGAACTTAACACTTACTTGTCCTTATCTAATGTATGACAGTATCGAAAATAATGGCGCTCTAGCTGCTCATAGTCTCCATACCAGCATTCAGACGCAGGCAGCGATGTATTTTGATAGCGTAAATCGGAAAATCGCGTACCAGGGTGATAAAACTACTTGGCTTCCCCAGTTCGTTTCCTTTGCGGCCTGCTGCAGCGCCTCTTCCACATCATCGAGCTTATACAGTCCGTTCACTTTGACACCACATCGTTCGAGGATAAGATTGCCGCTTTCAGCCAGGCGTATTGCTTGCTGAATGTGCGACCTGTCGTGTATGAATCTTCCGAAAAGGCCGAGGTATTTGAATATGATTGCTGAGTAGGAAACTGAGATGTTGCTGATAATGCCTCCCATGAGAGCAACCCTCCCAAATGGGTTGAACGCCCCCATAGCTGCGCTGGTATGAAAGCTACCTGATGCGGCTGGCGACGAGAGGTCGATATACGCATCAGCGCCCGCAATCTGGGGTGTCGCCGCCATCAAAGTCTGGTTGTCTTTGGTTTCGTCGCTGGTAAGGGTGACATATTTGAAACGCCCTGTTTTGCTGTATGCGCGTTCAAGCGCTTCGAGGACATCCTTATTCATTCCCACTGCAACAAAAGTCGCCCCTAAAGGCTATGACAGCGTTCACAGCTGCCCCGCCGAAATTACTAGTCGCCGGCGCTACGATCACACAATCTCCTGGCTTAACCCTAACATCTAATCAGCCCTCTGAACGGCACTAAGCACGTTCCCATGTAGCACAAGTCAGCAAAGCTGTACCCCTTTGCTCTAACGAGAACTTCTTTATCAAGCAGGTAAACGTTCATTAAAGGGAATTTGGCAATCTCCGAGTAGGTTCCGTGATGCCATTGGCCCTGCATCAGCTTCATGGCTGGCGAACACGGCGGGCCTCCGCCATGTAAGCCCATCAGGATGAGAATGTTGGGGTCGTCACGACTGTGGACCGTGATATCGCAGAAAACAAGTTGGCTCGAGCTCAGGCTCACTGCGTGTCACAAACCTCGAGTACGCGGGCTATGGCTGATGCTCCAGCGACGATGGGGTAGCTGATAGGGTAACCACGCTTTCCATCCATGACTTCGCTCGTGTAAGGGACGACTGATGTCGCGAGCACCTGGATGATGACCGAGCCGGTGGTGGCTTCAGGCCTCGGGAGCTCCTGGAGAGTGAAAGACTCACTCTGTGAGGGCTTTACTATGGCCCGGCAGGTTGACATTTTTGCTGATTATGAGTCTTCTTGATGGCACTGTCTTACACAAGGAGGAAAGTCACGCTGTGATCAAGCTTTCGAGGAGAGATGTATATATATATTCCTGCATGTATGATCGCCAACGGACTTAGCTCCGATATGGGCATCATGGCCTCGACGGACTTAGACTCCAGTGGAAAAAAAGTTGACATCGCCTAACTTGAGAACACTATTTCTGGTCTCCAATGTCAACCCGTCTAAATCATGATCGTTGGTCCTGCGCAGCGTCTTCTCGCCAAAAACACGGGCGCGGACAGCTAGAGGTCGAATAGCTTGGTCCGTTCATACGTTGTCTCAAGCCGTTCAAAGCTCAGCTGGTTTAACAGCATTTGAGTTGTCTCCGTTGTCTTCCAGTGTCGGAGATATCTAACTTATCTACGGTGGTGACGCTAGAAGTACAAAGAGCGAGGAGGAGCGGACTAAAACTAAGCTTGATCGAACAACATATCCAGTTGTCGAGATGCTTGTTTGAGGTATCTAGGGATATGTGGTGTATGTTGTTGAATGCCTTCCCTCGCGTCTCTAAATGCTTCATTGGAATGCGAAACCGTCGGAAGTACGTCGTACCTTTGATCCAACACGAGCTGGGGCTCTCTGTTTAATATATATCTTTCTTCTGGACTGCCTTCTTCGAACCCCACCGAATACATTCAAAAGACTCCTCGTCACCTCCTACACAAACCGGGCCCTTCCAGAATCTCACTCCTATCAAACCACCTTTTTATCCTGTTCTAACCCGACGTTTCCCCTCTGCTTTTGCCCAAAATTCGCCCTCCTCATGTACCTCCCAAGACTCTCACATAACCGGTCTAGAATCCACTCACTTTCACTTTTCTGAGCTAGCATCGGACTGTCCTCCCCAATCCAGTCCCATTCGACCAAACCTGTATCCTCCTCTTCCTCCTCTAACTCCTCTTGATCCAGCTTTGTGAATCTTATAAGTCTTGTGAAGTCCGCCCATTCCTCGTACGTATACCTTTTGGGCGGATCAGAGTTGAGATCGTTGGCAGCTCGACGGATCGCAAGCGCTAATTTGCTTGCCATGGCTGGCTCATCTAAGGGGCCCTGCTGAGCAAGCTCGTCAAGGGTGGGTCCGCATACGTCCACATCCACGTCTTCGTCAGCGGGGCCGGCGCGGAAACCCTCGGCGATGCGACGGGCCTGCTCTTTCTCTGCTTCTTTAATCTGGCGTTTCTGCATCCAACGGAGGAGCCAGGGATGCGCTTCGCAAAAGTCACGCCAGACGCCTGCTTTTGGGAGAACGGTCCAGTCAGCGAGAGTGAAAGTACCACGCTTAAAGGAAGCGATAACGGTCTCGCCCATATCACTGATTAAAATTGTCATGGTAGGGACGGCGATGAGGGACCAGACGATGAAGAATGGTTTTCCAGCGTTGGAGGTGGGTGAAAGATCGCCGTATCCGATAGTCAAGAGAGAGACATAGCAGAAATAGAGAGCTTGGAAGTAGGAAAGCCCTTGTGTGTGTTGTTCGGCTTTCCAGAAACCGATGGCTCCAACGCACCAGAGCAGTCCGACTGTGTAAGGTGAAAGTCAACATTTGGACGATATTAGCCGCTTACGCTCCGCTGAAGTGGGACTGATGCATGAGAGAGATATGGGAGCAGGACATAATCAAAAGGAAACAACTTAAAAACTTTTCCCGAAGCGGTTCCTCCCCATGAACTTTGCCATTTCAATGTGCATGAGAAAACGCCTTGTGTAGTGACCTCTAGCGCCCCGCTGTCGTCTACGAGGGAACGGACATTCGGCGCATGCGAGAGCGACGAAACAGTAAGGGGTACTCACATGCTATGACTGAACCTGTCAGTGCGGTGTATCTTTTGAACTTGTGGGTACTTCGTTGGATTTTTCTCATGGCGTCGAAGCGGTCTCTTTCCTCTTTCAAAAGCTGAATCTTCGATTGTTTTTGGTTACGCCTAAAATTCTTGATTCGTTTAGTTATTGGGCTTCGTCTTCTCATTATTTTCTGATGGTCTGGGGCGCCGACATTTACTCCGTGCTCAAGATCGGTGGTAACGTTCGACTTTCTCGGGTCAAAAGGGGTAGAGATGGCTGTGTGAAGGGCTGCGTTGTCCTGTTTAAGTCGCTCAAGACGCTTCTGCTGGTATTCAAGCTCGTTGTCGGCAGAATTGTCAAGCATTTCGGTACGTCTTTTCTCTGCATGGCCCATGACCACATGACTAGACCCCAATTGCTGGGCAAATTTGTGGATACTAGACACCATCAAGCCTAGAATGATGATGCCACCGACCTGAAGATTTTGTGCTTAGCGACATGACTGCCTATTTTGTTGTGTGGTACCTACTGAATAGGGGAACACGAGTCCTCTGCCGCTGTCTTTGTACGGGTGAAAGTCACCAAAGCCAACTGTTAGGATTGTTACATCACAGAAATAGAGCTAGCGAAGTCAATTTTGATTTTGCTTCATATCGAAGAAGCCTCAGCGTGAACTCACGGCGTCAGGAAACGACCAGCCTTCTACTCTAGAAAAGACTCCTGCACCTCCCGCCAGCCAAATGAAAAACATCATGGTCTGGAGGATCAAATTGCGCTGCTCGTCAGATAGCTCGAAATGCTGAGGGTAATGTCCGAGGAAGTAACCAAGCATATTAAGCATCAAAGCCATAGAAGACAGCATGTAAAGGACCGCAGCGATCACGGCATGCCAGAAACCCTGGCTATAGATCTGGTCAGGACGGTGAGGAGGCACATATATATTCATCGAAACGGTGATGCCGGTCAGCTAAAACGATCTTAGCAAAGTGCGTAACCTCCAGAACGCATGAAAGCGGGCTTCAAGCAATTCCGCAGATGCTATGGCATGACGAAGCAGACTTCTTGCAGAGCGTAGGAAAGGGAAAATGGACGCATACAATGACGAATTGAGACACGAATGATCTTGGAGTCTAAGAGGGGTTTGAATGTGTAGACTTAGTTGGTATTATTATGCCGCAGTAATGACACTTTTGGTGGAAGCCGATAATTGAAAAGAAATTGTGTACGAGGAAGTAGAGTGAAGGAAACTTACGATGCCAGTCGCGAAGTACCACAGAATGATCGTCATGGGTAAGGCAACAATGTATCTTACCCTCCTGGTGAAATTGAACAGCAAAAAGAGGTTTCCGATGAATCCGCACGCAAGGCTCGCACCATTCAGTGCCAAACACCATTTGGGATCCCTGAATCCAATGGACTTTGCATCCACGCCCGGATTGGCTGGATCGTATTTATTGCGCCAAAAGGTTACAAGGGCCGCAATCGACATGACATTTGCGAGGGGGCCCGTGGTTGCAGCAAGTAGCGGAATGGCAGTGGAAGCAAACCACCAGTTTTGACCTTCCTCGTCGTCGTCGGACCGCATGTGGAGATGCCATCTCTTTCTCCGGCGCACACCGCGCGCGGCCGTGAGGGTTTCATGGAGGCCTGGGGACGCATTCGCAGGGTCATCGCTGGGCGTTTCCGAGTCGGAGGATGGCTGAGAGCTCATGGTGGAACATCATGAGTGAGACGGGTCTGCTGGGTTGGAAGACGCCCTTGGGGATATTGGAGCGTCGTTGCCGTCCAATAACGCGGAGCTGAGATGAGATGGGAAGGGGCTATTCAGAGCGTCGCATCGGAGCAGAAAGGCTCATGTGAGAACATCTCCTCGCAAAGCCAGTTCTCCGCAGGAGGCTCCGGGGGTCTAGACCGTGGCTTAGTAATTAGCCCCCCTTAGTCAATTATAGTTGCAAGCCTTCAGAGGAGAATGTTCCCAACGGGCTCATGTTCATGTCGAAATACTGAGAACTCACAACTGTGGATGGCTTCATTGTTCGGTTGCCATGACCTATAAAAGACTGAGACTCGTCAAATATACTTGCTCAAAACAGAAACCCTCGTCCTTGCTACTACATTTTGCTCACTCATTACGCCAAGGATCCCAATCATTCGAAGCAAGTCATCTTTAGCACCCATTTTCTTAATATCGAACGCGATCATGTCAGGTCTACTTTTGACCAACTCCCCGATCACCAAGGCTTCAGAAAATGCTCGGTGCTGGAAATGATACCATACCCTAGCCTCATCTTCAAAGAGCTTATGCAGAAGGAAGAAACTGCTGATGGCTTGGTGCGCGGCGTCAAGCGTACCGTGAACATCTAACTCCAAGTCATCATGCTCATCCGCGTAGATTAGCATGAGACAATGATAGTAATTACTGGTCAGGAACAACGCTTGCCGGGCGAGCCGTTTGCTCCGTGAGGCTAGCTCGCATATGGCGGCTTCATTGAAGTTTCGGAATGGCTTCGGCACGGAGAAATATATGCGTTCGAATTTCGCAATGAGGTTAGCACGCTGTACAGCGTGGGTGGCGATAGGTATGTCAAGGGAGCGAGGGACGCAGACGCTAGTTTGGACGATGTTCGCGAGCTTCCACATGCTGGTTATGTACGAGATATCGCTGGCTCCGTCGAGGGTTAAGGACGGGTGTACTTCTGGAGCAAGGTCTTCGAGGCGACAATCACTGTGGAGAGCATTGGGCGGGAGCTGCAGGATGATGCTGAAAAATGTGTCCTGAAAAAGGACGGCCTGCCACAATTTGCGGCGTTGTTGTTTTTCAAAAGGATGTGCATTGCGAGCAATGACTGATGGATCGCGATTGAGTCCCAAAGCATAAGCGTGACGAGTCAAGATGCCGGCAAATGCCCAGGCATCTGAGGCATGATTGTCGTTCATAAGGAAATAGATAATGAGAATCATGGTCTGCATGGTCCGTAGGGAGGGTCGTCCAAGATAGTTAATAACTCGAAGCGCTTGATGGGATGCGGATATGTAGAACTCTGCTGTTTGTTCTTTTTCGTCTGGAGATGCTATCGCTACGAATTGAGTGCCCATTGCGAGCATGACGAAGACCAGAGCAACCAGAGAGCCATCGGAATGCTTACGGTCAACTGACTGAAGCAGCCAAAAGTCTTCGTAGTCCTTTTGGAAGGCTTCTTGGTGTACTATTGGATACACTGGATCAACGGCTTCGAAATACTTTCCAACCAGAATGTCTGACTGTTCCTTACTTGGCATTACTGCGATTACCTCGTTCAGACCGCCTTGATGGGTCCAATAATTACTGAAGGGATGCTATATCGGTTCGCCCAGTCAGCATTTCTAGAAAGACGAGGCACAATGACCAAAGGCATAGAGTGATTGATTTCTGAAAAAATTCGAGTTGTGAGAGGATACATGAACGGTCTTTCCGCGGCACACAGACGAAGCAGCTTAACATTGTTGAGCAACTGATTTCGGCCTACCTCAACTTTGAAGAGATTCGAGACGGTAGGGTGAGAAAACGGGATGTTAGATAGAAGGGTCGGTGCAGAGCCCGTTGATGACCGCGAGGGTGTTCGGTCGGTGGGTCTATACTCATCACTGCTGATAATTGGAAACGTGACTTGTCGAGATGGCAGGGTAGGATTGTTATTGTCTGGTCCTATAACCTCGATCTGTGATGCTCGAGTAAGCTGTGACGCGAGAGAACCAGCCTGCTTGTCCCCCTTTCCAGCTTTGGGCCGTTTCCTGGGGCTGTTGCTTGGAGGCTGATTGTTGGACTGCTCAATGAGGTCAGCGACCTGAGAGTAGTGACACTTGGTCTTGCGCTTTTGGCACGCAAAGCAGTCCGGTCGATTGCGGTCGCATTTGGTCTTCTTCACCGTACAGGTGGTACACGACAAGGATGGTTTATTACGATGGCGCTTTTCCTTGCGTGCGGCTCCTTCATTTGGAGAGGTGGGACTTTCTTGGGTGATCTCCACCTGGTCAGGGCCATTACTTGATGATGCACCGGCAACGGTACATCTGGTCGGAATGTTGGTATGTGGGATGCGATTGGCGGGATTGGGAGACACCGGAGATTGATGAGATTGCTCACTCATCATTCGGCACCCCTAAAGCTTGCAGTGAGAGCGCTCGGGTGTAAGATGGGCATCACGATGGGAATAAGGAGGATGCTACAATTGAGCATCTGCAAGATTCGCGAAGATGCGGGGCCATCGATGACGACTGAAGCGAGGGAGTCTGGACTCACTCTGGACTCGCAGTTTAGTTGCGCGCGCTTTGTTGCCGCTAGTCAAAACGCAAATGCATAAACACGGAGACATCTCGGGGTACTTCAGGTTCTACGAGTGCTTCATGACTGCTGTCTCTTTCATCTCCGAAGTTTCCCGGTCAACTCTGGGACCTTGGTGAAGAGATCTCCAACAAGGCCAACGTCAGCAACTTGAAAGATTGGGGCGTCCCCATCCTTGTTAATAGCCGCAATCACTTTACTATCCTTCATGCCAGCGAGATGCTGGATCGCTCCAGATATGCCGGCGCAGAGATACAACTGCGGTGCTACATTCTTGCCAGTCTGCCCAACTTGGAGGCTGTTGTCTGCGAATCCGCTATCAACGGCTGCTCTTGAGGCACCGATAGCGGCTCCAAGCGCATCTGCTAAGGGCGGAATCAATCTGTCAAACTCCTCCTTAGACTTGAGACCTCTGCCACCGGACACGACCTTGCTTGCGCTTGTAAGATCCGGTCGGTCTGACTTGGCGAGATCTTCAGAAACCCATTCAGTCGTGATGTCGACTTTAGGGTCGGCCCCTTCAATGATTTCAGCAGAGCCGCCCTCGGTCTCTGCTACAGCAAAGGATGTCCCTCTCAGCGTCACGATCTTGATTTTGTCAGACGATTGCACCGTCAAGATAGCATTCCCAGCGTAGATCGGCCGCGTAAAAGTATCCTCGCTCTCAATGGCGGTGATGTCAGATATTTGTTGCACATCCAGAAGCGCCGCGACTCTCGGCATCAGGCTTTTGCCGAATGCTGAGTGGGCAGCAAAAACGTGCGTGCATTGTTGTGACTTGACGTTCTCCACTATCAACGGCGCATAGTTCTCTGCTAAACCCTAGCATGTGTTAAATTATGTCCATGTTACATAGCCCAATTCAGAAGCTCACCTTGTCATAAGCGCTGTTGTCGATATACATTATTTTATCAATTCCCTTAACTTTTGCAGCCTCGTTGGCTACGGCATTGATGTTGCCACCGGCAACCAGACCGGTAATTGCACCTCCAAGTTTTTGAGCTGCAGTCACGGAACTGAGGGAAGCATTGTTCAACACCCCTTCCCTCTGCTCGAGTACTGCGAGTGAATGCAGGCATCGAGCAAGCGCAACGCTTTTCCGGAAAGGTGAAGAACGTCTTGATTGAAGACTTCGCCTCGATTGTCGAAGTACCGACTTAGAGAGTGGTTGGATCATCTTTTTCTTATTCAAGCAGAGGTCTGCACCTCCGCATGTACGTTACCGTTTCATTGTGGTCGAGGGAGGAGGGTCACACGGAGGATAACAAAAATATTGGAACAGTTAAATGAATCGCCGACCATAATTCGCACATCACGCTAGTTACCTAATCAAGCAAGGGATCCTGCCAAGACGACCCTCAAAATTAGTTCCGGTCTTATTAGGTTGGACGCGACAACGAGGCCTCAGTGGTACCTATGCTGGATCAAACAATTGGCTTGGAAGCTCCTCGCGAAACATTTTCGCTCTACTGACGATAGATGTCGATGTGTTTCTTCTATTCTACACGAGCATAAGCGTTCTAAAGTATCACCACACGTAACGAAGAGGAACGTCGAGCACATCGCATCCCTCGACCATCGTCCGTCGCTGTCTTAGCTCTACTTGTCATCAAATATGGAGAACGAGGGTTTGGACTTTGGCGATTCGCCTACTGCGGGTTTCGAGGGCGGGCTATCACCAATCGAACAGGCCGATTCCCAAGCTGGAAACGACGCAGGTAAAATATACGGCAGAGATGGCTAAGAAACTTCTCACTAATGAGATGCAATTTAGATGCTGCAGGAGAGCAAGATCTGAATGTACCTGGCGCAGCAAAATCGTCCCGATCACCATCCAAGCTTTCACAATCCACGCCCGCCCCCTTATCAGATAATCCTCTTGATGCCCCTGATGCTCCACGAAACGCAGATGCTGATGCAGATAAGGAAGATGAGGAAATGGGAGATGCCAGGAGTCCCGATAAAGATGGTGAAGGAGAAGGTGGCTCTCCCAGACCAACCGACGGTCAGGAGCAATCGAAAGCTTCCATAGAAGCGTCGGCGCGTGCTCATCTTGCGACGCAGCGCTTTACAGTCATCATCCCAAGTTACAGTGCCTGGTTTGATATGAACACAATACACTCTACGGAAACGAAAAGCCTACCAGAATTCTTCAACAGCCGGAATCGCAGCAAGACACCGGGTGTTTACAAAGATTATCGCGACTTCATGATCAATACGTACCGCCTGAATCCTTCGGAATATCTTACTGTGACTGCTTGCCGAAGGAATCTTGCTGGGGATGTCTGTGCGATAATGCGTGTTCACGCATTCCTTGAACAGTGGGGCCTGATCAATTATCAAGTACTACAGTAGATCACTCATGCTTGTTCGCAGTTGCTGACTTGCGACATAGGTTGATTCTGACTCGCGGCCGTCAGCGATAGGACCACCCTTCACTGGTCATTTTAGAGTAATCGGAGACACGCCTCGTGGACTGCAAACTTTTCAGCCATCACCCGAAGTTAAGAGGGAGCCTGGCAGACCGTTCGAACCCACTGAGAATGCTATTTCAAAAGCTTACAAGGGTGCCACAGATCAGGAGAGGGTTGATTTCAATCTTGAGATTGGCCGGAATATCTACGACCACAAGGGAAGAGATCTCACAGCCGCCTTGAAAGAGAAACCTCAGACAAATGGTGAAAATGGTATCATCAATGGAATAACCGAGGGGGACTCGACGAGCAAAGCTTTGGAGGAGATTACGAAGGAGAACGAGAAGAGAACCGTGTATTGCAGATCTTGTGCTATCGAATGCACTAAAGGGTACTTTCATTACGCAAAAGCCATACCTAAAGAGGCAAAATTGGAGTCACTTGATGTTTGCGCTCCTTGTCTCTGGGATCAGAGAATCTCGGATCGCACTAACCAAAGCGATTTCGTCTGGATGGAAGATAAGAACGAACGTATACCCGAAAAAGACGCGCCATGGACAGATGCCGAATTGCTCCTGCTACTGGAGGCCTTGGAACGTTTCGATGAAAATTGGAATCAAATTGCGGATTATGTTGGCACAAGAACACGTGAAGAATGCGTTCTTAAGTTCTTGCAGTTGGAGATCGAAGATAAATACCTGGAGCCGGAGACTAATGGCCCCAGCTATGGCGCTCTGGACCAAGGGCGCGTGCCGTTCTCACAATCCGACAATCCTGTACTCTCAGTCCTTGGCTACCTGGCTAGCCTTAGTGAACCATCTGTCGCAGCTGCAGCGGCAGGACGATCCATAGACGAAGTGACTAAGTTCCGTCGGAAACGATTGGAGAATGGTCAAGGTGGTGACCCTCAAGACAAAGTCTCTAGAGCTGAAGATTCCATGGAGGTTGATGGTGGTGCGAGCCCTGCCGTCAATCGACTAACCGAGAGCGATCGACCTTCTCCCCGTGACATGATGCGCGACGTTGCCAATACTACTTTCGCGACGGCTGCAGCTCGCGCCGCAGCTCTGGCTTCAAATGAGGAGCGGGAATTGACACGGCTTGTGTCTGCCACCGTCAATGTTCAATTTGAGAAGTTGGAATTGAAATTAAAACAGTTTTCGGAGATGGAGAAGGCATTGCAGGCTGAGAGGAGAGAGCTTGAAAGGGGCAGGCAGCAACTGTTCCTTGACAGACTCATTTTCAGAAAGCGAGTGTTGGAGACTCAAGAAGCGCTGAAGAACACGAGCCCGAACGGAGGTGACGACGGGGCTGCGACAAAGGGAGATATTGGCTTAGCGAACGAAAGCGGCGACAAGTTGGGTTTTGTAAGGGAGGGGGCGCAGAGTGGAGGACTTGAGCCCCCTGCGGCTGGTGCAAACTATGAGATCTAGAGGCTGGCTTTTGATAATTGTACGACATTCATAATCATGTGTCATTGAGGACTAGAGCTTGGTCAGCAGGATAAGCAAATTTCTTGCCTTTCGTGAGATTTAAAGGATTTGTTATCGAAACTTCCCATGCCTTAGACTCGCTTCGATATGAGCCTTAGGGACTATACTAGCTTCTGCTGCCTACCTATTCAGCACTACCGCTGATCCATATCCTTTTGATCACAGTCCATTATTGGCGATATTGGCATCAAGGCTCAAAGGCACAAGCAACCATTTGCTAAAGCCGTGACTCACCCTCATTGCTAGGCTCAGAGGACTGGCTAGGCCGAATGGCACTTATTGGAGTTCTGACTGCAAACTGTGGGATGGCGTTCGGTTGCCACTTGCCTTTCCAGTCACTCAAAACCCATACCTTCGCTAACAAAGAGGCCCTGTACAGAATCGTTATCCTCTAGCGGAATCGAAAACACCTCTGTCCCGTTCCCTCGCCTTGGATGTTTAAACATCTCACATTGGAGAATCTTCCGGCATTGGCGTCTCAAAAGCCTCCCACTCAGACGCATAATCCACTTGGTCTATCCAGTCAATCAAGTCATTTCTTGTCTTCTGAGGCGGCAGGGTCTTCTTGCGTAGGAGTTTTCCTTCATTCATTCTGGAGGGATCTTTTGTGATCCCAAGTAATGCCTGTAGTCGTGTTTCCTCTGCCGCACTAGCACCCTGGTCAAGCTTCTCCATGTAATCGTCCTGGCGAGCTTCTTGCAGCTCTGCACTTACTTGCAGATCATGTCGGGTTTCGCAGAGCTGTTCCGTTTCGCCGCCGTCCGGAGACTGCTCAAGAATTCCATCTTTGTCACTGTTGCTATAGACATCGAACTCGGTTCCCTCCGAATGATGTTCATCAGACAAGGTCTCGTAGGCAGTGTCAACTTTTCTCTCGGCTGAAAAAGCTGTACCACTCGAGCAACTGTTTTTTTTGACCGATATCGCCCTCTCCGGTTATCGTAAGTCAATAGATGTTCCTCGACTTCCTCATAATTGTACTGCTTGCCTGACACTTTACGGTTACGTACGTCCTCGTAAACCACCAAATTGCATTTACGAGCTACCTTTGTCCAAAAATTATGCGTGTCTGCTGCGATTCCTAGAGTATGGAGAGCTGCTTGAACATCGCTACGCTTTATATCTCGATTGGGCATGTAGCCTTCCATGGTTTCTGCACGTATCCGGGAAGCTGCAAGGTGGAGAGTAGAACATACGATACGCTTTGTGAAGCTATAGGTCATGGTATGCAAATCCGAGAAAGCTGTATGCATGATTGAGGGAGACCTGCGCCTCTCTGCATAAGTGCGCCAATTATACTGTAGATCGCTGGAGTTCATGAAGAAGACTTTAGACAGACCTAGAAACGCTTGGAGGTCAAGCAAAATCGCTGCAGGAACCTCTGCATTGAGTTGCTCCAACCCGACCTCACCAGCATTGAGGCACCGTTTGGCCCATCTTGCAGCTGTTGATGTCAGCAGCCAGTGTTTCGGATACTTTCCCCTCTCGACTCTTGCTTCCTCTTGATGCTGAAGGATTGCTAAAGAGTCAGCTTCTTCTTCAAGTGCACCTTCGATTTCCTGACTGATCTCTATCGCCGCGTCGATTGTAGAGACATCGAACATTCTCTTCCTCTTTGTGGCACGCATTTCATGAGCAGCCGCAGCACGACGAAGTAGAGTCAACAAGAGACAGATCTCTGATTCACTCTTTGTCACTACAGCTGTAGCGATCGTTGCAGAATTATGAGTTCCATATCTGGACAGGGCACCAAAGAAACACTGTTTCTCGTCCGCCGTCCAGTGACTTTTACCACTTTGAGGCCGCTTTGTGAGTGGCGTGCCTTCGGCTCGAGGCTGTGACGAGAACAACTCGACTGTCTCATTGAAGAGCAAGCGATACTGACCGTTATATGACGGCTTTAAGCGTTTTACCCGAGAATATGAACGAATATGGCGATCATCGGGCGCTCGTCGCTTGTGGGAGCGAGCGCTCTGTACAGGTGAAGAATCATCTGAATCATCCCTGCTAGAGGGTGATACTTCGCTTATTGAACTACGTGAGGACGATGCGTCGGATAGAGTTCCTTCGGGTGTGCCACTATCGAAGGTCATGGTATTGTGCTGCGGTGCTCTTTGGAGCCACATATACTGAGTACCTTTTATTTACACTAGTAGTGTTGTAATGATACCATCCACGGGTCAGGATGGGAAAATGGAGACTGTTGCTCTTGCAAGAAGCAGCACGAGGGATCGCAAATGGTTTCAGACAAAGCCACATCAAGCGACCCAGTCCTAGAGGCATGGACGTAAGCTAAATGTTTTCGTAGTCAACACGATTGCTGAAAATGTATTAAAACTTGACCGTTTCCTGATAATCTCTTCCTTTACGTAACTCACTTCCCGTCCTCAAAAGCTGGCTGTGCCAGATGATAAGGAGGTCTTTGAGGTGCGTAGCTTTTCAGACATCTTCAAAATGGCCTCGCAAGCTCGCTCTTCATCGATGCGCCAATGTGGCGACTACGACTCCGCGAGAAATCGATACTACGGCGTCCGTTGGTATTAAATTACGGGAATACCAAGAAGATTGTATTGAGTCAGTACTCGCGCACATTCGTGATGGGCACAAAAGGCTGGGAGTCTCGCTCGCAACGGGTAGTGGGAAAACCGTGAGCTTGATCCCAGGAACGCCCAAGACCTAGCTAAATTTTCAAGGTCATATTTACTCAGCTAATCGACCGGATTAAAGCAAGAGATGATGAAGCAAAACAAACTCTAATCCTAGTACATCGTCGCGAGCTTGTTGAACAAGCCGCTCGTCACTGTGCTACTGCATATCCATGGAAGACTATCGAGGTTGAGATGGGCAAATCCCACGGTTCAGGAGTGGCTGATATTACAATTGCTTCAGTCCAGACTATGATCTCGAAGAACAGAATGTTGAAGTACAATCATCGCGACTTTAAACTAGTGCTTGTGGATGAGGCGCATCATATCGTCTCAGCTAGCTATATGGACGTCCTGAAGCATTTTCATTTATCAAAAGATAATCTTAGCGATACGTCTCCGTCCCTTGTTGGTGTCTCTGCTACAATGTCGCGCTTTGATGGGCTCAGACTCAGTGATGCAATCGACCACATTGTCTACCACAAAGACTATGTTGACATGATAGAGGATAAGTGGCTCTCAGATGTCATTTTTACTACCGTACAGTCCAAGGTAGATCTCTCAGGAGTCAAAAATGCCCCATCTGGAGACTTCCAAGTCGGTGATCTCGCCAAAGCTGTGAACACCCCCGAGGCCAATGAGACCACGGTAAGAGCGTGGAAAGCTCGTGCCTTTGGCCGGAAATCTACTCTTGGCTTCTGTGTGGATCTGGCCCATGTCGCAGATTTAACGTCGACTTTCCGCTGTCATGGTTATGATGCTAGGTTCGTGACTGGTGACACCCCAAAGTCAGTTCGTAGTCAGCGACTGGACGCGTTCAAAAGCGGGGAGTTCCCAGTCTTGCTCAATTGTGGGGTGTTCACGGAGGGGACTGATATTCCAAACATTGATTGCATCTTGCTGGCACGGCCAACTAAGTCACGTAATTTACTGATTCAAATGATCGGCCGTGGTATGCGGTTACATCCGGAGAAACAAAATTGCCATATAGTCGATATGGTCGCTTCGTTAGAGGCAGGAATAGTGACAACCCCCACCTTATTTGGGTTGGACCCTCATGCGCTCGTGGAAGCAGCGACTGTCGAGCAAATGAAAACAGCTCAAGAGCGGAAGACTGCAGAGCAAGTACGGGAGCTACGCATTGACGACAGAACCCCCTTGGAGCCTGACAGGATGACAAGGAGGACTCTGACCTTCACTGACTACGATTGCGTATATGACCTGATTTCAGACACGTCAGGAGACTATCATATCCGTGGCATCAGTCAGTTAGCTTGGGTCATGGTAGGGCCTACGCGTTATATACTCAGCGCACAGGATGGATCGTACGTTACCCTTGAAAGAAAGACGGAGCAGGAGGACCTAAATTTCGGTGTCATTTATACGCAGAGAATGCCGGAACATTACAAGGAGATACACAACACCAAGTCACCCTTCTTGAGACCACGTGAGATTGCTAAGTCTGTGAGCTTTTCCGACGCAGTACATGCTGCAGACACATTCGCTTCTCAGAAGTTTGCGTGGAAATTCATAGGAAGAAACCAACCTTGGCGGAGACTGCCCGCCACCGACAGCCAACTTGCCTTTCTGAACAAATTACGCCCTCAGCACGATCCTCTCACTGCAGAATCTTTGACGAAGGGCAAAGCGACCGACATGATCTCGAAAATGAAGTTTGGGGCGAAGGGTTGGTATGGCGAGATGAAAGCAAAGGAAAAAAGGAAGTTAGAGAAAGCACGCCATGTAGATAACCTGAGGGAACGTGAGCAAGTCAGAGTAGGCCCAATAGCGAAATAGAGACCATCCTCAAATGGCTTGCGACCTCTCGGCTTGCGAAGTTGCGATGGACCTGCGCTGCTAAGGAGACTCTGCATTGCTATCTGCATTCCAATCAAACAAAAGCAGAATCTGCTGTGGACTGCTTTCCGACGCTGGTCTTGAAACAATAATATTTGCCCGTGCTCGCACCTCTCGTATGCCTCTACTCCCCTAGTGCATTATGCCAGTATGCACGGACGGTAGCTGTCAGTGGGTCTAAGCTTTACCTTATCGTGCCCTGTAGCAGTGTAGCAATGGATGCTACCTTAAGATGTTGGCCTTGGCGCCCATTGCGGAAATTATCCTATCTCCTTTCGAGAATACAACCAAACGGTTGGCGTCTTCGTCTTTCTTCCGTCAACCATAGTCTCTGGTCGCCTCAGGTCACTTCGCCGCCTACAACCTGACCGCGTAGTGGGCATTTTCTTTAATGCGGGTCGAGGGAAGAGTCGATGCCCCCAAGGTCGACGGGGCCTTCAAAGGATGGTGCACGACGAGGAAGTGCCTGGCAAGTCCCCAATGCGGACGACGGGGGGTCTGCATCGGAGCAGAAGGTGACCAGAAAGTCAGACAATTTGGACAGGCGAAAATTCAAGAGAGCATATGATTTCACACCCTCTCCACCCAATGGATCGCGTTCTCCTACATCACGCGCCCAGGATACAACCCAGAACCCTCTTTTGCTCCCTGAACAGCATGGTAATAACAAGATGGGCCACAACTGGAATTGGAGACGATGGCGGCCTCGAAGTCCGTGGTCGATCTCGCCGTCTATCCTTTTGACGACCGCTCTTGCGATCATCCTACTCCTGACAATCGTTCATGCATTCATTACGCGGCAATTGGACCCTAAAGGATGCGACATGTGCTGGTCACGGCCGATGTACATAAAGTTCAATGATTTTGATACCGAGCATACACGTTTTGCAAGCAAATACTCTTTGTATATGATCAAAGAAGGGATAATTGACGAAGACTCAAAGGTAGGATATCTCACGCATAGGTGACGAAACCGAGCTCAATGCATTGCAGGTCAAGGGTGCTCCAATACTATTCATACCAGGTAATGCTGGAAGCTACAAGCAGGCTCGATGTCTGGAATTTGCGGCTGCCGATTATTACAATACTGTGGTACAGAAAGACCCTGAGATGTTGAGGAAAGGTGCCGCAAGCCTTGACTTCTTCACCGTAGACTTTAACGAGGACTTTTCCGCTTTCCATGGCCAGACTCTCCTTGATCAGGCAGAATTCGTCAATGATGCAGTTGCATACATTCTATCCTTATATCACGATCCTCGGCGAGCACAACGAGACAATAGTCTGCCAGATCCCAACTCAGTCATATTGATAGGGCATTCAATGGGGGGCATCGTCGCCAGGACGATGCTCATCATGCCAAATTACCAGTCGAACTCAATCAACACCATTATCACCATGTCAGCACCTCACGCACGGGCGCCTGTCTCCGTGGATAAAGGGCTTGTCCACGTTTACGACAGAATTAACGAATACTGGCGGAATGCGTACCTCCAAACGTGGGCTAATGACAACCCTTTGTGGCATCTTACCCTTCTTTCCATTGCGGGCGGTGGCCTGGATACTGTTGTACCTTCTGATTACTCCAGCCTCGAATCTTTGGTACCGACTACTCATGGTTTTACAGTCTTCACCTCAGGCATTCCTAATGTTTGGACTGGTGCAGATCATATCCAAACTACATGGTGCGCCCAATTGACGGGTGTTATCATGAAATCGGTGTATGAAACTGTCGACGTACGCCGTCCTGGACAGACGAAACCGCGGTCCGAGAGGATGCGAATTTTCCGACGTCATTACCTGACTGGAATGGAACATGTTGTGGAAAGTTCTCTCCCTCAGCAAGACGCATCGACATGGATACCCATGAATGACGACTCGAATACTATACTGGAAGAAGGGAGAAGACTACTGCTCCGGACTCTAGCCCATGACGAGAAGCTGAAAACTTATCTAATCCCAGTTCCATCTTCACATTCGCCCAATACCAGTCAATTGACGCTTCTCTCAAATCAACCGCTACAGGACGAGAATACTTTGCTCGAGGTGCTCGTTTGCAGTGTGTCAGCAGCTCAAGAAAGACCGTCTTTAAGCTTGCTTTCTACGAGTGTGGAGCTCCCTGCACAAAGCCCCGGATCCAGGCGCCTCTCTTGTAGAAGTGCACATAGCGACATTGTTAAATTGCCTGCATCGACTCCATTTTCCGACCACGCGTTCGATAAAACAGAGCCGTTCTCATATTTACAATTCGAAACCTCTGACTTAGCAGAACATGAGTTCGTTGTTGTCGTTGACAAAGCTATCGGACCTCAGAAGGGATGGCTCTTGGCCGAGTTCAGTCATCACCACCAGTCGGTCATTGCTGCTAGTGTAGGACTTCGACGCCTACTAGGCTTCGGATTGCATCTGAAGCTTCCAGCTGTCAGGCCGATGGTCACTCTAATCAAGGTGCCGGCGCTATATTCTAGTCTTTTGGGCTTCAAGCTGCACCTTGGACCTCAGACATGCGGCGATGAGGCTGAGCTTTTTACACCTTTGCTCCGACAATACGTCGAAAACCCCTACGAATCGAAATACTTTGTCAATCTTAAGAGCGCTAATGTCAGCCTTCACGGCAGTGCACCATTCATGCCACCTCCCCTACGTCCTCAAGGAGCAGTGAAGGGCATTAATCTGCAGATCTGGTCAGACCCAACGTGCAATTCTTCCATTGATGTTTCATTGAAGCTTGATGTCGCGGGAAGTATGGGCAAGCTCGTAATGCGATATCGGCTTGTCTTTGCTGCGTTCCCTCTCCTTGTGGTCGCATTGGTCTTACAAAAGCAATTTAGCACGCACGATGAGACCGGTAAGCGATGAAATCTCTCTCCGTGGTGTTTTAGACTGATCGCTATTAGGCGTCTTTATGACCTTCCCAGAAGCTCTTGATCAGTGTCTGACAAGGTCTCTTCCGTTGCTGGCTGTATTACTAAGTCTCCTTGCGGTCATATTCTCTGCATCGAATACAGCACTCTCGAAAGGACAACAGAACAGTGCTTTTAGCCAGCAATCTAACTCGACTGTGGCGCCATCTCGCTTTGCGAAAAACGATCTCTTGCTTGGGTCTCAGGATCCTTTCTTCTGGTTTCTTGTGCCCTTGTTCGCTATCATCAGTGTCGGCATCTGCGTGCTTGTTAATTACGCGGCGCTTGGGGTGACACACTTATTCTATCTACTGTATGACCTTCTGGCAGCTCGACCTTCTTGGATGAAGATGGAGGACATCAGGTATTGCTCAAAGTCCGAATATTCCCGTTGTGCTTGCACGCTAACCGCATTAGTGGTCGTTCACTCGGCCCAGCATTCACCATCAAATCTCCTCGACGTCGTCTCGTTACGATCTGCATACTACTTTTCCTCGTCTCCACGTTCATCCCCTACCAATTCGCATTCATAGACGCCGTTTTCTTCCAGATATTGACATGCATCAGAGCTTTGCGCATTGTCAAGTCATCCGTGGGTGTCCTTCCTCACCCTTAAATATGGAGGCTAATGAACGAACCGTTAGAATCTCCCCGTCCATCACAACTTTTACAATTATGTCCACTCCATCCTCATCCTCATGCTTTGGATTCTTCCCATCAATCTCCCAGTCTTCGTTGTTTGGGTTCACAACCTCCGCATACACTGGCTCACTCCTTTCTCGTCTCATCACAACATCATCGCGATTATGCCGTACCTAGTGCTTGTGGAAACGCTCACCTCGGGAAGAATGATCCCTCGACTTAAGGGAAGCTTGGGGCGATATATCACAAGCGCGGCGTTCTTTGGACTGGCCGTTTATGCTGCAGTGTACGGGGTCAGCTACGCGTATTTGCTGCATCAATGTGTCAGTGGGGTTTGCGCCTGGTTGGCAGCAATACACGTTTTTGCAGGGGGCGGAGTGGATCTGAAGAATATGAAGGAGATTTTGGACGGAGCTGGTGGGGAGAGGGACGACGATGTGAAGAAGCAGCCCTAGTCGACCCGACGGCGCCGAGTGATAAACAGAGTAAGGTTGAGCCGTTGGAAATAAAGCTATAAATATTAACCTGGATGCCGCGCGCAAGATTCGTTTGGAGCTGGTCTCGTACATGATGACAACGATTCCTGTACACGGTAGCTCTACCAGATAATGAAAAATGTTTAATCTTGTCTCTTTGATGTATTGCGAGTGAAAGTGACTGCTAAGTATGGAAGGGCAGGTGGTCGATTCCCTCACACTTTGTGATATTACATAGTCTAATTAGAAAGTTCGTGAGCTATATCGTGCCTGCGTAAAGCCTCAGACCAGAAACCATATGGCATGCTAAACCAGACCTTGTCGCTCCCTCTCCTCATGCCAATTCGTAATGCAATGCAACCTATCTAGTAAGACACGGCGAAGGAATCCCCAAAATGGTAAGACATTTATCGAGATGCGCTCTTTCGTATGATAATGCGTATCCCTCCCACTTGACACCAAACGCCGCACAGCAGAGAATGATTCTTCAGGACTCCCCATGTCGGCTCGAACTCCTCAAATTCCTGAACCATCCAGTCACACCACCACTACCGCTTCCACTCTGCCCAGACGACGAATGCCTCCTGTCTCCCTCACCATGACCCCTTGAGCTCACAGACCCATGCCTCGATCGACGCCTCGAAGATCCCGGATGTAATTGATCAGGTCTAGGCGGCGGCTGTGGAGGCTGCACAAAGGACTGCGGTTCAGGATATGCAGGGTACCCACCGGGCATGTAAGGCTGATTCAATCCCGGCTGCAGGAACGGAATTCTAGGCATGGGAGGCGGCGGCGGCGGCGGCGCGACAGGTCTATCGAATGGATTCTGATTATGTCTTGGTGGCTGCCCTGGGGACCGAGGTGTGCTTCCTTCGCCCTCATCAGGCATGATGCCCTTCCTGCAATGCGGGCAGGTATCGTGTTCCTTTAGCCATATAGTGACGCACATTTCATGAAACCAGTGGTTACAAGGCAGCATAGTGACCTCCTCATCAAGCTCGACATTGTCCATGCAGACGGAGCATTCGGCTTTGCCGTCAGAGCCGAGCATTGATTTGTCAATCTTCTTCTTGGGAAGGGAGGAGATGGCGGATTCGGAGGCTGGACCAGGGGCCGAGGATTGGTTGTTCTGTTCCATCATCTGACTCATTATGCGGTCGAAGGCTTCCTGTGTAAGTACCGCATCGCCGTGGACGGCGTTGGCAGGGTTGAAGATACTGGAGAGGATTTCGGGGAAGCCGAAGCCCGGACCTCCCGGACCACCGCGCATGTTTGGTGGCCCGCCATTGTTGTTCATGTGCGGTTGCATTGAGGCAAGCATTGTTTGGAGCATTGCATGGATGCCCGTCATTGGATCTGCGGCGTTGTTTCCAGGCATGTTCGCGTTGTGTGGGGAAACGCCTGCTGCTCTGGATTCAAAGGAGCACGTGGCCATGAACCATGGAAGTGGTGGTGGTGATGGGGAGAATGAGGGGGTTGCATGGCATTCCGACTTGCGAGAGGTGGAGATTGTGAAAGGATGATTCCACCGCGCATCTGTGGTTGATTCGATTGTCGGTTGGGGTTCTGTGCGCCTTGCATGAGTCCTCCAAATGCTTGGAAGAGAGTGCCTACAACATCATCGTTTGGCTGTCTCTGGCCGCCTCTGATTCCACCGGTCCGGATGAACGTCCGCTGGAAGTGAATGCCAGGGGCTGGGCTGAACTCGACGTGATCTATGTCCTCGTGGTCTGGATCAGGGGGCTCATTCCGTGCCCAAGGCCTTGACCGTTCCTCAGCATTGGGAGCTTGCGGGCTTGATGGGAGTGATTCAGGTACTTCTAGACGGTCGCGCCGAGGGTCGTCGTCTGGGCTGATCTGCGGTCGATGTGCGTCAGTTGGTCTCTCACTACCAAACGAAATTTCACGGCTTACGATCTCGACAATATCGCAGTGACACCCAGGACATTCCAGTCCGTGCTCATCACGCCACCATTCGTTGTCACAACCGTGGCAGAGTACGAGCTCTCGGTCAGCTGTTTGTCCACCCTGCGCGGTGGACATGTTGTTTTGTGGGATGTAAAATACTATCTGCGGACAATGTAGAAAATGGACAAAGGGGGGAGATGTGAGTTGTTGATAAGTTGTGTTCTAAATGGAGTGCATCGGTTGGTGTGGAATTATCGTCAACGCCGAGATAAAGGCCCAGAGCGTCGCATAGGGTATTAAGAATGAGGTGAGATGAAGCGATCGAGGATAGGAAGCAGGTAGTAATGAAGTGGTAGCAGCTTCACATGTGCGAGAACGGAATAAATGCCTTGTGTCTTTGTCTGGTCTATGCCTTAAAATGGCCCAATGACGCTGTTGGCGGTGCAAGGGCTTGAAGGGGCGCTAAAGATGGGAGGCAGGACCCTTGTCTTAAATTGTTTAGGGGCCTTGGGGCCGATCAGTCTGCAGTCTAGGGGTGGCAGGCTGGCTCGCTGGCAGCTCTATCGTTGACCGTATTTGGAAGAGCGAGTATTGCAAGCAAGATGCTGTCATGCTGAGAGGAGAGGAGGAATGATAGATACAAGCCGGCTTTGCTTATTCTCTGAAGTCAATGCGCCGGCCTTCTCCCGCCTTCGGCCACCTTCTATTGCCTCGCGAACCGTTCTTGGATTGTTACTATGACTGCTAACCCGCTTGTGGGCGACTTCATGATCTCTATCGAGGAATTTTGGAAGCTGTTCACATTCTTGCAGTGCACGCATTCCAATACTTGTTCTTCATCATCTTCGTTTCGTGCCCTTAAAAATCATGCCTCCTATCACGCCCGCCGCAACCGCCAGGCCACCGACTATGGCGACGCCCATCATGCCCTCTTTCGCGACTTTGTCATCTATCAAGCTTCGCAGACTTGCTGCCTGCATATTCGAAGGCTCATGCGTCAACAGGATGTCATTGTATCTCCGAGCTTCTGCATAGTTGCCCAGCTTGTAGTTTCCCAACGCGAGATAGTAAAGACATTCTCTCCTCCGTTCTGGTGCGCTTCTTGTGATTTCGGAGAGCAACCGCACTCCTTCCTGTTGCTCGTTGCGGGAGGAGGACTTAATCAAGCCCTGGAGTATATCAGTGTTGCTGAAATCACTTGCTGAAGTGGGAGGCCTACCCAAGCGTAGTTAAACTTGGTCTGGATGCCAACATAAGGTCCTTCCTTTTCGTACTGCGCCCGTAGGACTTGTAGCTCTTCAGGATTAAGAGGACTGTACGCCGAGAGTCAGTCGCATGCTCGGCATCAAGATCCATCACAAACCTATCCGCGTCTGCAGCATCTGGCCATCACATGGACGTATTAGCGATTTCAAAAAGATTGAGAATTCGTGTTCGATCGATCTTTTACTCCCACGAATTTCATGACTTACACGGTAGCTCAATAGGCATGCTTTACGGGTTTTCTTACAGGATGCTCTGGTGGTTTAGCTAGATAAAGTGAATGACAAGCACTCGGAGAAAGCGGGAGCCTTGAATATGACGCTTGTGTGGCGATAAAGTTGTGGCGTTAAGGCCGGTACAAACTCTAATTGCCGCTCGTTGTTTACTTTTCGTTTTGCTTACACTGTATGTATCGCACGAACATCACGAGCCGAAAGCTGCTACAAGACCCTACAAATTCGCATTCAAAGACAAATACTTGCATTATATTACACTGATCCGGGCAGTGACCATCCATACAATTCCAGGTCAGGCACCATGCTGCTCGATGAAGATCCAGCGACGGTGGGCTTGAGTCCTTGCGCCAAATGGACCTACAGGGCTAATGCGATGTGTAGCTTATCAGCGTTACGCTCGAAAACTTCAAGAACGAGCCAGATAAGATTGCAATCAGTAGAATCAATGAATCATTGAACAGTCTACAACAAGCCCGCGACCTGCGGAGACGAGAAGCCGAGAGCGCATTGAAGAGTATGCACCGTACCTGGGCTTTTGGCTATTTAATCTTACCTTACTCCCAGAGCTATCACGAAGCCTCGCCTCAATGTCTCATCAATATCAAGACGTTGTTGTAGCCAACAGTAGCGTGGATCATGCATCAAGGATTGTCGAGCTCGATAATGAAAAATTTCGGGTCGCAAAAGCTACATCGGATCTAGAGAACGAGGGTGAAAGGTTAGAGCAAGAGCTGGAGAGCTTGAAGAACCGATTGCACGATTTGGATGTCCAGGGAGTAGAGGGAGACGACACTGTAAGAGCTCGGAGAGAAGTTGATGATCCTACCATGTAAGCAGGGCTTCTTTCCTTCTTTGCGCATTGGCGTGCTGATTGCAGAGTAAGACTCAAGTTGAAAGTGTATCGGACGCTTGGTATCGACGTGGAGCCCGACAGCGCAGGCAACTACAACAAGGCCGTGATCAGAAACAGTTCGAAAGGAGATGTTAATGTGGTCAACATTGATCCAAAGCTCTCGAGTTTCTACTATTCCAATTATTTTTGGCAGAAGATGCAGTAGCATAGGCGATGGAGTTGATAGCGGGCGTTTGTAGGGTATGAAGCGACAGGACTGTGTACGCTGGATGTGATCTGAGGAGTTGAAAAGTAAAGCGGGGTGGCCCATGGTTTCTTTGTGGAGGCGCTCGGTCGGAGCTGACAATAGCACCAATCAAGAACCCCAGGGCATCCACTAATTTCAGTCGATCGCAGCCATGAGGAACACCGTTGCAACGTGAACCCGTAGATTATTGTCGAAGAGTGTCGAGTTGTACTGTGCTCGTAGGATGAGTCCGGCTCTGTCCTGATAATTAAGGAGGTCTTTCTCTACGGTGACTAACCCCTGCCGGCGGATCTAGCCGCGGGGCCCTGGCTTCTCCCTTAGGCGGCCTCGAGCTCCGACAATTGAAAGTTCCTCCAATACATCACAATGCCTCGACATAGACCTCCTACCTCCGGATACGCCCGCTTGAGTCAAGCAGACGAAGAGTCAGCTTTTCTCGATGAATCTGACGAAGATGGAAACCCTCACCGTCCCCCGCGTACCATCTCCACCGTTTCCGCTCCACAGTACGCTCCTATACTACCACCGGCCCCTAGATCTATGCAAGCCGACCTGGTAGAGCCCTTTCCTAGTCATCAGAGAAGACCCAGTGGTGGGAAAAGGCGGCCTCGAAGAAGACGGAGCTCATCCGGAGTTGACATAAAGGCCATTAATGCACGGTTTGAGCGATGGGCAGAAGAAATAGCATCAAAATTCAAAATCAACAGAGTGAAGGGCAAGACCCAAGAGGAGGAGCAGCTCGAGATTAAGCATTCAGTCTTTCAGGCCCCAGAGGGTCTACGACCAGCCAGCGCAGAAACTCTGGTGTCGGAGCATACAGACAACCAAGGAGATCGGATGACAAAGTTGGAATTCGATGACATCGTGGAAAGCGTCAAAGTTGCAATTGAACTCGGCGTCCACCCAAAAAGAATATCACAGGGGAGCTCAGGCAGTTACTTCGCGCGCAACAGCTCCAACAAAGTCGTAGGTGTTTTCAAGCCCAAGGATGAGGAACCCTACGCATCCCGTAACCCTAAGTGGACGAAGTGGATCCACCGAAATCTTTTTCCTTGTTTCTTCGGACGAGCGTGTTTGATACCCAATCTTTCTTACGTTTCGGAAGCGGCGGCGTATGTATTGGACAGCAGACTGCGGACAAATTTAGTACCGTACACGGACATTGTATATCTTTCATCTAAAAGTTTTCATCATGACTTCTGGGAAAAGTCGGCATACTATAGAGGGAGTAAGCCCTTGCCATCAAAAGTCGGGAGTTTCCAGGTTTTTCTTAAGGGTTACAAAGACGCGAACTTGTTCCTTCGAGATCATCCGTGGCCAGACCAGACGAACGCAGGGTTCTCACCTGAAGACGCACCGCGATGGAGGAAAAGACCATGGACAGAGACCTGTCGTCCAAGCAGTGCCAATTCAGAACGGGAGCAGACACTCCGGAGTGAAGCGCGACCTCCAAGTCGAGGTGGATCTGACGCAGGTGGAGGATTTGGGTGGACGAGTAGTGCTATGCAGTCTTTCCGAGAAGAGTTGGAGAAGCTTGTCATTCTTGATTACATAATGAGGAATACTGACCGTGGACTCGACAATTGGATGATACATGTAGATGATGACTCTCAGAAAGTCTCCATTCTCTCTCAGCCACCCAAGATGAACGGCAATATTGATGACCCCCCCACACCTACGCTTGTCATGGATCAAGGGCGTCTTAGACAGCCGAGCACTTCGCCGTATAGGCGTCCGGAAACCATGACCGCTGATGGCAGATCAAGGAGCGGATCCAATTCGGGCCATGTCTCTGTAAAGCTGGGAGCTATCGACAATAGTCTGTCGTGGCCGTGGAAACATCCTGATGCCGTGAGTCTGGTTTCTCCCTAATGCATACACTGTCTGACTGTAACCAGTGGCGGAGCTTTCCTTTCGGCTGGCTGTTCTTGCCGGTTTCACTAATCGGCCAGCCGTTTTCGCAGAAGACACGAGATCATTTTCTGCCTTTGCTGACTTCGACGCACTGGTGGAGCGAAACGCAATTGGCCTTGCGACGGATCTTCAGCCAAGATGCAGACTTCAAAGAGAGGATGTTTGCTCGACAAATTGCCGTCATGAAGGGTCAAGCTTGGAATGTTGTTGAAACGCTGAAAACCATAGATCATGGCCCTCTCGAACTTACTCGCCGAACACGGGTCTGCGTCTGGGATGATTTGGTTGACATCCCTGTTGCGATTCCAATGAGAGGCCCATCTGAAGAGTTGCGGCAACGGCGAGAGAAGGATATGGCATGGGGCATTGAGCATGAGGAGATGGATATCAGTGCTGTCAATGCTTCATCATCGCAATTGCAGCAGCAAGATCTCCTCGTATCAACCAGTCCGGACCTGCCGAACCCCAATCGCTTTGATCTATCGCGAAACAACAGCACTACGGACCTAGGTCAGCTCAATGGATCGACATCTCCCGTGACCATAGACGGCTCTACAATAGAACGTCGCATTGATGCCGAGGAACAAAAGCTTTTGAACAGCAATCAATCGAGACCCAAGACGCTACGATCGAAAACGCGGCCCAGCTACGAACAGAGAGCCGACTATCGGAGGCGCCGGTTTTCTTCGTCTAACCGGCAAGGCCACATCTTTCTGAGCGACGTGGATGATCTTGAGGGTGATTTAGGTTATGCAGCAGCAGAGGGTATGGAAGGGAGTCAGCGGAAGGTGATTGTAGAAAGGCTCGAGACGGTAAAGAGCAAAAATCCTGTCTTCACATGGTGTTAGTGTACATTGCACGGATGGGAATGCACGCATGGTAGATAGAATCATCGTTCTATGTCATGTTGTCGCTTTAGGAATCATGTCATCTGCACTACAAATAATACCCAGCTAACCCACATGCATGTTGGGGAAAGGGGGAGGCTCAAGGACAGGCTTGGCATTCCTCGCCTCTACCTTATGCAAGTGGCAGCGGCATCGGGCCGTTCAGCTAGCAGGTACCTTACCGTAATTTAATTTAAGGTCAGGCAAAGTAGACTGGAAGTGATCAAACGACTTCGACAACGGAATGACCCATCGCCCCCGTCGCATTTCAAAATGAACCTTTGGAATACTCTCACTCTTGAACACTTGGCGTCTTAGTAATACTATTGAAAATGAGCCAACACTTCCGATCAAACCTTCCTTTATCTTCGTCTATAATTTCATTTCCGTGGAATTCTATTTCTTACATACGCCACCATGCCTTCATGAAGAGCTTCTTACACACTACATGAGCTCTTATTTGCTTGAATCATGGCACCTTCAAATGGGGTAGAGTTTGACTCTCACTCAGCGGCTTCGCTTTTAGATCCGAAAAGAATGAAAGCTCAGCTCAATAACGGTAATTCCGCATCTTCTTTTGAAAGCCCCAGATCGCCTTCCACTGGAGAGTCGACTTCTGCTCCAAGCGCCGATCATTACGACTCTCCTTACGCGTCAAGCCTTGCTGTTGAAGACTATGCTCACGTTCTCTCGCAAGGGTATCACAAAAGTTCTGAGAAGGATGTAAAGCAAAAGCCAACAAGCGTCAGCACCGCTAGGCAGCTTTTAGATCCTAAAGAGTTCGGAAAGAGTAACCGTCTCAAGAGGTATTCTCCAAGCCCTGTTCCTGGTGCCAGTCTGCGACCTGGCCTTGTCCAATCTCTACAAGAAGAGGGCAAAATTGACGGCCCTTCTCCGTCTGAACTTGAACATGGCGATAAGCCGCGAGATGGGCAAGGAAGCTATATTGAACGTCTTCATGGGATCTTAGAACGTGAAGAGCGACCTTCGAAGAAACAGAAACGTACCGGCGACGAGCCCGACAATCAAGACTCGGAGAAGAAAGGCAAAGCTACATTTTCGGGCGGAAAAGGTGGTGAGCTTGGAGAATATGTCAAAGAAAAGAAAAAGGAGGGTTTGAAAGACACCCCCGTAGATGCGATTGTGGATCTAACCGGCGGTAAGGTCGAGATCTCGGTCCTATCAGCTTGGCTAACGACACATAGCCGATGACGAGGAGGAGATTGTTGTTATGGCTGAGAACAGTGCTGAAACCAATAGCCGCGAAGTTTGCTACGGGCGCCTTGATAACACTAAGGTTAACGCTCATCAATTACCTTCCCCAAGTGGAAAGGCGGTCTATCTAAGCCCAACTCAATGGCCTAGCATGAAAGTCGCACTCAAACGTTTGCCTGGCAAAGACAACATCATCCGTGTTCTGGATCCTCAGCAAAAGGATTTTGGGACTGTCGATGCCCGAGCCTCCGTTGGCCTAGCCAGAATCATGGATAGTCAGGTTCCCAAGTTTAGGACACAGGCCCGACTGAATGCTAGGAAGCGAAACCATTATGAGCTTCAAGGTCAGGATTGTTCTGAGATGCTTGACATGGTGATAATTCTATATGGCCCGAAGAACAAAGCAGAGTCGATTGGTAAATGGCTCAGCCAGAAACAGATATATCTACGAACACCACACAACTGGGATCATGGTTTGGAACTCTGCAACCCGCACGCTCCTCCGGTACAAGCTCTGCCTCGCACCAGTAACAATGTTTCGCACGTTGGTGGATCGAACAGTGGCTTTGTTACCCGTACCGTCGAAGAGATCCGTAGTGACGTAACAGGGATGTTTGACTCGCTCCAGCAATCCGAAGACCTTGCGGAGGTAGACCCAGATCCGCGTATCACGACAGAGTTGATGAGCCACCAAAAGCAGGGTCTATACTTTCTACAGAACAAGGAAAAGGAGCGAACCTTCGGGGACAAAGACGAGGAGAACAATTCGCTCTGGCGTCTGAGGTATAAGCCAAATGGGACTAGAAGTTATTATCATGTAATTACTGGACATGAAGAACGTCAAAAGCCTCCTGAGGTCCGCGGGGGTATCCTTGCCGATATGATGGGATTAGGCAAAACACTGAGCATTCTTTCGCTGGTCGTGGGAAGCTTGGACAACGCCGAAGAGTGGGCGAAGCAAATTGTTTCCGAGACCGATGGCGAGAAGCCTTTGGTTCGTAACTCGAGGACTACTTTACTTGTCGCGCCGCTGAGCACTCTTGCGAATTGGGAGGACCAGATCAGGGTACACATAAAGAAGTCCGCCTTGACATACTACGTCTATCATGGTGGTAGCCGCATTTGTGACATTGACGAGCTTGCCAAGTACGACATGGTCGTCACGACTTATTCGATCGTTTCAAGCGACTTCACGGGCCGTGGCAACAAGAAGAAGGATGTGAACCCCCTCCTTCATACGAACTTCTTTCGCATTGTTCTAGACGAGGCCCACATGATCCGAGAGCAAGCAACTCGCCAGTCACAGGCAATCTGCGCCCTCTCCGCCCAACGCCGATGGGCGGTAACCGGTACCCCAGTTCAGAACCGCCTCGAGGATCTTGGTGCTCTCATCAAATTCCTACGTGTCCGGCCCTTCAGCGACAAAGGAGGATTTGCCCAACACATACTGGCTCCTTGCAAGAACTCAGATCCAGACATCATCCCGAAGCTTCGACTACTTGTCGATAGTTTCACACTTCGCCGGCTCAAGGACCGCATTGATTTACCAGAGCGCCATGATCATGTTGTACGGCTCAAATTCACCGAAGACGAACAGCGCCTTTACGATTGGTTTGCAAAAGACTCTCGCCAAAAACTCCAGGTCATCGCAAATGACAAGCTCAAGAGCCTTGGAGGCAGGACCTATGCTCATATTCTCAGAGCTATAATGCGCCTACGGTTGATCTGTGCTCATGGACGAGAGCTCTTGAGCGATGATGATCTCAAAATTACAGAAGGCTTTAGTAAGGACAACGCTATTGATCTAGACGATGAGAACCTCGGGCAGACAGCGGCTCTTACTCCAAGACAAGCTTACGAAATGTTGATGCTAGCGAAAGAAACTGGCACGGACACCTGCATATCATGCACCAGAACGGTGGAGCCTCGTGATGACGATAATGACGACGGAGTAATTGGATGCATGTTGCCCTGCTACCAGCTTCTTTGCAGAGATTGTATGGCAGGGGTGAAGGCTTCGCTGCTCCAAGAGTCTGCTAACAATCACTTTAAATGCCCCTTTTGCCAGGCAACCGTGCCTACATCCTTCTTTGAACTGACGAAAGATGGTATAGACGAGGCTGAAGACGCAAGGGCGATAGCACGACAAAACCCCAGGCAAGCCAAGGTGCTTGGCCGTTATGGAGGTCCACACACCAAAGTAACGGCATTGCTAGAAGAGTTACGCAAGTCAAGCAAGGAAAGCGAGAGTCTGGAGAGTGGAGCGCCGATCAAAAGCGTCGTTTTCTCCGGTTGGACGGTCAATCTCGACCTTATACAAATTGCTCTAGAAGACAATGGTATGACCTTCGTTCGATTGGATGGGAAGATGTCCCGCAAAAACCGAAACGCCTCTCTAGACGCCTTCCAGAACGATCCAAAAGTTCGAGTGATATTGATCTCTATCAATGCTGGCGGACTTGGTCTCAATCTTACTTCTGCGTCGAAAGTTTACGTTATGGAGCCGCAATTCAACCCAGCAGCGGAGGCTCAAGCCGTTGATCGTGTGCATCGTCTTGGTCAGAAGCGTGAGGTCTTCATCTCACATTACATCATGGAAGACAGCTTTGAAGAGAAGATGCTGGAACTTCAGCGGCGCAAACAAGCATTGGCTGACATGAGCATGAATCGTGGCAAGATGGACAAAGCTGAGGCGGCGAAAAGGAAGCTGGACGATCTCAGGAGTCTCTTTAAATGAGGACGAGCAACAGAGAAGCCTTTTGGGCAAATATGGCTAAAATAATGATTAGGGAGATGACTGAACGATTCCGTATTAGTGGACCGCTTTACAGCGAAGCAGAGGAATGAAACGATTTTCAGGCGGGGCGCGAGGGGACATTTGAGTCAACATGGCCAATGGCCACCATTTCTGGTTTGTCGACTGAAAAGGCGTTGAAGGAGGCATCACACATTCGGCAATCATAGACCAGAGATACCCCAAGACGAGAGCTAGCATAGCGAGGAGATAGCAAATTGAACGTGCATTTTTATTTATACAAATGCTCGTATTTCGTGGAAGGTCATTTCTCACCTACAATACCCAAGAAATATCACCAAACAACCCGTGCAGCTTTGAGCGAATACACGCCATCATATATCACATTTCCCTTCCGTCACCTCCCTACACCACAGATCAGCCCCTCCACTCTCCCCAATGCGCCCTTTCGCTCCCCCTCAAGTCCTTCCCTCTCCTTCAATCTCTGGTGCAAAAACCCTTCCAATTCCTCAATCCGCGTCTGTCTGCTCTTCGTACCCCCTTTCCACCCCCGGCAGCCCGTTCACAAGAGCTTCGATCTGGTGCGTTTTCAGGATCAAATCATGTGCAAGCTCCCGCTGAGCGGCGGCGAAAACCGCGGGAGGTTCAGGCTGCTGGTCGGGAGGATAGGCGTCAGAGGGTCCTAGTTCGGTTGGGTTGGGTGGAGACGATGCGGCGGGGGCAGCGGTGGTGGTGCCAAGGATGGGTTGGGAAGAGGTTTGGGTGGGTTGAGTGTTGCTGCTTTGAGTAGCGGGGAGGGGCGCCGGGGAGGTGGCTTGGCCGTTTGCGAGAGGTTGAGATTGATATGGGAGCAATTGGGAAGGATTTGGTGTTGTCGTTGTAGGAAGTGGAGAGGCCGAGTGGTGGGTTGAGATGTAGCGGAGGGAGGCGTAGAGCTGCGTGTTGAGCTGGGAGGGGTAAATTAGTTATTTAAAGATGACAAGAAGCATTGGATTGATGTACCTGATCGAGGCGCTCTTGCAGCTGTGTCAAATGGTCTGCCATGGTTGCTTTGTATACCTTAGGATGAGTTGTAGTTGTCTAATAGCGAGCATTGGGGCGGAGAAGAAAAGCTTGGCACCAATCGAAGGCTGACCTGAATCTTCGAAGTGTATATTTCTTTTCTTCCTCCTCAACACTGCAAAATGTTGTATTGACCGCCAAGGAGTTCAGAGCCTGTTCATGAGGATTCTGGTGCTTTTGGAACTAGATGCAGTACTTGATGTTGTTAATTATAGTGTTACTACAGCAAACTTGCTCTCCGTCTTTTCAGAGTGATAAAACAACAATCCATGAATAGGTAATCATAAGTGAATTTCCTAGCCTTTCTTTTTATATCGGTCATTAGCATGGCAGAATTTGTCTCAGCAATTGTAGGAATCACCGCTGTGGCTCTCCATTCATCAAATATTTTAATTGAATTGACTGCAAAAACCAAGAATGCGCCAAAAGAAATCAATCATATAAAGCAAGATGTGTCCAATGTTGCAAGAGTGCTCTCCTCACTTGATGCATCGCTCAACAGTAACAGGATACAAGATACTATCAAGATGGACCAAGAAGTTGTTCGTGCTGTACAGAACCTTCAAAGGCCATTGGAGGACTGTTCTTCGACGTATGATGATCTTGTTCAAAGGCTCAAAGGCTATCTGAAACCGGTGAAAGGCAAGGCCGATCAGTACGCCGTCTCGTCCAGTAGCCGCTTCATGTGGTATCTCTTCAGAAAGGAGCTCAATGAAATGCTTGCAAATGTTGAAAGAAGCAAGAGCTCCCTTCATACGGCTATGAATGCCGTGACCATGTAAGCCTAATCAGACGGGTGAGTTTTCTCTAATTGACGATTCCAAAGGATCTGCGTCGTAAATGCCGCCCCTGATACTCTAGCTCAACGTATTCACAAACCTCCTGATGCGGATAGAGATGTCGGCATCGCATTGCGGTATTACGCAGAGAGTGTGCATCACGCCAGGACAATACAAGAAAGCCTGACAATCGTAGAACCCACCAATTCCGTTCGGCGAACGCAAACTGCTGAAGTAGAGCCAACCCAATCTAGCATCCAAACACCATACGACATATCAAATGAAAAATCGGAGCAACTACAGCGCGCAGGCAATCAACAGCGAGGTCTTCACCAGGCAGCATCAGAAGACGATTACATTCAGATTGAGATACTGATCGGCGAAGGCGCAGACATAAACGCACGAGACGCATCGGGAAGAACAGCGCTTCATCTCGCTGCTGAGCAGGGAAATGTGGCGAGTGTGCATATACTTCAACGCCATGGCATCAAACTCAACACGAAGACTTACTCAAAAGGCAATGACGGTGAACGTCAATTTTGGGGCCAAGCCACTGCTCTGTATCTAGCTTGCTCGAATGGCCACTCAGAGATCGTTCAGATTCTGCTTGACGCAGGCGCCAGCGTCGATGCAGCGAACTATTCCAACCGTACGCCGCTTATGCAGGCAGCGAAGTACGGTCATAAAGCTTGTGCAGAAAAGCTGCTCGATCATGGCGCAAACCCGTACATACGCGAAATCAATGGCTTTATTCCTCTCCACGATGCAAGTGGCGAGGGTAAGATCGGCTGCCTAGCGACCCAACAACTCATCCTGGACCGTGGATGCGACATCAATGCTCGCACTGGAAAGCTGCTCCATGACTCAACACCACTCCATTTGGCAGCGCGAGAGCTTCACATGGAATGTGTACGTGACCTTGTGAATCGCGGTGCTGATGTAGAGGCCAAGAATCATTGGGAAGTCACGGCTTTACACGAAGCTGCTTTCTATAATGCTGCGAGTGATGTTTTACGAATACTAGTCAATGATGGGGACGCCAATATCGAGGCCAGGGATCATCGGCTGGAAACACCTCTGCATAAAGCTGTGCATGGTAGCAAGGCAGATAATGTTCGGTTTTTGCTTCTGAAAGGCGCGAATGCGTACGCCAAGGATGAAGCCTCTGTTGATGCCATCGAAGTGGCGATCCTGAAGCACCATCAAGGAGTGCTTCACGAAATGAAGAAGCACCTGCCTAATGATCAGAGACTCAACCCAGGAGCACATAGTCAACATACAGAAAGCCAAGCTGAGAAGGAAGTCAAAGATTGAAGTGAATCGTGACCACCCAGGTGGGCTCCCCGTTCGATGTTGATGTCCATGAAGGTAAAAATCGGATGTCTCAAAGGACGAAGAGAGTTCTCAGTGGTCCGTTAGATCGAGGATCTTGGCCGATTAGCTGCTTGACAATCTGCAGAGCGTGATGAAAGCGACAAACACACGTACAAATACGGGCAGGTGTACGTCAATCTATATCGAGCAAAAGTACACTGCACGGGATCGAAACTTGTCGAAACTTGGTTAGAATCGCCACACCTCTGAAATATAACCAGCCTTGACCTGAGGCTCATTGGAGCACGGAAGGAAGCAAAATAGGATTCGCCTCTGTTGAGTACATACCGACATAAGGGAACGTTGCTCATTCACCAACGCGCCTGCCGGAAGTACACGTGAGTCCAAAGAGCGGAAGCCTGACATCCGCGGCAAGCGAAGGATGGCGAGCCTCGGACTTGTGCAGTGATTGGAGAACGATGATGAGAATTCGGACGCTGTTGGAGACGCCGCAATTATTAGGCCCTTCTTTTGTCACAACTTTGCGAGACACAAATAACATCGGCGACAGGTATCTCATATTGACAATTCATGACCGCGCCTGTTTCTCTCCAAGATGCCCGGTAGACTGATCAGAGGAGTTACCGATTTCACACATGCTTTTCAATTTGCGGCAAGTACACCTGCTCCATAACCGCGGACGCTTCTCTTACATTGCAGGCACGAGAAGCAGATCTAGTCGTGGCTTTTGGATATGCTTTTCCAAACCCACAGGTCAAAACGTAAGGCATAAAGGAGGATTAAGGGAAACTTTTGTTGAGGTTAATGACGAACTGCTGTTATGAAGGACACTGGAAAGTACTACAGTTTCTCAAATATACGCCCCGCCGCCCGGCCCTTGGACTCTATTCGCTGGTCTCTTCCGCAGCCCTCTTTAGACGAAGGACGACTTGACGTTCAGAACGGTAAAAAGGCTAATATATGTCTACAAGCCGCCTCATCAACCTGGATTTGGCTGAACACCGGAGTATCAGATTAACAGGTGATACCAGTAGAGAAATCCACGTTAGCGGAGAGCGAAGACTGCTTATTTCTGGATGCCATCGTCCAAAACCAAGTGTTTGCGCGCCGTGGAAAAGCTTTGACTGGTAAATAATCCTCTGTTATGGTCAAAATACAGGGCGGCGGCTGTCTTATTGGCGATAAAGCGGATTTGTATTCCCCCCAGGACTTCTTGCGGCCAGTCAGAATGAAATGCTCTTCATGACCACGAATATCGTATAACTACTCGGTAAAGCCTTTTGCGAAGCTTTTCTAGGGCGTCAATCAGAACGGAAGACATGCTCATCTCTCTGAAGCTTACAGCTTTTGGATTTCTTGGTGGTGTGAAACAGTTATCATTCAATATTACGTCCTCGAATGCCGGCCTGCTCGATCAGCGGTAGGCGCTGAAGTGGGTCCAGAAATATATCCATCTCTTTGGCGCTGATTTCGACGAAGTCACAATCTCTGGTGAAAGGTGGTGGCGGCGCGAGTGTCATGTTTCATGCCATTGCCTATGGTGGCAGTGAGGAACCCAAATCATTCTACTGCATCGTAGGCCGGAGTCCAGGACTTGAAGTTGGGAGTGCATCAGGAGGCGGCTGGGGAGGCATTCCTTGCTGAAGTCGAAGTGGAACCTGTAGATGAGGCAAGAAAATTACCGATTGAGATGCTGATGAAGGCGAATGCGGTGGTAAAGAAGGATCTGCCGTATTTCAGTTCATTTCATTTCATTCCTCACGAGCGGTCCAGCTAAATTGACACCTACCTCTAGGTTCGGCCGTTGAAGGTGATGGGACGTTAGCGAAACGTGAGGACGCGGCAGGGAGATGTGGGCGGTTCTTTGACAATGCCTTTGCCAACTCCAGAATTTTCATTTCAGGGCTTACGGAATGCTTCAAGCCACACTAAAATTTTTCCTGAGCTGGGCGAATATCTAGTTCATGTGTATACAATGTAGGTTGCTGCTCTGCCAGCCACAGATACGTCTTCCCCACAGCATCCGAACTCATCGATTTACCTTGTTGCGTGCCCTCATTGTCTTCATCTTTGATGGCTCCATTAGCTACCACGTGAGCTCCATGTACACCCAATGGGGAGTATTCTTTCGCCACAGCTTGCGCCAGACTCCGTACAGCTGCTCTGCTTCCGCCATACGAAGCGAACTTCGGGTTGGTTCGCAACGCACCCAGCGTACCGGTGAAGATGATAGCGCCCTTGTGAGAGCCGCCTTCGGAGAGAGGCTGACGGCCATGATGTTCGAAGAGAAGCTTGAGCGACTCTTGAGCGAATGCCATGGCGCCGCCGGCAAACACTGAGAGGACTATGGTCAACGGTACTCTTTTGAGGAAATTCTGAAAGCTTACCCTGCATGCTGTCCATGTATTGATCAAACGTTTCCTCCTCGAAAGGTTTCACTGAAGCATTCTTGATGCTGTATATGGTAACACGAAGCTTCAAGCCCTTGAACGACGAATGTGCCTTGATATTTTCGAATGCTTTTGCTAAATTCGCAGGTGCCGTGTCGGTGGGAAAGCTCTCAATTGTAGATCCTGGCGCGGAGGAACGCAGAGATTGTGCAAGAGCACTGAGATTGTCCGCGTTGCGCGCAAGGAGAGCGACGGCATAATTACCATGCGATGGATGGGCTAAGATTCTGGCAATGCCAGCGCCCTGGATGCTTTAGCAAGCGACTTCTTGTTGACTCAGATTTCCGAACCGCTGCAGGTCCGGCACCGATGAGGATTGCCAGTGCTTTTGGTGCCATGCTGTGAGCTCAATAGATACCTTGGAGACATTGCGGTGGCAGTTGATGTAAGAAGAGAGTTCAAGGGCATACGTCACGGAAAACAGTTAGCGTGGGCAGGATATAATTAATTCCGTGGCCTCAAAAAAACAGCATGCAAACAGCTTGAAACTGATATTCTGGACGTTCCAAACTGATTTGAAGATAGAAACCAATATGAAAGTAGTTTGTTGTTTCAAAATTTACTGTTCTAAGTCTTAATATTATAATATTAAAGTAGTTTTTAAACCGCTCAAAAATCGCTAATAATTCGCGCTCATCAATCGCATTAGTCGCTCAATTTGATGGTTTTAAAACTTGTCTTCTTTATTGATATTAAAGCTTCAACAACATTTTCAATATCTATTGAATAGATTTCATATTGATCATATAGCTTAAATCAGTTTACAGCGTTCAAAATATCAGTTTCAAGCTGTTTGCATGCTGTTTTTTTGAGGGTGTGGAATTTTTTTAATGCCAAGGAATTAATCATATCCTGCCCACGCTAAAGTCGGTAGGGCTGAGAGTCGGTCACTGCCGAAAATTGATTAAATAGACGACTCGAGAATGGACGTTTTTAACACATCCCACGCTTTTCTAATAGGCGAAGACTACATCAGGTACTTTTGCTACGTGGCAACTTGAAAGCATTGCCAGATCTTTAAAGCTCCTTGAGTGAGAGTTGTGCTGATTGAAGATACCTTTAACAAATGATGCTGCGTCTCATGAGAAATGAGATTTCAATTATCTTCAACAATGTCTGAGTGAGGGGAAAGTAGCTGCGTGGATCTCATTAAAACTAACAGGAAGTTTTCGACTCCGTCTCTACATGCTCGACCGATACCCGTTACGGCACTGAATGAGTCAATATTGATGAATACTGCAAGGGGCAACGGTCGTAGTCTATCTGGCATCTCCATTTTAGGTATCAGTTGAGCGCCAGTTCTGGCCTTGACTTGAGCAGTTGTTGTCTACCTACACTACTGGTACAAAGGAGCAATTTTCTGTGCATGTGTAATACTAAACGAATTGACGAACTATTCCGTACCAGAATGACCAACTTTACCGACGTGAACAGTAAGCATCAAGAAGCTTTAAGGCAGCACGCTGCCTCTCCACATCAACACAAGTCTTTCGCGAAGCTACCGAAAGCCTAACTCATTTAATTAACAGATCTCGACATACCCAAGAGAAGGCGTCGCAACCCCATATCTAGCACTTCAGCAGGCAGGGAGGTACGCTGGTAGTATAATCAGTGACTGGACCTCCCAAAACCGTCAATGGATGCTTACATGCACAATTGAAGTCCACGTACACTTCAGACACATAATATTCTGAGCTGGTTTTATCCCAGTAACTACTTGCTGGTCAGCAAACCACGAAGTCTCGTCTGATCTATCATTTCTGGGCTGGCAAATTCAGCGATCTCACCTATTACCGCTGACACTGCTCCCAGTAGTAAAGCAAGAGAATGAGACCTTGTTGCCTTTGGCACCATATTCGCCGATCGCGGGGCACTTCTTGCTATCTGTAGATGGGCACCTAGATGCAGTGAAAATCAGTATCATTTTCCCGAAAGTGAAGTATTCGTTAGGTCCATTCTTAGAGGCCCCGTGTCCACGCAGCCTTCACTCACTTGCGATATTTGACGTTACTGCCAGTGAGGGCACAAGTCCTTGCAGCTTTGGCAGCGCTTGATTCTCGAATTGTCTCTGCAGGGAGAGGCTCAGGCTCGGGTACAGCCTCTGGCTCCGCCAAAGCGTAAGGAATAGCGAGAGGATTAGCTGCCGTTAGGAAAGGAATGGCGAGAATGGCAAGTTGAAACTTCATCTTGGAGCAATGCTTGATTGATTTTGGATGGTATGCCAGCGACGATGTGATGAATATGTCTCTGCGAACCTGTGACAGATGACCTGCTGGATGAAAGGAGACTGCTCCCTTTTTATCTTGACTTTGAGCAAAGCTCCTTGACCATGGCAGCTGGACAACCTTCTCACGAACCACATTTCCACGGCGCATTTTACGAGCTAGCACTGTTACACTGCATCGTGTCGCGAGTCATGGTTGGTTGATGAAGCGAGAAGTCTGAGCATATGCTGGCTGCAAGCATCATGAGACTCAATGCGGCGTACGAAAATATTTCATGCTAGAGTCCAGTCCTCTCTTGGATGCTCAGGGATCCAATCAAGACCTGGAAGAAGCGAGTCTGAAAGACATGGCCTGTGTGTATCTGGTGCAGGGTAGCACCAGGCTGCTTGAGAGATGACTGTCTCATTTACGTTCGTGTTTCCGAAACCCCTGATTGGCCGACGTTTCCAGCATTGGCAGCTCACAATTGAATCATGGAGCTAAAGTGGCGCCTAACGTTGATAAATGGACAGGGCGGGGTATTCGCTATGGCGTTGTGTCAAACGATGACAAGGAGTCCCAAAGCCTCGGATGAAATCTGGGGTACAGCGAGTAGCCACGTGCGTGCTCCAAATAACTGCTGTAATGCAGCCACGCCGCTTGGCGTGCAGTGAGTACCTTACTCGATCCCGTCCAGAAACATGCAGATTCAATCTTGGCATACGGGTTTGACTAAGGTACCGTTGTCATGAGGCTGTTTCCACTGATTTGCTCAGGAGCACAGAGCTAGTGCTGCAAGACAGCGGCTCATTGCCCACATCAAAAATGGTTTCACTTCATCGGTGTGACGCCGAATGCACCATCATTTGCTTGCATTCTGGCCTCGTGCCTAGGTCGGTCAAGGCTAGTGAGGGGCAGAATAGTCATTGAGCATGTAAAGATGGACCTGACTGCCTGACGATTGTCAATCTGTCAGCAAACTTGAAGATGCCCCGAAAGGAACTTTGGGCAGGCACCCCAAAACTTGTTTGGAGAGACATCTCTGTATGATTCTGATGCTGAGATCAACGCCTAGATCGCGCTGTACGCCTTCCCTGGCCAATGATCATTTCTCGTTCAAGGTGAAGAAAAAGATGAGCAAAGAATTCGAGATGTAGCGCGGTATATTGCATGTACCATTTTGACTAACAGCTCGCTTGAACACAGGTAAGGCTGGTAAGATCGCCCGAAGACAGCCTAAACACGAAAAAGCTCTGTCCTCGCAGAAATCCTTATTATCCGAGACGCATCCCGCGCGTTGCTAGTTCTGACATGCCCCATTTACTTACATATATGTAAACGCTTCAACTGCGCCCCTTAGTCACCCCACAGTTCTAATACTGACTAGGGGATGCAGGTGACCTCAGCAGACCCTCTGGCGTACCTAGCAAGCAGAAAGATGAAGATAACGCCTTCAGAGCTCTTTGCCTGCAAGCAGAGGCGATACGTGCTTCACGGCCTTTAGCTGTAAGACCGCAAATCTCTCATGAGATTATCCTTGGGAGACCTGGGGTGGGTTGAAAACATTAACATAATCTTTGCACGTGCGACGTTCAATTTACTGACGGACAGAGATCGTACCTCAGGTGAGATTTCTTCATTGTCAAGTGTGTCTAGCTTTGATGCTTGTCCATTGTGTTCCCCCATTTCTCCTCGTAAACAAGTGGAACAAGATTGATCCGTTTCACTGAATAAATCTATGCTGAACGGTCATTCTGCGAGTGACCCTACAAGATGCGTCTTGATGTCTCGCTTGTAGGAGACTGACGGGGTGTGTTCGTTTGCACGAGATATATTGTGAAGGCATTCGCCGCACTAGGACTATCATTCATGCAAGATAAAGGCAAACTATAGAACCCTTCAAAGCCCACTTACAAATGTTGAGGGAGGCCCTTCGCCCTTTGTCCTGACAGCTTTTACGCTTTTCTTTATACTCCTGCTAAGCTGCAGATGAAACTTTTCCATTCTCCTCATTTCTCCGATTTCTATATACTAAAACTTTATTCAGCAACACCCTCCAACGGCGTTACGACTGACGACACTTACGATCATGTACTGTAGTTTATCCTTCTCTCTCTTCATCAACGCAATTAGCGCACTCCCACAAATTGGCGTCATGCCAGCTGGCGACCCCAATGCTACCGAATACAAAAACGCCGGCGTCTCCTCTCACCAGCATCTCAAAACGTACACCAACCCCACTTGCCAAAACCCCGTAAAAGCGGACATCGCAGACTTCACTTACGGATTCCATGTGCACGGCTCAGGCGAACCTATTCTCTCCGTCTGGCTCGATCGCGACATGGGGCCGGACGAAGTGCTAGAGTGGAGCACCGTTCCGGTCGGGGTGTCGCCGGGCGTTTCACCGCAGCAGGCAGGGACAGGCTCGACTAGAGAGTGTGAGGTTCCGATCAAACAACAGACGGGGCTGAAGAAGGGCTGTGTGCCCGGGAAAGTGGGGAATGTTTTGCCTTTCTGCGTGAGGATTTGGGAGCGGAACTAAGATGCGCACTGAACTGGGAGTGAGGCCATGGTTACTGTGCCGGCACATTTGTTTAGATGAGCGTACTGTGAAGATCGTTGATGTAGCGTATGTATATATCTTCCCCTAATGAAGGGCAATGAATGGGCCTTTCCTAGATCAGGCTCCTATCGTCATAAGGAACCACTCATCGCTCATCATTCTCTCACTGTCACGCACAGCATGACCTACCTATTTGCCCCAAAGAAAAGAAGTTGACACGGTGGCTTACAAGGTAACCATATGAGATTGAAGGTGCTTTCCGACATACGTATACCTTACCATATACTAGATGACGCATGCTTACCTCGCTACCATCAAAGGCCGACTGTCCGATGAATTCGCGGACGGATAGTCTTCCCACCTACAAGCCGGCAATCTGGCAATCAGGCAACACAATTATACGACGATCAAAGAATCACTCTGGAAAACCTCGCTCAGATTGAAGTGACGAAGGCAGCGGATAATCGATCAGACCGGTTATTGGCCTCCCCAGCTTATTTTTGGCAGCCTAATATGTTCTGGATCAGCAAGATGCCCTAATCATGAGGTTTAGCCTTGACAAGCTTCTGCGGCTCGGAGAGTAAGCTTTGCGGCCCGCCAAGTCTCACGCTTTCAGCCGTCCGAGGGCAATTCCGCCGAGATGAGCAGTCTAACGTATTGGTTGTCTTGCTTGTTCCCTGGAGCTGATGATGTTGAAGAGGTAGTGGGCGAAGCCAATTTTGGAATCCTTGCGCGCTATCCCTCTTGCCTGACGTACTGTATCCAAATAAGCTAGGAAACGGCGTCTATATAAAGATAGAGTGTGGTCTTCTCATTTACCATTCTTTACCCATACAATTCTTTTGTTCCTACGTGAGAGAAGACTATCTCCCGTGCTTTGAATCTTCTTGCTTATCTATCCAAGTGTGAAGACATATCCCCATCCACCCATTCGTGCATATCTATTCACAGCCAGTGCTACTTCCTGAATCAGCCATGGCCGTCGTCACCACATCAAATCACGTTCAGCGCTATGACTCCATCCGCGCCAATAATAACTTCATCTTCGTCGTCTGTACGTCCTATTCGTACTTTCCCTCACTCCCACGGATTTGAGATTGACCTATGCCACCAGTCTACCGCGGCCACTGGTGCCCATTTTGCCAAGCCTACCTCAAACAGCTGCAGTCTCTGACAAAGTCCATCACCGCTGCGGGCGGGTACGTCCTCACGGTGACGGCGGAGTCCGAGTCCGAACTTCACAAGATCCGCGAGACGACAGGCTACGACGGCGAAACCATCGTCGACACGGAGAATCTCCTCGCTACGGAACTCAGGCGTAGGGGCATCATCGATGTGGCCGTCTCGGAAAAGACAGGATACCCAAATGGAATGGCCCAGCCCGCTGTATTGGTTGGGACTAAAGCGAAGGTCGTTTATAAATGGGCGATTAAACCTTCCGTGGTAAGTACATCCAAGCAGCTGTCTTCTGCCTTACCATCAATTCATCGTCTGACTTGGTAGATGAACCTTGGCGGTGCTAAGGATCGGCCATCGCTCAAGGAGGTGTGGGAGAATGCCGAGGCCGAGATGCAGGGGAAGAAACCTGTGCATACTGAGATACCCCTGCTGTCGTTCGTTCAGGGCCTGAAGCAGAAACTTTTTGGATAGGAACAGTGTATCGCCATATCAATTGATTGACTGATTGTTTCTTGAATACCCAAGCGGTCGTCAGGCTACCTATACAGAGCTTCACCAAATTCATGCAGACCTTCTTTTTTGACCTCACCAAAGCTTTGTCAATATTCTCTATCGAACAGCCCACAAAACTTTGCGTTCTATTGCTCTGCCGTATAGTAACGGAATTGATTGCATCGGCCTGCCGAGTGAGCAACAAGTGACAACGCGCACCAGCGGGTTCGGATACGCGGCGCTCAATAATACGAGCGACATGCCGTAGTCGAAATATATAACCAGCAAAGTATGGGATTTCTTCGATGAATAAGTCTCGTATTGATAACCATCATCGCAAGACAGCGCTCTGCTTGTTGATCAAGAAAATTTTTATTTTAACTCGAAGACTGCCTGAATAGAACCCTTGCCAAGACAAGAGTGCTCTATTCTACCTTAAGGTGATCAAATCATAGTTAGTCGTTAGAAGAGATCACCCCTGAGTACATCGTGCTGTTCAGAGGTGAATTACTTACCTATTTGAGGTTTACGGTATAAAGGGGTCTCACCAATCATATAGCTAGCGTTCCTTATTTCGCAAAGTCAGTTTTATGTTGAGAATCGCACAAGCTACTGGTGCCACAGCTGATTTTGGTGAGACTTTACCTGAATAGGAAAGTAACTCACTTTTGAACAGCACGATGTACCTTAGGTTGGATAGCCCCCAAGATCGAATATTTTCATGCATAGTTGTCATCCTGAGTGCGCATCCATCAAAATGTCCCCGATACCACTTTCAGGCTAGAAAAGGTAATCTCTTCTAGAACTAGCGACTAACTATGATTGGATTAGAGCACTTTTGTCTTCAGCTGGAGTTCCAGAAAGTGATTCGAAGTCTAGACGTCCTCGAGCCCAAAGCTCGATGTTCAAGACTCGAGAGATCAAAAAAATGGCCTGCCCAAAGTGTTTTGCACTTGCTTGCCAACGGGCGAACTCCATTTGCGGCAAGCACACATGATAGCCACTACTGAGTTCGAGCAGCCATGTCTGAACGTACACTGAAGCCAGCTCGAGTAGCTTCTGTAGTCGCAGCGACAGCCATATCATTGGCTTGTGGAACTAATGTATGTGCCGTTGGCGAATTTGATCTAAAAATACTGACAGATACAGTATGCGTACTCAGCATGGGCTCCAGAATTCGCGGACAGACTGAGACTCTCATCTACCCAGATCAATTTGATAGTGCGCTTCCTGATTGAAAGAGTATGACGTGGTGGCTCATTGATGTTAGGGAACATTCGCGAATCTTGGCATGTATCTTGCAGGAATACCGGCCGGACTGCTCGTCGATACCAAAGGTGCAAGACCAGGCTCTGTGTTGGGCTCAGCTTGCCTTGGAGTGGGTTATTTTGGTATCTATGGAGGTACAGCAACCAGGAAACCTGCACCAAAAGCTCAAGCTAATAAGCGCAAAGCATACAGAAGCGGGTCCGGATCGATGGGGATGATTCTAATTTGCTTCTTCGCTGCCCTGACGGGGGCCGGAGGATGCGCCGCTTTTTTGGGCGCGGTCAAAACCTGTTCGTAACGCTGACAAGTATGCCATGAAAGGCCTAAGAGCTTACCATGACTAGGCGCTTTGAACTTCCCAGAGCATCGAGGCACGGCAACAGCGTTCCCCTTGTCTGCATTTGGCCTCAGCGCGTTCTTCTTCTCCCTCATATCATCAGTCGCCTTTCCTGACAACACCGAAGATTTGCTCCTCGTTCTATCGATCTCAACACTTGCATTACCTCTAGTCGGTGGTGCATTCCTTCGGGTTGTGCCTCAAGCCCATGACTACCATCCGGTTCCTCGCTCCGATCACGAGTCAGCCTCATTAAAATTGACACGCAGCAAGAGCGAAGAGAGAAAATTCAGCCACAGAAAGCGCTCGTCTTCTGAAGAATTAGGTACGCGGCCAGAGGATCCCCTCGATAACGCGGAAGAAGAATCGTCGCTTCTCTCCTCACCTGGCCCTGGGGATGAGCCAGAGCCTGTGAAAGAGAACCAGCCAAATGACTTACCTTATCCAGATATCCGTGGTTTGGGAATGCTGAAACACGTCAAGTTCTACCAACTTTTTGCCCTGCTGGGCCTCTTATGTGGCATAGGCCTGATGACCATCAAGTAAACCACGCCACTTGCCCTCTAGACGTGACTAATTGATGGTTCAGCAATATCGGCAACGACACACGAGCAATATGGCATCATTACGACGATAGCGCTAGTCCCGAGTACATATCCAAACGCCAATTGATGCAAGTCGAGACACTTTCCATCATGTCCTTCATCGGGCGTCTGCTTAGCGGTATGTTCTCTCCCTCTTTCACCCTTTCATCACCCTCAGGCCATTCCTCCCCTCTGTTCTAATCGTCTCCCCATCTTAGGCATCGGTTCCGACATCCTCGTTCGGCACTACCACCTGTCCCGCTTTTGGTGCATCACTATTGCCGCCCTCCTCTTCTCTCTGGCTCAACTCTCTGCAATCCTCACCACTGTCCCCTCTTCCCTTTTCTTGATTTCGTCCCTCAACGGTCTCGCTTACGGCTTCCTCTTCGGCTTCTATCCCGCCATTACTGCCGAAACATTTGGCGTGCACGGTCTATCCCAAAATTGGGGTGCTATGACGCTGGCGAATATTGTGGGGGGCAATATATTCAATATCTTGTATGGACGCGTCTACGATGCCCATAGCGTGATTGAGGGAGATGGGAAGAGGGTATGCTCGGAAGGTGTGGCGTGTTATAGAGATGCCTATGTGGTCACCCTTGGCGCGGCTGTGGTTGGCGTTGGGGTCAGCCTGTGGAGTGTGAGGTGGGACTGGGCAGGAAGAAGGAGGAAGAGGGGTAAGGGTGAGGGGAGGGAGGCTTAGGATTGTGACACTGGATGATGCTTGATGATATGAATGTAGACCATTGCCACATAGACAATAGACATGACAGCCTATTTGTAGCTTGCACGGTATATGGTTCACACGCTTTTCGCACCATTAAAATCATTGTAACAGTCGACTTTTATAGCTTAAAGGCTATAAAATAGTATAGTGCCGCCGCCTTCAAACTGAGACCTTAAGGTCACTCTATGACCCACCCTAGCAAACATTAGAAATTATCGTATTAATCGAGCTCATCAATCGACGATGCGCTGTAGAGATGCAGGCCTCGGCAGTCTTGAGCTGCCTTTCATTCCATTCATCTTTGTCAATCCTACCTCGTCCCATATCTCAATTTAACGAGGTAGGCGGCTCGGGGTATTCGGTCGTACTCTCATGTCTCGCCCTCTTAGCCGGCCTTTCTTCTCCCCTCAATTCAGCTACCTCTCGCTCCAGTTCTTCGACGCGATCTTGCAGCTCCTGTTCCCTTTGCTTTGCGAGCTCGAACTCTTGCCTGATCGTCCCCTCTTCGGCAGCTTGTGCTATCATTTCTGCCCGAGGCGCTTGTGGTGGCGTCTGCTGGCTGTCTTTCTGGAAAGATTGGTACAAGCCATTGATGACTTCTAGCTCGCTGATGCGGGTTCTGAAAACCGAGTTTTGCCGGACAAGGGCTTCGTAGGGTTGTGGGGCTTCTAGTGAAGATGTGGAGCCAGGTGAGGGTTGACGATATGGCATGGAGTTGGCTTGAAAGGCTTGTTCGTTGAGCGTCGCGCCATCGAATAAGTGTTGTGGCGCGATGTTTGAGGGGTGATGAAGGCTGGGGGTGTCGGTACGCGACAGTGGCGCGTCCGTATGTTCCTGACCATTTAAAGGGGGCCGTTGGGCTTGCTGGTTGCTGGGGTTGCCCATATGCTGGGATTGAGAAGCGGGGAGGCCATTTTCGAAGATCTGCCATTGCGGGGAGGTCAGCTATGAGAAGGGTGTGAAAGGTATCGAAAACAGATCACTGACCTTCCTCTTTTGACCTTGATGCCCTCCTGTTTTGACACGATTGCGGCTTTTAATAATGTCTGTTTTCAGACTGATGGGGCGCGGACTGCCGTGGAGCTTGAGGAAGAGGCCGCACGCGTTGCAGAGGACTGCACCAGACTCATCGCGACGCCATAGAGGGGTTGTGGAGGTCTGACAATTCTGACATACAGGCTGTATTTGGCCATTAGCGACTGTCGCAAAACTTGCCATGAGATGCCACTATCGATTTGGGAATCGATAAGAGAAGCCGCCTTTTATTTTAGCTGACTTTAACTGGAGGTTGACGGCACTCGGCACAAGTTTTGCGTGGGCGCTAAAATCCTTGCCAAGCCTTTTTCACGACGCGTGAAGAGCCATTCTGACCGAGGAAAGGAGATAGAAACACTCACAGGTGCCCCTGATCCTCCACTCGTTGCCGCGAACGTAGCGTGTAATCCAGTCTCGTAGGCTCTACCAGACTTGTCAGCTATATTCGCTTCTTGCGATCTTGCAGTATCCTCCGCCCAAAATTCATTGTGAACTCAGGACTTTGAAGGCTTGCAGCATGTGTGCCGCTAAGTGATCTGACCGTTTGAACAGGGTGCATGTATCCTCAGGCTCGAGGTGTGCATGTGCGACCATCCACTTTCCCTTCAACTGTGGGCATGTAGTGCCTGAAGACATGCGGACAGGCCATTTGACTCTTGCTTCCCATTGACTTCATATTCGCCTCAGGGCTCTTGACAAGGGCATGATCGTTGACGTACCTGAGCTGAGAGGAAGCTCCTGACGCGACAGTAGCGAGTGTGGACAGGGCTGGCAGCGATTGCGCTGAGGTATAGGGAGGGAGGCCTGGGCCTGAGGTCCGTTGTGAGGCCTCCAGCTCTAGAGATCGTAGCGGTGAAGCGGCGCGAATATCGATCGTAGGAGTTGACGTCGGTGTTGGTAACGTATGTCTCACCAACGGAGGAGATTTATTTTGCGATGGAGGGTCGAAATGCGACGCGCTCAGCAGCGGTCCCTGAACTGAAGCCACGGTGACGGTCTAGCGAGGACTTCGCTGGGCGGTAGTCCAATTGTCAGCTCGCTCTAAGCGTGTGAGAGATTATCCGTCGTAATAGCCTCTCTATATCCAAGGTAGTAGAATTGAGTATTAGATTAAAATTAGTATTTGACGGGTTAATGAGTGCCCTGAAAATTATATAGCATACAATTGCGAAAGGAAAGACTTATACAGAAACAAGAAGAATGAAAGCAAACGAGAAAGCGCTTCCAAATGAGTGAGAGTTGGTGCGAGGAGCGCAGAGAAGTCGATGCGTCCCCTTTACTGGCTGGCCCGTCATTGCGGTGCCAAGACTTCTAATTCCACCTGCATAAATATTTCCGTAGGAAGTTTGCCTGGCGTCTTCCAGGGCGAACTTCCTATGAACAATGGCCTGAAAGCAGGCAACCTACCGCTTTATGCTGCGGGCGGAGTCTCTAGCTGATGTAGGTAAGACTGGCTGTCACTCCAACGTATTTACTATTACGGGATTCTCTTCCATTATTGGGGTTTTGCAAAGGCGCTTTTAAGATCAGGAGTTGATCAATGAAAGATCCGCTTTCATTGTTGTCGTCATGCGAAACCTTTTTTCACTCCAATGAATAGATCAAACGAAAATTCCCTTGATATACTTGGGGTCCTATAATGAAAAGTCGCGATTGCAGGCTCACTGACGATGAGTCCCAACGGCAATTTGGGCTTCAAACCACCATTGAATCAAGCTCACACAGTAGGTATTGCTTGTCTATTCCACCGGGTCTCAATAACTTCTGTGGTATGACCAGAGTCACTGCCATTCGACACGTCCTCAAGCCATTCAAACTTGATTTGTTCGTGCTCTTGCACCGGGTGCTCGGCTTCTCCGCGGAAGAATAAAGTCCGTTGTACCCTCAATGTGAAGCCCCTATGACTCCCAACGTGAGGTACTACGAAATGGAAGACGAGCCAATATATCACTCCGCAAATGATGACGCTCCAGCCAACCGTTGGAGTCGTGTACCAGGGCAAGTAGCTGCCTGTAGTGGCGGCAAACCCATTGGATGGTGGTATCCACGAAGCGACGATCGGGAAGGCATTTGTCATTGTGAACAATAGAGCTGCGACAACGCTGACCCCAGACTTGATACCGGCGCCTTTCTTGGACTTATTGTTCCATTTTCTGGGCCCATAGAATCTCAGAAACAGAAGACCACCACCGAGACAGACGCCAAAGAATGCATCAACAACGTAGCTGCAGAGACTGACTAAGATCCTATAAGAGTCGGTAGGGTCATGTTGAGCTCCTGTAGCAAGTATGAGAAGTATCGTGAGCGACCAATGTAGAATTAAAGCACCGATTGGTGTTTCGTTCTGGATCGAAGTCTCCGATTTGCCAAATAGCTTTCTGACATCAACATTGTAGCTGCGAGAGATAAATTTGCGGAAAGGGAGAACACCCTCTTTCGCAATCTCTTGTTTGACTGCAGCAAGACATGTAAGCAACGCCTCTTCCTCTACAGGGACTCCAGAAGATAGCTCACCTCGAGCTGCTGTATACGGCATGACAATGAGATTCCCTAAAGATGAAACAGCCATGAAACCGGCCAGTACTCGAGGTGCCATCTTGTCACCAGTCGAGGAGACTGTGCCAAATGTGTACATGAAGAAGAGGCGAGCAACATCCGCGCCCTTGGCTTGCTGTTCTTCTACTGGGACGACAATGAATTAAACATGTCAGCGAACTCAAGAAGGGTAGACTTGGCTGGCCGGCTCACATATGCGATGTTTACAAACATGTACAGAGTACAGACACCTGCAACGGCGAGGAAGGCAGGCCATTTGTACTGTTAATAGGGTGAGTATCAACGGCAACTTCAGTTCACGAGTTGCTCACCTTCTTCTTAGGATTTTCGACTTCAGCCATCACGTAATTCGCCTGATTGAACCCGCCATACGCGAATAGAATTGAAAGAAAGCTCTCAGCATAGCCAAAAGGGTCTGGTTCTGAGTCGTGGAATGCGTTATGCAGATTGAAATTGCTAGACCCAGCGGCTGGTCTTTTGAAGACACCAGAGTAGCTAATGAACCCTGTTACAATGATGAGGAGCAGGATTGCAACCTTAATGACAGCAAATATGTTGCTCAGGTAGATGCCTCCTTGTCGCCAGAAACCATGCATAAAGCAGGCAAAAGTAACGACGGCGATGGCAGCGCCTTGGACAACAAAATTGTTCATTGGCTTATCTGCTGCCTGCAGGAACCGGATGCCGAAGGAGATGGCATTTGCAGCGACATTGCCTAGGAGGACAAAGGCAAATCCGTAAACGCAGGTGAGGAAGAAAACCGATTTGCGAATGATATCTTTGAGCCGAAGGACGCTTTTAGTAAGGCTGTATACTATTTGGCGGGTTCACCGACTCACGTAATGAAGCTCGCCTCCATTCCTGGGAACGGAAAACTTTTTCTTTACTGTTCGAGTGACTGACATCTTATAACGAGGAGTCGTCAGACCAAACTCCATGTACACCAAGATGCCCGCCATCGCAGCGATTGCGCCGCATAGCCAAAAGAGCAAAGTAATTCCGGCGCTGTGAGTATATTGAATCACTTTTGAGGGAGTTGAGAAGATGCCAGTGCCTGCGATCTGCCTTTAGCTGAAGGAATTCTGCTTGAGATTGTAGACGCCAAAGATACCGATCATACGATTGCATATAATGCAAATCACAGAGAAAGCTTCGAGTCTTTGTGGAAGTTTCGGATTCGTGAGCAAGACACTACCCTTCTCCGGGTGGATGAGGTCAAGCTCCTCCTGGTCATGACCTACGAGGGCTTCCTGCGAAGGCCCGTCGAGCTCGCGAATCTCCGCATCGACCTTCTCTTGTGGGCCCATATCTGTTTTATAGCTATACGAAAGCAGCGAAGATCGTAAAATAACAAAGACTATTTCAGGAAAGAGTCACACAGAACCCATAACCTCTTCGCGAAGAGTGGGAAATTGACCGTATTTGAATCTGGAAGCAGGCTGAGCAACAACGAGAGGGGCCAGTCTTACCGAGCTGCCCAGATTCGGAGTGAGCTTCTCGTTATATGCCTGACCATTTCTAGGATAGCCTAGGGCCATAGTACCTCTTTTAAGGTACATTTATCCAGCAAGACACGTTCTGGCCAGCAACCCTGAACTGTAGGCGCACAGCCTCAACTACAGTCAGAGCATATAAGGCATTTCGCGATGCGCCGGTCACATGCCAAGCGTAACCTAGGGTCTTGGGTACGGGGAACGTGTCTGCCATGCACGCCTCCATCCGAAGCGACGATATTGATAGGTCAGCCTTGTGGCCATCACACCCAAGTCGCTGCATGATGGGGGATCTAAGCGAGTAATTGTGACGGCAAATGGGGTGGAGAGCTCTTATCAAGTTGTCTGTGTCTAAACTACGTCAAGAGTTGCCTTTTGCAAAGCCTGTGACTCTCAATTGAGAACCCTCTGAAGGGCCGTCGCTGCCTCGCGCAGGCCGCTCTCGGTCGGGTCGCTATAAAAATCTTTTTCGACAACAAGATCAACGTCTGTACTACAACATGCGACTGGAATGTCGTTCATCAACGCTGGCGACATCGTAAAACTTGGAGAAGGAGCTCTCGCTTTGTATAGGTATGGTTTTAGTGAAGCTGCACAAGCTGGTAATTATGCTTTTTTTTATGATTTCTCCCAGCCTTACCCCCGAGCCCCCGGTCCTGACCCGGCCGCTCCTTCCCGAGACATGCTCGACCTCTTCATACTCCCTTCAGCTGCCACCCCAAGGGCTTGATTAATCGTCATTCCTTTGCTGTGAGCCATGAAACAAGACACTGATGTTCGTTGGTACCAATAGGCAAGCAATATGAAGATTTCGGCAATGCCATTCAATCCCTCGGGGAGAATGTTCAACAACTGGGAAAAGTCATTGAGAATTTTACCTCCCAAATACCTCAACCACTCCCGCCAGATGGGCAATGGGATTTGAAGTCATTTGTCAAGATTTGTGGTGACTTTGGAAGGACCATACAAGAATGTCGTCAGCTTCTGCACGACCGTCGGAAGTTTGCAGATGTACATGAAGGACCTGCGGGAAGTCAAGTCTTGCGAAACATTCAATGGAATTTGGCCATTGAGCCCGAGGTCAGGCGCCTATACGAGCGGGTCAAGTTTCACAACATCAAGATCATCACCATGCTCAAGCCTTTTGAGATGACCCTTATGTTGGACTTGAATGATAATGTTCGGAAGATGCAGAAGATGCAGAGCAAACTTGCAGGACGGATGGAAGAAGGCTTCCTCGATATCTTGTTGGCAATCCAGGGAATATGGACACCTAACACTCAAGAAGCGATCGCCCAGGCGATGAAGCCACCTCCAGATTTGCCAGCCATGCCCGATTACATGGATTCTAGATTTGATGTGGCGACTAACGCGAGCCGGAAAGCTGGCAACCAGGAGCTTCTTGAGGGGCAAAACTTTCCGTTCTACCTGGGCATTACAGCTTTCCACCGACACTTCGATGAGAGCACGATTGTTGTCAAACCCGCTGAAAGTGTCACGGCGGCGCTCGAAACTCAGACCGGCAACATGCCTACCATTTCCCAATACCTCAACCTCATGAAGAGTATTTGGATCTTAAAGAGGATCAAAGAAGGTGAGGAATGGGCTCATGTTTCGTCTGGTAGATTGTTCTAGTGTTACATGAAAGAGCTGGAGTTTAAGTGTGTTTAAGAATTTTCGCGCTTTTAGACTATAGACGCTCAGTAAAGATTGATAGCGCCTGATCATTAACATATCAGACTATAAGGTGACGAGTCTTTCCGCGTATGGTTAGACGACGACGAAGACGACGATATATTCGAGTCTACCGATGACTATTTAGACGAAATCCTGCGTGTCTCGCTGAAGAGCACAGCACGGGGTCGAAAACAAGAGCTAGTGATCATTCGAAAGGACCATGGCGAGCTTCAACTGCAGAATGTTACAAGCAAAGTGACCGGGGTTCGCAAATCTGATACGCTGCGGGACCCCGTTGTCCTAGATAGAGCATGTTTGATTCCTTGGTATGCTAATCCCCATTCGAGTCCCAAAACCTACAATGTGGCTTTCAGAGGCGATGAGCGGGCCCAGGCGGAGAAAGGCTTCATCTTTGAGGGATTGCAAGACCTTTTGGACTTTCAGCAAGCCATCACAGCAAACAAGGTGGTTTTTGACAAGTCAACTGTTCGCACTCGACTGTTCCAGCCGACAAGCTGCTTTAGTTCCAACCATATCAAAGGCGCCGGTCGTATCCAAATCTGGTTCCCGAAGCGCCTCGAGCCGCGGTTTTCGAGACCACAGCTCTTCAACAGGGAGATGTCCCAGCGATCTATCACTACACGCTCTTCAAATGCTCTATCAGTGCCCAAGACGTTTATGACGGCTTGCACTTCACCTGTCGAAATGGATGATATGATTGGGTAATACTTTGAGGAGCCCAGCTTATCAATGCTCGTCCTCTACATGAAGGAGGATAAGGACAAATCTCGGGGATGGTCAATCTTCTCAATCCACAGTATGCCCCCATGTGATGGCAACAATCATTTCGAGGCTGACGTTGGCTTCTAGTGGATATGAAGACCGTTTTGAAAGAAAAATGCGGGTGCAATCGAAGCAGGTCGGCTTGCGTTCACAGCCACATCACCAGGTCTGGCGAGCTTCTGGCCCAGAGAGTGTACACTACATCTGATGGTCAAGTCAATCTGGCCAAGATTGGCAAATACCAGGCTAATAAGGACCCCCAACCGGAGCGAAAAGTCAAATACCTCAGTATCGATTTTCTCGATGCCGACACGCGAGCAAGGTTCGAGCAACGATTCGAGGATACGAAAGCAGTTTATCGCAAGCAGTGGTCAAATTACACCACGGAGATGAATCATGAAAGGCTGCATTGAACTGCTTGCGACTGGGCATTACCTTGGCAGATTGGCTTACTTTGACGAACCTTGCCGTGCAAGACTTGCGTACACCCCTTGTATTGTTATAGCCCCATAATATCTTACTGCCACTTTCTCTGCTCCTTTGCAGATGTCAGATCAAGATTGAAAGAAGCATGGTGTCCTCTTGGCACAACGTTCTAGATCAAGTAGCCGCTCTACGTGGTCGAGCGAAGGATCTAGCCTGGATTACCCCTGGCCCTTTTCATAGAGCAACGCGTTTCACACGCGAGCTGCAACATCCTCAGCGGCCTAGCTTCACATCCAGATTTAGATAAGGGACAGATCAACGATAATGGAAAGGGCTGTCGAAGGGGCACCAGGGGGTGCTGTGGTGGCTCGGGCTCGAAATCCTTCACTTTACGATCGTTTACTTGTTCTCCATATACTTTCGCAAACGCGACTTGTTGACGAGGGTCAGAATGTGGCACGATAAGCCGCACTAGATGTGGCTGCAGCGGAGCGATGATGGGCCTCCCTGATTATTACACCAATAAGGGGACATCAGTGTGAAGCTAACGCCTGCCCTACGATAAGCATGTCGTTTCAATATTAATGTCAGCCCCGAGGTGGTGTCAGCGCTTGCCTGACCTCGATAAATCATTGCTCATATTCCAACTATCTTCGGCGCTTTTGTTGGTTCCTGCAAATGCCACTGCTCAAATGCTTCTGCGGGACGTGAGCCTTCACCATCACCCGCCATGTCTCGCTCGACCTTGTATCTTCAAGCACTCTTCTTTGTTCTAATATCCCTGAGTACTGCTACGAACATATCCTTCGGCGGAGGATTCGACAGGCACAAATGCTTGGTGCGCACTCTCAACTTCCTTGGCAATGGTACCCTGGCAGCCGACGACGAGGTCTTCTATCGTGATGCAGCAGGTCGACCTATGAACGGGAAAGACGACCTTACCCTTACTCTATCAGGATGCGAGAAGCTGTGTGGTCCCCGAATGATGTGGTATCGGGACATCGGACCACGGCTTTCCATCTGGCTGATTCCCATACTGCTTCTGATCAGCAACATCGAGCTTGCTTCGCTTGACAAAAAGAGATTCTTCACGATTCTGCATTTGCTCGGTGACCCTATCGACTCAATCTGGTCTCTTGTCCACAAGATTGACTCCTGGGATCAGTGCTATCGTCTGGTTGAGGGGTATGACAATGCATGTGATCGCTGCAAACGGGTGATGGCTACTGTGATAGCCGGCTTCGAAGAACTTGAGGGTTATGAACTTCAGCCAGAGACAATCTTTGACAACCTTGCCGACAGACATGATCTCACCCTCCAATTCGAGGCTTGGCGGCGGACAGCCGTCAAGCTTGCAGACAGCAGAACAAATGAGATTCCCCGGACGTGCCTGGCCATTGTACTTTATCTTTTTCAACTGGTTGCTGGCTTTGTGAAGGAAGTCGGTGGTGGCAGTAACAGTCCAGTTGGTGGAAGGATTGCGACTGGCGTATTTCTTTCATGGCTCATACCAACCACCTTGTTGAGCAATACCGTCGGCAGCTTTCCTTCTCGCCGGACTTGTTATGGAATCCTTGACCGCTTTGGCAAAGATACGGGCGACCCTTTACGCATTCCGCAGCGCCAGTCTATATTCTTACCAAACTTTCCGCTGCTTACCCGCAATCGGTCCACAAATTATTTCCAGTCCCTCGCTTGGGCTGGTGGTATCTACACCTTTCGACCTTGGAAGTGCCATCTGCGAAGCTCACGCCAGGGCAAAAGTAATGGGATCGTTCTCTTCCTCATTTCGATCTCGCCTGTTTGTATTAGCATGCTAGGAGCCTTCATTATTCTCTGGTACAATATTCCCACTGGCTTCAATTGCCGCCACACCTGGTTGATCGGCATCTTTCTTGCCTGGTTTCTCAGCGCTTTCATGACCTGGTTCTCTTATTCCCCTAAGTTTGCGACTGGGCAATATCATTGGTACTTTGTCCTAGTCAAGGACGCCTTTATTGCGATACCAAGCATTATTGTCATTTTCCTATCAGCTTGTGGGCTCTTCAATTTCTGCTATTGCTGGAGTGGGGTCTTTCAGAGCCGCAGGCACGCACGAGTTCCTTTGAATTCTGATCCTTATTATAAGCTCAACGATCGCACCGTCTATCCCACTACCGTCGGGATCTCTGTGGCTCTGCAATTGCTCATCTTTGGTATCATGGCTGTACACTGGCGACGAGCGTTAAAGCTCTTGCGCTGGAGTGAATCAACAAGGAATAAGGAGTGGAAAAGTGTGATGAAGCATAGAGAATGTGGGTGCTTGTCCAGAACAATTGTTCGACGGCCAAATCGTAGCTGGTCCGACAAACCATTACTGGTTGAGTGTAGGGAGGTCACAGGATCTTGGTAGGTCTCAAGGAATGAATGACTTGGTGCTGTTGTTGCCTTTCCACTGCACTTAGGCTTATGATACATCAGTTCGAAATATAACGTATCTGTATGGTGAATAGTCACCTATCGTTATCATACGTTACCAAAGCCTACTGTACCGAGTGCCGCCGTCATCACACCAACGGCATATGTCCCAATGCTAAAGGCGCCTTGTACATCCTTGGTCACTGCTGCCCAGGCTATCGCGAAAATTCCTGATCCTATCAAGGTCAGAAACGTGACGAGGCTCAGCATATAGCAATCAAGAGTCTCCACAATGTGGATACCATAGCCTGCTTTCAGGACCTCTGGTAAATCGTCGACAAAGATGCTTGTTCCAAGCTTCTTCGGGAGGAATGGAGTCCATGTCTCACTAGTGTGAGGGCTAGGGTTGTGGAAGAGATGGAAGAATTGGTGCGGAGGCATGACTCCATCGGCCGTTATCTCAGCAGACTTGTAACTGTAGCGCCGGCGCTCAATCTCCACTTTGGGAGGCAATCCTTGACCACCGACAGCGACTTGGGGGCTTTGACTTCGGTCGAGGAGGAACTGTTCTCATCAGTCCTAGAGGAGTGGAATGGTCTATTCCAGGTACCTTTCGAGATATGATCTTGCTGGGCTTTGTGAATGACATCTCGAAGCGCTTTTTTCGAAGAACCTTGTGGCAAGGGAAAGGCACCTCGATCCGGATGACACCGTGTGAAGCTCTGTTTCTGCGATAGCTTTCCGCAATAGTGGTGAATAGCTCAGCATCTGTCTTCATGAAAGTCAAATCGATCTCAGCGACAACTTTCCTGTATGGTCCAGTATTAATACAAAGCTCTAAGTAACGCGCTGTGAATGGTGATGGGCTGATCTGGTGCTGCTGTTCATTATTTATCTCGACGCATAGATCACCTTGACTTCCGAGACTACTGCTGGGTGATGTGTTTGAAGACACCGCAGTCGAGCCTGGATATTGAAAGTCAGGAGTTGACATTGCGCTCGAAGGGGGCCCATGACTAGAATCGCTCGCGTTTGATACACATTGGGAGAATGATCTATTCAGATGAGCAGCCAGCGTATCTGCACGCCCTACAGAGATTTGAGGGACTTTCCAGCTCATTCGCTGTCCACAATCCTAAAGCGGAACAATTAGCTTGAGACCCAAGCATAGGTATTCGCGCGAAGACTGTAAGCGGAGAAAGGATGCATTCAGTCTTTGGTCACGTCAGGTACTTACGCACGTCCATTTTATCCTCCGGTGGTCTGAAGTCCTTTTGCTAATTTCAACGGCTCGTATGACCTTACTCAGCTTATATGTTGCTTGTAAAGATACGCTAAGCAATTCCAAAGATTTTCGGAAGGCTCTCACACAGGGCCGCTCCTTGCTAGAAGTGATACCACAAAAATTGGAATTATCTAAGATCGAGACCGGGCTGTGGATCCTCTCTTGTTCTCCCATTCCAATGCTCAGCCCATACCCCTGTGTTACAAGTTCAGTGGGCGTTGACTTTGACGGTCCATTATAGGATCCTACATCATTGTAACCGTTGAAATGAGCGCCATCTTTACACGAAGGAAGCGCAATCGCAGGGTCTGATCCGGTGGATGTAGAGGCGATTAGCGTCCGAGTCTGGATGCTCGGGGAACCTGGTCGTTCCAAGATAGTTTGGTCTACATACTGAGTCGTGGGGTTTTTCCGCTCCAATCTGTTCACTTATGTGGCGGTGTTCAACGACGATTGTTTCGCGCGGGGCAAGAACCTCAACGTCTGATTTTCGGATCTGCCTTTCTTTGTCATTACCCTGCGGTGCGATCTGACTGGCATGTTTTGTTTTACTGGGTTCTGGCGACGTGCGAGGCATTATTTCCACTTTTGGGCCGCCATAAGATAATGATTTCGATGCAAAAGCGCCCGAGAGACTAGACTTTGGGTAATATCGTGAGTCCGACTCCTTCTTTCGGAGGAAAATATCTGGTCCAGGACTTCGACGGCGATGTATTATTGCAGGCTTTCCGTATCTGCTTTTGAAAGGTTCGGCTTCCCCATTGCATCTTTTCACAGCGTCGCCATCTTCAAGGCTCTTTGTTGGAAAAATCATTGATAACATAAGAGCCATTTTTTGGAGACAACTCGACCACGCCAATCATAGCATTCGGTAGCACATTGTATAAGATGAAAGCTTCGCGCGATTGTGATGCTCTACCACAGATATCAAGTAATGGTCCAATTGGTATATTATAGGTCAGCTTTGATATAGATGTCTAAGGTATGTTCAATGGCGAGTATTTGGACTTTTCCTAAGTGCTGGTAGCAAACGCTAAAATGCGCTCAGAGGAAGCTATCGAGCAGTACTCAAAGGCCGCTTGGGCATGGGTGCATTGGACCAAAGATCTACTTGCATATGCGTTCGAAAGGAGCCAATTATAAAGTCGTGTAAACATATTTCTAGTGGTTTGGGCGCAAGAGCCAGATTTGCAACATATGCTGTGCTTGGCCATTACTGAATGTGCTGAATCTGAGACGCGGTGAATAGATGCACAGGATTGCAAGGCCAGAAACTTCAGCCATACAAAGCAAACACTAGCGACTGTGGCACGTTGACAACAAGGTGAGTTTCACAATTGGAAATCAACGCGTGGGTATTTGCCTGTTGAATCCCACATGGCGCCTCACGATTGCCGGGCAGCAGCTAGAGCCTTTGTGCACGGCGACCAATAGGATATCGCCACCTAGCAAGCGCGTTCACAAGCTTCACTTATATAATGGAGCATGGCATACCAGATTTTCACTCTTGGTAAGTCAGAGCGTCGCAATGTGCTGGGAGGATAGCGAGAACCGGGGAAGTCTGCTTTGGCGAGAAAGCAGAGAAAGCATGTTTTGTACCGCATATTGTGGACATGATTTGGTTCATTGTTAGGGAAGTGGACGATGCTTGGGTCTTATTCAAATTTTCTGTCATGATTGTCGTCGTTTGGTAATTTGGGCGGATAGATTCGTAATAGAGTTGCCACTTAGTAGATCCAGGAGAGCGAGCTCGACCCCTAGAATGTTTGAGCACCAATTTCGAAATTCTATTGACACAATGAGTCATTGCCATAAGCCATCAAAGGCTGATCAAGATCGATACCGCCAATAGGGATCGCCAGTAGTTGCGCAACTCTTTTTGCTAACTTCTTCTCCACATCCGTGGCCGGGCTCTGAGGCCAAGCCTGTGGGATGTTGGCAAGATCGATGGCTGGCATTTCGCTGAAAAATATCTTAACGTTTTTGAACTATTTCCTCTCCGACCTCATTTTTAAAAATCCATCTACACGCTTAGGCAGCACAAGTGGACGAGGCAAGGGCGTGGAAGACAAAGCAAAACAAACACCACAAGCCGAGCTTTTGTATTGTGAGCAAGAGATACAAATCACCAAAACTATCATTACGTACCATGACTTAGCTCCCTGTCCATGATCACTCAATATGCTCGTGCCACATCCAGGTTTAGGACAATGATTTAAAGGCAGCGCCTTGTACCTACCTATGCGAAAGGCCATCATGATATGTAGACCTGGTATTAATGCGCAGCTATCATCGGACGGCATTGCCTGTGTCATGTCCAGTGCGTTGCACGGCTCATATTCTCCGCTTTGGACCTTGTCCCTTCCAGGGCCAGATTTGAATTGTTCGCGTATAATGGCGTGGAGCAACTGACATTTCGATCAGCATGACCGAATATATCTAGGACAAAACCTACCCCAACGTTGTACTCCGTGGGCACTGGCAGGGGAACCCCAAGTGCATTTTTAAAAGCGGACCGGAAGCTGGAACCAAGTATACTGCGTAACCAGTCCTGGATGATTCTGCTGGGCCACAAGAAGCTGCACCATTTTTGTGTTCAAAACCCAAATCTTGCTGACAAGCACAACAAGTGCTTTCAGAGGAAGTACAACACTGCTGGGCAGAGTTGAAATGTCAGCTTACATTCAGCCACTTAATAGAAATGCAGGCTACCTGCTCATGGCTCGAGCTAGATATTCGACCGATTCTGATATACTACTGGCGCGGCTTTCTCGTTCTTCGGTCTTATTGGTTAATGCTTGTATCTCATTGGTCAAAGTCTCCATAGCAAAGGCATTCTGGGAAGCCATTTCTCTGCTGACCGCCGTCACTGTTGTACTGTTGGTCCTTAGCAAGCGAATTCCTTACGATGGCCAAGGGGACTTTTGAACGTTGAACGTAGCCAATCGCATATTCAAGTACCCAACGTGGCCAGCTATGTAGGCTCTCAGGTTGCAGACTTCCTCCTGCATCGTAAAGCCCCACCGTAACTTCCGGCCCCAAAGCTTACTCAAGTTCCATCCTTTCCGCTTGTGCTCGTCTGCGAGAACCTCATACTTGGCGGCTCTCTTTGAGAATTCATCTAAAGACATATTGGCAAGATAAAGCAGCGACCTTGACTGCATTTAGTTCTGGGGAACGTTCTAAAGGACACTCTAAATGTTCAATAGCATCGAGAGCGTGCTGTAAGCCAAACAATTCACGTTGCAAATGGCCATATTGGGAAGCCGGAGACGTAGATGCTATTCGCTTGATCAACGCCGCAGTCGCTAGGAAGTCACCAACAGAGAATCCAAACGACATTATGCAACGTGGAATGGCATATAAATATCATACTTCATGGCTTGATCGCGACAGGAGACGAGAAACGAATCTTTGCGGAGCACAGATTATTGAAAAGATGTAGGCACTTTAGCGCGGGCAGGATATAATTAAATCCTTAGCACTTAAAAAATTTCTCTACCCTTAAAAACCAGTATATAAATAGTTTTAAAACGATATTCTAAACCTTATAATTTATTTTAAAGATAAGATTAATATAAAATCTTTTAACTAATTATTTTAAATGTTATTTAAGCTTAAATATTTTTAATAAAAAAAAGTTTATAATCTTTAATTTAATTAATTTATAAGTATTTTATAAGTATTCTAGAAATAATTTTAATATAATATTATTAAGACTTAGTAAAATAATAGATTTTAAGAGAATAAAAAACTTTTATATTAATTTTAATCTTTAAAATAAATTAAAACATTTAGGATTATATTTTTAAACTACTTATATACTACTTTTTAGAAGTATAAAATTTTTTTCAATGCCAAGGATTTAATTATATCCTGCCCACGCTAACTCTTGGCACTCCGTCTTGCCCGTCCACTTAGCGTTCCTCTGATCTACTAATTTATAGACCATCTGCACGTGATCACGAATGCGCACTACTTCGACCGGCCAATTTTGCTTGTCCTTGACAGAGGCAAGATCATGCTGCTATTGCAATTGAATTTGCATCTTCCTGCACACGTCACATTGCGTTTTTCCAAGCATGGACGCTCTGGTTCACGGAACGCTCGCTCTTCCCTATTGAATGCATTGATACCGAAAGTCTCTACGCGTTTCGCAAACAAAATCAGCATGAGATGGCCGCAGTTAAGGCCTTAGAAGGTCGCACTGTTCACCAAATTCAGTCTGGGCAAGTAATAGTCGACCTTTGTTCCGTGGCAAAGGAACTTGTAGAAAATAGTCTTGATGCCGGGGCTACTGCCATTGAGGTCCGTTTCAAGAACCATGGTCTTGACTCCATCGAAGTCCAAGACAATGGGTCAGGCATCTCCGAGAATGATTACGAATCTATTGCTTTGAAGCATTACACGTCCAAACTTTCAACCTACAACGGTCTTTCATCTTTAGAAACTTTTGGATTTCGTGGAGAAGCTCTTTCTTCGCTGTCCGCGTTGTCTAAATTTTGTATCATCACAGCAAAGGAGACCGAAGCCCCTAAAGGCACCAGGCTTGATTTTGAGATTTCCGGCCAACTGAGAGGGAAATCGGTAATTGCAAGTCAGAGGGGCACGACAGTGATCGTGGAGAATCTTTTCCAGAACCTGCCCGTTAGAAGAAGAGAGCTCGAGAAGAACATCAAAAGAGAGTACAGTAGAGTTTTGAATATCTTGCAAGCATACGCTTGCATCAACACACAGGCGAGAATTTCACTAAGCAATTACATGACTAAGGGAAAGAAGGTCGTAGTCTTTGCTACTAAAGGCAATCATACAACGCGTGAGAATATTGCGAACGTATTTGGGGCAAAGTCGTTGACCAATCTGCTGTCAATGAATCTAGCACTTGAGATGGCACCTACCGGTACCGCAGTAAGATCGGGTTTTGGTGCACCGTAGGTCTCACCATGCGAAGACTTGTTGCTCAACTAATTGGGCAGTGATAAGCAAGTTCGTGCGATCGGGCATGTCTCTCGACCTGTCTTTGGTGAAGGAAGGCAAGCACCAGATCGTCAGATGTTTTTCGTAAATTCGAGACCTTGCGGACTGCCACAAGTGGCAAAAATATTCAATGAGGTCTACAAGTCTTATAACATGGCTCAGTCGCCATTCGTTTTCGCTAATATAATGTTGGATACGAGTATGTCATTTTGTGCCTGCATAAAACGAACGACTGATCTCAAAAGATGCCTACGATGTGAATGTCTCCCCTGACAAGCGGACAATTCTGCTGCACGACCAGGCAGCTCTACTGGAAGGTCTTAGAGTAGGTTCTCGCATCTGTCATCAGGATTGCTTGCTTGCTAAATCCCCAAGGCTTCTCTCACTGGCCTGTTCGATTATCAAGACCAAACCGTGCCGCAATCGGTCCCTTCCATCAATCGACTCCCATCTTACAAGCAACTGTCCCTGAGTCGTGAAAGTTCCATGAATAAGGAAGCAGCTTCTGTACGGATGGCAGATTCAGCCTCACGAGACCATTCTGCTAGCTACGGATCCTCTTCCGAATCTGATGAAGCTGTTCCAGACAAGGCGCCCCTGAATCTGATTGAACAGTTTGCAGCTCGAGGGACGACGGCACGTCTGGAGACCCCTAGATCCAGAACCACCGGAGATACCGGGACGACTGGCTTGTCTAAAGGCAAGCAGAAGTTATTGCGGAAGCTTGACAAAGAGAACCATATGCACCCTGGTTCGGACGACTTTGACGATGCGCGCGATGTGACGGAGTCAGATCGGCTGCAGCAAGACCTCCCAAGGGCCGTTCGGGATTTCAATGACCGTTTGGCCGAGCATATCACAAATAGTAATCCAGTGGATGAGCCCGAAGCATCATCGAATGAAGAAGAGGCAGCGACTACTGACAATGACCTCGAAAGTGCACAAGCTCAACGAGCTCCGCAATCGAGCATTATTCACAACGCTTTCGACCGCATGCGTCCAAGGCGGCGATCACCCGAAGTGCCAACAGTCACAATTGAATCGAAAACTACGGACTCGATATTTCAATCCTTAGCAAGCGATCAGAGAAGAACTCACCCAGGGCCATCGCTTTCGAAGCAAGCTCATTCTCCAGGCGAATCTACACGCCAGGCCTTCAGTAGCAGCATGCGGGCTTTTGCAGCTCCAGAAAGTAACTTCATTCCAACTGTTGGTCCACCACGTAGCAAATTACGTCCGTCGAAGCACGGGCAGCATCATCTGAGCCGAGTGAGGGACGGCTCAAACACCTCCGATGATGAAGCAGAGAGCCCAAGTCAAATGACAGAGGACGAAAGTCTTGACGAAGCTTCTGAAGACAGCGAGCACGAGCTTAATGCGACAGAATCCGATCTTGACTATATTGATGAAGACGAGAAAAAGGCCATGGAAGAGAGAAGAGTTGCAGAAATAATCAAAGATGCCGAAGCAGCTAGAATGGTACCCTCTGAAGAGAGCAGTAAACGGGCCCGTCAGGTACTCAAAGGTAGTATCACGAAAGACTCGACACATGAGCTAATGCAAAAGATCAATACTGGGCTTGATCAAATAGGTCGACAGTTGAAAGCAATCCAAGCAGCTATTAGTCAACCCTTAGCTATTGACACATTAGATTCAACCATCAACACAACTGCCCTAAACTCGCCATCGACTGACCCTTCCGCTCCCGACCGTCTGACCCTCACGATAACCAAACAAGACTTCTCCAACCTTCACATAATCGGCCAATTCAACCTTGGCTTCATCCTCGCCCTACGAAACAACACAGATCTTTTCATCATCGATCAGCACGCCTCCGATGAGAAGGTCAATTTTGAGCACCTTCAAGCTACTACGGTGATGCAAAACCAACGACTTGTTCATCCACGCCGCCTGGACCTCTCCGCCGTCGATGAAGAGATCATTCTTGAGAATGAGGATGTGTTGATGAAGAACGGTTTTGTCGTCGAGGTTGATCAGAGCGGTGACTTTCCCGTCGGCCAGCGTGTTTCACTGGTCTCACTACCGATGAGTCGAGAAACGACCTTTAGGCCATCGGATCTGGAGGAATTGGTTGCAATATTGGCGGATGCGCCTTCATATACAATCGGCGGCACGGCGAGAGGTGGTGAGCTGGAAGGCGGAGGAGTACCGAGACCGAGTAAAATCAGGAAATTGTTGGCCATGAGGGCTTGTAGGAGTAGTATAATGATTGGGAAGGTAATGACGAAGGGGATGATGGGACGATTGGTGGGGAAGATGGGGAAGCTTGATAAGCCGTGGAATTGTCCGCATGGTAGACCGACTATGAGACATGTTTGTGGGCTTGAAGGATTAGGAGGTGACGGTGAGGAGGAGGAAGAAGTAGAGGGGGAGGGCATCGATTGGGGAGCGTGGGTCGAGAAAATGGTGGGTGTGGAAGGAGGTGAGATAGATGGCGGCGGATCAGAGGGGAGTCCAGTAGATATGGCGGGGTTTGACCAAGCAGATGACGGCGAGAGGTAGAGAGATGAATCGTGATCTTGGTATGTTCAATTTACACCTATATACGCCACGCTCGTACATGACATTTTTGCTTTCCGTGGTCTTTGGTACTGTGAAATACCTATGCTTTCGTGGGGATCTACATGTTTCCAATCGTGCTTCATATCCTTGTTTCTTCAAGACATTATTATCTCCAAGCGCCGCCGTTCCCTCTCCCCTCTTCCATCACCTTCCCACTAACCTCTCTAGCTCTCACACCACCACTTGGCAAGAAGTTGCCCTGACTGATCTCAACTCCGCTTCGACTGACAACTCTCCCACCTCCTCCACCTCGAGAACCCCACTGCCTCGCCTTACCGATCCCTACCATCGGTGGCCCCCAATTACCAGTGCTGGGGGTCAGAGCGCGAGTGTCGGTGTCCGGCTTGTTACCATGATTACACCTTAGGCGAGGATCGATGGGCGGTGTTGGCGGGTTCATAGAGAGTGGCTGTGGAAGCATTGGAGCTTGATTCTCGTCTGCATACTCAAATGGGCGAATTTGGGAGAGTGGATGGTAATTATTGGTTTTGGGCTTTAGAAAATTGAGGTCTCGCGGTGGGGAGGGAGAGGGAGACGGAGCAGCATTTGGATGAGCAATCCAGTTGTTCTCAGAGAGCGAGATCTCTGTGAGTGGCTGGCTGGTTGCTGTCGCTGTTGAGTAGACTGAGGATGCCTTGGTCGGGGAGCGCTTGAGTTCTACTTGCGGTGGAATCGCTTTTGCTGGCTCTTGCTGTACCAGTGCGGGAAAGTATGTTCGTGATGTGCGGACAGATGGAGCCTGACCACTTGGTCGGTCTGAGACATCCATTCTGGATGCTCGAGGGCTGAAGCTTGGACTAGGCACGTTGTTGATGTTTGTGTGGGAGCTATTTCGGGTATGCATGAATGGTATGTTACGGACTGGTGAGATGAGTGGTTCTTCAACCTTCGACTCCCGCTTGGACGCTATTGCCGTACTCGCCTGACTCATGTCCGACTTTTTGTGCTTATGTCTCGAGGTAAGATTGTCTTCTAGGGGATTCATATCTGGTGGGAGCCTTGCAATCTTGCGATATATGACGCCAAGATAAATGGATAGGATCAGAGATACGAGATGTAGACCACCATTCGTAACGCTAAATAGAAATGTCGCTTGTATGATTTGATGTGTCGCCATGTCGTCATTGAACAAAGTCTTCCAAAGGCCTTGGTGAATAGCATTTCGGGTGACTAATGCAGTGAACACTAGGAAAGGGACCAACCCTGCGTCCATGATAGCTGCAAAAAGCATGTAGCTTGCTGAGAATGTAGGTGTTCGACCTTTCGAGGAGCGCGACAAATGATAGATAGCATAGATGGTATGCAGGATGGCAACTGCTGGCTACATATTGTCAATACAGCCCGTTCATTGAAGGCTTACTCAACTCACCGGAACTCTAATGATCCAGCCTGTCGTTACTTCCGTACCTCTGATGCAGATTACGCAGACAAGCATTCCGAGTGCTCCCAGTAGCGCACAAACTCGTAGGAACAGCTGACTCATTCGCGTCCAATTAACTTTTGACTTTGTTCTTGGACTCATTGGTTTAGAGTTGAGATTCCCATAGGGTACGATGAAGTATGAGTCTGGATGGCGGTTGAACTCTTTTGACTGTATGAGGGGACCTTCAGGCTTTGGTCTGGGCTGGCGTGGTGTCCAGCTTGCCTGAGTTGCTGCTCGCGGGTTGAATCCATGATCGGAGGGAGCGACGAAAGAGTATTTGGAAGGATGGTCATACATGTATGGTTGTTGCGCACCCATGACTGCTGATTCAATATCAAAATAAATTGAGGATGCTTTATCATTTCAGATTGGGTATACGTTGCAGAGAATTGCTATACTCAAAGGTCCCTGGCAGGCCGATTTCGCGATGTTTAGAAACTACCGCATTCGCGTATTGATAACGGGCCGATCCGGCATTGGCAGAGCAACGAGGCGTCCTATCCGAAAGCGCATCGCCTTAAACTTTCATATTTGGAGTACATGTATTCCAGATTGACTGCTTTCTTGCCCCCTGTTTAGGTTGGTGATGCTTCATAAAAAGCTTTGCCAGCCCTCCTGGAATTTGTTGAAAAGAAAAGGTAATAATTCGCAATTGGAGTCTCGCCGAATTATTGGAACCCAGATCAGGTACAATAGCCACATCGTCAGGAATGGCCGCAGCTTTCGCATGGCCATCATTGGCTCGGGGCCAGCAGGCTTCTATAGCGCGTATAAAGTCATGTCAATAATCGAACATGCCAAAATCGACATGTATGACTTTCTGCCTATCCCCTTTGGTCTAGTTAGATTCGGGGTTGCACCTGATCATCCTGAAGTAAAGGTAGGCGAGTTAAAAATTCCCTCCCCATGCAATAGTATCATTGTTACTTTTCTCGGGGATCAAGCTGTTGATCTTCCTCATTTGCAGAATTGCCAAGAAAGATTCAGTGAAGTTGCTTCGTCTCCCAATTTCAATTTTATCGGAAACATAGATGTAGGGAAAAGCTTGACTTTGAAGAAGCTTAAAGGCCATTACAATGCCATCCTTTTTGCATATGGAGCGTCCCAAGATAGGAAACTTGAGATCCCGGGAGAGGACGGATTGAAGGGCATTTACTCTGCGCGGCATTACGTTGGATGGTACAATGGACTACCGGAGCATGCGGAACTGAGCCCAGATCTATCAACCGGAGACACAGCTGTTGTCATTGGACAGGGAAATGTTGCTCTTGATGTAGCGCGGACGCTCTTGACTAATATTGATGTCCTGCGCAAGACTGACATGACGGATCGTGCTTTGTCCGTGCTGTCTAAAAGTAGAATCAAAAGGGTGCACGTCATTGGGAGGAGAGGTCCTATGCAAGTAAGCAGCCATTCCTCTTATACTTGTCCCAAAGACCTTTTCAACTAAAAGTCGAAAGGCTGCATTCACTATCAAAGAGTTGAGAGAGCTACTTCACCTACCCGAAGTTTCCTTTAGCAAAATCGACCCTTCACTTCTGCCTCCGCCTGAAAACAAGCTTCCTCGCACACCTCGACGGATGGTCAACTTACTGAGAGAGGGCTCTACAACTCCATCCGATATGGCAAATAGATCTTGGAGCTTTGACTTCATGCAATCTCCACGGAGATTCGTCGGACACGAGAGTCGGCGAGAGCTGAAACAGGTGGATTTTGAGGAAAATCGTTTCCAGGAGCTTTCGCAGCGGTTTGAGCCCTCCGCAAGACTGGGCCCGACGACAAGAGCGACTACCAACTCAATTACAACGTCCATTGCCTTTCGTAGCATTGGATATAAGTCTGTACCAATCGACGGAATGCAAGAGCTGTCAATACGATTCAATGCAGTCCGAGGGATCATTCCAAACGATGGATACGGACGTATTCTCGACCATCCCGACTCCTCGACCTCATCTGAGGGCCAAGGAGATGCATTGCCCGGACTTTATTGCGCAGGCTGGGTCAAGCGCGGCCCAGCGGGAGTAATCGCGAACACAATGGAAGACGCCTTTGCGACTGCCGAAGCCATCGCCAAGGACTGGGAGAGCGCAAAACCATTCTTTCCCGGTGGCGAAGGCTGGGATATTTTGTCTACCGAAGTCGCACAGAGGGGTTTGCGAACCGTGTCTTGGATGGATTGGTTGAAGATCGATGAAGCAGAGAAAACCCGTGGCAAGGCCGCGGGAAAGGAAAGAGAAAAGTTTACGACTATCTCCGAAATGCTTTCCGTGTTGGATTGACGGGAAAGGGCACATCCCCTTGTTGATTTTCAACTAATCACTGGGTGCTTTCCTCGAGTTCGACAACCCTCGTTCCTTGAGCGCGTCTCTGAGTTGCCAAATGCCCTATGGATGATGAATGTTTCAAGACGGTCAGCTGGAAAGTTTCGAAGACCAATCAGCTCCGTAAAGAGGTCTTGAATTCTTTAAGTCCTCGAAGCACTCGTATCGGGTCGAAAGAGACTCCTACTGAGAAGCCACAGGCCATTTCCGCTGGTGAAACCACAGTCCTCGCTGTGACTGAAGGAACTCGATGGTGCAAAATGAACATTTTACGGCCACCGGCAGAATCTGCAAACCCCATCAATCTTGTGTCACCTATATAATAGGTCGTGCACCATGTCGCCAATGGCAAGCGAACTAGTCAGGCCAGGACTCTCAATCCCTAATAGATTGACGAAACCCTCGAAGGCATCCTCCTTTCGGATCACAAAATCGGAAAAGCCATCGCCTTTGCCTCTCGCGACCGCGCTGCCTTTTCCAAGCTTGGGTCTGATGCCACTGTAGTCCAGCTGGACCCTTTCTCTTTGAATACCTGGTAGATACGTCTCGATTTGATCAAGTGCTGCAGAAAGTCTGGTTTCATTTACTGAAAGATCATGAGGGTTGTCTATCCACTCCACATCAGGGCCAAAGCGAATTTGTCCCGCCATGTCAATGGTTAGATGGGTTCCCAGGCCAGCAGCACCGGGAGATGGAGCCGGGTAGAGTAGCGTTTGAGGTTTCGGAGCAGGTGCAGAATAGGAATAGTACGACCCTTTTGCAAAATAAGGCTTTACATGCCTTGATGGAGGAAGGATAGCATTAGATAGATCCACAGCTGCAAGGCCGGCACTATTGACCAGCGTTTCGGTAGTAATGCTGGTGATTTCATGTGCAGACCCAGACTTGATATCAACCTTCCAGCCTCCCTTACCGGAATCGATTGGCTTGACGGATTGAAGCTCGGCATGGCAAGCCAGGTCGCCTCCCTTTGATTGAAAATCGCTTTCGAGGAAAGACATGTACGCGTGGGAATCAATGATACCAGTCGTCGGGCTTTCGAGCACAGCCTGCTCAGCTCGTACGTCTGGCTCGCGCGATCTTACCTCTGGAAGCGGAAGAAAGTGGATGGGCACGTCAATGGACTTTGCAAAATCGTAGGTCTTTTGTAGCTCTTCCTGTTGTTGAGGATCCTGAGCAATTACCCACTTTTTTGTGTTTCTGTACGGAATACCCTGCTTCTTGCAGAGGTTGTACATCATGTTCTTGCCTTTAAGGCATAGTTCCGTCTTGAGAGAACCTGGCCCGTAATAGATGCCAGCATGAATTACTTCAGAATTACGGCTACTTGTCTCTGTACCCACAGCACCGTGCCTCTCGACCAACAAAGTCGAGGTGCCAGCCCTCTCGGTAAGTCTACGCGCTGTCGCAAGACCTACAGCTCCAGCCCCGACCACCTACAGAGGTAAGTTTAACATGGTGGCGGTTTGTGATATGACGTACTACATGGGTATAGTCCGCTGCTTTGTTTGATGTTGATGCAAAAGAGCGTACTCCAGATAGACTCCTGCTAGCTCGAGATAAGGTGCTAGAGAGCATGCTTACAATCAGAAAAAGTACAAGTTTGCGCGCTTCAGTTGGAGTTTCCAAAATTTGAAGACATAAGTGTTTTGATTAGTAAGCACCGGGTAAAACTTCCCATTCCGCAAAATTGCTTGCTCGTTGTGCGCATGAAGATCTTCAGCATATGTAGGGAGTATGGCGCCAGAATCAAAGTCACTGACCCAAAAAGTCGCATTGGGATCGCCTTATCAGTTAGACAAGAACCAGGTATGTGCTGCAATTCGTGTCTTTGGCCCTAGCTTTGTTAAAGAAGCCGCCAGAGTCTGAAAGCTTCCTCCGCCCTTTTGAAGAACATCTTGCGATCAGCGCAGACAAAAGACGTCTCCGCTCAAAAGAGAAATCTACTTGCAGACGACTCAACAGACTCAGCAGATGCTGAGACAGTATGGCTTGTGCTGACTACCAAGAAAAATATCGTACCTCAACCTCGACTCAAGCCTGGAAAAATTTTACTACCTCACTCCCTGAATATTGCCAGAAAGCCGTCGATATGTCTCTTAACTCCTGATCCTCAACGACAGTATAAGGATCTTGTCGCACACTCGTCATTCCCACCTGAATTGGCAACATGCATCAACCGCGTCATTGGTCTTGAAAAATTGAAAAAGAAATATCATTCATACGAGTCACAGCGACAGCTACGTGACAGCCATGACATTTTCCTTGCCGACGATAAAATCATCACATATTTATCCAAGACCATAGGTAAAACATTTTACAAGACGGCTGCGAAGAGACCCTTTCCCGTGCGTCTAGCGGAAGAAAAGCAGAAGTCGAATAAGAAACAACTTGCCCTTCCGAGTACAAAGGCAAAGAAAGAAAGTGGGGAATCTAAGCTTGTTAAAACACCACAAGCTGTAGCGAAAGAAGTAGAGCGTACACTCTCTATGACCCCTATTTATCTTTCACCATCGGCTACCACGTCTATACGTGTGGGACTCTCGTCACAGTCACCGCAGGAACTCGCCGAAAATATCGAAGCGATAGTCTCTGGGGTAACAGAAAAGTACGTGCCCCGACAATGGAGGGGTGTGAAATCAATTCACATCAAAGGAGCAAACACAATGGCCATTCCAATTTGGCTGGCGGATGAGCTATGGGAAGACGATGCCAAGGTTTTAGGAGACGTTGAGGCCGAAGAAAAGAAAGCCAGAGCATTGCACAAGGCGAAGAAGAAGAGGGCCCTTGAGAACGGTGGTCTATTGGCAGAAGATGTTCAAAATCCAGAGACAGGAAAGCGAAAAGCAAAAGACTCGGTGGAGGAAGGCCTCAAAAGTAAGAGATCTAAGGGTGATGAAGATGGTCTCAGCCAGGAGATGAAAGAGAGGCGAGAGAAGTTGAGACAACAAAAGAAGGAGCTCAAGGTAGCCATGGAAAGGACGGGTTCCAGTGTGAAACCAGGGGGAATTGTCAAAGCAATGTCATAAGCTCAAATACATAGCCAAGTCTTACGAGGTCACAGCTCCTCCTTGTGCTCTGCGTACATCATCTCGAACACTCCTGTCAGAAGCTCTTCCGTGATCGTCATATGCCCTCCCTCCGCAAGCTTGAGCTCTAGGCGGCCCTCCTGATCCAACTTCTTCAACCCAAGCCAATCCTCCTTATACAAGGCCCTATCCCTTAACCCCGTCACATTCCTCTCCCCATCCTTCTCGACCACGTCATCGAACCACGCGCTCTCAGGAGGCACGACGACCGTATCTTCCGTAAACATATACATCCAGAATCTCTCCAATCTCTGCAGATTCTCGCGATGCGTCTGATTCTTGACAACTCTCTCATTGTTCAAATCCGCAAGCCAATTACTGTACTCCAAATAACTCTCCAAATCGTCAAGACTACGATAGTATTGCGCCGGTACCAGTTTGCTCTGCACGAAGCTCGTCCACGTCTGCGTTTCCAGCAATCCCTCCCATGCTGCGCAGACGAAAGGTCCTAAGCCACTGTCTTCGCAATTATTGAATTGTGTAATTCCATTATGCTGACTCCCGAACGTCACCAGTTTTTTGACTGGAGGTTGATTGCACTTTTCGACATACGCACGCATAAATTGCCCACCTTGAGAGAAGCCAATAGCATTGATGGCGGAAGTGGAATTGAGGATTGGGTCAAGGGAGATGGAATCGCAGACTTGAGCTATTTGCTCCGTCACATTGCCGAAGAATGTGGCTTTCTGGTCACCGCTGGCGTCGGAGGCAAGGCGGATGTTGTAAGTGTAGGTGGGGCCTTGGGTGGTGTTCAAGAGGGACCCAACCGAGGTGATGCCGTCGGAGTCGAAACTAGATGACGTCAGAAGAGGCTATGGGGAGAGAGCGGAGACTCCTGCGTACGTATCACCTAATCCATGCCAGACTACTAGCGGAATCCTGCCTTGACTCGTTTGAGCTTGGAGTGGACGCTGGTGAGGCAGGGCCGAGGCGACGGCTGTAAGGCTGCACCAAAAGCAGGTGCGCTTCATATTGTGTGATAATGAATACTAGGCACAAGAGAGCTCCAAGGGTGGTGATGGGGCGTGTACCAAAAGGGAGATAGATTCAGGCAACGACGTACGTTGAAAATGCCTGTTATGTCGTCAATAAAGATCGAGATCGACGCCACACCACGTGCCCCGGCGAAGCAGACAGCGGGTCGGTCCAAGCCGCTGGCGCGTGTGTAAGGCAAGATACATGTTCTTAATTGTGTCTGCCTTTGAGTTCTACACCACTCCCGCTTTCAATCCTACAATCCTGTGTATGGCTCCCGTCCACACGACAGTGAAGACAGCAGATGGAAAGACAGCGCCGCACCCATCTTACATTGAAGTAGCTAAGCTATATATATTTCAAAACCAGATTGTCGACTGTCTTACCAAAGATGGACTTGCAGAAAACAGAGACGACAAGGCACGACTGGAAGGAATATCATGGATCGACAGCGTCAGGAAAGTGTTGCATTTGTAAGCTTCTTGAACAAGCAAAGAGTCAGTGGTCTCTGACAGATACAGACCGGTCCGAACATTCAATACAGCTGCAGTCTATTTCCATAAATTCCGATTGATGCACCCCGAAAGCATCGGACATCTTGTATTCTTCCTGGTGTACTCCAAGCATCATGTCTGATTATGATCAGGATGCAGCAGGTGCAGCGCTCTTTGCAGCCTGCAAGATTGAGGACACTCTCAAGAAATCGAAAGAGATCTTGTGCGCAGCGTACAACCTGAAGCTCTCGCCCTCTGAGCGCTTGACGATCGATGATCCTGTATGTAGCCACCGATCATATGAAGCAATTCGTTGTTTTGACAATGACTCACATAGATGTTTGAGCAACACTCCCGCAACATAATAGGCCTAGAACGCCTCATGCTCGAAGCATCCGGCTTCGACTTCCGGAATCGTTACCCTCAGCGCCTGGTGCTCAAGTTATGTAAACATCACGACCTCCCCCCTCCACTACCAAAATCGCCTACAACATCTGCATCGACCTTTATCGCACCTTCGCCCCCTTGAAACAAACTTCATTCACCCTTGCGCTAGCTTGCGTCGAGCTCGCCTGCCGCCTGCACGACGAATCTCTCCCTCCCACCATACACTCTCCCGAAACATACAGAAGCCTTCGAATCACACGGACCGAGGTGATGGAAACACTCTCCGACCTCCTCGACCTCTACATAAACCACAAATCCTCCACCCTTGGGTCGAACTATCAAATAGACAAATTTCTCAACATCCGCATCACGCTGAATCAAGAAGTTCCTTCTGAGCAGACACCTGCACATCCGACATTGAAAGGCAAGCCGGAGAAACGACCACCCTCGCAGCCGCAGACGAATGGGGTTAATAAGAAGAAGAAACATAAGCAGAGCCCTATCAGTCCGACAGTCAATCTCCAAACTTCGCCGAAGTCTAGAGACGAGAGGGGTCATGGAGGGTCGGGGGTGGGGGAGAAGGAGAAGGAGAAGGAGAAGGAGAAGGGAAAGCCCGGCTTGAAGGAGGGGACCGTGAGGTTTATGCTGAGTCCGAGACGGGCGGCGGAGGAGAAGGAGGTGGTTGATGGCTTTTTCAAGACGGTGGAGTTTGAGGAAATTGTTGAGGTGCCTGTTGAGAGGGGGAGGCGGTGACGAGGACAAAGCCTACGTTAAGCTGAAGTGATGAGGATTTCTGTACGAAAGTTCACGCTGAGGCTATAGAACCTGAATCACGAGAGATCGTCGAAAACATGGCTGTGGGTCTACATGCACATCAAAGCTGGTTGAGTGTCTACAACTGAGCTCTTCTAGCTCGCCTTCCTATAGCCACGTAGCCGTAATGCTGACTGCGAGGAAGAAGGACAGGCTCCGATGCGTGAATTCCCAGCATGGCTCCGAATTTCAAGTGTGAGCTGTAAGTGTTTGGCTCTAGCTGGATGTCTTTATGTAATTATACGGGATTATAATCGTTACGCTTTATCTTTATTTTCCTCATCTCCACCCTCTTCCGGCACCCCTTCCTCCACTTCATTTATGCTTGCCCTCCTCGTAGTAGTCGCCCTTGTACTAGGGGCGGTACTCATCACGCCCATCAGCCCCTCTGCTTCCTCAGGACTGACCCGCTCCTCCAACATTCTTTGCGCGATATCCATAACATCATCCTCGATTCCCTCCTCAAGAAACAAACCCTCACTAAATGCGAGCCTTGTCAACACAATCAAGAATTTTTTCTCGCCACCAGGAATTACGCTGAGCTTCTCCGCAATATTGAAATGCTCAGTGTAGTTCTGCATGAAGTAGAAGAGGAGACGGGTTGCTTGATTGACCAAAGCTATGAGTAAACTGTGCGCAGCGGTGTAATCGTATGCATGCGCTAGGCTATCATTCATCAAGCGCACGAGGCGGCCGATCAGAAGCTTATGCCGGCAGATTGCAAGTACCGCGTAATCGTTAGCAGCCATCTCCTGCACAAGATCTAGAATTGAGAGACGGAGACCAGCAAGCTCGAGCCCTGTCAGGAGAGGCTCGCCTTGAGTGGGGCGGGGTGGTTCAACCAGCAAGCGGGAGAGGTTTTCAAGGACGCGGGATTCGGTGGCGTCTTGTTTTCCGTCACCAGGTGGGATTATCATGGCGAAGCTGTTCGCAAGAATTGAAGTATGCAGGATACGTAGTGTTAGGTGGAGCTCGTGGATTGGGTGGATGAAACTGAGAAGCATCATTACGAAGTCGAATCGGATGGTGCGCCAGAATCGGGTAGACTCCTCCCTGTAGGGCGAGACTTGAGTAGCCATTAGGCGCATTGTTTCGAGGCAGTCGGTGGAGGATATCTGGGCACGATCAGGGCGAGGAGACTTCTTTTGGCAACGAGGGATGATGACTACGTCGGCGATTTCCTGGAGCAGCGACATGAGGCTGTTTGTTAGGTCAGGTGCTATTTTGAAGGGTTTGATCATGAGAATGAACATGACTTGGTCGACAAGAAGGCGAATAGGATCATGATACTTCTCCTGAATGCATTGGGCCAAGAGCGAGATGACTTCGAGAGCAATTGCTGAAGGCAAGTTGGTAGTGTTTGGCGACATGTGCAAGGGAGAAAGCTTATCTAGAAGCAAAGTGGAAAGAGCCATGCTCGGCTGTGACGGAAATTTGTACCTCGCTAGAGTCTCAATGGTTCTCTCCTGGAACCCTGTCAGGTGATGGTCAAGAAATCTCTGGAGAAACGTCAGATCCTGGTCTTGACGTATAGGTGCTTGAGGAGTTGGCTCAGACGGAGTTTTCTGAAGCGCTGGCCCTCTATCTCCGGAAGAGTCATTTCCTAGAGGCCGATCAAGCTCTAGGGACTGTTTAGTGGGACTGTCCCCAGGTGGTTTTCTCTTCCTTTTGGATCCTGCTTTAGGAGTCCCGACTTTAGCCCTGAGAGCGAGCTTGGAAGGGGAGAGAGGCTGTATTTCGCCGTCATCAAAACCATCACCTAAACCACTCCGTTGCTTTTTGGGGGTCGTGGTTTTAACATCGACTGATTTGTCTGCGTTCTTCATGGCCTGTTGGAGATTGCGAACCTGCTTCGTACCTTCCGCCAGATCATTTTCAAGAAAGTCTTTCTCAGTAGCAATCTTCTGCAATTCTGCCTTCGCTTTCTCCAGCTCAAGCCTTTGTCTCGTGACTTCATCGCTGTGATCCTTTTGCATTGCTTTCGCCCTATTTTCGTACTCTTTCTCGATCTTAGATGCGTTTGCGCGGACAATAGCAATCTCTCCGAACTTTGCATAAGTGTTGTCTTTCGCGGTCTGAATCTCCCTTCGGAGACTTTCTCGTTCTTGTAGAAGCTGACAATAGATGAGCAAGGGTCAATTTACAACTGAGCGGATTACTGACAAGGTCTACCTGCGCTTGTAGATTAGCCCCACCGCCACTGCTTTGAATGGGACGATGGCCATTGACTGCTTGAGTTTGAGATACTGCTCCTCTCTGATCGGGCAAGATAGAGGGCACGTGAGACTCAAAGGCCCTAGATCGTTCCTGGGCTCTAGTGGGCACTACTGGTTCAGACCGTGCATAGCGCTGCTGCCGCCAAATTTCTCTTTGCGTGCTTTCACCAGGAGCTTCACAATTCTGCAAATTCTGCTGGATCGCAGCAGCTAGACTTGGTTGCTCATTTGCGTCAAAAATTTCTCCATCGAGCATCTCATCGTCAAAGTCTCCATAATCAGAGGATGGTCCATGCAAACCATTCTGTTGCCAGGTTGTGTTTGCGTCCGGCCGTACAGAAAGTCTCCCAAACCCACCAGCCAATGCCGCAGGATTTGGTCTGTGGGATTTGTACACCGGCAGCCTTGGAGGAGGCACTGCACGTTGTGTATTTACAAATGCGTCTTGCTCGAGGGACTGAAATGCATTATTAGGAAGGGCGTCTAGGTCGTCATCTGAATATGAATCTTCTTCGCCGACCTGGCCGTCCATGACACTCGTTATGTCGCGGCATGAAGATATATTTCTTCATGGAGGATTGAAGATCATATAACCTAAATGAAGAAGTCACTGTCAACGGGTCGGAGACGCGGGGACACGCGCCGCTAGCGTCCGCCGGAGTTAATGCGTGTGGAAATGACGCTGACCATAGCAACCTTACAGCTATCTGACGGTCTAGCTGACTGTAAGCTACTCAAGACCCAACGAACACGCCCGCCACAGATGTCGCCACCAGATTACTTGTAGCTGCACGACTGTGCTGGCAATACTGGTTGAGGTCTAACCACCTGGTCAACGCACTCTACCATAGGGTTTGCCTCTGGCACCTGGCAAGGTTGAGAACGTCACTTTAGAAGCCATCAAAGTTAATTCAAGAAACTCGCACGGTATGGTCCGACCACGGAAAGGAGTGCAGTTCCAGCATCGAGGAGGTTCTGGGAGGAGAGCGAGCGTGGACGAGGGTGAAGGGGCTTCAGAACCCGGGAGCCCCACAAGGCAGGCATCGATGAACGGGAAGCTTGAGACTAGCAAGGAGGAGGTCTGGGATACCCTCCGAATAGCAGACTGCAAGCTGACAGATCCATAAGGATGAGACCCCCCGCAGTCCGAGTATGAAAAGAAAAAGCAAACGTTCATCACTAGAACAATATGGAGCATCGTCATGATCGCCGGGTTCTTCGTCTGCCTCTTCTCTGGCCATATTTACATCATTGGGATCGTCACAGCGATTCAGATCATCTCCTTTAAAGAAGTCATCGCCATTGCCAGTGTACCGAGTAGAGCGAAGAACCTCCCATTCACACGAAGCCTGAACTGGTACTTTCTTGGGACGGCAATGTACTATCTCTACGGAGAAAGTGTGATATACTACTTCAAGCACATAGTTCTGATCGACAAGGTCTTGCTGCCATTTGCGACCCACCATCGATTCATTAGCTTCATGCTCTATGTCATAGGTACGGACATCGGTCAACTGGTTGTATCACAGCGCTGACCGTCTCAGGCTTCGTTTTCTTCGTCACTTCGCTTCAAAAAGGCCATTACAGATTTCAATTCACTCAGTTCGCTTGGACACACATGGCGCTATACTTGATTGTTGTTCAAGCACACTTTGTCATGAACAACATCTTTGAGGGGCTCATCTGGTTCTTCCTGCCGGCAACCCTGGTCATCGTGAACGACATCTTCGCGTATATATGTGGCATGCTCTTCGGGAGGACTCAGCTTATCAAGCTATCGCCGAAGAAGACTGTCGAAGGCTTTGTTGGTGCATGGATATGCACCGTCATCGCAGCATTCGGCCTTACAACTCTCCTTATACGATCAAAGTACTTTATTTGCCCAGTCAACGTATGTCCGAACATTCAACACTTTGTGCTTCGCGAGGAACTAACAGACCATACAGGACCTTGGTGCCAACATTTTGACAGGCCTCAATTGCACACCCAACCCCGTCTTCATACCCCACACCTACCAACTACCCTCCGTCCTCACTAGTAACTTATTTTGGAACAAGGCTAGCCTCCCAAATGACATACTCATCGCTCCCATCCACTTCCACATCCAGGTTTTTGCAGCCTTCGCCTCGCTCATCGCCCCCTTCGGTGGCTTCTTCGCCTCCGGGCTCAAACGCACCTTCAAGGTCAAGGATTTTGGCGAGTCTATACCTGGTCATGGCGGTATCACCGACCGTATGGACTGCCAGTTCATCATGGGCATGTTCACTTTCATGTATTTCCAAAGTTTCATTGCTGTATATAGGGCGACCCCTGGTGCCGTCATTGAGATGGCGGTGCAGGGTCTTGAAGAGGAGCAGATTGTTGAGGTTGTGAGAGGCCTATCGAAATATCTGGCTGGTCAGGGTGTGGTTGGGGATGGTGTGGTAGAATGTTTAAACAGGGCCTTGCCGGCAAGGCGATAATGGGGATTTCTCTACTATCTCTAATTGATGATAGTGTTGGTAATAACTTTCTACCTTCTTTGTAGCGATTTGTTCTTTTGTTGCTATGATGGCAATAATATCTACGACCGATCTCAATATAATTTTCGTGTTTCAGGAGAAGTCAAAAGCCTGCCAGTTTTCCAGCGCTCCAACCGCCAGAGTTCAATTTGCATGTCTGAATGTGCAGGGCTACTCTTCATTGAGTATTCGATCTGGAAGGGTCCTTGCGAAAAATGACGGACAGGCTAGAAGCCCGTAATGAAGAATGAATTCAGCATGAAAAGTCCGTTCGGAAACTAAAACAATCATTTGATGGCTTCTCTAAAAAGCCAGGAAGTATCAACAGGGTATCATAAATAAATAAAGAACAAGGCGAACGATGCTAAAATTTCAGCGAAATTGGTCTCCTCCCCTTCGGACCCTGCTTGCCCACCTTTGCTTGTCAGAATCAGCTTCTGACTTAAGTCGTCGCGCTTTTCTTCGCTCATACACCGCCCTGATCGTCTGTTTGGTTTGCGCAGCACCAGCCTCAAAGTTTGCGCGAGCTAGGGCAACAACGTTGTCAATCTCGTCAGGCGTGTAGATGAAATTCCAGGTACTGAGGTAGGGCGACTTTTCTGGATCTACGCCCTCAACCTTTGGGTTTGGGAGTAGTGGAAAGTAGATCATTGTTATACCTGCATCAGGGGATGCAAGCTCCCAGTCTTCGTTTGGCTGAAGACGTTTTGATTTTGGTGGTTCTGCAGTGCTTGTCCGGGTGAGTGTTGTGCCGACCCATACATTACAGTATCCTAATTCGGAGTCGGGTGCGCTCTGAGGCGCAGGCTGCGAAGTGCTGTCATTAGCCTTGTCATCCTTCTCATGTCTCTGCTCCTTGGTCTTCACTGCCTCCTCGACCTTTTCGATTGCTTTTCCAGGGGCAGTCGCGTCAATCTCATCCAATACTTTATGAGTATCTTCAATGGATAGCTCCTGCTTCGGCCAGCCAGCGCCTAGCGGCCAGCCTTTGATGCTGCGTTGCGTTGCGTAGCCGTCAGCAACAGAGAGCCAGTTCTCCTGCTTAATGTCTGCACTAGCGTCGAAACATACTATGATGTCAACATCTCTTCCTTGCCGAAGGAGTGGATAGATTGGGAGATTGTTGTCCATTCCGGCATCCATAAGCTGCAGATATTCTTGATTGAAAGCATTCTCAGGACAAGTAGCTGGTAGCTTGCCCTTCATCTGAAAAGCGAAATTGGGGATCGTACCGGGCTCGAAGGGGTGAACCTTGGTCAGCTCGTCATTTTTCTTTTCAAGCGCTTGATCAATTTGCTCAAAACCAGTGAAAGTCTTCAGTATCGGCTTGACTTCCTTATAGTAATGTGCCAGAGTAGCACAGAAGGCGCTTCCCCAGACGCCCAGCAGAAACGGCATACGAAGCTCAGGTAACCCACCACCATACTGGCTTGGAACGGTCCTGCCATCTTCGAAATGTCGTCCCACACTCCATGCCGGAATTCCCGCGCCAAAATCTTCGCACCAAACTTCGTAAGGAGTAAACTCAAACCATTGAAACCAGGCCTCTTGCTTCACCTTTTCTTTCATTGCTTCGGGCCCTTTTCCGCCCTTAGCCTGTAGGTCCTCAAAGGGGATCTCATGTCTCACCGCTGAGTAGATAGGAAGCGGCTGTTGTCCAGCACTCACGTATTTGCGTTGTTCCGAAAGTTTCATGTCCTTGATACTAACGTCAAGTTCATCCTTGGGGACAAGTAATCTAGTCGCTAGGAGAAGTCCATACACGTCGACAAGCCCAAACTCTGCCTTAGGATCTCCTTTTAGACGCTCTACCGTGCCAGTCAGAAGGTATTTGCTCGTAGGACTTCGTGTCAGAAGCTCTAAGAAAGAGGGCGGGTAGGCAATGTGTGTTCCGATGCGCTTTTTGAGATGTTGAATGACATTCCCGTGCTTTGTGTCACCAATAGATGAATTATACAATGCTTGAAGCCAACAACTACCACTGACACCCGCAGTATAGGTCGCACAATCAAACAAGCCAGCCTCTTGTGCACAGAGATAAGACGAGGTGCCTGAGACTAGAGCTCTCAGACCTCCGCCTGAGCCACATATTGCGACGGTCGGAACATCTTCTGGGTCTACATCGGCCACGGGAATATCTAAGTACCTTGCCAATGCCCTAGTCGTGTGCTGCTTCCGCAGTTTGATGAAGGCTGCTTCTTCGGGACATAAGTCTTTACTAATCCTTACAGTGGTATTCCAGTCAACCTCCGGATGTATGTACGGATCCTGAGCCTCTTGCCATATTTCATCAGCAAGTGAGCCTGGCTTCATGTCCAATTCTAGCTGTAGCTTCGTTACATATCCTGGCAGCTGTAATACCCACGCCGGAGCCATTCGGTTTGCGATCTTGTCTCCGACATCAGACCATGGTATGCTTGACAAGGAGCGCCGAACATTAGCGAAGCTAGAGGAAAATTGCGCCCAGGCGGCGCTATCCTCGTCTTCAAAGAGGGGCAATTCGTCATTGTCGCTTTTGGCACCTGATTTACCTTGGGAGTTATGTTCATTCTCGGCGGGTTTGCGGGCAGCAATTGAACGGTGTTCGGCTTTTGTAATCTGAGAGGGGGTCCATTCTATCCCGCTTTGGCTGTCATTCCTCAGGACTTCCTTGGGGAAGAGACCCAGAGCCAAAGCCGAGGTGGCGCAGGTCAGGATGATTCGACGATGGTGCGACTGAGGTAGCTGTTGCAGGAAGCGCCGCATCACCGCGAGCTGGGTCCATGTCAAGTGAGAGAGGCGCGTTGTTTGATTTTCAGATAGGGAACAAGATTTTGCGCGTTCCTGAGCTCGTGCGTCATGCCGTTCCGTCCTTTGCCGTCCGCACTCTTGGCAGGGGCTCCAGTCCTGTCCGAATAATCATACTCCCAGAAATCAAATCAATGTCTGCCACACTGAACTCTTTCCAAGAAGCTCTCCTTCTGTAGAATAACTTTTATGGCTGGTATTGGGTTTTGGATCATTAGGATTCACTGGTGAGCATCGTACCTGAAATTGGTGTAAGAATGCCCACGTCAATATTCCATGTAACATTTCGAGGTTTTTATGAATAGCACTTTTAGGCAGGGAACAACCGCACTGAGGACCTAGGAAGCTACAGCGTCAAACAACATTGGTCTTCAGCTCCGATTCTACCCTTTCATAGTCTAAACTTTTGTCTTACGCGATCATGGCGAAAGCGCGCAACGCTGCTTACGCGGAGGAGAAAGCGGAGGTTGAGGTACTCAAAGGCCAAGTAACAAAGCACGAAGATCTGAGCAAAAGACTAAAAGGGGTCCAAGCGAGGCTTCACGGAGATGGTCGAAGTGTTCAGGAGTCGATTGGATCGATTCAAAATCACACTCGTGAGAATCAAACCATGGCTGCAAACATCGACAAACTCGTTGCTCATATTGAAAAGATGCTTGTCAGCGGACAAGACAAGGCTCAAGAACAGAAGATCATTCGAGCTGGTCCAAGTCAAACCGGTATAGAAGAGTATATAGCATGCATCAGACGTCTGGATCGATCTCTTGAGCAGTTGACAGCCTCAAAGATGAGGGTCCAGCAGCAAACCATTGGGGACTACAATGAACTTCTTAGCGAGGGGCTTTCGCGATTGCAGGAATTCTTCGCTGGAGTACTGAGCGAGAAATCTCAGCAAATTGAGCCTCTCCATTATATCACCAAGCAATTGCCGTTTCCGACATTTTCCGCTGAGAAATTATCTTCGCTCCGCTCAATCGACCGCTGCCTGTCCACTCCGAACGCCCGGGCCTTATCCTACAATCAACGAGAGAATATCGCCGTTCGTATCTACTCCGACCTACGATCTCCTTACCTTGCCAATAGCCTGCAAAGCCTTTCGATAGGATCAATCACCACCTCGAAAAGGAGGAACTCCGACGAGCCGTATCGACCAGGCACAAGCGGTATTGATCTTTACGCTCAGGGTATGGAGAATATCCTGGGTGCTGAGAGTCAACATGTGCAGGCAATTTTCTCTCGTGAAGACTCTGGACTTGTACTTGAGTCCACGTGCCGTAGGAGCTTGTCTGATTTAGCCAAGACGCTTCGCGAGCTCAACGCGCAAATCAAGCAAAACATGACAACAGATTGCTTCCTTGCGTACGAAATAGTCGAAGTGATCTCTCGAGCGGGTCATCGGCTTGGCCAGGAAAGCAGCGAAATGAAGCTATTCTTCGCAGATGCATTGAAGCCGATTCGTGATACTGCGAAAGCTTCCCTACCCGAGCTTCTTGAAGATCAGCGACGGCGTATCAATGCATTGCTAACGCTTTCGCCCGATGGTGCAGCCGTCTCGTTCACGTCAGAGACTATGACCCGTCTTCAGACTATGACAGCCTTTTCCAAAGGCCTTTCTTCAATTCTTGGCTCTCTTGGTGACGGCAATTGGACCTCGTCATCTTCACTCCATACCGCGAATTCTTCAGCGTCTTTGCCATCACTTCGGTCATTAGATGTCGGCGCCGACGGCAGTACTTTGCTGTCACACTACGTTCTGGACACCATTGACACGCACCTCAGCAATCTTGAGGCCCGTGCTCGGATGCTACACAAGGTCAAGGCCGTTCAAGGTGTCTTTCTTTACAACACAATAGCTTTGATGGATCGCATGATTCGATCTTCAGATCTAACGACCTTACTCTCCAATAGTCCAAATGCACAAACCAAGTTTGATATTTGGCGAAAAAGAGCCATTGCTACGTACATGGACTCCTGGAAGGAACCCTCGACAGCCCTGCTTGACGTAGTCTACACGAATCGTTCATCGAATCGACCGGCCAGTGCAGCGTCTTTGCCCTCAGCAGACATTATAAAAAACCTAAGTAGTAAGGATAAAGACGCTATCAAGGAAAAGTTCAAACATTTCAACGCAAGCTTTGATGAAGCTATCAAAAGACACAAAGAGTTGCTCCCAGCCATGGAAAGAGAAGTGCGACATGGTCTTGCAAGGGAGATCAGCAACATGATCGAGCCGCTGTACACCCGCTTCTTTGACAAGTATGAGGCAATGGATCGGGGCAGAGGCAAGTACGTGCGCTATGATAAAGGCAGCCTGTCGGGCGTGTTGGCAGGGCTAAGTTGAAGATCACAAGCTCTATAGAAGTCCTCATTCTTGACATGAAGGCTTTCTAGATAATTGTGACCTTTCGAGTTTAGATCGGTTCCTGATGTCTGATGACGACGCACTTGATTGCAATCACAACATCTCACACGTTATGCTCATAGGTTGAATGCAATCGCATTCGAAGCTGTCGCTATAAACTTGCATCACTATTCAAAAGCTCTAGAGTGGTAGTTGCTTCTCATTTCGCCGTCCCAACACACACCTGTACCCTACTAATGACTACTGCGGCTTATCTTGACAAAGGATACATAATCTGCGTCGATAGAACGATCCGAAACGCTTAACGATGACATTCAACAAGCTAGCTTTCATCTTACGCTCATGAACCTGTGGATCACGACCTCAGCCAACCAGGCAACACCGCCGAGAATCTGGGCAGTCAGTCTCACAATCTCAGGTGTGCTAATCCTGCTCTGTCGAAAAGCAGGAGTCACTGTTGGTGACTGGTGACTTCTAGGGGCGCTTTGTGGACGCATGTGGTCATCTTATGATACATGAACTCATATTGTGACTGACGATGAGCACCGGTCATTCTAAGATTAGGCTAAAAGTAGAGACTCACTGTCCTATCTGTCTTCTAGATGAGAATTCTGTGCAAGCTCATGCAAATAGATGCACATGCCCTCACAAACGACGGGCGACTGCGAACGGCGGGAAGGTGAGCCAGCGACTTGGTACGGGTTGGGCTCTTACATCGCCAGAACGTCACATCGCATCAAGGGACGGAAATTCTTTGTCAATAGACGCATCGCCTTCAGGCGGGCTAAGTAGAGTTATGATCTAAATCTTACCATACAAACATCCTCCTCCCCTCCACGGTAGAGACTACTTCAATCCCACCGATGATCTTCCTCAGCAACATCATAATCCACCTCGCCGCCTCCGCCACCTTCCGCCCTCTCCCCATCTCCATCCCCAACCCCATCCGCTCCATGCATTCCCACATCCCCATCCCCATCAGTTTCTCCTATGGCAATCTGCTTGCCGACGCCGTTCCCTTCCCCTTTCGTCGTACCATTCGTAGCGACGCTCGGCGCGTTGTACCACGAAAATTCCACCTTGCCTACACCAGCCAGGTCTCTGCTCCCATAGAAAAAGCTCTCAGCTGTAGGGCGGTCCTGAAAGCTCACGATCATCGAGTCAGGAAGATCAGGATGGGAGTTAATGGCTTCGAATTCGCCAACACCCTGTTAAATCTATGTTAGCCAAAGCAAGAATCGAATCGATCGGTAGCGTTGCCAGTGCTTGAATGGCTACAGTAAAGCAAAAACTTACGAGCAAATGCTGCCTCAACCCCTCATCCTGCTCTCCCGTCCACGCAACCCCACTCACACACACTTTCTTCGTTCGCAGATCGAGATTGTACTTCCCACCGCCGCCCCATCCACCACGACCTCGCGGACTCCCGCGGTACGAAGGATTGAAAGCTTCCCAGCCCCGGTACGAGCCGCGGCCTCTTCCTCTCCCTCGTCCTCGTGGGGAAAAGATTGTGTCAGGGGCTTGGTGGTCGATTCCAAGGCTCTGCGCCTCGGCCTCTAATTCGGCGAGTTTGGCGCGGAGTGCTTTTGTGCTGGCGCTGGCGTTGTCGTTTTCGTGATGAGTCGTGCCATTCGCACCATTTGTGGTGTGCGTCTCACCTTCGTCGGTAGCAGTTTTAGACTCTCTCGCTTTCAACTTTTCGAGTAAACGCTTCTTCTCCTCTGCTTGCTTTTGCGCTAGGTCTGCTTTCTGTCTTTCGAGTGTTTCACGTTGTGCGGCGGTCTCCTTCATTTGCGCCAGCTTTTCCTCGAGGCGCTTTTGCGCTTCTGAGGAGCGGCGCTCAAATTCTCCTCGGTCGAAGGGTTGCTCTTCTGGGGAAGTTGCGGAGGGTGAGGGATCGCTGCCTTGGCGGCTACGGGGCTCTGTGGGAAGAGAATTTGGCTTGTACCAGTAAACTTTTACGAACCGGTTGTCGAAGATTACTTTAGGGCTATCGTAGGCATTTCGTGCAGAAATATAGTCGTCATACTCCACAATTGCAAGGCGTTTATAGGGTTGCATCGTGACTTCTGTAATGCTGCCAAATTCGGAGAAAAAGTCGCGGACGGATTGTTCCTCGAACTTCTCTTCGGGAATTTGCTCCACTACGATAGCGGTGTTCGATCGGTCATAGTTCGGCCCTGCCTGCGAGAAGTCTGCTCGGCCACGCCCTCCACGTTTGTCAGTAGAGCCACGCGCGGCCCCGTTGGTCTTGACATGGCCATTTGTCGGTGGCATCATTGTCGAGTTCAACATAGCATTTTTAGGATCGTATTCATCTTGACCAGGCACGACCATATGGTCTGCGCCGTGCTGGTAGCGGCATGCTTCTCCGCGCGCACAAAAGCCTTTCGTATCATAGTCTCGGCATCGTTTCCTCTTGGTATTGACGGACCCAGTTTGTGGCGGTTGTGGGAATTTCGGAAATCCCATTGCTTGCATGGCAACCATTGCAGCAAATGGATTGGAAGCAAAATCCTCTGGTAGATGTCCCAGCAAATTGGACGAAATAGACGGGTCGAAAGTCGGGTTCAATGAAGACCAATCCATAGCTGTGCTCCCCATGTAATTGTCGCCACGATCACTCCCATTCGAGTTTGCACCTCTTCCCCTGCTACCCCTCCTCATCTGTTTTGTCTGTCTAGCCCCGCGTCCGGGATCCGAGCCTTGCTCATGGCCTTGCATATCATTGTGAGATCTTTTCTTTGATCCTTGATACCTCTGCTGGGAGAAGCTACCTGTGTCAAATGGCACGGATGAGCGTGTAGGTTGAGGTAGGGCGGCCAAAGGTGCTGGGGCAGACGCAACAGGAGGTTTATAGCCAGGCAGGTAGGATTTGGTCTGCGCGGTCGCAAAGACATCGTCCACAAATTGCTTCGTGTCTAGAACTCGTAGCGTCAATTTGGTTATCTTCCTTTGACGTCAAAGTCGGCTCACGCTCTTTCAGGAAGTCTTCCAGTTCCTGATATGCATCTCGTCGCAGTTGCGGTTCTGCAGTATCGGTCCTCAGTAAGGCTATGACGAAGTCGGCAAGCACATCTGCATCGGCGACAGCTTCTCTAGAAACACGGTGAGCGTAGCCAGGGAGCGAGAATGATGAGAGCATACAAAGCTTCGAGTTTCTTGATTATCCACTTCCTAAGTTCCGCGCCGTCGTTTTCTGGGATGAACATGATTTGAGGGGCGAAATTACAAAATATGCAGCGCAAATGTCGATGAAGAAATCATCAGGCCCTCAAACTTACGTCAGGGTTGATAAGTGAGCAGTTGTTAGTTGCTTTGACATTTCTCCAATTTGGTATCCAAAGACTGAGCTCTGTGGAATCAGCCCTAAATCGACGCTCCTGGAAGGGAATCTATTGCCGATCGGACAGTCTTCGGGCCTCGGGGCTTCCAGGGAGTCAGATGCGCATTCTTTATACTTAATGTGTAATATCACAACTGGTGCGTGGGCGTATATTGGGATCGCCTCCCTTGCCTCTACCACCCTACTGAGGAAACAGGTGTACAAGCAACAGATGGGATCGAAGAGGGTCGTAGATTCAATGCAAAGATTGTCAATTGCAGTCCAAATCTACATACACGATACTTACGCGCACCGATCTAGACGGGTGCATTGAAGGGCAGGCTTATCCTGCCTTGCGTTCTCAGTTTGTTTAAGTCGTCTAGCCCCCTTTTTCATACATTCATTCACGCTCTAGGACCATGCGGTGTTTTGCTCATTTGCATCACACAATATCATTGTGTGGCGCAGGTGAAGATGGGTCGAAAGTTGTTTGAACGTTCATGGTGTTTATAGCTTGTCATAATACTGCAAGGGAATGATTAGTAAGTGTTCTGTCTCGTGCTAGGAGTATTGGACTCACATTGTCAACACCCGGTACAACTTCCTTGATTCCTTTCCTCTTCCGCATCGTTTGCACAATCTGCCCAGGCTTCGTGGTTGGGTCAAGTGGTGATCCACCAGGTAAAATCTGCCAATGATCGAACACCATCTGAGGGAAGGCCTGACCACCAGTATGTGACCGTAGGTCGGCAGTGAAGCCGAAAGATTCGTTGACAGGTAAATAGGCCTTGACGTTGAATAGTGGTGTTCCTGGACGCTGCTCCTCAGAGAAGACGTGACCCCTACGTCGGGTGAGGACACCGTAGATACCGCCCATTGCTTGTTCGGGTACTTGAATCTCAACCAGGTAGACAGGTTCCAAGATGCTCGGTTGTGCCAGAAGTGCGGCAGCATACAGCACACGCCGCGCAGTAGGAATGAGTTGGCCACCACCACGGTGGATAGCATCGGCATGGAGAGTCACATCTTGAATGTTGAAGCGGACTGACCGCATCGGCTCCTCAGCCACTGGGCCTTCCTTGGTCGCCCACTGGAATCCAGATACCACGGAATCCTTGATTTCGTTCAGATATTGAACAGCCTTAGTCTGGTCCACTAGCAGATTGGCGCCTGTCGTTTCAGGGCCGAAACACCAGATCTTTCGAGCATCGGTAACGTCCCATCCGTGCTCATCAGCCAAAATACGGGCTCGAGCTTTAAGATCGTCACGAGGGCTGATCTTTCCTGATTCGATGTCCTTCGAGACGTCCTCGTCCATTGGCTGTGCGGTGACATAAAGACGATTATGCTTGTTGGGAGACTTGGATAAAGCAGTGATGCTTGATGCCTCGCCAACCGATTCTCGGTATGACACGACTGGATCTGATATCCTCAATGGAATACCGGCATGATCTTCTTCGAGATCTTTCAAGCATATCTCTAGATGTAGTTCACCAGCGCCAGCAACAATGTGCTCGCCGGCTTCATTGATGATGGTTAATACGCAGGGATCAGATTTCGACAATCGCTTGAGACCTTCTACCAGCTTGGGAAGATCGTTCGCGTTCTTCACTTCCACGGAGCGTTGAACAACAGGTGAGACGGAGAATTTCATGACTTTGAGATTGTGCGCGGTGTCAGAAGTTGTCAGAGTACCCGACTTAAGCAGGAACTGATCCACACCGACCAAACCAAGAATGTTACCAGCCGGCACGTCTTCAATTGGCTCGATATTCCGTCCCATCATCAGAATAGTACGTTGGATGGCTTTGATAAACAAGTCCTCTTTCTTGCCGGGCTGATAGTTGGGACCTTGGATGCGGACCTTAAGGCCAGAACGGACTGTGCCTGCGAAGACTCGACCGAAAGCATAGAAGCGGCCTTTATCAGACGTTGGCACCATTTTAGACACGTAGAGCATGAGTGGAGCCTTTGGATCACAGTCACGGATACCGATACAGGCTTCATCATCTGGGGGACCCTCGTAAAGAGTCTCCGCACGGTACTTTTGGGCTGTGATTGGTGATGGAAGGTGGATTATCATCATCTCAAGCAGAGCATCTGCGGCGGGTAGGAATTTCCGCATTACCACCTTCAGGAGCTGCTTTCCTTCCAGATCTTTCTCATCGCCAGTCAATTTGATTTCCAATTTTTCCAGAAGCTTTGGAATCTCGTCCTTCTTGAAATTCATGACCGAGCGGAAGATACGGAATATTGGGTCCAGGATGAAGGTATTGAATGCGCGCTCGAGTGTTTCACCCTCGTGACTGCCAACTTTGGTCCATTTCTTTGTTTTTGGGTTGAAAAAGTTGTCGCCCTGTTGTATGTGTCAGCGCCCCTCGATCAAAAAGTCAATCACAAGGAAGCCTACCCATAATCGGTCCATCATCTTCTTTCTATCGACGCCGAATTTCTTAGCATACTTGACGGCAAATTGGCGAACAGTGAAACCCCATCCATGAAGACCGGAACCGAAAGCGACTGTGCCATTATATGGTTGGACTTGGGCGTCACCGAGTGCCTTGTCGAAATAGGTGGAAATGATGACGTTGACAGACTCAATCGTTCTTGAGAATGATTGATAGAGATCTTCTTTCTCTACTTGTAATTCCAAAAGTGCACGATCTACCTTGTTGATAATGACCACGGGCTTGATACGTTCACCAAGCGCTTGCCGGAGCACGGTTTCTGTTTGGACGCAGACGCCCTCAACGCAATCGACAACCACAAGGGCTCCATCCGTGACACGAAGAGCAGCAGTCACTTCTGATGAGAAGTCAACGTGACCAGGAGAATCTATGAGGTTGATCAAGAAGTCGTTGCCCTCCACCTTTTGAGGGATGTCCTTCAGATCCTCCTCGTTGGCCATATGGGAGTATAGGGAGATAGCTGTTGACTTGATGGTGATACATCGGTCTTGCTCATCTTTGCGTGTGTCTGTAAACCTTGCTTCGCCAGCCTTGGCTGCTGAGATGATACCGGCGCGTTGAACGAGAGAGTCCGTGAGGGTGGATTTTCCGTGATCGACTTGAGAAGTTGAATGTTAGCACCAGTATATTTTGACTGGCTCAGGGTTGACGTACCATGAGCAATGACCGACATATTTCGAATGTTTGCCGGCTTGTCCATGAGGGCACGGATCTCTTCGATGGTGAAGCTGTAAGCACATATTGTCAGCGAACCGCTCATACATTGATGGCTTGGGAATTGGGGAGAGACTGCTTCAGCACTTTCTCGGGAGGTACGCGACTGCCCATCGAAGGTACTTACTTGACCATGCTGGCGGTTTTCTACGCGGAACGTGGGAAAGTGTTCTGTTTCAATGCGGTGCCCCGCTCTGTTGAATCGAGAGCTTGCTCGATCTGTGGTGTTGCTTGGAAAGGTGGATGAAAGAGGCCTTCAAAAGATGATCACTGTTGCTGTGTGAGCAAGGAAGTCGAGGCTTTCGAGCGACAGTGATGGAGAGGTCGAGATGGATCTTCGAAGATTGTGGGGATGAATTACCAAGCTCACACTAATAAAAGAAATCTGCCCCGCTACTCGCTTAAGTCCGCGCTAAGCCCACATAGCTCATCAAGAACACACCTCCACCACCTCCGCCGAAAAGGGGTCAGATGAGTCATGGATGCAATGGCTTGCGATATTCATAGTCATAATCAAGTCTATAGAACATCCCTGATGATTACTACTTATGGGGTATCTTAAATTCAAAGTCTGCTCGTGCTACTCATATGACCCCATCAGAGCCATCCACCAATCTTTAAAAACGCCAAACCCTTTCAATGATCCACCAGATCCCCTCCTGACGAGCCCAGGATCTTGGAATATGCGTCATCTACTTCTTTGGCCACTTCCAGTAATGTCACAATAACAATCTGATGAGTCAGCGTCGGCAGTCTTTCCCTATGCAGGCCAATCCACTCCAGCGGTGGAGTTGCTTCGCCCATGTCTCTCAATTGCGGAGTCTCGATGATGGGCGGCTGCAAAGCGGTATATTGATACTTTGATTGCGGAACATTGACCACGGCTGTGATTTTCTCTTGTCCGCCTTCTTTGAGTGCTCCGCCACCTTCGGCCCCCAAGCCCGTAATCTGAACAGCCGACTGTGGAGGGGGTTTCCCCAGCCTTTGTGCGAGCTTCCTGACATGATTTGCATGCATTCCACGGATATAACTAATCCGTGAATAGTTCCATCCGACGTCGACTCTGCCTTGGAAGGAGCTCTTGAAAATGTAATCAATGTGTGTAGAGCCGAAGTCCTGCCATGTTTGCATCGTTGCAATCAATTGTGGAACTTTCAAGATCGTGCCTCCTATGGCGCCTGTCGCAGATGTGATCACCTCCTCAATGGTGATATCGCCTAATGTCCTTGAAGCTCTGTTTACGCCGGACAGTGCCACACGGAGCTGGCCCAAGGTCATGCTGAGTGTACTGTGGATGCGGTCTTGCTCGAGGTAGACTGTAAAGCGCGAATACGTGCCAATAGCTTCAGTCTTCAAGACCTGCGTGTCCGTGAAGACTCCGGGAAAGGCTCCAAGATTTACAGCTTTAATCGTGACAACCACATCTGTCTGCAGGCGCAGAGGAGACTTCGGCTGTTCTTCATCTTTGCTTTGCTGCCTATCTAAGGTTTCCCGGACCGACATCGGAACCAGTGTGGACTTTCTGCGCAGAAATCGTTCGATATCGACCAGCGATGCTTCGTACGCTTTCTGCTTTTCCTCAATGAGACGTTGAAAAGCCTGCACTAATGCATAAGCTTGAGCGGCGCTGGACGTTGTGCAGAAAGCTTGCACTTGGTCACCTTTGAGGACGCTGACAAGACGATCACGACCCTCGGCTTCGGAGCCTCTGACGTTGTACATCAAGAAATCGATATTGGTTAAGTCGGCAACCAAGAACGCCTGGAAATCAAAACTTACTTTCACTCGCAAAAAATCAAATCCTGCGGACGCTTGAACTAAAGGCGTCTGAGGTTGACTGGTCGTGGCATTGGCATTGGTCCACTTGATGGAAGTTCGCACCCTGAGATTTTGCATGTTTATGATACCGCTTGTTCTCCCTGTAGATTCGACGCCGACATTACGGAAGTAAACACACAGATTCTGCTCCCAGTCTGACGACTTTTGAGATGAAATCCAGAATTCTGATACCTTAAAAGTTGGCTTGCCAATGGACTGGCCCAAGTCAAGCGAGACATCAAGCTCCTCTATTGAGATAGTTGCATTCCAGGGGAAGGATCCTGCAGCAGCCATTTGCTGATAACGTTGCATCATATATCCTTGTTCTGAACTCGACGCGTTAAGCGAAGGGTCGGATGGTGCCCCTCGTATTTCTTGTGGAATCCATATCTCTCGGAAGAGCAGAAAATCTTGCAACTGCTTTGCGTTTACCTGAGCCTTCAGCGGGCTTAGCTTGAGAATCGCTGATATGCCGTTCACTGCAGTGACATGTCTGCTGTTCATGAGCGATACCACTACAGAGTCGACTTTAATATTGCCAGTTGATTCACGTGAGTACACGTGTTGGACAGACGCCTCTAGCCCAGTGAAAGCTCCTGTGATTGTAAAAAATTTACCATGCTGGTGAGACTGGGCTGTGTTTACTGTGATGTAAATGTCGTCAAAGCGAGCGCGCGCTGCAACGCGAGCAATGGGTTGGCAGCTAAGGCTGAAATCTTGCTTGCAAATGCGAAGTCCCAAATTGAGCTTACAATCCCCAAGTAAGGTACTAGGATCGCCAGCGCGGAGTTTATCATCTTCAAGAAGCTTTGACTGGAGCATCTTCGATTCCCTTCTGGGATGTGGGTCTGTGGCTGAGTTAGGCTCTTCAACAATTTCCTTAATGCTTGAAGATAACTCCATTATCAGAGGTACCACTGCAGGGAAAAGAGTATTAGAGGAGGCTGATACTTTCATCTCGGCGCTTAGCGACTTTGAACTAGGATCCGAGTCCTTGAATTCAACTTTGAGGGCGATACCAGGCGCTTGTAATGTCGCGCTACTGTTGCTGGACTTTTGAGGAATGAATTGATTGTAACGACCGTGCTGGGGACGTCGTCGGGCCTCAATCAAATGCATTGCTGTCGATGCAGGGTCGATGATAGTCTTGCCTTGCATCTGAACGATGGCACCTGCAAAATCCGCGTGAACTAGCAAAGAAGCTAGCTTCTTGTTGCCCAAGAAAGTAGCTTTATTTGTTCCAGTAGATTGCTTGTTCATCTTGTAACGGTCAGTGGCCTCTCTCACCTGGTTTGTCGCTACAGCTATTGAACGTCGTAGATCGTTCGCGGGAAGAATTGACTGAGACGTGAATTTCAAGTCTAGTGTCTTCCCAACTGCTTGAAAAGCTAATCTGCGATCCTTACGTGTAGATCTATATGCCACGTTGAATAGCACTTCAGGCATGAATGCAGATGTTGAGGAACGAAACCCGCCTGCTTGCGCGGGCGGAGCGACTTGCAGTTGAAGTTTCTCAACGATGAGTTTTGCCGCGTTGTCCGTCTTGGTTGCTAGATCGACTTTCTGAACGGACAAGATCAGGTCTTCTACTTCTCTTACGGGTGAGACGGGGATCGCATTTCCAATTTTCCAAGCGATTTGAATATCTTCCATGATTAATGAATACATAGCGCTGAAATCGGAAGCAATCGTGTAGCCTTCATCTTTCTTTGCATTGTGGAAGGCAGAAGGGAGAAGGCCCTCCCTTCGTAGTCTCTCTCGACCGAGCTTTCGAATGTCCTTGACCTGGGCGGGTAATTCTATGGTCTGTAGAGTTTCTTGCAAATGACCCAAGATCGTGAGGGCGGCGGAAGCCGTTTCCGTGAATATGACGATCTGAAGACTGCTGCTTCGAATCTCGAAAGACCTCACAAGCGTACCATTGTCTTTGAGCTTGGAAGTGCCGGTAAGCATCAATGCCAATGTAAGGCTCCCGCAATTTCGAAAGTCGAGGTCCTCAGGCCGTAGCAAGTCAAGCTTGATAGAGTCCATTTGGGCTTTGAACTCTGCCATTGGCATCACGCTGCGAGTTTTTGGATCGATATTCGTCCCTTGCAGGATCAGCTGACCAAAATCAAACTTGAACTCAGCAGCTTGCTCTAGGGTTGGAGGGATACTCGGGGAATGCGGCGTCAACGCGTGGACTGTGACCCCGGACACCAAAGCCTTTGCATCAAACATCAATGGCACTGAAGATGGCTCTTTCGCTACAGCTTCTGGTGCATTAACATGGAAAACAACGTCAATATGCTGCTGCAACAATTGGGCTTCATGCCTCAAATCTTTGCCGAGCTCTAGGATTGCGGGCTGGTTGACGGCGTCAAAAACGGCGTGCAATGAGGAAGCATTTAGACTGATGTGTTCTGCCGTAAGGCGACAGATAACCACATTTCGGCGAGGCTGAAATTTAGTCTTGAGGTAGCCTTGAATAGGAGGGATCATTAATGTCGAGATAGTTGACGGCCGCTTGTCGAGATCTGATCTGAATGTATGGGCATGTTCTTTCAGATCAATGTCCACGCTGATCACAGAAGATTTCAATGCAGCGGACTGCAGTGATAATCGGATGCCATGTCCACTTATCTCGTAAACAAGAGAGGGTAGTATAGCGACATTGATATTGTAGGCATCCAAGAACAAGGCTACGTGAGCTTTGGGGAAACCTCCGGAAGGTCGAATGGCCTTTGTAGAAGATGATGGGGTTTTCAACCTTGGCAAAGTTCTCGACCACTTCGCAAGATGTACTACTTCCTCTTGAATCACCTTGTCGATGACTTCAGTCAACTCTAATGGCGTTTTCAATGTCTGTAACGTGATTTGATGACCTGAACCAACGAATGTCCACGGCTTCTCTATCTCGCCATATCGCGCGAGCCTCCGACATCCGAACAAATGTGGCCGTTGCAAATTATAGATATAGAGTTGAGCTGAATCCTCGTGAGCTTCGGTTCTCACCGCCGTGGCATTGAGAAGAAGATTAATTGAGCCGCGAGTTTGAGCACTCTTAGGTTTGGTTTTGAGGATGGATGTCTGAAGCCCTTTACAGACGGTAACAATCTTAGCATTGATTATATCGACATTGAGAATACTCATCTTGGATGACGCGACGATGTGCAGCCCTGCGTATGCGGGATCCTGGGTCTGAACGACTGGTGAGCTTTGGTTGGGTTCTAAGAGATTGCTTGATTGCATTGTCTCCATTATGTTCTCCACAAGTTCACATAATGACCAGTTCAGTCTCAGTATCTGTTTTTCACAGTATGCTGATAGCGACAATAGTGGCAATGAATGTCCTGGGCTTACGCGAGACGACAATTGGTCTCTTGTTGAGACACCAAATAGGCAGTGTTCTAGAACTAGCTCATTCTGGGCCATACCAGGCTCAATGATGAATCGAATTTGCCGAGCCTTGATTGTTGCAAGCACGAGCGGTAGATGTTTCTCGGTGATAGCGCCATTGTACTTCTGACCGTATACCTTCCGCATCAGTAGATTAGATGCTGCGTCTCCCATGTCCCACATGCGCCATTGTTCGAAAAACGAGTCCACGAGCTTGGCAGCATCTTTTGGACATGCAGCCCACCTTTGAACGCATTGAGTCTGCATCTCTTCCTTCGATTGGCTAGGAAGATTCATGTATATGTATCGAAATCTTGATACCATGCGCCAAGAGTGGCTGGTACGGAGATGGCTTGTCGAGCTTCTCAAGACAGAAGCTCCGCTTAAGAACGGAGGATCAGGTGCAGATTGACCCTCTTCGGCGAGAAGCAAAACGAATAGCTGGCGTCGCAGGCGATGTTTTTGCGCAACGCGAGAAAACTTGTCTGCCAAGTCTTGGGCAACGAGAGCCGTCTGCCGCAGAAGAGATGATATATAGTCAACCCTTCTACTTGTCCCTGTGAGCACAAGATCGCCAAGCTGTAATTCTATCGACGTCGTCGAGCCTTTTAGCAACCACATCATTGGTTTGTCCACTCGCAAGCTGACTACTGCTTGTTCGACAGCATTATTTTTCGATGCCTCTCTTGCAGAGAACTCGAGCTCGTTGACAAGCATATGGAAAGTAGCATCGCCTTCAGCCTCATCATTACGATCTTTTTGTGGGGCGATGCTAGACCTCGCGACTAGCGACAAGTTGTTTACTGTGAGGTCGTATTGCTCCTCTGACGAAGCGTCTGATGCAGGCCCGGTGACATTTGAGAACCTGACAGCAGAGTAGGGAGCAAAAAAGCGCAAGTCGGTTAATTCAAGGCCTCGCTTTCGCTTGCCTTCCACATTCAACACTTCCTTCACCGCCTCGATATGAAGATTGTCTAAAAGTGATGACAGGTCGTATGTCTGCATTTCGTCCATCATATGGGTCAAGAGCATGAGAGCCTTAGAAGTACAGAACATTTGTAGGCCTTCCAGAAGACTGATCATGAGGCTGGTTTGCTCCACGTCCTGACCAACTATCCGGGTTTTGTAGTCAGCAATTGTCTCGCTTTCAAGGAAGATACCATCACCGGGCAGATTGTCAGGTACGCGTGGAACTCTTCTGGTGTCTGGTGAGATCGTCAGGAGAGTGAAGGCTGGCATTTTGTACGGGCTCGAGAAAGCTAGACTTGGCCGCTCGAAAGTCTTCCGTTGGGTTTGAGGTTCCTTTTCTTTGGGGCGATGATTGTGCTGAGGCATCACACCAATACTGGAGTGCGCATTATGATGGGTTTGATCGGTCGAGACACCGCGATGCGATGATTCCGGTGATCTCTCGGCTGAACCAGTCTTTAATGACGCCTTCCCGTGAAAGAAATTTCGAATTCTCTGATTTGAAGTCTGTTCCTGCATGAATGACATTCGGCTTTGCCGACTTGTACTTGAATTCTGCGAAGAAGTCTCGTTGGTCACCTGTTCTGCTTTGGATCGATTTCTGGAAAGTGGACTTGGCATCTGAGGATATTGCATTGCTGGGATTCGTGTTTTCGGACCTGTTGCTCCCGAGGGCAGCGATTGGCTATTATCGTGGACATGTTTAAGCCAAGGTACCCGATTTGTTCGGGCGTCTTGAAGCAAAAGATGCTCTTGCTGTAGACGACGCTTCTGTTGGAAATCTAGCGCCCTTGAAACCTGGTCTATCGTTACGCTTGTCTTGATGTACGCATGTGTTTCGGCCATGGATGCCAGGCTGCTTTGTGAAGAACTGGAGTTGTGGCTATCTGTTATCGCTACAACAAGATTTGTGATGATGGCTCGTAGGCGATCAGAAAAAAGCGAGCCTGCCCAGTCATTGAAAGTGACTTCAATAGCGTGACTGCTTACCAGACAGACAGCGTCTTCAATGCAAAGTGCTAGATGAACAGATTGGATTGTCGCGCGAAGGAAAGTCACATCGTGAATTACAGCTTTAGCGATCAGACTCAACGCATTTTCGCTGTCGTCTAGAGATAGAGCGAAGCACCCGACTGCGAGGGTAAAAGTACGGAGGAAGTCGATTACCATTTGTCCCCGTATAGGACCAACGTCGAACGCCCATTTGCATACGTATGTAGGCTCGTCTGGTGGTAAACCGAAAAGCCGGTGGCCATCCACGTTTACCCCTTGGACACACATTTGTGTCTCGGGGGTGGCCTCAGCTAGACTTGAGAGGGTTTGACAGCTTTGAATCTGGGATAAGCAAACAGGGCTCGAAGTGACAGCAAGATCCATGTAATAATTCGTAATCCTAAGATCTGCACCAACGGAGAAAATCTCTATCTTGACTCCCGTTGAGGCGGCATACAGCTGCGCAGGTAATATAGCACAAGCTTTCTCAGCCTTGATAACAAGGATGGTGTCCAAGTCATTACTTGGTCGCTTGTGCTGCTCAGCGTTATCACTCTCGTCGCCTGCGCCCCGCGGGATTTGCAATTGTCGTTGATACTCTTCTGAAGTCCGGAAATGCAAGTCTTCTCCAAAGTAATTTTCTTTGATATTCATGAAGTACCTGATCAAGAAGCCATACAGACGTAATCTCAACACAGACCCAAATACATCCATGTACAAAGTGTCGGTTAGTGTAGGTGATGTCGTTGTGAAGTAATTATAAGAACCGCTCAATTTAAGTTCCTTCAAAGTAGCAATATCCCCGCTGTCCAGAAAGGTGTGTTGCGTATTCCAGGATGGCGTTACCAGCTCAAGGCTTCCATCTCGGGCGTTGGCGTCGAATTCTACCTTGTTTTTGGAAACGCGAAAATGTCGCATAGGTATCAATAGGCGTGCGTCTAGTTCCGGACAGCAGAGCATTACGTATGTATTTTCACTCATGTCGCAGGGATTGTCGATAATGTTGGAATCATTCGCATTGATATAGAGCTTCAGGGCCGAAAACCGAAGATCTAGAGCATACTCGAACGGTACGAATGTGAAATAATCAGGCAGAGGTCCAGACGCCCAATCGTTGATCAGATCCGTGAGTAAGAACATATGATCTCGTAGCATAAAAAGTTCGAGACCGGTATCCACAAGTGCAATGTGCCATTGGCGGAGATCATTCCATCTAAGTGGATTAGACAAGTTGCAGCTAATTGACTGCGCCTGTGACCTCCAGAACAATGTATGGTTGACGCTCGATGACAGTTCGAGACCTTTGAGATCTACATCCACTCCGTTAAAGTATCCGTCAGCCCTTGCCAGCATTCCGATGGTGGCACTAATGGTAGAGTCTGGCAAAATTTTGGCATCAATCCAGCCGAAAGGCCGGGACTCTGGACCTTGACTGGCCTTAACAGTCTTCCAAAGCTTTGGGTGAAATTTTCTCTTTCGGTTTGCGTCTCCGGCATTTGATGAAGAAACTCGATGCCTCCATTGCCAGTCCTTGGATTCTTCTCTCGTTGGGACACGCACTGTGACTTGATTCTCAAAGATCACGATAATCTTCAATTCCGTATTGACTCTTGTTGCGCCGGCTGGCAGATGGTTGACTGGTCTGCCATCCATGTGTATTGGGGGAAAAAAGACATTTTGGAAGTCCGTACGCTGCCTATCTGCCCATGGACCGTAGTTGACAGAGCCTCCACGAACTTTCAATTCAATTCCCCACTCTGGTGACGGGTCACCATTGATATTATCATTTATTTGAGAAAACTTCTCATCCATTTCAAAATCTCGGGCGACCAGGCCAGGGACGTCCCAGTAGAAGCTCATTGAGACACTTGGGCAATCTACAATTTGCGGTAGCTGTGCATATTCAATAGATTTCCAGCGTTCTTGTTCCACCATATCATCCTCGTCATCAAGATACCGTGTAAGACCGAGCCATTTGCTCTGACCATAAGCCCCCAGATCATCATGAAGCATTTCCTCCTTGCCTCGGCCCTTTGTGTGGGATCGTTTCAAACTATCGACAGAGCCTCTGCGATGAGGAAGGAATTCTTTGAGAAATTCGCTAGCACGACGCGCACCTTGTTCACGATACAGTCTGCCATACCAGGATTTCCTTTTGGGCAACTTTTGGCCATTCCGGGCACATAGCTTCTGGCCCTCAACAAATATTTGATCCTTGTAATCTTTATTCTGCTTGAATTGTATTGTTGGATGCTCAAAATTGAAGTTGATGACTTGTTTATAAAGGTCAGCAGCTTGAGAAGGCTGAGCCGTAAATTGTCCTGTGGCGCCGTCAATCTTGGCAACCAGTATCGATTTTGTACTTTGATTGCCCATTACGACTGCTGCTTTGCCACACTCTACTGCGATAGGTAGAATATTGAGGAAGCTCGGAAGCTTTGTGACTTGAGGTTTTTCAGAGAAGGCACTTTCTTTCGTACTGGTTCTCGCAGTCGCCTTGTTGGAGTTCTCATATTCAGTGTCAGTTCTATGATACATTCCTTCTCCTTGTAGTGTATCGTTCAAGCTCCTAGATTTTTCTTCAATGCTGGTGTCTTCCGTACTCTTCCTGTTTAAGCCTTGTCCATTTTTGTTGACCTCATGAAGCTCCTTGGATCTGGTCATACTCTGCAAAATCATGTCATAAGCCGGACTTCTATTGTAGATGAACCATTGCACTCCACGTGCTTTTGCGGAAATCCTGCACGGAACGCGCGCGGACTCCAGTGGGGCTGCAGCTTCTTCTTCGTCTCCGTTATCGTCCTGATCAGAACCACTACTTGATCTAACATTCTCGCTGTCAGGTCTTTGCACAGATGCGCCGTGACCAATGTCTTGGACGCGCAGCAACCAATATCTCCAAGTAATGTACCCATCTTGAATAAGGATGGACTCGTTCCTTCCGAAGTATTTCACGCCTTTGAAGAAGACTCGCCCGGCGAGTGGAGAGACTTGGAGAGCTTGGATTTGCACATATACACGGTAGTGGTGCCATGTGTAGAGCCGGATCAGAAAAGAGAGAATGTAGGCCAGGAAGCGATTGAAGTAAAACAAGAAAAGAAGGGTGCTGGGCATGCTCGTTAGCTGGTGACTTTTGACACTTGGCCTTACAACTCACATGAGGCCATAGACTAGATACCAGACTAAAAAGACCCATTGAAATTGATTATGATCAAACACCTTCCGGGCGACGAGCGCATGCCTCTCCATGCCTCATGTAGCTTCGCGGCCGCCACCACCGCTTCATTTTGGATACACACTACTTATTCGTACCCTGCGATGCGTCGTCATATCTCAAAGAGTATTACAGAGCACTGGATGGACGACATCCTGACTTGTGTTCGATTGTACTGGGCCAGTGACTGTCAGCCCCATGTAGAGGTAAGGTAAATAGATTAAGGTAAGCTCCCTTAAGCTCGGAAGGCCCGCCTCTTCTAGCGGGCCTAGCCGCCGGGGATAAGAACCTAGGCAAGGAGGTAAGGTAAGGTAGGGCTCCTCGGGCACTTATACTACATCGGTGACTTTTGCCTGAGTCTTGCTCTTCGCAATTGTAGGTCTCGAGGGCAGCAAAGGATTCAAAGCCAAGAGTCGGGACAAGGTTGAAAGCCATGCAGACTTCTGGTAGCAATTTGAGAGGCTGACGTGCGTAAGCATTGGTACTGTGGCTTTTACTGCACGACATCAAGCGACGGAATAGCCCAAGGACCGTCAAGAAAGGGAGCCTCTAATCTTAGCCACCGCTTGACTTACGTGGACAATGAGTCATACATGTCGTGTCTCAATGCTAAGCAGCAACCATGTCGCCCAGGTCTCCTTGTGGCACAGGCGGACGGTCCGTCCACGTGTTACTGCCTCTTGATAAGCGGAGTGCGTCGATTTTAATGCTGGGAACCCACGTCTCGGTAACGAAGTGGGATATTGAACACTTTGTGCAACCCACAAGGAGCCTGGTTGATCAGCACCCCAGCGAAGAGCGACGAATCATCTAAGGCTGGAAACCTCCCGAATGGCCTTTCAATGATTATCATATGCATATAAGACTATAGAACCTGCATGAAACTATACTATCTTTGACCAGTTCGAGACGACTACAGATCGCCCAGAGTCCCCGATTTTGAAAGAATTGAGGGTGGTTTCAAGTGCCGATGACTTAATGCTCACCGCCATGCAGTCTAGTCACCGTTTCTCGATGTTTCTTCATATTCGGCGTTGCTCGCAAATTGCTTCGTTCATTCTTCGGTCTTTCTCGTGAGGTCTCCACAAAAATCCGGGGAATTACAATCAGACCCGTTACTCCTCTTTCATCGCGCAAGCATGGTCCTCGTCTTTCCCTCCCCAGTATCCATCACAGCCTCCAGTGTAGCGCTCTGTGTTTTGTCCGTCGTCGCCGTAGGATTACGCTTCTGGTCACGTCATGTCCAGCGAACAGAGATGAAGCTTGATGATTGGGTTCTTCTGCCTGCACTAGTAAGTATATGCCTCCGCGTCAGCCGAAAGAAAATGCGTTTATGATGTCGTCACGTCCAGCTTCTAACAGTGGGAATTGGTGCTGCAATGGTAGTAGGTAGGTGATAACAGGACGTTTGGCAATACCCCAGAACATTCAACTTTTGCAGGGGAGCGGAAAGGATCACTTGGCCATAATGCCTCTCCTCATGCAAACTTGACCGTCGCTGCACAGGTGCGGACCATATCCATACTCTAACCCTGAAAGACCCGTCTTAACGACCAACAGATTGAATGGGCTATTCAATTGATGCAAGTCCCCCAATTGGGCTTGATCAAACTCGGCTTTCTCCTGTTCTTTCGCCGTATCTTCGTGACCGGAAAATCTCAGGGCAGGTTCAATATCGCTACACTGATCATGATAGGATTGGTCCTTGCATGGACAACAGCGTTCTTCCTAGGAGTATTGTTTGCATGTGGATTTAATTTTTCCGCCTGGTGGGCGGGTACTTCATGCCCACAAATATCTTTTGAAAAAGGTTTCATAATATCGGATTTCCTGATAGACATCCTGGTTTTGGCGCTGCCGCTTCCAATGGTTCGTCGTTGTACGAACATCTTCGCTTCTTCGAAATCTTATAATTATTCTCAAACAGATCTGGCGGCTTCACATGACAACCTGGCGCAAAATCGGTGTGACTGCAATCTTTGGCCTTGGGACATTGTAAGCAATGCAAATCATTGTTCATCATGTGTGGTAGCTGAGCGTGCAATCTAGGTCCGTCATTGCCTCGATCATCCGTCTAGCCACCTTTTATGAAATTCAAGAAGTTCGAGGTAGGCTTTGAACCGGCTTCTTTGACCCTTATGCTGATCAACCCGAGATTCTGTCGAGTCTGAGATACAGATTGGTATCTGGCTCATAACGGAGGTTCTTTTTTGAGTGCTATTCAGTCGGAGGTTTGTTTAAGACTATACTGATCATTGTTGACCAAGCATTATCTAAGAGACCTCTAGATTGCCATGATCGCTGTTTGTCTTCCGGTAATACCCAGCTTATTTCACAAGCTTCCACTGCGATCACTACTACGCAGCCTCTGGAGTGCCACAACCAGATCACAGAATTCCCACAAATCCAACGGTTCGCGGACCTTAGTTGGGTCAGGGGGTAACTTCTCAAAACTTGAAAATGACGAGTCGATCACATCCCAGGCACACATGGTGGCAGAAGCCTTTGAACCGTCGACTGTGGAGACGTATGCAATGAAAGATCTGTCTAAATCAGCACAAGATGGTTCATTGAATAATGGCGAAATTACGGTGAATAGCACCATCACACAGAGCCATAACATAGTATGAAATATCAAGCGAATGTAGCCTACGATGATGCTTTTGCACCATTGGTTGAAACACTCATTTAGACAATCGAATACAGGTGCACTGTCTCAGTATCACGGATATGAGGCCACCTGAGGTCATGAATTTTCTATACTCCAATATCTAGTCACGAAGTCTCGTCAGCTGCAGTTCCAGCCATATCGCAAGACTGCCTGATAAATGCTATATCTTTTGACCATGATCTTGAAATGAAAAATGTCATTCCGCCAGTAGACTACGAAGTGCGATCGACTTTCAACGCACGAGTAGGTTTGCGTGATCGGATATGGTCTGGTGCTACTACCTAAAGGTTACGCAAACGTGCAACCATCAGTCCCGCAAAGACCCATCGTGAAGTAACCGTTCTAGAGCTTAGTCCAACAAGGGCGGTCACCTCTTGACTAAACCATCTTCCCGCTGACCGGCATGGCGCCACTTTCGCTTGACGTGCATATCCAAGATACAAGAACCGCGGCTGCATGACTAGCTGAGATCCCTACCAAAAAAGCCCACGATCCAGTCATACCTGCGCTTGTCACTTTGATTGACGTTGTAATCCAGCTCTTCTCTTATCATGCTCATTTCCTCTATTGCGGCCTTGGAGCCATCGCTCATTGCATTGAAGCACAGTGTTGACAGCAAAGAGAGTTTCAACGAACATACTAGAGACACAATAATGGCAGCAGCATCTTATCATAATTCAAATCAGATCCCTCTCACACCGTCATCCTCTTCATCATCACCAAGCAGAATGGCAGGACTACCACCCAATCAACATGCACGTCCGCATTCACCGCGAAAATACCCACAAACTCACCATTCTCAACATCCTGGGCAAATGCGACTACAATCACCTCCAGAAATGGCCCAATTTTACCCACCCCAACAATTGAAGCCAGCACACTTTCATCAAGACCAATTAAGTTTACGCCCACAGTCACCCGCACAGCTGCCAGCTCACAGCTACGGTGTTACTGTGGAAGAAGCCCACGACCACCAAGCCCTACAACACGCTTACGATCCGCCTGAACAGACTCGGTCGTCGTCTCGCCAGCCCTCTCCTGCCCCGCTCCCTGCCCCCGAGTTGCCAGATGAGAAGCCCCCATCCAATACTCGCCGATGATACCAAGAGTAGAAACGGCGTCTCAAGTCCCTGATCGCTATTTCAGAAACTGTGACGCTCATTCTCAACATTGTTATCTTCGGGATCATGCTCTATGTCAACATTCAGTTCTACCGCACGCAGGATTCCGAAGCAGGAGGTGCTCGTTGGTGGCCCGAACACACGAAGACGTGGCCTTCCATCATGATGGCTGTGGCTGCCCTATTCACCCTGGGCGTCGCTATCGGAACGTTGATTGCTTATTTGAGAGATAAGGAGCGCGCAGAAGGGAGCTGGAAAGTGACAATCGCAAAATATGTAGTAGAAGTAGGGGTTTGGGTGGTCGTGAGTGGAGTGTACGAGGCGGAGAAGGGTGATAATGATTTATGGGGGTGGAGCTGCTCAAGCAAGGCTGCAGCAGTGCAGACTGCGAGTAATGGCAAGATCGATTTTGGGAGCCTATGCTCAAGTCAAGTAAGTTGAATCCTGACCCACGAAATATTGTACTTCCAGTGCTAAGCCGGTGATTCGGGCAGCTCGTGGCAATCAGCCATCGCACAATTCGCGGCCAAAATACTTTTCGGTCTTGGGCATTGGTGGTTACATCGAAAGGTAGAGGGCGAGAAGAATAAGTTGGCTGATTCGGCTGGGTTAGCTACATCAAATTTATTGGCAAATACGCTCTTCATGCGTGTTCATGTCACAGAGATCGTCCAGTCAGCGATTTTTCGAGGAGTTCAATCCGCAGCGTCAGCCCTTAAATCGCTCAGAGGACAATGCTGCGTAAGTAAAAATGCATCGGGGTACTTCGATCTTGGAGCAGTCCCAAGTGCGCACTATGCACAAGTCCTACTCATAGATGCTCCTTAGACCAGCAACCCAGGGTCATACATATCTACGGCTTGAGACTTAACGCACCCTCATAACCCTTCCTAAAGACTTAGTTGAGCACACCGTGAAAGACAATAGATCAAGCAATCAACACATCATGATTCAACTCAAAGTCTCTTGCTTAGCCATACTATGTGCTGTCCCCAACGTGGTGCTCGCTCTACCGAATTCATCTCCGGGTATTGTGCAACTCCGGCAGACTCGTATCAAACCCTAGGACTTACGTTTCTAGATATTGTGAACCGAGATGCTGGAGCAGTAGATGCTGTCTATTAAGGCCAATATCTGAATCGCTATGAGGAGACATCAGCGAAAGAAAAACGAGATGCCGAAGCAGGAAATGAGGCACTTTATAAAGGCCAGTATTTGGATCGTTATGAGGAAACTACAGAGAAGGAATAAGAGGTGGAGCTCAGTGCAATAAGTCAAGCACTGAAGGCGCCTTTCAACGGCAAATGCGAAGATCGTTGTATGAGGGACTTACCCAGTCCCCACCCTCGCTCATTTATTTCATCGAGTGGATCAAGCTCTAGTTATGTAGAAGAAGCGCAATGACCAAGGACCTCCGTATCGTACAGATCATGCTTGCTGCTTGAAGATGATTGTAGCGAGTTTTCCTCATTATTTTGGCTTTTGCGTGAATCGAAGCCTAACCTTTCAGGCAGCCATTGTCGCATTGACTAAGCATGTTCCTCCAATCCTGCTGCCTTATATTTGAAATCAGCTTAGCTTGAGATCTTCTCACGTTTGTGAGAGAACTTAAATTAGTGCCTTTCAGTCAGAATGCAAAACTTGCCCAAGATCACTTTAGATACGACATTGGCAGAGCTTTACGCTCACGGTGCCAATCAAAAACAGATCGCCGTCCTTTTGTGTGCTGCTAATTCAGAGATTGCGCCCAGCTCGGAGCTTTCTCGTAACACGAAGTTTCTCTATCAAGACAGTACTTTCACCAGCGAGCCAGGGCACAAGAATCATGATCGATATAACAGAATACAGCATTCAGTGGCCATAAAGTATCTCTCACTGGTGCCCCAGCACGATGCATTCGCCGCCGGCAATATGCCGGCAATACTACTCAATCTTGACAAATCCAAGCATAGTCAAGAAGAATCAGAAAGGACCGTGGGCGTTTTGAATGGAAGCCAAAGACCTACCCTTCTGTTCTATTCACATCCCAAGGACATCGTGGTAGGACGCAATGGGTTTGACCTTCTCGCAGCGAAAATGGAGTTCGATGACCTCGAAGGTGTCCCACTTGCCGTCGACCTCGAGACACACTATTTCCTCAACTCAAAAGCTGCCTTGGCTACATCAGGCTTACCGAGGTAGGTCATTTCGGTTGCTCTGCGCCTATGAGCCAATTCCCAAGCACGAGCAATTTTATTTGACCAAGGATGGTTAAACCACAAGCACTACTGTGTGAATGAATTCTGCTGATTGCTACCATTGCAAAGTCCCAAATCTGTGTTACTAGAATTGGGCGACATTGCCGGCGATCGAATCTCGTGTTGTGCAACGTGCAAATCACAAGGGACAGACCTCTTCATATCTGAAAGTTGCACAGGATTCCGTGGCAGATGGCTGAAGGACCACACTGAGCGCCTTTTATCCACTTTATCTACACAGCCACTACCTATCGTACTCAAGAACCAGCAGACTTTTGGCGGAGGCGGTACCTTTGCAATAACTTCACCCGAGGAGCTCGCAGAAGTGAAAAGCACACTTAACAGCCAGGTCCTTCCCAAGCTGTTGTCTCAAGTCAATTCCTCGAACGCTCACCTCAAACCAGCGACGATGATCTTAAGCGAGATGGTAACAGACCCTGTGGGCGACTGGGGCCTTACTTTCTTTGTCACCAAATCCGGCGAACGTATTTTTCTAGCAGTAACGCAGCAGATCGTCGATTCCTCGAAAGCTTGGATCGGTTCCAGAATTTCTTATTCTGATCAAGCTCAACTGAAGGAGAAGTTCATGCCCATCATGCACAGTATTGGAGCCTGGCTTCATAGGTATAGCTACTATGGTCCTTGTGGCGCCGACATTCTTGAGATTCGTTCAGGACGAGATGTTGAGGCCAATTCGACAACGCTGCAAATCGTTGATTTGAATGTGCGGACTTCTGGTTCGTCAGTTTTGGCGCTTATGAGCGGGCATTTCTCTAAGCAGAGAGGCCTGCACGAAGCTACCTCATTCTCTGTCACCGTAGAAGTGACCAGAATGAGATTTATTGAGTACTTCCAAGATCGATTCCGCTCGGGGTCATGGGTGATAGTTTCGTGGTACGAAGATGAAGAATTTGGATTGAGCTATGGCAACGTGCTTATTGGTGCCTCTAATGTAGAGCAACTGGAGGAGGAGGTGGCAAAGCTCAAGGATCTAGCTTCAGAGATTCATTTCTAAGAGCATCAGCACGCTTTTAACTCTAGAAGGTATAATAATCTGTAAGCCGCACCGGACAATAGTTGTTCCGTCCCACATAGATTAGTTACAATACTGGGTACCTAGAGACCCAACGAAGTCTTGGCAGCTGTCATAGGCCGAGGACGACCGTTTTGCTGTTGCCTTTTCAGACACGAACGTCTGATGTCACCCATCATACATACATTATCTGCAGGCTTGTCGAGGGTTCTGTGACCATAAACCTTAGTCTAACACAGTACTATGCTATGAGAGGCTGTGCAAGGGAGCTGTGAGCTCCCTAGACTATAGGCATCCCCACCGTTGCGAACATGCCCGGTGGAGCGTCTGGCAGTGGTTCTGGATCTTCCCTCACCAAGGCTGCTATCGTTGTTTGTGGAGTTGCATCTTTGGTAGCTACCCTGATCACATTTGTGTAAGCTGTTTGTTCTTTTTCAAGACACGACCTAAAGCTGACGATTGGCACAAGCTCAATATGGCTCCAAACAAAGAATTACCGCAAGCCACTCCTTCAAAGATATACAATCCGTATCTTGATCATGGTTCCCGTTTACTCGGCATCTTCCTTTGCTAGCTTGATGTCACAAGATGCCGCTTTCTACATAGATCCAGTTCGGGACGTATATGAAGCTTTCACCATCTATACATTTTTACAACTTTTAATCAACTTTCTGGGCGGGGAGCGCTCTCTGATCATCATGATGCACGGAAGGCCGCCTGTCAATCATCTCTGGCCGGTAAATCGCTGTCTTCCTAAAGTGGACATCTCTGATCCTCACACATTTCTTGCGATCAAGAGAGGCATACTGCAATATGCATACATGAAGCCCATCTTGGCAGTCGCAACAATTGTCATGAAGTTGACTGGTACCTACCAGGAGGGTTATCTTGGCTTGACGTCTGGATACCTCTGGGCGGGCATCCTCTACAACGTTAGCATTACGCTTAGCCTGTACGCCCTCGCGTTGTTCTGGGTCTGTATGTCCCAGGACTTGCAACCTTTCCGACCGATGCCCAAATTCCTTTGCATTAAGCTCATCATATTTGCTTCCTATTGGCAAGGCTTTGGCCTTTCCATTCTACAGAAATTGGGGGCAATATCCAACAACGTGCCAGGATATTCTGCAGACAACCTTGCGGCGGCTATACAAGATGCACTGATATGCTGCGAGATGCCATTGTTTGCGATCTCGCATTGGTATGCATTCTCTTGGAAAGATTATGCTGACCAGACAATCTCCGCTGCTCGCATGCCTGTCAAATACGCTTTGCGTGATGCTTTCGGGCCGCTTGATCTCATTGAAGATACCAAGGAAACGTTTGTAGGACGCCACTATGAATATCGAGTCTTTGATAGCGGGGACAACGTCATAGCTCACGAGGAGTCTGCTTCAAGGACAGCTCGAATGCAAGAGGGCATGCGATACGAAAGAGGGGGAAAAGGGAAATACTGGATACCAAAGCCGGGTGAGATAACCAGCAGGACACCCTTGCTCGCGGGTGTGGTAGCTAGTGACGCAGCAACTATGTCTCATGCTCGAGAAGACGTTCCCCGTTACGACGATGACCCAGATCTGAAGCATATCAATCTCGACCCAGAAGATGAGAGGTGCTTCAATGACGCGAAGGCTTTGGAGTTTGGGGATTGGAATGTAGGCTTCCGGACGATCATATTGTGAGGTTTGTCGGCTAATGTCTTTCACAGTATCCAGTCATCACGGCCCATGTCCCCATTGGGGAAAGATGGGCGAGGTCCAATCCGACGCTTGTCACTCCAGCGACGAACAGGAACCTGCTGCAACCTACGGCGGGTAACAAAAAGAAAAGATCTAGCGACATCAAGGAAGGTCTGGCGGAAGCCAAACATCGCACCCACCGAAGCTCCCAACCGAAATCGCGGGCACCTGTGCTGAGTCATATGCTTCGCAAGGACTCCACCTCATCCGGGTCAGCTAAATCTGGAAGAAGCCAACTTGTTGATCTGCTAGTGGAAGACAAAAAAGCCGAAGAGGTAGAGCGAGTGCGGGCTCGCAAAGAAGGCGGAGCGGCATGGAACGAACAGGAATCGAAGCAATTCGTGTAAGTCATCTCGATGTTTACTGCGAATTTGTACTGACTGAGAGCGCGTAGACGTACTTACTCGGACGAAGACGAGGGTGAGATCATCCGGGAGGGATTCGATCCTCGAGACCTCCAACCATCACCTACGAATGAATTCGTAGTTGAGGATGAATCAGATGAGGATGACAATATACCTGAAGAGCTGCGAGAGTCACGGCACTGGAGCGAGAGCGGTAGCAGTGGTCAAGGTCGTCCAAACAATTCCAATGCCAACTATGGCTCTCTCGATGATCGGAATGTCTGGGATGGTCCATCGAGTAGTTCGAAGTGATACCCTGGGAAATAGCGAGGAGTCTTTGGAGTCTCCTCAAACAGCGACTTACCGTAGCGTTTCAAGGTAGTGTCTGTATGACACTTCTTTATATTTGTTATTACCCATATCTTGGTTCCAATGTCGCCAGTGTCTGATTGAATGATTTTAATATCCGACTCCCTAATCCGGGCAATGTCTAGCTGCACGTGACTCGCCTCTAGGGGCGCGTTTCTCTTGGCGCGTGCCCTTGTTCTCAACGGTTTCCGCGACCTAGCGATCCCCCGCCAAAGTGCAAAGGGCCTCTCTTTCTTGCCTGCGCACATCTGGTTCGTGCACCTTGGGATCATCCTGTTCGTATCCTGCTCGTTATCACAAGGCTATGTAAGAGCGTATTCGGTTCTACCCTTGTGAGATCGATTGCCACCATCACTTTCTCCCCGCCCTGTTGGTTCCATGCGACATATATCCGAAACAGTGCATCTCGTCGTGTGATCGTCGAGTCTTCCAGCGGACGAGACTGGCTGCCATGGCCTTTCAGCTCTTTGATTCTCAGCTCGGTGAGTACAGCCTGCCTTCTGTGCTACTTGAAAGACTGACCCATCCGGAAGCAGAACCTTCGTATCACCGGCCTGCGAAAACCGCACGAGAGACACATACTCTACCGAACTCTCAAAGCTCTTCTTTCAATGACTCGTCGGCGAGTCAGCATTCCAACACCAATTTTCACTCAGCATCGAACCAAAATCCAGCTAGCAATTACTCTACCTTGATTGAAGCTGCTACACCCGCAACATCAGTCTCGAACGCCTCCACTCAAGACTACAATTTGGAGTACGACGAGTCTCCATACGCTACAAGTCAGCCGAAAAACACCATGACAACCATTCCGACACCGCAAACAGTTCAACAAGTACATGCAGCAGTTCACCCAGGGCAGTCCAGTCAAATGCATACTAGTGCACCCAAGCGCATGGCCAATGGTGACATCAAGTATTCGCCTGGCAGCGTGTCGACGAGCCCGACCCAGGTCGGTCATAGCGCGCATTCTCGAAGTAGTAGTACGCATTCTAGAAATGAAGAAATCAATGAGGTGAGTCGGCACTCATATCCAGTTCGTCCGCTCTGACAATTTTCTAGATGGCACGCAAGCTACAGACGAATCTGTCTTATGGATGGTTTAAAGTACAGAATGATTGTGAGGACCGAAGAATTTCCGAGCTCGAAGAAATGGCACCACACAAGACAATCGCTGTATCGGCTCAACGTGGAATGTCGAAAGCGTCAGTCAGCTCACCACACAATCACCCACAGTCTTCCCGATCGCCATCTCTTACTGCACGAACAACAAATCACACAAAACCTCAGAAACTCCCGATGTCGGCATCTTCAAACCAAAGGAACCCCAAAACGACTGGAATGAGTCCGCCAAATGCTACTACATCCCTGCAACAGCCCGTCACATACGAGTCTTTCTGGCGCGAACACGGGCAGACCAGTAGTTCCACCCCACAAACTTCACATCCGAAGCCCAGTAGCGGGACGGCACCGTCTCTAGCACCACCTGTTGACATCCATCCACGAAGTCCCCAACGAGCACCAATGAACCAGAGCCGAGCGCCACCACCAAGGCTACAGACCAATTCAGCGCCAACAACGCCGCAAAGGTACCCAGCTAGCAGTGTTCGCTCACCAGCCGATCTGAATGAGGACGAGCGAGATGTCGTAGACTCCTTGATGGCCATGTCAAGCCCTAAAAAGCCCGGCTACTCCCCGAATAATCCAACAATTAGCTCACCTCTCAGAAATGTCATTCAGCCAACTCAAGAAGCTCGACCGATACAGACTAGAACTTTACCAAACACCAGCCGGACAAAAAGTCCACGCGTCAAACTTGCTCCCGCACCCCGCCTGTCTAGAGCGCCAATGTCAGATAAGGAGATGAACGAGCGACTGGACATGATAGAAGATGACAGTAGCGACGATGCCGATGATGAGAACTACAGGGCTCACAGAGTAGTATCGGGAGGATTGAAGAGGTGATGATAGTCTATGTGGCTCTACTTTCAACTGGATGGCTTTTATATGCTTTGCATAGGTCAGGGTGCGATCATCTTGACGTGAACAATGTGCTATATGCGGCGCATAAGGGCTGGCTGTCCAGTAGGTGCGATAATGATAGGAGTTGGTAATGTACAAGTAAGTCAGGTGTGGGCATGTTTACACCCGGATAACGGGTTCTCATATTGTCAATTCGTACCATGTATTTTCTTTACGTGTGGTCAGATACTTGTGTTTTCATTGCCACAGCGCATCTAATGAATCAGACCGAATATCCCATCAATCTTCTCCATCTGGATGTCCATCTGCAGAATAACCCTCAACCTTCTCCGCGGAGAAATAACACTATCGAGAGCCCCTGCGAGTGAGACCAGGTTTTGTATGATGTTGACTGACCTGTCAAGTCTCGGCCTTCTCCAGCTCTTGACAGAATTCAATGCGCCTGCAAGACTTCCGGATTCCAGAAGCAATTGGCTTGGCTGAAAAATACACCAGATCTAACGAAGCCCAGAGGAACCCTATCTCGCATCAGATCGTGTCGCAAAACGTGCAGGACAACAGTCGCCAAGCTAGCTACACACGGTTTCGGGTAATTTGGCGCCAATTTGGAAAAAGGGCAAGGTTGAAGTGAGTCGACGTGCGCCAGGAGAAACCGGGTCCCAGGTACTTTGCGCTAAAGCTCAGAGGTATCCAGAAAAAAAAAATCGAGACTGGCAACAGGTGAATGGCACAACGGCCGACTGCGACCCACCGAGAACGACGAAATACAGGTTTTCCAGACTCGTCTTCGTGTTTGTGACGAAACATTGTATCCAGAATTTCGAAGCCCAGCGCTCGAAGCAAATATTATAATTGGAAGCGATGAAGCAATCGCGGCAAGTGCATGATGTATGACGACGTGATATTCCTGGAGAGATGAGACAGCAGACGAATGGAAAAGGAGGAGAACCAGTCTGACTGAATCAAGTCCTTATAAAAAGGGACATCAAGGGGGAGTTATGGTTAGAAAACATTTGGGCCGTTTTGGACATCGCAGCTGAAGACCACCGGGCGGAAGCCATTGCCAACGACTAGCAAAAGGCTCATTCGATCACCGCGTGATTGATAGAGGATTCAATTCTAGAGATCTGGTGATACCTTCCCAGCTTCTCGGCCAGTCAAAATAGGTCCACAGTGTAAAGTGCAGCATCTGGTATTTTCTTTTTGGAGTAACACTCGGGAAACGAGTAATTAAAGCTCATTAAAGACTTTACATGATTGATGGGATCATCTCTAGGCGACCTCTGTGACCTTGGGAGAACAATGCCCGTCTGAATCGAATTTCGCTTAGCGCTAGCTGAGGACACACAGTACAGTATCTTTTAAAGACCCCTTTTCCAAGTCATCCCTACCAATATCTACCTCAGGGCCACTGCGTTTCTGCCTTCGACTTCAAGAGGATCTTGCTACCTTCAAGTGTTGCCACCATACCTCTTGCGAAATCTCTCAATCTTTAGGTAACGGCGGTGTTTTGAAACAAAGAAATTCGCCTTTAGTTCTTTCTCGTAGTTTCTTCAGCGCGCTCCGCATTCCAGGCAGCTCGCCTTGGAGAGCTTGGCTGACTTCCCTGGTTGTCTTCTTGTCCAGGTCCTTGTAAACTTCGCCCTGGACAGTCCCTGCTTCGTCGGTCAAATACTGTGTCATTGTCTGAGCCACGAACTCCATATCTAGAGTAGCCTGCATAAGTGCGTTCAATGGGTATGTTTCGCGTTGTCCGAACGCGGACCTGAAGATGTTTGAAATTTTGACCAGTACGTATTCGAGCATTTCGAAAGCTGTAGGTTTGGGTGGTTGGTCGGTCTTCTTCCTCCAAACCTTTGAGAATGGATTGGTCGTAGCAGAGACTTCGGAGTGTACTGTAACCAGAACCAAGAGAGCTTCATAAACGTAGGGTCGAACTTCACTTGGGCGTGAAGTAGTAGGCAGCCAGGTTTCAGAAACGATGCCAGCATGAATTAAGGTATCAAGCTTTGCCACAACAGGATCGACGTAAGACTTGAAAAGAGAGTCTTCTATTTCCTTTAGCGATTTCTTCAATGGAGGTGTCTCGTTCTCAAACGGGAAGGAGAAGTGAGTTCCGAATTGGGACCTGAGGTTGGACAAATGTTTCTTCAACCTTAGATGCTTGATGTTCATAAGCGTCAGAAGTATGCGGATGGTCTTTCTTGAATTAGTAATTCACAACAAATGTAAGATATATCGACTTACTTTGACAGGAACACCCCTTCCAACACTTGAAGTATTTGCAATCATCCTCACGCCATCTTCCGTGATACTGGATGTTTCCATGGAGTTGGAGCTTGTTGCTACTTCCATCATGCTAGCGAGTATCAGATTCAGTGACTCCTGTAGTGTTTTACTGATGTTTTTTACGCTCTTCTCTGTCGGAGGCGTGATAATGGCCGTGGAGCCTCCTCCAGCATTAGCAGCTTGAGGGATATAGGAAATCTTCTGTAGACCAAGCAGGAGAGTGTTCTCAAAAGAAATCAAAAATTTTGTTAAATAAGTCAATTCCGGGGTGTCAACCATACGGGACCAGTCTTCCATATACCTGAACATTTCCGAGTCTTTAGGCCATTGATCGCATATTGCCTGTAGAGATCTCTCTCGAGCACTCGTGACTGTCGATCTAAGCTTTTCCGATATCGACTCATTCAACTCTCGGGGAGCCGTTGTCACCATTGCCGCCATCTCGGCAGCTGCTAAGCCAACCAAGGTCATGATCTTCTCAAGATAGTGAACGCCACTTAGAGAATTTGCATACGGGGGCCAGAATGCAAACTTTTCCCAAGCCTCTCCTCGGGCCAAAGATGTTGGAGGCGGGTTGTTCTCATCGAACACGAAACGAGAATCTTGATGTGCAAATGGAGAGAGCGTTTGCTTCGTTGTTGGGGTTGGTGTGTTCGGTGAAGGTGAATAAAGCATTGAGACATCATTGATAGGTGCTTCAACGAAGAATGTGTGGACGTAGTCCTGTAGCATATCAATGAGCTCTAAGACACCTTTATGGAGGTCCCTTGTGCCATCGGGTAGCAGCCGATGGTGCTTTTGACTTTGACCATCTATGCCGATAGGCATGGTTTTTTGAATCCTGCCTTCGATAAATTGCTGAGCTTTATCCCAGAATTCTATGACTTCTCCAAGGATGCCACTTTTAGTAGATAGTAAATTTGCAAGGGAACTGTAGATCAAATCCCATAATTCAAGGACACGTGAGGTATCTAACTTTGAGGATAAAGTGTCCAGGTCCTTGTCAGCTGCACTCTTGAGATGGCTAGCTACCATTGGTGGAGAGGGTGGTTCGGCATGGGCAAGACGTCGGCGCAAAACCTCTATCTCAACTCTAGACCGCTCAAACGTAGCGTTGATTTTGTTCTTGAGGTGATCGTACCGACTCAATAACCAAACCCAGATTGGGTTGTCAGTGACGCCCAGCTCAAGTAGAACATTAATCAAAGGCATGTAATCCTCGGTTTCACTCTGGCTCATTGAAGACTGTGAGCTCATTTGGACGTAGGTCAATCTACGCCAAACATCTCTTTTGAACTCCTCAATGCGATTCTCGACGTCAGACCAAACCCTTCCTGTGATTACTATTTGATTGACTTGTTGATCGGTGAGTTGTTGTTCGCTCCGATAAACCCTCTCTGCTATTTGTCTAGCGCCTTCCTTGAATTTGCGGGCCTTGCTATAATTCTCCACAAGACCACTGTAATCTCTTCGCTTGATACAATCTTGAAGGCTCTTGTACACTCTGAAGACTTCCTCGGAGCTTTCGATCGAATCCGCGATAGACTTGAGGCTTCCCTCCTTCTCCTGGCCCCCAAGCGCGGGGCCCCATATCTCTTCGGCTTTCACGGCGACCTCAATCAAAGGCGCTTTGATACCCTGCACACCGTACTCGCTCTCTTTTGTCAGCGCATTCTTCTTTTTGTCGTTCGATGATGGCTTGTTGATGCCGAGATTCGGACTCTTAGATCCTTGTCCACTGTAATTTCGAAAATGTCGGCTCTCACGGGAAGTGACGCGAGAATGCCCCCGCGACCTATTTGCTTCCGGATCCGCACCTTGATTGCGCATTTCAGCGTATACATTATCGATGGTAGTTTTGGCGCGGACGAATCGTTCGAAGTTCGACTCAACAAGCACCTTCAAAGAAGCTGATTTTGAGTCAATAGATCGAGAGAGGGATTCAAGACCCTGCAGGAGTTCTTTCGTGGATGAATCCGAATGGACTTGGGATAGGAACAAATTCGGGGAGAATGTTGTAGAGGAGAGCAAGAACCTATTTCCTACAGCCTTTCAGTGTCCGTGCTTCAGAACGATATATTGCTCTCACTCAAGCGGCTATCTTCCTCAACAGGCAAACCCTTGCGCCGAAGAATCTTCACGACACTATCTGTGCCGCCGAGTGGGTCTGGCTCATCCTTCTGGACAAGGTTCTCTTGACCATGGGGGAGCTTCTCCGATCCAGGAACAAGGCTCTTCCGGTCCCCATGTCTGTCGAGCGCTGAATATCTAGATCTAGATCGTCGTACGTAGTGTCTTGATACTGCTTTCGACTTCTCATCCTCTGATACATCGCTATCGTCCTTCTCAGCCGGCCAGCTCGCGGGGAGTGGGTTTGTAAGATTGTAGTAGTTCAAAATAGTATGTTCATTGTTCATGTCGGGAGCAAAGACGTTCCGGCAGCCTACATGTGAGCTATTCTAGGAGATATATAGCGTAAGATTAGCGGATCTTTCATCTAGGGAGAGTCATTGTGATTGCAGAAGGGCCGACGATTCAAAGCATAGGGATGTATATGCAAGCCCTACGGTAGGGCTGAGCGCGGCCGAGGTCATGCATGTTCGCTGCACCCCATTACCTCAATTGAGATAAGAAAAGTGCGAGAAGGCAGCTACATCTTTGACGCTCGTATGCTCACTACGCTTGAGAAGCTCCACGATGATAATTGGCCGTGGACTAGGTGTATCTGCACGGCAATGTCTCCGCAGATGTCACGCGGCTCAAAGTAGCAGAGCGATAAACCAGGTAAAGCGCAACAGAATTACTGTGGATGTACGGCAGCCATTGGTTGACATACTTGCAGGTTCGGTGTTACGCAATCCCGGAAAAGGATAAAGTCGCCAAATTCAAGGGCCAGAAAGGCTCTGATGTGCGTTGATTGCAGTCTTTGCATATCCCTACAGCAATTGACCTGCATATGATGTACACTGGGGCGTGGCTGATTACTATTCCTCATAGGGCAACTACACCGTAACATTAATCGAAGGAGACGGCATCGGACCAGAGATATCACAGTCGGTGAAGGACATATTCGCGGCAGCTAAAGTCAGATTCACCCACAACGTTTATTGAAATCGAAGGATCTGACCAATTGAAGGCTCCTGTGAAATGGGAGCCAGTCGACGTGACACCACAGCTCAAAGAAGGCCGGACCGTCATTCCTGACGCAGCAATCGAGAGCGTGCGCAAGAACTACGTCGCACTAAAAGGTCCCTTAGCGGTATGGCCTCACCTTCTGTCCCCTCCTCCTTCAAAGACAATGCAAGAGCTCAATCTCTCATCATGTAGACTCCGATAGGCAAAGGCCATGTCTCCCTCAACCTAACGCTCCGCCGTACATTCCACCTGTTCGCCAACGTTCGTCCCTGCAAATCCATAGCCGGCTACAAAACCCCATACGACAATGTTGACACGGTCCTCATTCGTGAAAATACGGAGGGTGAATACTCTGGGATCGAGCATGTCGTCGTTGACGGCGTCGTGCAATCCATAAAATTGATTACGCGCGAAGCATCCGAGCGGGTCTTACGCTTTGCATTCCAGTATGCGGAAGATGTGGGCAAGAGGAAGGTTAGAGTAGTGCACAAGGCTACGATTATGAAGATGTCGGACGGACTGTTCTTGAAGACGGCAAGGGATATCTCGAAGGAATTCCCACAGATCGAATTTGATCTCGAGCTCCTCGACAACACATGCCTAAAAATAGTCACGGATCCAGACCCATATAATGACAAAGTCCTCGTTATGCCCAACCTCTATGGCGATATTCTCTCGGATATGTGCGCAGGTTTGATTGGGGGCCTCGGCCTCACACCCTCTGGAAATATAGGCGACGAATGCTCAATCTTCGAAGCTGTCCATGGTTCAGCGCCGGATATTGCGGGGCAGCAACTTGCGAACCCGACGGCACTGTTGTTGAGTAGTATCATGATGTTGCAGCATATGGGACTGAATGAGCATGCGGACAAGATCCAGAATGCCATATTTGCGGTACTGGCGGAAGGTAAGACCATAACAGGTGATCTAGGCGGGAAATCAAAGACGTTTGAATTCGCGGGGGCGATCATTGATCGACTGTAAATATCACGAAGGGAATTAAGAGTACGAAGAATTTGGAACGGCAGCTTCAGTCGCACGTGATGCGTGGGTGGACGAATATGATACTCTAGGTCAATTGTATACCACCACATTCTTCCATCTTGCAAGCGACTTGAAGCCCTGTCTCTTACATTTATTTCGAACATCAAGCGCAGTATGCGAGCGAGACAAGTTGTTACAATACCTTTCGGAGACCGCATGAAAGAGAAGACCAAGTATTCATTCAACAGCACAAAGGGCTTAGCTGTCGATTGAGACCAGTGTTGAACACACAAAGGGGCATGGATCCCAACTCTTAGGCCGCATGAGATCCGGAGCCTTTCGCCGGTCACAAGGCAATTGTATTCATTCCTGGCCTCAAATCCACTTAAGTACCTTCCTTCCTGCGTCGTCCAAACTTCGCAGCCCACAGTTCGCCAGATAATCCACTTCTCCACCAAGCTAAGCAATCTTCCAGACAAAACAGTCTCAAAACAATTTACTCCTAATATAACAGGTCCGAAACACCAAAATGAAGCCCTCAACCCTCCTCTGCCTCTCAGCTCTCAGCGCAGGCGCTATATCCCACCTCATCCTTGCCCGAGACGATCTCCCAACAACAGGCACATGGATCAGCCACCACAACGACGGCAACTGCACCGACAGCCCCTTAACCGACAAGAGCCACAAGCCCAAAATCATGGACGGCGACTGCACGAACTGGGAGCCCCGAGGCACAGGAATGGGCATCAACTACGCCGAGGACCCAAACAACCCCCTTCACGGATTCAAATTCTTCAGCGAGCCGAACTGTCAAGGCGACCTGCTCGGGACGCCATGGGGAGTAGGGGGTCCCGAGGGTGCAGCGCCAGGGCGAAGAGCCAGGAAAGGAACGCCGCCGCCGCCGCCGCCGCCGCCGCCGAAGGTCGAAGGGACGTTTCGAGGGTTTTGCGCTGGCAAAGCAGCCGTGGATGGGTTCCCTAAGCCGATCAAAAGCGTTCACGCTCTAAGCGTCGAGGAGACCCTCCATAAGGAGGGGTTGAAGAACATGTTATGCAATGCGACGGTGTGTTACAGCATTGATCATGATCATTAGTGCGATGGCTATCTTGATTTCTTTGCCAAGGAAAAACATGTGTAGCGAAGGAATAGATACCCTCGAGGCCAAGTGTTCTCATGTGATACCTTCCAATAGATGCATCAACTCAATGAGTACTCAACGTAGCATGGTCCCGGGAAACATTTCTCTTTCAAGTCGTCTGCAACGGAAGCAAACACCTGTGGGTTAAGCACAAAACCTGGCGGGCTCTCAGTTACCAGGTAAAGGACTCTTTCAGAACAAATGCTGTTCGGCAATCGTAATCATGCCATGTAATGCAATGAAATGAATATTTGACAGGGCAACTGGAGAGAAGCTGAGAGGATTTCTTGTTGAGAATATCTAATCGTGATGTAATATGAGCATAACAAAGCCAGGGTATCAACACCTCTACCTCAATGCAAGCTCCAGTTCGTTCTGCCTTACCAAGTCTAGACCCTGCATTCGTAGCTGTTCCCGCAGATGCTCATCGCGGACGCCATTACCCACACCTTTTCTTGTGCAGATGGCCATTGTGGCATAAGTATCAAAGTTGTAAGCAGTGCACTACGAATTTGGCCATTGCTGGGAAAGCAGCGGGGACTAGCACGATTACAAACATGATGTATTGCCGGATAATCGTCACTTAAGCAAGGTAGCCTAGTTCGTCATCGTCTAGTCGCTCGAGGTAGTCATTCTCAATCAGCTGGTCTATCGCTTTCTTAATGTCAGGAATCTTGGGTGTGAAGCGTTGTTTGATCTGGGCGATCGTTTCTTGGACGAGAACAACGTGCTTCAGCTTCTTTCTCGACTTCATGATGCGCACGATGGCGGACTGGGAGGGAAATTAGTAAAGGAATACCGTACGATAGGGAGCACTTAGCACTTACCTGCATCAACAACTTCCTATCCCCCTCGATGTTCTTGTGCGTGTCCTCGACTTCTTGCTTCGCTTCGGACTTGACACTGATGTTGAGATTGACCTTCATTTTCTTGCTCTTGAAGTTGACATTTGGCGTGTATGAGGTCCCTGACTCGGGTTTGCCGTTTTCAGGTGAAGGTAACAGTACCTTAGCTTTGACGAATACACCTAGCGATGGATCAAGGTACTCCGGTGAAAGAGCAGTGGCTCGCTGTATATCGTCGTATGACACCGTCTCAGCGTCGTTGAAGAGTAGTAGTATAGCCATTTGATACGTGGAGACCATGAAGGTGTAAGGGAACTTGGCATTCTTGATGTAGTTCGCCTTGATCTCTCCTTTACATAATTGCCACAACCATGTGAGCTTGCGACCGTTGTGCTTGTCGAAGTAAAAGGATTGAAATCGTTCATATGTCTTGACGATTTCACTTGGCGGAATGAAGTTGGTGTTTGGCGCACTAAGAGGCCAGAAGCCTGTGCCGAGAACATGGTAAGTCGAGTCCACGATTTTCTTGTAATCCTCAGCGAGCGCCTTCTCGGCCCAGTCCGAGAAAGTCCTATTCAAATCTGCAGAGATCTGAATGTCCTGAAACATACGCTGCAGCTTGTTTGTGTACTCATAACCACAAGCTTCCTTGAGCTTGCCGATCATGCTAGTCTCAGCATCTTCTGAGGCGGAGCTTGAATGTACCAGTCGTTTAGCCAGCATGCGGGAGTAAAACTTTTGGAAGACGTCCTTGTCTTCGATGTACTTGAAGACTGTCATGATTTGGATCAATGATGCCTCCAGATCTGCCTCTTCGGCACTCTTGCCGCTCTTCTTGAGAAGTTGATCGGTGTATTTTGCTAGTAATTCAGGAGATCGTGTTGAACCGGTTACACAGACCTTGTTGCGGTTGACGAATTCCTTGCACGCGTTGTCGAGAGATCGCACAAACTCCGACTCGCCATTAAAAGCATTGTCGACGAGCTGTTGGTACTGTGTATGTACCTCTAAAAGGGCGTCGACGTAGGTCTTTGGTTCCATGTTGTCTCCGTCGACAGCTACTTTCTCCACCGCAGCTAAGCCGGACTTCCTAACGTGGGCCTCAAATTTCGTCCGAAGTGGCTCCAAGCCATCAACGATCCGTGAAAGCAATTTGTACATGCGTGCAAGATCATCCTGTCGATCAGTATCTAGCAGTACCTGGAATTCGTCACGAAGTAGCGCAGAGTGTCCTGTGACCAGAGTTTGGAGGCAAGTCTTCATCAAAGAGTTCATAATGTCTTGGTGCAGGTAGAGACCGACACGGTCCTTCTCTTCCTGCAATCTGGATTCTGCCTTCTTCATGTATTCAACGACGGGATTTTGAGCCACGAATTGCTTTGACTCGTCTTCGTAATACTTCTTCGTAGCTTCGAGGAATGGCTTTTCGAAGTGGAAGCGGTAGACATCAAGCGTGGACTTCGTCGTGTCTGTCTCATCCAAGCCGAGCGAGACAAAAGAGTCGACAATACTCTTGATCTGGGACTGCTCTATTGTCTCGCCATCACGCTGCTTCTTCACCATCTTGAGGACAGCATCCATGACGTTCTTGTTGACCTTGTCGAAAAAAACCATCCGCCAAGACACAAGATGCAAAGTGTAGACATCGTAAACATCTTTCTTGCCTTCATCGACCTCCCGCTTCACCCAATGTCGGTTCAGGTATCGGAACAAATGGTTTATGTATTTTGCGGCAGTCGTGTATCGATCCCATTCTCGAATGTAGTAAGTCAAAAGGGCTTCGTCAACGTGACCTTGAGAATGTTGATACAAGCCTTCCAAGTGGCTTTTGAGGTAGTCTTTGAGGTTCTTGTAGAGGTCTTCGCCGAGGAGATGCGCTGCTGGAGGTGTTAATCTATGCTCCGAAAGCTTTCTCTTCTTACGCGGAGGCGCAGACTTACCACCGCGATGTGCATTGCCGCCTATGATTCCTCCCGAAGCTACGGCTTTTTGTGATGTACAGAAGTTGTGTACAGCTGTGTAGATTCCCATGTAAGAGGGCATATCCACTCCATCCTTTAGATTTGTCATGATCTTGTCGACACCACTCTCGAGGAAAGCCCATGTTGCCTCAAGGTCGTCCTTGTTAGGAGCGGGTGGCATGTGAATCACCATGATTACAAATTATAGCCTGGTTGTCGTAGATGAGTATGATGAGTGAAAGGCGCACTGGAGAGGTGAGAGTTTCAAATTAAAGACCAAAGTTCTTCTGTGTCAAGGGCTAATTGTTGTCAGATTCTAAAGAGTAGGAAGTAGTACAGCCGCATGTGTCGTGCAACGCTTTAATGGGCGGGCACGCGCATAACAAAGCCGACGGGACTTCTAACAATGGCGTAACACAGTTGCTTTTGTTGTGCCACCTGGAAAAGAGCATCAAGCTCAGATGTGCAGAAGTCGTGGGAGGAGATGTTAGCAATAGGCAGCTCGATTACTCGGTAGAGGGAAAGAATGACTGCTGCAATGGCAAACCCTAATTGTGACGTGCCGCTAGGACGAAGGCAGCCACCACCGCTTAGTCAGCACGGTCTTAAGCCGATAACTCCGTGCCTCAGGGTAGCTGTCAGCTAGACATAGAAATTCAGGCAATTGCACCCCTAGAAGCGCAGCCAAGCTAAGATGGAGTCCAGAATTTGCCATGGGAGCTTCAAATAATCAAAGAACAAAACCACGTCCAGCAAAGAAAGAACAAGATAATCAAGTCAATGTTCATTGTACTCTAGGCTCACAAGTCCATGACAGGACCTTTGTCTCCATAGAAGGGGTCTCGCTCAAGCCAGGCAAGTGATGAGATCCTCTTGATCTTCTGTTCCTCCCCTGCACTGCCGTAACACATGTCAAAATGGTATCCCTTCGGATAAGATCCGACCATGCTGAAATCCCCCGTCTTGTCCTCCAGCAATCCATGCGCCACCCCAGCTGGAACGACCATTGCGTCTCCTGCTCCAACAACAAGCTCCACTCGTCCAGAATTGCTCTCTCCGCCAAAACATAGCTTGGCTGACCCTGAGTACGCGTACAAAACCTCGTGGCTAGTGGAATGGAAGTGAGACCGGCTGAACATGGTGCATCGCCAATGCGGTAGCACACCTTGTGACTTGGTAAGGTAATCCTCAACGTCTGAGGCTGATGTACTCGGTGCGAATATTTGGTGATAGACTAACAGCGGCTTCTTTTGAATCGATGTGTTTGGCGTGAGGACATGTGCTGGAATCTGATAGGAGGAAATCTTGAGGTCTTTCAACGGCTTCGGGATGGCTGGCATGTTGTTATTGGCCGTTTCGCAAGCATGTAGCTGGCCTCTCGATTGTTGCACCTGTGATTGAAGTGGAACGTGGAATATCTCTTCGATTTAATCACCCGTAAGTAGATAAGGCATGAGCACTCGCTAGGCGCATACGTCATGAGCTAAGCAAAGCATCATAAGTGAGTCCGCTAGAATTCTAGTGTTCGCCGAACAGCCGTGAAAGCACTCAAGGCTGTCCAGATTCGTCTATGCGTGTCGTGAGGTCGTGAAGTCGTAAATCTCGCGTCATTTATGTTCGTGTCTGTACATGCTAACAAAGCAAGGTCAGAGACCCTATCTGCTCGTCATTTTCTCTACGAGTCTGGGTGATCGTTAGCATAGGACATCGGGATAGGGCACAGCGAGTATGAAGAGAGTAGACAGGACCCACTGACCTAGTAATACTAATCGAAAAAGTCAACAGCCATGCGACCAAGGCAATCAAGAGGACGCTCGAAAGAGCCCGTTGCCGAGGGAGAACCTTGCCGAACACTTCTCTCTGATCTACATCACAGTGTTTTTGGTCACTAGCTTCCTCACAGCTGGTTACCCTGATGGACTCAAACGCCAGGCTAAGATTAGCAGAATCGAAAACGATGAAGAACAGATCCAGAAAGATGAGCCGCATCTTGGCCCTCGCAGACCTCAATCCGAGCGGTTTCCCTGAGTATTCGTCGTATGCGATGTATAATAAGTAAACGATTGCCACTGCATCTACTATAATCGCCATGTCTGTACTTGGAACTTGTTCGAGCACACTGTCGTTTCCGTTGACTAATATGTGGATGGAGGTGGCTAGTCCTAGTGCAACCACCGAGAATGAAAGAACGATCATACGAATCACCATGGGAACAATAGGACTGCGTAGAATTTTGCGTTCAAGTCTCAGATACCACGCGCGCCGCCGAATGTGAGATTTGTAGCCAACTTCAGGGTCACCCTCCACTACTCCTGCCATCCATGGTTGATAGTAGTTTGGACCATTATCTCGTAGCCATTCTTCACTAACGATACGCCCACCATCTGGAGTGATATGAGGATACGCCGAAGCATCCGTGAAAGCCTTCCAGCGCGAGACCCTCTCAGGATCGGCCTCACCGGACCAGTGCGCTAGCTTCTCATATTCTTGATTATGTACCTTTTGATGATAAGTCGACCCGTTGGCCTTTATAGCAGGACTGCTATTATGCTGAGCCACTTGAGCTGCACCAGGGGGATCGTGTGAGGGTGAGATTGGAACAATGCCTTTCTCGATCTCTTCCCTGGTGTGAACCCAGCTTGGAATAGTTCGGGGTATCCTGTGCGCGTCTCGTTCGCGAACTCTAGTATCTTCTGCTAATGTGGAATGCGTTTGCCCACAGGAAGAAGAGCTTGTAAGATTGTCCAGCGCCTCTTGCTTCTCATTGAGAGTCTGCTGTTGTGAAGCATTGCTAAAACTTCTTTCCCTATTTGGATCATGGTATTGCCCCTGATGTATAGTCGCAAGAGGCGACTTTATAAGGCTTGTAGCACGAGATCGGAAGCTGCCTGTGCGAGGGCCCATGGCATTGAATATCCTGTGGGCTTGAAAGATGCATAGGCGGTGTTCAAATCCGGACTTCGAACATGAGCAACATGATGGAGTGAGAGTATATAAAACGGAGAAGATAAAGAACCAATGAGCGAAGGTGGAAGGCGCAAGACGGCAAACAATAATGCAGGTGGAAAGTGATTGTACCATCACCAGCCAGAGATGTTTTTCCATATTGAGATCTATCGCTCACCGTAGTTCTAGAAGCTTGGCAAGCGTCACCTGCCAAGCCAAAGCTTCACCCCTGTGCCCCTGAATTGGGGGAAGGTGGAGCAGACTTGAAATCTTCATTGTCTTTGATTGTTCAACCTTTACGAGACACCGACGAAGCTGTTCTCGTTCGCGCGTGTATTAGACTTCCTCGCTAGGATCTACAGCGAAGACCTTGCCTTGTTCTCCATAAAGTGTCTATATACATAATCGAGCTACCGTCTTGATACGGCCACTCGCCCATTCCTGGCACGTTAGTCTGCTTTCAAAATCCTTTGTTGTCCAATCCCAAGCATACGTATATGCACAGTTGCTATTGAGTCATTCAAAAGCGAGGACGGGCAGGTGTATTTGCGGCGAAAATCACAGTTTTCCAACGCAAATCATTCGTCAGTTCTTCATTTCCAGATATCAGGGGTCGTTGTCAACCAGCTTTCCAAGCCGAATCGAACTATCTTCTCCCTAGAAATGCTCCACCTGGAAATGATTGCTCAAATCGATTAGAGCAAAATGTGATTACAAGACGTAGCGAAAGCTTGGGCCGTAATTTTCAGCTGCAATGGCATCTTGTCCGGGCTCCTTTTCGTCCTTTGATTTCGGATATTGTCGGTCAAGCTTCTTGTTTTCCCATACTAATAGGAATCGCAACGCTACCGCCATGAAGAAAGTCCAGAACATGAACGCGGCGCAGATGCTCATTCCCTTGACGAACCGGGGAGCTTGAGACTTGGGGTAAAGCCTTGTTCCAAGTACAGGTCCACACTGCCCGACCACATTTATGAGGACAAGACCAGCGCCGCGGCGTGAATCACTGCCTTGGTTATCTGCCTCGCTGTCAGCTGAAAGTGAACAGGCTACTCGAATTCAAGACTTACTCAATGTCCAAGCCAGTATGTTTGGAATAGTAGAGAACACCCCTGCGGCGGCGAGATACACGGCAAAATAGCGTACTCCCACGGGCTTCTCTACAGTTGCAAGAATTACATAGCCAATTCCTCCGACGGCGGATGTGAACATTAGGGTCAACCCTCTTTGTTGGGTTTTGTCAGCAATGAAAGTCGTCGCAATTGCCAGAAGGAATGCAATAAAATAGGGTGGTGCTGAGAGGCCTTGTGAGTCGATCGCGCTGTATCCCATTTTGTTCAGGATCGTCGGTAAGAACACCGGTAAGCTAGCAAAGGATACATTTGTGCCAAAATACATTAGCTGACCATGATTAGCTGTCTGTGACTGCTGGTGTTACCGGGAGAGAGATCGGGCGTGTCACTCACTGCATTGAGCCATGCCTTGAGATCAAATAAGGTCTGACCAAGCTCGCCCAAACTCAGACTTCCCAGTCTATCGACAGTACCGGTCTGACGTACAGCGCGAGACCGGACGATGGCCTTTTCTTTTGAATTGAGGAATCTTGCTTTGCTGGGCGAATCTGGAATGAAGAAGAATGCAAAGGGAACCATCAAGATTGTCGGGAGACCCTCAACCAAAAACAAAAGCCGCCAATTGCGGAGCGAAGAATGACCATGCAGCACTCCATAAGCCAGGGCACCTGCGAAAGTCGACGCAATTGGCGCAGCTGATGCGAACAAGCCGCACCTGAGCCCAACTTCATTCCGAAGGTAGAAAAATGACAGGAGGTAGATAATGCCAGGCGCATAAGCAGCTTCGAACGCTCCGAGGAAGAAGCGGAGCGCCATAGTGCCTGCCCAATTCTGGACCGCAGAGTGTAGAGTCGCCATTATGCCCCTGTCAATAAAGTCAGGCGAGCGAATTTGGCTGGGACTACTCGCAGAGCCGCTTACCATCCAAGAACCACTATCGCTCCAACAATGTGGGGCGGAAAGATCTTCCAGAAAAGAAGTGAGAACTCGAAGACGATGTAGGTGATGTAGAAGATTGTCAGGAGCCATTCATAACGATCGCCTTCCAGGTCTAGGTCCTTCGACATGCCCGCAAGCACTGCATTACCGATGTTGCCCCTGTCAAGAAATGCCAACATGTCTAGCAAGTCGGTCACATTAGGAACAACTGTCATGAACAATATATTCGAGCCCTGTTTACTCACATAGGACGAAGAACAATGGCATCATATTCAAGTCCAGTTTACGTCGTACTCGAGTCTCTTCAGCTGCAGAGTACTTGATTTCAACCTGCGTCTCGGACGCATCCTCCTCGTCAACAAGCTCCGGGGCGCGCTTGTCCATCTTCGCTTGATTTTGATCTACTCTTCTTTTGAGTGATCTCAAGTTCTCAACCGCTGATTGTCGGGCCGACTTTGAGCTCCAGCTGTAGGGCAGATTGGCGGGAAACTATTTAGAACGTAACAGAACGAGGGATGGTCGGCGGCGACGTCCCAAAGTCTTGAAGAGGATTGAGTGAGAAGTGAATTGAAAAGCGAGGAATGTCTGGTAAGCGCGGTCGTGGATGAAACGCCTAGACTCATGAACCAGAACGCAGCGATGATCGGGCCTTCCCTTGCAGCATAGGAAGAAACCTCCATGCACGCGAATACCCCACAAGTTTCTCAAGTGAAATTACACGGTGGCTTCAAGCCAATGCACCATTGGCGTCGAAGAGTATTCAAAGATTCACATAACGACCATGATGCACCACCGGCACCTTCCAGACCAGAGCACGGCAAAAGGGACCGCAATCTCTGACAACGACGCCAGAGGAAGTCAGAACTTGCAACGAATGCCCATTATTAGAGCGGCTACGTCCACTCAGACTACGGCCCGCTATCCCTACACCAGCCGCCCCTTTAGATCCCTTGTATAGGCAAGTCTTAAGCAGCTTGATAACGGATCTTGAACGCATCCAAGCATTCCGAAACCTAATTCACAATCGTTGACACACAAATCATCGGAAAGCCGTCCTTTCAGACATCTATAGGTAGTGCGAATCCTATTGTCGCCCATATTCCTGAGGGCGGAAGCACGAGAGAGCGAACATCCGAGACTAAAAGCTGACGACAGGCGCCAGCTCCCTCTGGTCTCTGGTGCCCTTGATGTGCATTAACGTTCTTTCAATCGAAGCCATGGAATCTCGTATGTCATCATACCACCTACGTAGAACAAATCACAGCAAGCCCACAAAGAGAGGGTCGATTCGGTTATCTCGCATCGCTTATTGGTACCTGTGCCTGCTTGGCGATTCCATCGTGGAGTCAGCCTGCAGGTACCAAATGGAATGCAAGACTCTGGCGCCGGGTGTGGGTGGGGGCTTTTGCTATTGGCGACGTCCCTCATCCCACAGCCAGTGATTCTCGCGTCACGGCAGCCTGCCGTAAACAGCTACAATGACAAGTCGCAGATCCCGACACCATTCCTCAATCGCAGAAAACGTGGGCGTCGGAGCTGTCTCACCGCCATGGCACTTAGGGCGGCCTGAATCCGTCTGCAGGACTCCACGAATAGGAACTGTCAGGCGCATAATTAGGTAAATCTCACCCTTGCCTAGAAAGCCTACTGTTCGACATGTGGGTCGCAATCGATGGCGCGGCGAGCCAGAGATCCCTCGGTTTAATCCGAGCTAGATTCCTTTTCTATCCTATTATTCTGTGTTGTATGCTCCGTGTCTGAGCTTTTGAGCGGAGACGACGGTCATCACCACCGAGCATGCCTCTTACAGACGTGCAGCGTGAACGCTTCGGCGACGATAGACGACCTGCCCTCTATGCAAGCCTGATCGTCTTTCTTGTCATCAATAATTTTGCTGTCATTGCGCGATGTGTTTCTCATTACAGATCGCATTACAGGATGAGGAGGACGATGTTCGTCGAAGACGTTTTCATTGTCGTCGGCGGTGTATGTAATTCATTTCCATTAAAGACTTCAAAGACTGACGTTTGAAGCTCCTTATCAATGCCATCCTAGCGAATCTTCTAGCTTGTATGTTCATGCTCAATCAAACCCGGAAGCAAATTGAGTCTCCCTCTTGCTAACTTTCCTGCAAAGCCACGCATTATGGCCTGGGTCTGCATGCTTTCAGAATTACTGAGGAAGACCCGAACATAGCTAGTAATATTTCAAATGTCTTCAGAGTATGTGGACCTATCAGCCAAGGAGATGAGACTCAGCGACTGACATTCTTCTCCAGCATGTCTGGATCAGCATGGTTCTGTTCAGCCCAACCTTCACTTCAATAAAGCTCGCGCTCCTCTTCTTTTACCGACGGGTCTTTCTCGTACATCAAAAATGGCTAAGGATTGCCTGGTGGGCTAATTTAATATACCTCGCACTCTGGGGATTCGGGGCAACTGGGTTCTATCTCTTTCAGTGCTGGCCGGTCAGCTGGTACTATGTCCGATATTACGAAAGATTTCATCTGCCGACGCCTGGGAACATCCATGGTCAATGTAACGCGACAACCGTGGAACATGTTGCGATGCCCGTGATCTTCAGTCTGATATCGGACGTCTGTATTTTGCTGCTACCGATCACGGCTATCTTAAAACTCCAAATCGATTTGAAAAAGAGGCTTGCTATTGCTGGGATTTTTTCTGTGGGTGCACTTGCCTGTCTCCTCGGACTCGCCCGCCTTATCGGTACGTAAACGCCCTGGTGATGCCTTCTGAATCGCGATGCTAAATAATGCTTCTAGAATTGGAGGTTGATACAGATGACAAGACTGATCCTAGCTGTAAGCAATTTCTTTTGTAGAGGGCCCGTCCAAAGGCTTCAATGCTGACGTCGTCCAGACGGGGTGGTTCTCTTCCTCATCCTCTCCGCAGCGGAAGCTGTATGCGCAATCTTATGTGCCAGTGCCCCTGTCGTGGGCCCTCAGGTCTTCAAGGAATACAAAGCGCATCATAACAGCACTCCAAAACATACTACTACCGGCGCTTCCTCTAAATTGGCTACCGTTTCCACTTCCAGTAAACGGTTCCACAAACTCAGTGGGGAGTCAGGCGATTTGTCCTCCGACGAAACGCAGATACTTCCCGATCAAGTCCAAGACACTCAACATGCGATACCGCTGAACTCGGTAAATATCGAGACGCCTGCTAGGGCGCGAAGCTCGCAGCCGGGCGATGACGAGATCGTGGTGAAGAGTGAGGTTTATGTGACGAGGGCAGAGGACAGCAATATGTATAATGCCATGTGATACCCAAGAAATGGGGAGAAGGATATGATATGCCATGGAGGAAGCACAAATTCAACAGCTTCGAGCCAGTCTGCTCCGGAAAGCCGGCCGATTTTCGGCTGGGTCGAGATGTGACCCTCGCCCGGGTTCACGATTTTGGATAGTGTGGGGATATTTCAAGGCATCAAGAGCAGATCGGTTCTGCCGCGCAAGCCATACGCACGGGCAATATAGAGCCCGATGCACCTCCTTCGCAACACCTAGCGTTGGAGCAGGGTCTGGCGAAAGTGAGCGTGTTCTTTAAGCGGACATGGCAACGATGTAACGCTTACATGTACCAATAAGGAGGTCAGGCCTACGATGTATACAATTGAATTGCACAACAGATAGACGCAGTGGTCTTGGACCCCCATTCTTACTCACTTTTCAAAGTTTATTCACTTCTCAGAATTTATTCACTTTTCAGAATTTATTCGCTTTTCAGAAATCTTCTAGCACGAGCGTCGACCCTTCCATCGTCTTCCTGCAAAAAGCGTAACAGCAAAATAGAAAGCATTGAAGGTATCTCAGCTTTGGTCAGCGAATTGTTACGCACCCAGGGATTCATATCGCCCCGGTGCTTACACGAATATCATTCTGCTTCCACCGGTGTTCAGTCTGAAGCATCGCAGCCAAGGATGTCAGATAAGGAGCAGCAATCTATCGGTGGTGCTGCTAATTTCTGGTTGTACTTTCCCCAACTCAACGAATATGATCTCACCCATCCACCCACCCCCGAATCCCCCACGGTCTTTCCACGGATGGAACTAGAAACGACCAAAGCGCGCGTTACCATTGCTCCGACGAAGACTGCCCTGGTCATTACTGATCTACAGAACTATTTTCTCTCGCCGCTTCTTGGGCGTCCACGTGACGCAGTGGGCATGAAGGCTGTGGACAAGCTTGTCAATCTCGCTATTCCGGCTTGCAGGTACGTAGATTCGCTGTTGTCTGCCGTACTCGAGTATCTACGCTTTTTTGGGACTTTGAATGATCAATTAATGCGTTGAGACTGCAAAGAAAGGCTGAGATACCAATCGTATGGCTCAATTGGGGCTTAACAGAAGACGACATCGAAGGAATGCCACCAAGCATCGCGAAAGGCTTTGCACCCAATGACAATTTCGACAGCCCACACCGCATGGGAGGGCTTGGGTCTGAAGTCGGACCAGTGAAACTTGAAGACGGCTCTATCATCGACGGCGGACGGGTTATCATGCGAGGTAGCTGGGTTGCAGAATCGTATACGCCGCTCAAAAGACTACGCCAGCCTAGCGACATCTATATCCATAAGAACCGTCTTTCTGGATTCTGGGGAGGAACAAGCGTTGAGGAGGCTCTGACTTCTCAAGGGATAAGGACACTGCTCTTCGCTGGCGCAAACGTCGATCAGTGTGTCGGAAGCAGCTTGCAGGATGCGTTGATGAAGGGCTGGGATTGTCTCCTTCTGAGCGATGGGTGTGCTACGACGAGCCCAGATTACTGCCGGCAGTGCATCGAGTATAATGCCGGGGATGGATGGGGCTTTATGCTCTCGTGTGAGCAGCTGGCCAGGGCGGCTGAGAATATACGATTCTTGCCGGACAAGTCAGTCTAGAGTGGTATTACACTAACAATGCTTGAGGGCAATTTGCTCGTAAGTGAAGATCGTCCTTTAGTCGGCTTCAAAGTAAGACATATCAGAAAATTCATGAGCCGCTTGCTTTACAGCCCCATCAAAGGCATGACTTACTGCAAACTTCTTTGGGGCTTTGAATGTTCTACATTCGCTCTTTTACTATGTTTCCAGATGAGACCCAGCCTGTGGAGCTCGTGCAATCTCAACACCTGTCAGCTATTCTGATACCAATAACTTCAGGCTCTTTTCTAAGTCTACTGAGTGCGTCAAAGTCCTTCATATCTTGCTTTTCAGTGGGTTGAATGAGCTACATTAGGCGCACAGAGCAGCTACTCTACGGCAGACTTTGTATCCTCTACAACATTCACACAATATGCATAAAGCTCGCAGAAAGTGTCAGACAAAGAACTCCAATGAGAGGGGTCTGGACCTTGCATACGGACTCCCTCATTCGCCAGGGATAAGTGTTGCGAGCGAAGGTAGTGCAGTAGGTAAGTAAGAAGACGATGAAGCCACTGAAAGAGCTCTAGACTCTCGGTGTTTTGACTGCTCATTCTCGCGTCTGCCACGTACCAGCGCCCAACGAATATGGAAGTACCGGGGAAATGAGAGAACGAGGGCAACACGTGCTATGCCTGTGCCTAGTTGTACGTATATGTACGTGTACGTGGCTGTCTCATATTCAATGGACGATATTCCCTGACGCTCTTACCGTGGCACTGTATGCAAAGGCGGGTGGATGCCTATGCAGATGTCCGTGTGATGGGGAGTGTGCGTGTGCACAGAACTGAGACTCTTGTGATGATTGGAACTTGTATGGTGCGCGTGCATGCAGGAATTGGGTGCTCTGAGGCGCGGTGGAGGGCAGGAGAAGTTCACTGAGATGGAGGGCATTGTAATCTTGTGGTTCTTGAGGAGGAGAAGCGAGTTGAATGAGATGGCTGGTGGGAATCTAGGGGCTGGATGGTGTATATGAGCTGAAGCTGTCTGCTTCTCGGCCTTGGTCTTTGTGAAATAGACGAGTGGCAGTTTGCAGCTTTCATAGCTAATGTATAGATTTTCTGTAAAAGAGCGTGGCAGTCATCGACTGGTATCATTACATGACCCTGTTCTGGCATACTCTTTGAAAGCCCAAACTCAAATCAACGGATGTGCCCTCATTATAGTCGAGAGATTCTCGAAGGCAGTTTGCCGCTTTTGAACAAGCTCGGTGAATGCTTCTTGAGGCCCAACGGCACCGATAGTGACCTGATCGACACCAGATATCATGCCCTTGAAAGCCTTGTCTGTGAATTCGTCGACAGGCATGCCCATTGAGCGACCTTTTTCGCCGGCGTAGTCGTGCAATTCGGCTAATAATTATCAGCCTTGTTGAGATGCAGGAGGCACGTGAGGACCACTCACTTTGTACTACAGGCGGCCAGATCTCAATTATCTTAACGGAGGACTCTTTGAGTTCATCGCGGAGACACATGACGAATGAGTTGAGGGCGGCTTTTGAGGCAGAGTAGCCTGAAAGACTGCGACATGGAACAAGAGCAAGATGAGTTCCGGTACTAGAGGCGGCACCTGAGTCAGTGGAATTTGCCTAGAAGAGGCATTTGAAGGAAGATAAGGGATGCACGTGAAGTGAGGAGGTAGTGGTGAGAGTTTGGAGGGGCAACATACAAGATTATGCTTGTCTCGCTCTTTCTAGCCATCAAAAAGGGGAGAAACTTGACGGAGAGATCTGCCAGGGCGGTGAAGTTGGTGGTGATCTGCTTGTGGAAAGAAGACATGTCCGTTTTAGACGGCCGAGAGAGATCGATGGGGATGCTCAAGCCGGAATTCAAGAAAAGGCAGTCGATGTCCGGATGAGTGGTAGTGACACTGCACACGTTCAGTACATCGGAATCAGGCATCCATACTGCAATGACTTACTCAGTGACGAAACCATCCATACCATCCTGGTCAGTCACGTCGAATTTCTTAGAACTAGCTTTTTCAGAGCCATGTTTTTGGATGAAAGCATCGAGTCGATCCTGTCTGCGACCGACCGCGATGACTTTGGCCCCTTCATGGACAAGTCGATCGGCCATAGCTGCACCAATGCCGCTAGTAGCACCCACCATCAAGACGGTTTTGTATTGAAAGCCCATATTGAAAGAAGTAGTGGTGGAATTTGGAGGAGTTTGATGGATGAGGGCGAAGGGGTCAGAGCGTGGCCTCTTTATATCTTTCTTCGTCATGCTCCAAGACCTGGATTTAGCGGTCTCCGAGACAGCATTGGAACGGAAATCACAGACTCAGTCCGAGAGATGGCAGGGGCATTTCCGCTTCGCGTGGGCGAGTGACCGGATGTGTTCATGGTGCCTCATATCCCAGGATTTCTTGTTTGTGATTGGTCAGAATGTGTCTTGGCCGAATTGCATGCCTCTTTAGGTAAAGATCAGCAGCAATCCTACGGCCTTTCGATCTTCGTTCATTACGAATTGTGCAGCCATTCATCATTTCACTTCCCAGTACATCGATGTAGGGTTCAATGCCAAGTAGAGGAGATCTTTGATAGACTTCCTGAGTTGGCATGTCAAAAACTATTCGACCTCCCACAAACGTGATCGACTGCAATAAAGCAAGGCGCAGGACTGTGTGGGTGACGTAGCGTCCATGGTCTACCGTGGGAAACCCTCCAAAGCTTGCCTACAGTGTAGGAAAAGAAGATTACGAGTATGTTGATCCCATTACCACTTTTCCAGGCACTTCTTTGCTGGAAGCGGCGCTAACCGATCGACCGGAAAAACAAATGACGAATATTTGCTGATGCACTTGTATTCCCATGTTGTCTCTACCGGGAATTCTCCTCGCTTCATCATTGCACACGCCCGAACATTGAAGGAAGCGACCTAGGCTAACCACACTTCCTTATCTAGTGCGATTTGAGAAGGGATTGTTGCGGCCAATGTGTCAGGGCCAACTTGCAATGCTCCGGCTACCGCAATGTCGACCGATTGAGGGTGCAGGACGAGAGTCACGCAGCGAAGGCAAGAACGCTGGCTAAGACTAGCAAGCTTCAGGTGCCAGCTACCGTGGCCATCTCTCTCAAGGCTCGAGCGAACAGTGCGTTCTTCACGTACTACGTTTCAGGCTTCTCACAGTCGTACGATGTACTGGAGCCGCTGTTACTCGAGTCTTCAGCAAACTCGATACTGAGAAAAACTGTCGACGCCGTGAGCCTGGCCTTCTTTTCGACCCGATTCTGCTCAAGTCAGGGAATGAGAAACGCTAGGGCCGAGTACATTTCGGCTCTCTCTCTGCTGAATGCGACTTTACAGACAGCTGGAGGCGCCACATCTGATTCGGCATTGGTCTCTATCATCCTACTAGACCTCTTTGAGAAGATCACAGACCTTCGACCGCGATCGACAGGGTCCTGGATGATGCATGTCAATGGCGCGCTCGCAGTGGTAAAAATCCGGGGTCTACCACAACTCGAATCTAAGTCTGGACTTCGGATATCTTCACGCATCTTCCAGAATAGTCTCATCAGTTGTATAGCAGCAAACGCAGCAATCCCGCTAGGATTGGTCGAGCTTCGCGCTCATTTGGAGCGATTCGTCAACCCAACAGATCCCAAATGGCTGATGTCAGGACTTTGCGTTGAGTATGCCAACCTGCAGAGTGTCATTCAAAGTGAATCACTCACAAGCGCCGAAGTCGCGCGGCTATTGGTCAAGCTTGACCTCAAGTTTGTAGACTTGGAAAAATACACCTCTTCGATATGGGATCAAAAACCCTCATTTCCACGGCAACAGACGCATTTGACACTTGAAGATTATTGCCATGTCTATCCCGACCACGTCCTTACGCAACAGAGGAATGGAACTCGTATCATCAGAATTCTTCTGAATGATCTGTTGCGAAAGATGATGCCACCGCCGCCGATCTCTGACCTCGACACTAATTACGCCACTGCCGGTACAATAGATTCGTTGGCAGAGGAAATTTGCATCAGTGCAACACAGGCAAGTTTGGGAGCTGGTGGTAGTCATGCTTCTGACATTGACCGAATCCGATGCTTTACGTTGATATTTCCGCTCTATGTTGCAGGCACTTTCGCAAGTTCAACCTCGGGGGTAAAGCCGTTGGTCTTAAAGCAGCTAAGTTCGCTCTCGGATGTTATGGGCTTGCAGCATGCTGCAATGATTGCGGACGTCTTAAGGAAAGGAAGGAAAATTGACACATGGTCCGTGTATGCTTTGCTAGGCAGCTATGCCTTCGCAGCATAGTATGAAGACATCGGCATGGTATTTCATCATATTCGTGGAAACTCTGTGTGATTTTGTTAGACTAGAACAAAATTTCGCTCCTCATAAATTCCGGCGTCGAGCTGATCAATGGCTTCACCATGCATTATCCCGTGCAAGTAGCAATCTCCAAGGACCTCGAAAGCGGAAGTTTGGACGCCATTTAAATCTACCGTAACACTTTTAGTGGGCCGAATCACATATGGCACTAGACCGCCGTAGAGCACCACCACAAGGTCCCCTGGTTTTGTGCTGGGTGGTCCTGTTCCCATGCGTCCATTGCTCGGCTTGTCATCTCCCGCCGTTACAAAAAAACTTCGATTGACCGTGGCAGCAGTGACGCATGTGTTGACTGTGAGGGCATCAATGTCGAGATAGTCGGAATGACTGTGCATGAAGGACCACCATTTACGCCAATGCCCGATGTCGTTCACGTCGAGAATGGTATCTGGTGAGGAATCTTCGCCAATAGACTCGGTTACTGTATCCGTAGAAACAGCAGGATCTGCACTGTCCTGTCTATGGATGGATGCGCTGTCTAGACTGGTTGGAGGTTGTCCGCTGTTCCCATGGAAAGATCCATTCAATAGAGTTAGCCAGAATGCTTCTTCTTGGGTTGACTCCGAGTCTCGATAGACGAGACTTTCCGAACACTGAGCTAGCGCGTACCACCGATCGTAGATGGCCGTTTGGTGCTTGATCGGATGGTGGGGCGGGACTTTTCCCACCCTGGCTACTTGGTCGACAATGACTCCCCGAACCCTCAATCGGCCTGGAGATACCAGATCTATCTCTAGTGGCTTCTTTCGGCAGGCGTTGAACTCTATGAGCCACTTCAAGCGAATATGGTACGCTTCAAAGAGAAAGTCATCTGCGAACTCCTCCCAAGTTGGCACCCAGGTCGGAGCCCCGATTTGCAAAGTTCTCGGGCCCTCAAGTAGACTCAGAGGACCAAGGGAATCTATGTTCTTCATGATCTTAAAGGCGGTTTCTTCGAAGACATCACGTACAGCGGTTTCATACACAGGCTGAATAAAACCTCGAAACCGACCGAACGCAAGGCCCAGGTAGCCATAAACCTTGTCTCGAGGATCTGTACATTGACGTTGCCGGAAGACCACCATCATCGCCGGGAAGAGAATGTCCTCTGTGAGATTGGCGAAGTCATATATTCTGGCCAATCGTCCAAAGTATTTGTCAAGGTCTGCCAAGGGATCTCCGGGATATTCACCAGCGTAGGCCGAGTAACAACAAGTCTGATGACTCCAGAAGTGATCATGGGCAGCAGCGAGTTTCTCACCTGGTAAGCTACGGTCCCCGCAGCGTATCTCAAGCGTCTTAGCCAGAGCCATTTCTTGGAAGGTCCATGTGCGCTTCCACCATGTACAGTCGAGGAAACGCATAAGCGAACGTGATGAATCAACATCCAAGATCCGTGAATCGTGATGTGGGGATACTCGGTCATCGAGGTGAAGATCTGGAAAGTCACTGAAGGCCTCAACCACATCGAATGCTCTTGAGCAATCCACTGGATCGTGATCTAGCCAAGCAACGACCTTGACAGCACCGCGATAGATGTCTCCCATCAGGCTGACCTGCTGACCGCGCTCCTTACGATCATCTTGGTCGATGCAGAGCGCATCGACCCAAAGGACGCGGATCGATTTGATAAGACGAAGCCCTCTTAGTGCAGAGAAGAGATTTTGGCCTACCTTCAATGGCTGGTTGCAAAGGCGAATGGATTTGCGGACGTCCTTCTTACTCCCCCATACATACGAAAGTGCCTCGTATTCTGGAATGTCGTTTAAAGAAGTTACACTTAGCACGCACTTCATAGAACTGGAGCGATGGCCGGGTAAGATGTGGAGTAGTCGTATCTCGCGATCACACTTCTTCAGTGGTCTGTAAATTCCTTCCAAAGAGCGTTTTGAAAGAAATTTACCCCTTCCCATTCCACACGTGAGGTCCAATGATCGGTCAGACATGCTTTGCAAGCTCCAAGCATCCTAAATGCGACAGAGTAGAGACTCGAGCATGTTGATGGGCGCTCACCCTCAAGACGTGACCAATTTGTAGGCACCCACAGCCTTGTCTCGCATCGGCCAAGCCAGACCTAGCTCTTGATGGCACCATAATTGTATCAGCCACAATACAGACCCTTCCTAGTCTGGGCCAGAGACCCCTTGGCTATTGGCGAATGATTTCGGACTACATGGCGGCCGCTTCACCCCATGTCCTGTTCTGCAGCCAGAAGAAGCAGCTAAAATGATAGGAAGGTCACTCTCATGGACTCTCATGCTTCATGACATGAATTACAAGATAGAAGTACAAGAAAACAAAAATCAGGGGCGGACATCTCCGATGAAACACAGCTCCCTTTCTGCAAAAAGGTCCAGCGCGTCACCCAAAAAAAATCCAGCTTTCCAAAGCCGCAGATGCAGGCTCCTCAAGCTACCTACATTGACTCACACCTGGTTCAGGGCCCCCATTCTCCTGCCTTCTCTCGATCCCTTCCTACTATTCTTTTCTTCTCTGTGTCCTGCCCGCTCTCTCATCCCTTTAGTCGTTGAGGATGCGCCTCCTTCTCCTCCCAATCTCAACCCGTCAATCGCTCCTCTACTGCCACAAAGTCGCTCCCTCAGCAACCTCCTCTTCCTCGACTTCCTGGGCCGATAAAATCACAACCCGCGCCTCCAATACCTGGTACACGTGGGAAAGTCAAGAGAGCGGCTTAAAGAAAAAAATCACAGAGCAGGGGAACAGATTGCTCAAACGGGTGCCGTTCGAGGAATGGGGGCTCAAAAGCGTTCCTCCGCTTAATACCGCAAAACGACGGCAGATCCAGGGGGCGAATGGGAAAGAGAATGGAGGTTCCTCGGTGGTTGGGGTGGAGTTTCCCCGGGGGTTTGTAGAGGAGGGAAGGGTATTGGAGACTTTGAAGAGACTGGGAGGAGAGGAGAAGCAGAACTTTCATAGGAAATGGTTGGTAGGGAGTCTGGTAGGGATGCCTGTATCGGCGCCGTTCGGGCTGATTCCACTGTGAGTGATCTAAGGATGATTGTGGGTCGAAGAGCTAATTGAGGATTTGGGGCAGAATCCCGAATCTTCCGTTCTTTTACCTCTGTTTCAGGGCTTGGTCGCATTGGCGAGGTGAGAGATCTTAGCTATTGCTTCAGAAATTGAGGCTGGTCTTGAAGAGAATGCTAAGTCTGAAAACAGCACGGGCAGGGTCAAAACACTTGGAGTTCCTATTACAGAACAGTCTGACGAGGCTTACACCGAGCTCATTATTACGAACCGCATATGAGCAGGCTACAATGGATACGGCTATGCACCGGCTGGACGACGAGGCTAGACGGCTAAAGGAGGAAGACGGGCAGACGTCGGTTAAGGTTGATGAGGAGGAGCTGATACTATCCAAGAAGAGTGGAAAGGCTATTGCAGAGTCACTGGAGGTGCCGGCTCTGGAGACGGAGATCGACAGGGCGATATGGCAGGTTGAAAGTCAAATCAGAGCGAGGAAGGAGGAGAAAGGGAAGGAGAACTCGACGACGACAGGACAATGACGTCTGCTGCATCGCTGCGTGGTGGGAGGAAATATATTGTACACTATGATACCCAGCTCACTTACGGGCAGCAGAGGACTGAATACTTTTGAACCATATCAGGCTTTTTTCGATTGGTCCGGAGATTTGGCGTGCTTACATATGGGGGTACTCTAGGCCTCCCTTCGTTTCAGCAGACTTTGCTAGGACTGTAGGCACAATTGCAGTCATACAGAGCACCTCTCTATCGCTATGGCCTTGTCACCTTCTTCCATGGCACTTTGGACATGTTCTGCCTCCTCATTACCACTAGGGAAAATCTAGGCCAAAGACCAAAGACCGTTCGTGTTCCTGGACAAGCAGGGGTATCGAATTAGAGTTATACGCTGATGCAAGGCAAAGCAGAGCTTGCGGTAGGATACAGTATTAGCTGGAGAGAACGGGCGAACGTAGCCAGTAGTAGGGGCAAGGACGCTATCTGCCTCAATTAGCCCCATTGTTAGTATGAAAGATAACAGCGTAAAGGCAGCCGGAAGAGGGCGGGCTGACATCGAAACCGTTAGTTTGATTCAATTGCCTAGTTGAGACTCCCGAGGCCGACCAACAGCAAAAATACGAGGACAGCGTGCTGAGTCAATAATAATGCTACTGTCGCTTCAGACCCTCGTCGACGTCTTTCTTCCTCTGTCCTTTGTTTCTGTCCCTCTTTCTTCCTAGGAACTACTACATTCGCTCGCTTCTACTCAACGCTCCCTTCTTCTGTGGCGCAACGGTCTTTACACTTTTCTGAGCATCCCTGGGCCAGCCACTCTACCCTTCTTATCGCTGGCTTTTTCCGCCCATTGACATTGGTAGCTCTCCTTGCAGACCCAATCCGACAATCAAGCAATCGGAATGGCCCTGCCTCTTATTTCTATTTAGCCGTCAATGCTGCTATTAATTGTCGAGTCAATAGATGGAAGCTATTTACACACAGAGGACGGATGATGGCCCCTTTGGGCGGAGAGAGAAGATTGTTCGAGCAGTCGGAAGATAGCTCGCAAGTCGAACCAAGTCGACCGCTAAACGGCCGTGCAACATCAAGTCATGCAGCAGAAAAAGCAGCTACGAGGTTGAGAGATTTCGCACGCGGTCGGCCACCTTCAGAAAGATCTTCATCGTCTTCAGTCCAGTCATTTTACAATGGCAACCCATTCTCAGACCGACGCCCTCCCGAGCGCAAGCAACTCTCTCCACCTGCCACCAGCTCCGCGGCAGCTGCCCATTCTTCCAGTGCAGGCTCGGGATCTTCAGAAGACTCATCGAGCAAATCATCAGATCTCAGATCACCGCAGAGGCCACAACTACAGTCCCTACATGATTCGCGAGATGATCAATCAAGACGCCCACCGCTTTCGGTTCCGCGGGGTCGGCAGCAGAGACGCCTTCCCTCAGGGCCTCTTCAAGCCCTAAGCCCTAATTCTGGCAGGTCAGGATCCCGCAAGCCAGTCACAATGGCCGACTTGGGTCGGGACTATACCCGATATCCCTTCACTTATCCCAAGACTCCTACCTCCTATCCATCCACACCGGCGCCGCAATACAGTCCACCAGCAGGGCAGACACCTTTGAAAGGCACCCCAATGCAGTCAGTCGTCCAACTGGGCTTGATGACAGACCCGGAAAAGGCTGCTCCAATATGGCTGCTTGATGATCGAATAGGCGCGCCATACGCTTTGGAGGGCTCTTTCCCACTCTACACAGACGAAAAAGAGGAAGACGATGATATGCATATTCCATTGCCGGAGGACGAACGTAAATTGAAGCCAACATGGAAGGACAGATGTAATAGAAGGCAGCTGGCTAATATGTGTGGCCTTATCTTCGTGATGATCGGCTTACTGTGCGTCTTCGTCCTGTTACCGGTGCTGGGCTACACGGGTCATGCAATCTGGCGATATCCTTACGACGATCCCGAGTCTGCTGCACCCAAGCTTGACCCTGACGATTATGTCAATGATGTTAAATACCCATTATTCAAGAACATAAGATACGGTTTGATAGACCCCGACACGCCGGAGTCGAAAATGACAAGAAAAACCTTCGATGAGCAAGAGTGGGAGTTGGTATTCAGTGACGAGTTCAATCAAGACAATCGAACATTTTACCCTGGCGATGATCCATTTTGGACTGCTCAGGACATATGGTATGGATCGACACAGGATCTTGAATGGTACGATCCTGATGCTGCAACTACTGGCGATGGTACCTTGAAGTTGCGGCTGGATCAATTCGCGAACCATGGTCTGGCTTATAGATCTGGCATGATCAACTCCTGGAATCAACTCTGCATGAAAGGTGGCGCTTTAGAAATTGGCGTCTCCCTGGCTGGGCCTGGAGGCGCTTCCGGTCTATGGCCTGGTGCATGGACGATGGGAAATCTGGGAAGGCCAGGCTACAAAGCTTCAACTGAGGGCTTGTGGCCTTATACCTATGACACATGTGACGCCGGAATCACGCCTAATCAGAGTATGACCGATGGAACATCATATCTTCCCGGTCAGCGCCTTCCGTCTTGCACATGCAAAGGCGAAGATCACCCTACGCCGGGCACAGGGCGCGGAGCACCCGAGATAGATGTGTTTGAAGCTAGTGCAGATCCGACTCTCCATCTCGGCATCGTCACGCAATCGTACCAAGTTGCACCATTCGACGTCTGGTATCATCCCGACTATGACTATCTCTCTATCCCGAATTATAATGTCACTCAAATGAACGGCTACTGCGGTGGACCTTTTCAGCAAGCGGTTTCTGGCCAGACCGAACTCAACAACAAATGGTACGATAACATCCAGTATCAGAAGTATGGCTTCGAGTACACACCTGGTAGTGGCGAAGATGGTCACATCGCGTGGTTCGTAGGCGACGACGTGTCTTTTGAGATGTCAGGCGAAGCTGTCGGTCCAAATGGAAACGTGGGCTATCGACCTATCTCGGAGGAACCAATGGCCATCACACTCAACTTAGGCTTCTCAACTGCATGGACAGGCATTCACATGGACGAGCTTCGTTTCCCAACAACGATGTACGTCGACTATGTTCGATTCTACCAGAAGGCCGGCGAGCATATGGTAACTTGTGATCCGCCAGGTTATGAGACGACAAAGTACATTCAAGATCACCTGGTGGCATACACGAATTACAATCTCACGAGATGGGACGAGACAGGATATGGCTGGCCGAAACACAAGTTGAATACTCAATGTTCGACAAAATAGCGACTGCGAAAGTTGTCCCGCTGGCTGCAAGTTTGGCGTTTTGGACCATGCCCGGGGAGACTCTCCTATCATAGCTCTAATGGTGTCTCAAAGTTTGGCGTTTTGGAGCATGCCCGGGGAGACTCTGCTATCATAGCTCTAATGGTGTCACAGAGTATTGACATGTATAGTGCCAGCGGTGAATGCTGGTCCAGGTGAAGGGAGTTGCATAGGGTACATACATAATCCCAAAGCAAGCGCTGCTAGGGAATTGGGGCGTTTGGGCAGATATCTTTACTAAAATACAACGCCTGTGGGTCATGATCGTATATAGAAATATAGCTAGAGCTACAATGGAGCAAAGCAAGACACCAGTCATCACTATCGTCTTCATTGCACCACGTCCATGCTTCCTATGCCTTAGCTAGCGCACCCATCGCATTGTGCATCTTTATGCAGCCAGCCGTGCCTGCCGAATTGGGACGAGATCGCTGCTTTGAACCTTCCTACTTCCTCATCCTCCGCGACTTTCTCCTTGCTCTTTCTCATACTCTATTCTGACCTATTGCAGTCCTGTTTTCTTGCTTTCACTCGCTTGCGTATTCATCTAGGCAGGTAGAGCTAGATTCGTTCACCGCCAAGCGCGACAAGGTCAGTACTGGTGGGTCAGAGCAGCAACGTATTTCGAAGCTTGTAGGTTTCCTGGACGAGGTCAGAGATGATGACTGCTCGACTGTGCCTGCTTAAGCCTCACAGCGGCTCAAGCGAGCAGTTCGTTACCCGAACGCACAATTGCGCAAGAGGTTTCTCTCAATTCATTTGGTCCAGACAGGGGGCATGTACTCGTTCTCTAGCACCGGAGAATCAACTTCATCCACTGCCATAGCCAACTGCTGAAATTTCTGGATCGGAGCTGAGCGATGCTGTCCTTCCAACTTTCTTCGGTCTCATCGACTCTCCACATCTTCCTCCCAAGCCATTGCGCTTGCGAATCTTTGATGGTGAAACAAATGCAGTCTAGCATATCCGTTCTCACCACATACTAGACTCGCATCATAAGCAGCCAGCAAAGGCTTGCCTGCAAGCTCAACCTTGACATTGAATCGAAGGCTGTTGGCCAAAGGGTCACTCGCAGTGGTGACTGCACGCCGATACATGGCCGAGGACCTGAACATTGAAGGTGTCTAACTTCAAGAAGCCTCTCATCTGCATGATGACTCAAGTACTGAGAAGTATGACTAAATAGATTTGTGTGTCCGCTACGAAAGTCTTAAGGTTGTGATGATGAGTCTTGGCAAATTTAGAGACGGCAATTTCATGACTTCCTACAGATGCAGACCTGGACATCCACGACTTTATGTATTCATTGATCTGTGAGCAGATATGTCAACGACTCTGGTTCGCGAAGATCTTGGATGAATGATAATACAGTCTTCAGGATTTCATTTTGCAACCACTCCAGCGTTGACATACGGAGATCTCGAGCAAATGTGGACGCAAGCAGTCACTTGGAGGCGGCATACCCGGCATCAAGGTAGCGGCTGCGATCAGCAAATTCAAAAGGCAATCGCACGTGCCTTCGGTTGGCTTTCGAAGGGCAAAGGCAGCTGGCTAAATGCCTCACATACGTAAGGGAGCGAATACACATGGCGAACAAACTAATCACATGGGGACACTCGCATATCTTTGCTAATTGATAGATTTTCTTCACAGCTACCAAAGCTTTTTATGATGTATCTTCGAGTATTTTTTGACAAGTGATACTGGGGCGCTGAGCTCGCTCGAAACTACCCCAGAGCAAGGATCTCTCTCCACATACATTGCCGGGTACTAGTACAGCAACTTCAGATGAGACAGCTTTACTCTCGAAGATTAACCAGGAACCTGAAGGTCCGTTCTGGTTTGATCTAGCATGGATTGTCTTTCATCCAAAGCCATGAAACGGCTGGGAATGAGTTAACAGACAACATGCGGGGAAGATTGGAAACAACTTCTATGACCCGAAAAAGCTTAGGTCTCAGATCTGTTTGCATGGGTGCAGAAATACGGAAGTGAAATAAAGTAAGCTCTTGCCAATGACCGAGATGTGTCTTTCGGTGCCTTGATACTAGGGCATCAAACTCACCCAATAGTACCACTTTTGGAAAAACCAAAGTGTAATCGATGACTAAAGAGGGACTCGGGAGTCCGTTGTAGTTGTTTTTCTTGCATGAATATGCTACAACCCAAAGCCATTGGACGGTGCGTAACCCAATGATTCATGCGATAAAGAAGATTGGGGCTGTATTTTTTACTCAAGAAAAGTATTAGACGACAAGTCTAGAAGAGAACCCTTAGGATACAGGTATGAAGTACAGGAAGCTCTTGCCAAAGGACGAACATATCTTGAGTCAGCAGTACTAGGAAATAGCCTCACCCAAAATTCGCTCTTTGGGAGGTGCAGAATTTGCATTCCAAGACTAACGAGGGACTCGAAGGTCCGATCTGGTCTGCTATTGTATGTCACGCTTGCCATCGAAGCCGCGAGAACGGCTGGGATGCATTTGACATTATACCTGGTGCCCCATAAAAGATTGAGCATTGCCTTTGTGACGCAAAAGAAATAAGCCTGAAGATAAATGGGATGATTGCAGACATTGCAAGAATGTAAAGACACAGGAAGTTTTTACGAAAGAGCACAAATGTATCTGCCCACACCCAATGCCGGGGTTTTATCCTCGTGCAAGGACCAGGTCAGCGTACCTAGACCCCTCCATTGAGACAAGTTGTCTCTCGAGGTCCTAGACCGACCTGGTGAGAAATGTTTAGAAGTTCTTGTCGCGCAGCTTCATAACATCAGAGCCAGTGAGATGCTCAGATGTTGTTCTAGTGCGTCACTTATGGCTATTCTTATTTTTAAGCTGGACCGAAGAAACGAATATCAACAAGTTTAAGCAACGGAAACCATCAGAGCATAACGGTCAATCCGTTCAATAGCAACCCAAGTACTCGAGATTCCGGTAAAGAGTCTTTGTAAACCATGACGAAACATCGGTGGAAGTGGCATATCTACACAAATGATATCGCCCCCTTTCAACCCTTCGGAGTGCATACTATGCAACCTAAAGTCACAGCCGTCAGCCTTTTTCAAATCTAGACGAAGAGAAGTGATTAACGTGAAACATGTGCTTTTTGTCTCCGTTTAGGAGGATCAGAATTGATACATCATTCGGCATGCGCATCAATGGGTTGGCGAGTCCATTTAAATGCATTCTAAGAGTGCTTCTACCCTGGCTCGTTCCACATGGAGGAATGGCATAATGGACAATGGCATCAGGATTGAACCAAGGGAGAATCTTTTGGAGTGTTCATTCATCATTGTAGGTTGCAAATATCATAAGTATTGAACGTCACACGTACCTTTTTACGGAGAGCTACCAATGCGTGGGTTTCTTTTGGACCCAAGAGAGATACCTATGTGTAAGTATGCACCAGTTAGCTTCATACCTCGACCCTGGACAATCTGATCGGAGAGGCGGGAAACCTTGAACTCAGAGAGAGACAAAGAAGTTAAAAGCCAGAAGTCTCAGCATGTATGTAAGAAGGAATATGTTTGGCTTGAGAATCATCATATTGAAAGGTGGCGAGACAAAAAGAGAATAGCTACTTACTTCGTTGTTGAGCTTTCAATGCCCTCCAAGCATTTTCAAGACCGGATCTTCATAATCAAGACAAAGATGCACGACATCGTCTGAAGTCATAGACTCTGCGATCAGAAAATGATGTTGAGACACGGAACAATCATGCTTGCAAGTCAAGCCAACTGGTTGTTGAATTGTTTAACTTCCTGGCAGGAGGCGTGCAAGGAGCGTTGGAAGGGAGGAGAAGCACGTACCTATTTCTTCTGCTGCCTGGCACAAGTACTTCACCTAAGGTCGAAGCACATTCCTGGACAAATGAGGCATCAGCATCATTCATCAAGTACTCATTCCAAATGACAGTCGGGGCTCTTCTCTTGCGATCAGAGGTATACTCAAGTATACCTTTACAGAAACATCGTTCCCTGACTTCTCCAAGGAGATCGGGGCAATTCATATCCCCATGAATATCATCATTTTACAAATAATTGGCTGCAAGTGGACAAGATATGCGGCCGTAATACGGAAAATAAAATTTTAAAATTTATACCTAAAAGCAAAGATAATGATTTGATTTTTGAACGCAAGAAAAAGAAAGGTCAATGATTCCTGTACGCTTGCTCTAAGGGTAGAGATCTACTCTAATCGCGGCCGCTGCCTTCTCGAGAGCTCCCTACAGCGGCTATTCAGCGACTGCAATTCAAGTCTGCTCTGTCCATCCAATTGCTCAAGCTCCAGCAAAGCGTCCCTGAGCTTTTGCTCCTCCTTCCTCAATTCGACCCGCTTTGCTTGAAGATCGTCCTCCTCCTTCCTCAATTCGACTCGCTTTGCTTGAAGATCGTCAACATGTGTCTGAACGTCTGCTATACATTGTTCAAGCTCCTCCAATGCAGGATCTTCACCAAGCGCCTTCCGTTTTGGCCGAGGCGGGAGCTCAAGTTGAATAGGCTGTGTACGATCAACCGACACAGTACCCCTTGCGTGCGCTTGTGGAACCTTAGCCTTAGGGACCTTAGGAGCCTTTGGCATGACTGTCTTCGGGTCTTGTGGCTCGTATTTTGGCAATATCGCCCAGTTCAGTTGGCCCGACTCTTCTGGACGTCTGGAGCTCCGGAACTTGGTATAGGCAGCACAGTTCTTGTCAGGATTTTTCATGAATCCTTTGAGCGAGGAGTCTCTCTCGATCTTCAATTGCTCCTCGTTGTAGACGGTCCAGACACCTTTCCCACTAGCAGCGAGGGACAAGGTCAGCTTAGGTCTATTGTGCAAGCTAGGTGGGGGTATTATAGTTACCAAAGAAAGTTGATCAGAGCAGGCCATGAGAAGCGGTGTGTGGAAGGCTTGAGAGCCCCACCACGCCTGAAAACTAGCTTGATTTGCTTGCCCTTCGAGCTCGAGGCATTCTCGAACAGACGAGCAAGTGGATATCGCTCAGGATGCGTCAGTAATTCGAAGGCCTCGTCCACTTCTTCGTTCTCATGCACCCTATCCTCTACAGGAGTCTCTCCCACACCCTCCATGCCTCCTTCCAACGCTTCAGTCTCTTCTATGAGATCGTTGAGTGTTTTAACAGGCTGGAGAGTCACCTCTTCGCTGATTGGCACATCAACACAAGTGAATTGCAATTCGACGTCGTGTGACTTCGCAATGTCTGACTCATAAACGATTCGATCTTTGATCGCGTGGTGCTTGAATTTCACACACCAGCAATACTTTGGCGTTTGGTCTTTTTGCACATGCTTGTCACTTTGACCACGCTCATATTCCAGTCCCCATTGTCGTATCTCAATATGCTCTCCATTTATGAGCACATCCTCAACATTGTACTCCTAATTAGGGATTAGATTGTAACAGCACACGCGTAGGAGTTGGACTTACTGCATCCCTCTTTTTGACGGGACCGAAGACGGAGTTTTCAAGGCGTATCCATTTGGATTGTGGATCATCACGCCAGAACATTGAAGCTCCTCTTGCCGATAAATCATCACGCTTGAATTTGACGAATTGTTTGACGGCTTTGGAGGTCGCTACAGGCTCCTTGACAGGCGTAGCTGCCTGAATAGCAGGCGATGGGCTTTGTGCTGATATCTCCGGCTGGTCTGACATGGTATTGGGATGTCGTTACGATAATGGCAGTACCGGATTGATGTCGATGAGAGCGAGCTGTAGAGTCAGCGAAAGTCACCAGTGAATTGATAACCTCAAGATCAAGGAATCGAACTCGCCAGTGGATTGGCAAACTCTAGGTGGTTTCTTTCGGAATCACCAGTGGACAAGTAACCTCAAGATACTTCAAAAGCGGTGTTTCCAGTGAGTAGCCACCTCCGGTCTTGACAGTATGAAGAAGAAGTCATTTCAAGCTTTTCAAGGTGTTTATCACGATAGGGCGGAACGATTCCCCATCGTCATCGTCCTGTGATGACAGTAGATTTCCTGCCAACACCACCGTCTGAGAATGTGAATTGTGATGGCGAATGATCTCAAAGAACACAAACTTTGAGAACGAACATTTTACGCATTAGCAGTCCAAAGAGGCAGGACAGTCAGCGTTGAGGAGTGCATTGACCAACTTGATGTGGCTATCGCTGCTACAAAGTCTGGGGGCTCCTCTTCACGTTGCAAAAATGTTCGCCTTCGAAGCAATGTATCCAACCTATCAGATTGCTATTCAGCGATCACCTTGAAAATAGGTAGCGTTACACGCAATTGCCTTTGCGAAGGGAAGCTTCTAGACATAAATCTTTGGAGAGTGGATTAATTTTGTCCCCATACCTTCGAAATTATCCCGCTTATTCTGGACCGACTACATTCCTATCCGGTAGTATATAGATTGACCCTTTGTTACGACACGACCTGTAGATCCTCCCGTTGATCAGCCAATCGTCAAGACATGTTTCCAGCCCCAGGTGGTTCAAATGATCCGCTCTCATTCTGATTTGGTCAATCCCGAGACTTATCATGGTAAAGGTGGTACCAATGTTTTGTCAATGCGACAGTTTTCGTCTAACAATAAGTACTTGCATTCGCTCGACAATCTTGTCCCTTCACTAGTTGGTCTGCCTTCACCCTTCCCTGCTCTGTCTCGTTACCCGCGACCAGCTTAAGAGAATTCGTCTCCGAGCTGTGCGCTGCATGTGGCGCCCCCTTGTCTTGAAAACGTCTATTGACTGAATCTGGGAAAATGGGGAGGGCACCGAAGTGGTGGAGAAAGGGTGGAAGATGGTAGAGGTTGAGACGGCAGTAGAAAGGATTTCAATGGACCAATTTGAGTTGTTGTTCAAGGCACGCTTGATTGGGAAGGACCCACCGTCAGGTTCTAGCTAGTAAAGATACTAGCTAATAGGACATGATAGTAGTTTGATGAAGCCGCACATACGCTCTTTAGCCAAAGGCGCTCTTTGAGCCTACAACAGAGGACTTTATTTGAAACTGGTCTCCGTGTGAATGCCCGCAGCTATACAAACTGTGGCCATGGCGTACCTTGAGCTGAGTAGAAATGTGACAGCCTCGGAGGTCTTCTGTCAAGATGACTAAGTCCGGCCTTGTTTCCATTTGATCCTTTCCCTTTGCTCTTGCCATTTTGGACGTACAATGTCTTGCAGATGTTCTTTTTGGCGTGCTAGCGCGCTGTCTGGTTCTGCTGGGACGCCGAGATGAAATAGGGTGAGCGAACATGAAATTGGTAACATCAGAGATCTCAGTCAACCGGTCTATATTTACAATAACGGTGGTTATCTCAGCAATTCACCCAGGTTACTAGTTTCATTCACCACCATGTGGTGATGAAGCAGCGGCTGTGATTCCACTTTGTTATTGAAAATCTCCCAGCTTTCCTTCTTCTTCTTCTTCTTCTTCTTCTCTAACTCGTTTTCTATGTCCATCGTGATCCACCGCCGTGATCTAGAAAATAAGTTCTGCAGCTTAGCAATACACTGTCAAGTCGATCTCTGTACCACTGAGACACCGATCCACGGGTGTTCTCAATTTCTCAATACCTCTGAGGTGTCCGATTCATCGGACATTTCTGCTCCTGCTAAGTCTACTCTCCTGCACCTCCTCGCATCTCTAAAGCTCAACCCGCCCGAAAGACAGGACATAGGTATGCATGAAAACACTCTTTCCTAGGTGTAGTGATGGTAGTTGACCAAGTCGAAAGTCTTTCGTCATCAATATGGCTTCCTCCTCAGCCGCACCAACATCGCTGGTAGTGAAGATCCCGCCCGGCATTAATATCGTCAAGCCAATCTTGTGGTATCGCGATACCTTTGATCTCTTTCAGGCATGGACCGAAATGCCGCCAGTAGCAAAAGCCCCCGCCATCGAATGCGCAACTTTCGAGGGTGGAAGGCTCACGCTGAGACAAAAGGGAAGAGGTGCCTGGTGTGAGGTCGTCTTTTCAAAGTACGTAGCAGACTTCCGGATTGATTTATGAAACTAACGAACAATCTCAGGCCTCACTTAGATTGGCATACATCGCAACCGACGGAAGATAAGCAGTCTTGGTTCGCTGAGTTCCACTGCTTCAGAGCTCCGTCAGTCACGTTCGGAGCTGAGCCAAATCAGAACCTGGACGAAGCCACTGATAAGGCCAAGCAATTTCCGCTGGCGAAGAGTGCTGCCAACTTGAAGATGTTACGGCTTCGAGTGGATTACGCAAAGGTCAAGTCCATGAGCAGCAAGGAGCACTTGAAGATTCTGCCGATAATGGACCGGATCAGACACCTTACCACCGGCAAGATAAGCGCCGACATTGATTCGCCAATCGGCAACATGATACGCGGGGACAACACTGCGCTGCTTCAAGAAAGTCGTATCCAACGAGAGCAGCTAGGCCTACTCCAAGGCTGTCGAATCAAGGTCAACCGGCTGGCAAGCCGCCGAGTTATGATCATCGAGGTCTGGACCGGCAAAGTCGCCTCATCAGATGCAGAAAAGGTATGCAAGTTCCATGTAATTTGTCCCAGCTTCTTGTCCAGCAAGCTTTACATCCATGCTGCCTTCTCGCATGAAGAATGACTATAGTGTAATCAAGTTTGACATCTTTACTGACCAATATCTGAATGTTCATCAGGTGCCAAATGAAGTCAAGGAATTTGACTTCGGAGACAAGAAACAGGGCATCAGCTACCGTATCAAAGGTGCTCACATGTTCAGGGACGAGACTGAAGAGGATAAGGAGGCTCTGCAAAAGGAGTATAAGATCAAAGACTCTTTCGGTCCTACCTTTGGCTGGCAATTCAACGTGATCAAGAGTCCAGTCTGGTCAAATGCCCCCCTTTGCGGTATCCTGCGCAATTCGGTCCCTTCGGAGGAGTTTGACTTTTTTTGTGGAGAGGCTCGAGGTGTGAGCTTAGAGCCAATTGAGAACGATGGTAATTTTGTAAAGAACGGCTCAATCGTTATCTTGTTGCTGACTGTGATAGTGCTTGGCGAGAGATCAAGGCTTGCTTTAAAAATGGGCATGAAAGAGTTCGACGCGTGGTCTCAATTATGCGGAGGCTACATCAAGTCAATTGCCAAATCCTCGAAGCTCCCGATCATCGACCTTTTTGGCGGCGGACACCCTGTTCCGGAGAAGAATAAGGGCCCAAAGATCACAATCCCAAAGGATGTGACAAGACACTGCACTCCCACCCAAATAAAGGGTATTGACCAGGCCCTCGATTGCAGAGTCTCGTCCATTTGGGGCCCACCTGGCACAGGGAAAAGCTCCGTCCTCGCTTTCATCGTGTGCTGGCTTGCAAGCTTGGGCGAGCCCGGATCGGACAACATCGAGAAGGTACTGGCAACGGCTCTGACGAATGCTGCCGTGGATGCACTTATGGGGTCATGTGTCGAGCGGTGGAAAAAGATGTTCCCAAATAGTGAGTCATTAAAAACATATGAGGTAATTTCACTTTTAACGTACATACTCTAGAGCCCGCCCCTTTTGTTCGCGTCTTCTCTGAGTCTCAGATTCGGGCTCAGCTTAAGAATAAGGATAGAGAAGCACTGGAGGATGCATTCCACCTTGACAATGTCCGCTTGCGATACGCTCGGAGTCACCCAGGCTTTGACGGCTTTATCGAGGGACGCAAAGCTTTATGGGAGGACGGCGACTTCGACAGTGAGGGTCAGGTCAAAGGGTATAATGAGTCGATCACGAGTCTCAATGAGGCATTGCTCTGGGAAGGGGATGAGGTTCGGGTAGTATTCTGTACAATCGCAAGCTGCACGTCCCAATCGCTCTTCGAGGTCTCGAAGATCGATGGCAAGCTGCAAGAGACAGCCACTCGAAAGCCGTTCTTCAAGCCAAGAACAGTCATTATCGGTAAGTTTCTAACAATCCTTCATATGTGCGACTGGACCGTTTTAATGCATTGAACCTTAGACGAAATTGGCGTCGTCAACAGGCCTCAGATGATGATACCAGTGATGGCGTTCCAAACCACAGAACGTCTAATACTCGCTGGTGACCCTAAGCAACTCGGGGGCGTCTATTTCTCAGAGGCGGCCAAACTCGCATGGCAAGCTGGAGGCTGCTACTTCAATGACATCCTCGCAAGGAGCTGGCCTTGCACATGTAAGAAATTAAATCAGACTATGTACCATAATACTAACAGGTGATCAAACAGTCCTTGATCGGCAATTCCGCATGCACGACGATCTATACGCGCACCTCGTTGCCGTCATATATAAGCAGTATGTTCTTCACCGTCTAGATTTCTGTGAACGCGAGACTAAAAGATTACCAAGGGAAATCTCATCTCGTTATATGACGAACAACCCAAGCTCATTCTTGCAACATTTGCAAAAGAACGTGCTCCCGCTCCACCTCGAGGCTAATGGGGATGTTTTTAATATCTCTAGCTACCTCAATTTCATTGACGTCGATGGAGTTCAACAGCCTGAAGGCACAAGCAGCTTCAATCAGGCAGAAGTTGAAGGTGTTTGCAATCTGGCTGCTACTTTGATTGGTCAAGGGGCAAGCAAAAATGACATTGCCATCCTTACTGGCTACGCTGTAAAGGAACCTTTTCTACTAAGTCAAGGATGACTGCTAATAGCGCTTTCAGGCTCAGAGGAAGAAAATCCAACGTCGGCTTAAAGAGATGGGCTTAGATGGTATCGCAATGCCAGGCATGACTATTGATGCTTCCCAAGGTAAAGAATGGAAGATCGTCATTGATAGCCTTGTGACAAGCAAAGGCCAGACCGGCTTCATCGGCCATAGTCCCCGGTATTTCAATCACGAGCCTTTAGAAGGGAATCAAGCTAATAGTTCTCTTAGTGCTAATGTAGGCACCTCACGTCAAGCGGAGATGCTTTACTTTGTGGGTAGCGCGAGCTTCTGGATCGCAGGTGGCCGTAAAGAAGGACCACAATTTATGCACGATATCCTGCGGCATATGAATGAAAATGCTGGGCCCAGGAACCGAGAACCTTTCGTTGTTCGTGCAGAAGGATTGCCGTAAGTTGTGCCTTGCTTTGCCTATCTTGAAAGGCTAATGAGATATTTTACAGCCCTCTCCCTGCTCCGACTCGCGAAGCTGCCCCCCACCAACTCGACTTGCTCTTCCTGCTGCTCCTGCATCATCCTCAGCTGCTCCAACCGCCACTACGGGCAGTAATAAAGGCAAACAAATCGAGGCCGAAAATGTCGAGGATAGCCCAGCAGTGAAACTCGACGAGCAACTCAGAATTGCCGATGAGGATCGTGAGGAGTTGTTGACAGAGTTCAACGAGAAGGTCGAGAACGAGCTGCGGATCTTTGACGAAGATATTGCCAGCCGTATGCAAGCACGCGAGCAGGGGTTGATGCAATTTGAAAAGCGAAGGGCGCAACTCGGAGAGGAAAAGGTCGAGTACGAGAAGAAGATGGCAGCGGAGGAAGAAGAGTGGAAAGCAGATCGCCAGCACATGGTAGACTTGTTTGAGGAGGCGAAGAAGGATTTGTTGAAAGCGTAATTTTTTGATTTTTAATTTACATCAATGATCAAACAAAGATTTATGTCACTTCTTTCCTCTTCTATTGTCTTCGAGACTTTCTTACACTCCAAAATTAGGCTGACCACTCCTTCATAGTCAACTAAAACATTGCTACAACAGACTGTTTTCAATTCTTGAACATGCCCAAGCACCTGCCAATCACGCCTGTTACTACACCTTTATAGCCTTTTATACAATCACACTCTGCTTCCCCAGCTTTTCGTTTAGCAAGCTCTTTGCCTCCTAAATCGCATATGCATAGAACCCTTTGAATCGTATCTTTTCATCACTATGCTGATCAACATTGCAGGGCTCTTATAGATTCCATGATAGATAGCGAGAAGGTTTATCCTCATCCCTCTTGCTCCTAGACGTTGGCTAGACGGCGTGGAAACTCGTACTGATCCATCAAGTCCCTGTTAGGGGCTGAAGACAATCAAGAAGAAATGGTCCACACGCTGAGCGTTTAGTACCTGCCTCATTCGCCCACGGAGGCTCTGTTGCCGACCCAACAGTCTCTTTGATAGCCTTCAGGCCTCGTCCGGTCCCACAAGCCTCATACACCAGCCGGCTTGCAAATAAGTCATTGAGCAAGACAGTGACGAACTTAGCAGGAATTGGAGATTCGCAAGAGCAAGGAATATACAAGATTGTAAAAGGGGCTTCTATGTTGGTGAACTGCCAATTCGGCCGATCAAAGTCTTGGAGAAGTCTTGATCTACATCAATCTTACATTTGATTAAGAACTACAACACGATTCACGGCTTTGAATTCAACCACTGAATCTTCTGAATGATGTTTTTGCGCTATCTTTTTCACTGTTGATTCTCATCGGTCACCTAAGCCTCGAACTCGGTTTCGTCTAGCAAATGTACAGAGCTCAACATAAGCAGTACCGAGTGCCCATGAAATCGACACTCATCATCTTCTCCTACGATTTTTCTCCTCCCAGACGCGCTCTTCTTCTTGCTATGATTTGGGCCAGGGGTTCATTGATCGTTTCTTCCGGTTTAGATCCTACCCCAACCTCTCAGGATCGTGGACAGAAATCTTCATTGGGGCTCTCTATTCTCTCAATTAGCTAAACCATAGAGTGTTAATGATGGGAGAAAGACAAGCCAAGCCTTTTAACCGCTTAGAATATTTATCTTTGGCTACAATGAAGGTAAGCCTACAAGGGCATACTTCCACATCCAGAGACACTAAACAAGAGCGCGTCCCGCCTTATTCGAATGCAGTGTCTATTCTGTATCACAAGAACAGCTAGGAAAGACCTCTCCGTATATCAAGATATATGTTGATGTAGTAAATAGTCTGGCGTTGAAAACATACAGTTCCAGCTCAATCAAGATAATTAGACCCAGCAACAAAGACAAGAATGTCGACAAGCCCCTGAAATCATTGCGTTGGAAGAAGCTCTGACTCATGGTAATCTTGATGAAATAGATCAGGTGATCACTGGCGATTTGTATTTGAACCAATCTAAAGCGAGAGAATTTCTGTGCGTGGTTAGATTACCTCTCTTGGAAACCAGAAGGTCACAGCTGCAAGACTATAGCGTATGCTTAATATAAAGCTTGAGTACTTTTCACAGATAGATGTGACATCTTTCTATAGATTCTGATTCCTAGAAGGTGTGCGGTTGCTACGCAGAGTTTGCGGAAGGAAAGACGTACTTTGATATCACAATTTTCGAATGTTCATCGCTTATAAACTTTCACAGACTGCGAGCTTGGACGGCATATTGTCTTCTTTCCTTGATTACCTGGTATCTAAGGCTCAGTACTAGTGGGATTCGTTGGCAACTTCCCAGGAGCAACCTAAGGTTCCCCTGACGCCCCTGACTACTACCGATGCGGTAAGCCTAATGCTCTAGTTGTAGTGGTGCTCCACATTTGCTGTCCGGCGCTCGGACGGAGGTAAAGCTAGCGTCAGAAAAGAACCCCTGAACTTGATTTGTTTTGCGCAACAGTGTTCAGTACCCGCTTGCAAGCATCTCCAGTTGCGACGACTTCCAAGGGAAAGCCGTCGATGGTTCATGTTGTGTTGGAAGTGCGGCGAAGAAGTACTTGCTCAGACGCGATCGACTTCATTGAGTCCAAATCTGGCCGATTCAAAGATGGGTAGGAGATAGCCCAGGGAAAGCAACATGGGGATGCGATCCATGCTGATGAAGTACCTGCAGGTGCTCTTCAATCTCAGGTAGAAAAGAAATTGCTCAAATAGGCTGAGCTCTTTATGAGTCTGCACCAACCAGTGGCCCGAATATTATAGCCGATGATCACAAGTCACCTAAATCCTTAGCACAAAATTGGAACCGTCACATCAAGAGATTGGCTATCCATTGATATCGGGTGAGTTCATGGGCGATGAACGCCGCTCACGCAAGCGGTGGACGGCCTTGCTACTGATGGTAATCAGTTCGAAGTATTCGCGGTATCAATTCGTCAAGATTGCGGCAAAGTATGAGTTTTTTACAGAAGAGAAATTGCCAAGAAACAAAAGAGTAACTAACGTGCGAAGGTGAGACTGTACATATTTCTTGAAGATCTTCCGAGAAGTAGCCGATACTGGGGTGACAAAAACGCAGTGATTGCCCTTACTCCTATCAAGACCGAAGCCAGACTTAACACCGGGAAGCTTCTGTAAGGATTTCGAAATATGAATTGAACCCAGAAGGTGATGGTGGAGGCCACTTGCGAATGACAGGCGCTGAACTCGGCTGAAAATTTGTAAATCTGGGCATGAGCATGGGCTATATGGAAGATTCTGAAATAAGGTTGACGTCCGGCCTGAGCATGATGTATAGGCTTCCGAACGTTACTTATGAAGGATTATTCACTGGAACAGCACTGCTTTAGTGTCTGGCACACTCTGTGAATATGACTACTTACCACTATCTGTCATCTTCCGTAAGTTTCTCCTTCCTTTGCAAACCCTTTCGATTCTTCAAGATCCCGACCTGTTATTGTGTGTCTACGGCTTCTATATTCTGTAGTGGACCCCATGCCCACGCTCTTGCAATTCATCAAGCATTTCGGCTCAGACACTCGACGCCTTTCACAATTCATGACGTGTCCGCTTCTCAGCTTGCGGAGGCAGCTTCTTATACGATATTCTATAATCTATTCTTACATCTCAACTTGGTCATACAATTTCCATATATGTCCACTCCATATACGTACCCAGCCTTGAGATGAGGAGTTGTATGATGCCTTCCTCGATAAACGAACCTTTCTTCAAATACATGTTGCGGTCCGCACGTCTCAGTCCAACGCAGCTTCAATGTAAAGTTGGGTCGTTTCCACATCGATTTCCAGATGCAATTCATATATTCATCGTGATGCGTGACTATTTCATATTTGAGCTTGCTGGTGCAGGTCGTATGAGTGGTGTGGAGCATTCCAGCCAACCTCAATATTTTGATGTCCATCATCGTTTTTGGAGGCTGATACTCTCTCCAAATTAAAAAATCTATCGGTGTTCGATGTAATGGAGTGTCGTTTTGTGGTGATGGAAGCTAAGGTTAGCTTCAAGCTTCGCACTCTTAAAATTCTGATGGCGCGTTTTCTCTCTTCTTTTCTCCAGGTATCAACGATTGAGTGCAATCGACTGTACGATTTCCTTGATAGCCTCTTGTTAAACCCAATCCACTGGACTGACTAATTTGGTCTATCCAATTCACTGGATTCCCCTTATCTCTGACCTCTGGTCCACTCAATACGCTGAGTGGCCGCTTCACTAACGGACCCCTCTCAGCCTTTCTTCTATCTCTCCATCCACCCCAATCTTTTATCCAGTAAGTAGGTGTGGAGCAGTCCAGTCATTCGAACGGGTCGGTTGGCTGATGAACTGGCAGCAATGGCGAAGAACAAGACCGCATCCGAAAGGGCGCGCAAGATAGTGTTGACGCAGAGGAAACAAGCCGAAGCGAATCCCCACTCGCGCTTCGAGCAGGAAAAGCTCGCCGAGTTCGAAGCATGGAAGCTCTATGTCAATGAGGAGGCTTCGAAGGGCATTGAAATACTTAGTTATCCGTCCTTTCCTCCAGGGCGGTATCTGGCCATGTATCCTCAGGCAGCTGACATCTACCGCCCTGTTGGACCACCATCACAGCCACGCCCTCTCCCAGCACCATCACATCCACGCCGTCCACCACTATCACACTCACGCCCTCCTACACCACCACCACCACCACCACAACTTCCCAGTGGTCTGCCTCTAAGCACTACAGATGAGGCGATAAGGAGTATGCGAAAGACCATCGACTCCCTACGTATTCTACTCGAAAGTAGAGGAAAGGAGGTCGAGGATTATAAAAGGGATCTAGACGCCCTGCGGACGAAGAACTCCCAGTCCGCAGATGACAAAGACAAGCAGATCAGCGAACTGCAAAGTGCCCTAGACGCCAAAGGCAGGCACGTCCAACCCTCCCAATCTGCAGACGACAAGGACAAGCAGATCGAGGAATTGCAGAAGGCTCTGGACGCCAAGGATCAGCAGGTCAAGAGCTCCCGATCTATAGACGACAAGGATCGGCAGATCAGGGGCTTACAGACTGATCTCGTCGGCAAGGACGAACATATCAGGATGCTGCAATCTGCTCTGCAGGACAAAGAGAAGGAAATCAGCCGCCTCAAAGGGATACCAGCCAAGAGGGATGAGCCGGATCTCTCGGATGAGTTATTCCTTCCGTTCGATGACATGGAGGTCGACAACTTGGTGACCTCTCCATCCCCAGTCAAGCCTGCCGTCTTCACCTCCCCTCTCAAGCGATCGACTCCTGCCACCTCCCCCCAAAGCGTCTTTCCTCCCCTTCCTCATCAACTGGGGCTCAAGATCGCCCTATCAATGCCGATAGAGATAGGAGGCGTCTGGCTGAAAGCAAAAAAGAGAAAGAACTCTTTGCTTTGCTGGACGACCTCGCAGCAAGCAATGACCCCACTGCAAAGACTGTCAAGCAAGTGTAAGTAAACGCTATTATGTTCTTGAAGCGAGTGTCCTGATGACTCATTTTTCTATAGATTTGGCGTGATAGGCGACGACAAGTACGCATGCGTAGGGCCTGCTGGTATCTCGATTTACAAGCAAGCCATGTGCTACTTGCTAGCTTCAGAATACCTGGACGACAGCTTAGTCGATTGGGTCCTTGGAGTCGCCGTTGCAGGTACTACCAAGACCCAATTAATATCTCCATGGGTCTATGAAGCTGGTCAATCGTTTGGAAAATCGATCAATGCCACAACCAACACAATCCTGATGCCAGTCTGCATAAAACTTCACTGGAGGCTCTTTAGTGCTACATGGGATAGGCCTAACTCTAAAGTCCTAATAAGATGCTACGACTCGCTTGGGCCAAGCGAAGGCTCACCAGAGGGACTAGTCCAAGGAATGTGTGACAAGATACAAGGCATCTTGTCAGAAATGAAAGACGGACCAGGGAAGAATGTACGTTGGACAAGCGAAAACGGCAAATGCAGTATGCAAACGGATGGTTATGAATGCGGTTCCTGGGTTCTCGCCAACGCATTAGCCCTGATTCTTGATACAGAAATGCCGGAGTCAGTAGACGGCTTCAGGTTGGCTATCGCCTGCTCTTTGTTGTCCGAGGTCCAAAAGCAAAGCCGAACCGCGGAGATCTTAGCGGACTGGCTCTTTAATAACGTCGCTCAGACTACGCAGGCTAGCCAAAAGAAACCTCCCAAGGGCTCCCGGAAGAGAGTACCTAAACGTCGGCAGCGTCCAGTTTTAGCGCGTGCTGCAAAGGGTCCGGTGAAGCCAAAAGATCCAGATAACAGCCAAGGGTCTAGCAATGACGACGACTCAGTGTCAACTGATGATGTGCACGTACTTGGTCCGGAAGTCAACTATTACCGCCAGCGTCCAAATCTTGACGAAGAGTTTCTTTGCACCATATGTGTGTGCTTCGCCGGCGAGTCCCAGGAAGCTCTTGCTAGCCACCAAGAGAAAGATCACGAAATCCCTGGCCTGTTGTGCACTTGGCCAGGATGCTACACCTTGTGCAAGGGTGAGGGTGATCTAGACCTTCATGTCCGACGGATTCATGAACTTCAGGTCTATGTATGCGAAACAAAAGGGTGCTATCAACGGTTCGATGAATGGGAAGAAGCAGAAGCTCATGCTGAGGAATTGGACCATGATGTGAACGAAAAGTTCCCTTCGGCACCTTACAATCGGGAGGACATCGAAGTCAGGCGTACAGAAATAGAAACTTTCAAAGGGAAAAAGAGAATGCTTCAGCTAAAACGCAGGTATTATATGGTGTATCAAAGTGCAACTGCTCGTCGGTTCTTTGAGAACTTGGGTCTAATGAACCAGGACACCACAACGGGTGTTCCCTACCATAGAACGCTCTGGAGAAAGTATGAAGCCTCAGACACAAGCGCACGTCCCAGTTGGAATTACAAGCTAAAAAATAAATCCGCATATGGCAAGGAGAGTTTCGGTGCCGCTTATTATATGTTTGTACTCTTCTTTCACCAGCCACGTGGTTGGCGATTGGACAAGTTCATAACGGACTGGACGCTTCACTGGTGCGAAATTTCACACAAATGCCATTGGGCATATTGTTTGGATGTGAATGCTTTAGAATATGTCTTGCCGAAGTACAACTCTGACAGGGCTTCGTGCGCAGGAAGCCTTCGAGCGCAAGCGGGCACCTGCGAGGCGAAAAAGAGTCTCCATTCCCATGATCATTGTGTGCAGCATCTTTCGGCGGATGCAGCAACAAGCTTCGTTGTCAGGGTAGGACCATACACTGGGGAGAGAAGGAGAGTAGGAGATCGCCCTAAGAAGAGCGGCCAGCTGGATACAAGAGGAGGAGCACCTCCGGGTGGTTGGACTTGTCGCTACGAAATGAAACGAAGATGCCGCCGGAATGATATCGCATTCCCGACAAAATCAAATCGGGACAGACACGAAGCATTGTGCCATTTCAGCGCCAACTGGAAAGAGTGGAGGAAGTTTAGCGCAAAGTTTCCAGGTTACTTCTGTCCTGTGTGCGATGAGGGGTTTGACGAGAAAGAGGAGCGAAATAGACATATGGAGCGTGAGCATGAAACTTAATAGTTTATTAATTTGAACATCTAGTCTTCCCCTTTGATTCGATAGCCTTGCTCAGAGTCTTTGAATGATGAGGGCAGCTTGTGATTCTCCTCTTTCTCTCTCCCTGATCATTTCTCCTTACTATTGCTACTTCGCAACGTGTATTGCCTTGAAATTATACCTTTCACCTCAAGAGAGTCTCGTCTGACGCTTCCGAGGTGAGCAAGAACGAACCGTGAACCATCGGGGATCTCGATCAGCTGAAATTATAAATTTGGATGCCGCGCTTGATGAATGTTCTCCATCTCCGCTGTGGATTCCCTGTGAAAGAGCCTCTCTCCTCTTGCAACTGTAGATGAAAATTTGTACTGCGGCTTTGGTGGTCACTCTCTCAGCTGATGCCTGCTCAACTAGCGACCAAGCTCCCGACCTGTTGATGAGGTTTAGAGGATCCATGAGAGCTCCAGAGAAGCTAAACTCATCTCACTGTCAAAGACAATCGCAAATGAATGGATGGTCGTTGGAATAGAGTATCGTCCAAAACCTTGGCGCGAATTCTCAAATTTCGTCACCCTCACAAACTCCGCTGCTCCTCGACTACGACGGCCTCAGACATGAGTACTGCCTCCTTGGCTCTACTTCAGACAGTCGCCTAATCAGCATCAATGGCTTCGGTCCTGAGTATTGCCTGCTTGGCTCTACTCTTAGACAGTCGCCAAACGGTCAGCAAATAAAGGCTCCGGTCTTCAGTATTGCCTGCTTGGCTCTACTTCAGACAGTCGCCAAACGGTCAGCAACAATGGCTTCAGTCTTGAGTACTGCCTCCTTGGCTCTACTTTAGACGGTTGCCAAATAGTCAACAATAAAAGCTCCGGTCTTTAGTATTGCCTGCTTGGCTCTACTCTCAGACAGTCGCTAAGCGGTCAACAACAATGGCTTCAGTCTTGAGTACTGCCTCCTTGGCTCTATTCTTTGACTGTCGCCAAGCGGTCAACAACAACGCCTTGGGTCTTGACTGAGTTGTGTCTCATCTCTTCTAGAGGCTGCATAAATGTCGCATAACAGAGAAATCGCACAGGCGGAGTCATAATTATGAGCGCCTTTTTCATGGAATCAACAAAGAAATGACATCTGCAATCATCGCAACGTCGTGTCATTCCATAGGAAGTACGGCACCGTCACGCTTATTGGAACAGATGTCATATGAGACACTGCTTGAAGAGATGGTACAGCTCGACGGAAGGTGCAAACCCTGTTTCAACAGTGCGAATTCTTGTTGACAGAGCATCAGATGTCCAGAGAAAGTTCAGCTGGATAAGGTTCGATGGCAACGGCGCCTATTTAATCGTCACCATCGATGCCTTTTCCTACCGTCATGGTTGTCTGGACGACGAACACTTATGGCTCCACGCCGCAGGCAGGCAAATGGTTACATTACTACCGTTGGGTCTTCCTGACCTATGTCTAAGTCACCAAATTTAGTCCGGCCCTCATAAGCGCAATAGAATTTATCACATGACGCCAAGACTAGGGCTGACGAGACCGTCGAACATATCATACACTACTGAAAGCTGATTGAGGGTGCGCCCAACTTTTGCGTGGACTTTGCTAGGCCTTTTTCGAGAAGGTATATCTTCCGAGAACCAGGAATGTCCAATGTTAACTTCTCGTATAGACTGCAAACTCGCCTCCACTTTCCTTCTACCCTCCCACCTTCCCCCGCACCCACGCTTGCAAGTTTCGCCGAGTCCATCGATTCCCTTAGCGCCTGGTTTCCGCGCCATGATTGAGCAACATAAGATATTCGAGCGATTCAGAGCGTGATGATAGGATGTACCATGATAATCTGCTCGCTTGTGCAGCTGGAAAGTGTAAGGCAAGCATTACTGGGGGTGGAGCAAGGCTTCTATCTCTTTGAGGCCAGGAATTGCCGTGTTCTCCACATAAGCTACCCGGCGATCGCCCTAGCCGGAGGGCAAGAGAGCTTCGGAGCCGCTTTCTATGGTTGAGGTGACTCAGAGTTCCCCGACGCTCTCGCGCTAAGCTTTGCAAATGATTGGCGCAACACTATTCTCGCTTTCTACGTTCATCTTCCTCGCAATATCGCACTTCATGACGGAAATTGTTCGATGCTGAGGCATCAGTCTAGGTCTACAGTGGACATCAAGGCACTTGGCGGGGCAGGAGTAGAGCTGATTCCAGGGCCAAACCAACGAAAGGAAAAGTGCGAAGGAACCATTGACCATGGGGCGAGCATAATCTTGAGGTTGAAAACATTTCTTGGAGGTCGATGTGCACAACGCTGTTACTGGGGCAACGAGTACAGCGGCCACGGTTTCACCTTCCGCCTGTTCAGCTTTGACTTTCTGGAGGGGAAAATTGCCTACATTGACGCTGGTAGACGGCATCCAGTTGGCAAGCATTTTCTGATGGAAGCTTCACAAATCTGGATATAAACCAGAGGTATAGAAGTTATCGTACTATCTGACGACTCATGGGATATCTTCTCAACCATTCATATCATCGTCGATACTGATTCTGCCCATGAGAGTGCAGAGGCAAATCGACGAAGATCAAAGCTTTCTGATCCGCAAACGACAATGACGAGTAGATTAAGGAATTGCAGACCACCCTAAACGACGCGAACAAGCGGATTGAGAGATTGCAAAGCGCTCAATGACAGAGGCAGCCAGACCAGGGGGTTACGTTTCGATTTTAACGGCGTGGACATGTGAATTAGTCTGCTGCAAGCTGGTCTTCAGACGAAAGTGATGGTACAGAACGGACTGAAAGACTGCGATATAAGTACATGCACCAAAACCTACGCGTACAACTTCCCAATAATACAATTTCCCTGACTACTGTTGCCCCTCGGCCACTCATTGACTTCGGTCATACATTTCTCCGTCACCGCTTATATCTCTTGGCATTTGACTGGTCCTCATCAAGCTTTCAATTGTTCCACGGCTTGTCTGCCACGCCGCATGTCATTGGAACCTTTCTCCTCGCCTCAAGCTCTCATGAATTTCAGCCATGGCGTCGTCGGCAAAGACTGCCCCTCTTGTCTGTATCGTTGGATTCCACCACGCAAGGTTCGGCAACTTCATGAAAATCGCAGCTCTTTCTAACACGATTCAGGGGCCCCGAGATAGAGCACTGGTTTGGAATTGAAGACGACACCGATCCAGCTATAAAGAATGGCTGGTCTTTCCTCCCTTTCATGGCACTGTCTGACGGAGCCCATGCGTAATTGCATTCCATTCGAAGCCTCAAGGCTCATGAATCAATCCACTAAGGGCAAGACAGATCCGTGGAAGACTTCTCATACTTCACCCTTCGTCGAAAAGCCACCTCCGGGTTCCCTGCGACGTCCCTATTCGGCATTTCGTGTACCAGACAATTGGATGCGAATGACTTGCTCGATCGTCCTGCAGATGTCACCAGGAGCACTGTACAGAAAGCGCTGGTGGTGGTCGCAGATAGCCCTTGTTCCTTCGGGCAACTGAAAGAGAAGCTGAGCATGGTTACTGGGGCATGGTTCGCGCAAAAGTGAGAGGCGACGTAAAGAAGGAGCAAGAGTCATGCTGATATTTGACAGGGACTTCACTGATGTGGAGATCTTGAAGGTCGGTGAGTGCACACCCTCAAGAATGTTGACTGGTGGCTCATATTGCCCCAGGCATTTCAAGACAGTCTTGTGCACTCAGTACCAGACGCAGATGATGGGCAATATCTAGGTGGGCAACTCCAATTAATGTCTCATTTGCATCTCTGAAAGAGGTAGGCCTGTCATTCAGAGAGCTACTACACGAGTATCGGCACCAGGTACTCGTTTTATTTAAGTGCTGTCTCTTGCAGCCGAAGGTAGTACAACTACTCGTCGATCTTGCCATCTTTCTCATTGTCACAGATGCTCTTCTTCGGCTCAAGATGCGAGAAGCTGTGTATGATCCAATTCGCTTTGATATCGCTTGTTCCAGGTCTTCTCGGGAGATTGGAGGATTCTGCCGATCCCGAGTTTGACTCATACGAAAGGACCGTTTCTATCTCAACATCATTGAAGACTAGCGACCGAAGCTCACGTTGGTACACCTGTGGCTGACTCCGTGAATGCGAATACTAAATGTTCATTAGTCCTGGCGTACATGGGATTGCCACTGCAGCTGTATGTCATACCTTACTGCTCCAAAGCCCTTGAAAAGATTACTAAAAGCTCGCGATAGGTTCGGAAAGGCAAGTTTCCTAGCACAGCACCGAGGTTGGATCTGCGATTGACTTTCTTCCAGGGTTCTCTACTCTGCCCATATATACCATTACAGCAACTTGATATACTCGCTGACCATGGAACAAAATCCTACATCGTCGGTTCCACAAACTCATTGCTCTTGCAACAAAAAGATAGATATAGCGAAATTATTGTAAACGTTCGTATACTCATGCAATGTAGCTGTAGTAATGCCAACTGACATTGAGCAGCTAGATGAGAGCTCAGTCAGCATTACCTCAACATCACTTCGTGCGGCGCTGAGTCTGTCGGTTGCTGATCGGCGGTGGATTGATTTCTTGACTCAAACAGTCATTGACAGCTGGGATGAAGCCTACCCCGATCGACCTAGTACCATGGGCTATATGGGCTCCGAGGACTTCATTCGTCTTCAGTTCGAAGAGTATCTCCTTGCACTTCTTTCGGCTGTAAAATACCATCAATACCTCCAAAAACCTGAGAGCCCTCCAATGCGCGGAATTGAGGGCGATCCGACGACTGATTTTGGCTTAGACTGGATCGAAGCATGGAAGAAGACGCCCAATTTCTCACTCTTCAACAAGACTACCGACTCCCATCTCTTCGACATCGTGGAGCCTCGGCATCCAACAGCGGGTAATCTCACAATCGAGGACGTTCAAAGACGTGTAAACCAGCACATCCAAACTCTGCACCTTGACGAAAGATTTTCGACTGGTAAGGAAGCACTGAACAAGCATCTCGCTGTGGGCCAACAGAGATTTTCTACCGCCTTTGCCAGCCTTCAAGCCAATATCGAAGCAAAGCGTGATGCATATCGCCAACGCCAAGCCGAAGCTCAATCTTCAGCAGCCGCGAGTCGCGATGCCTCACCTGCACCATCGAAAGCAAGTGCGGCATCATCACGTCTGGCCGGTCGCGCACCAGACCTCTCCACAGCCCAAGCGTCTGTGCAAGTCGCGGGGCAGAGAGCCGGCGCCTACATCTCTTCCTGGGGAGCTTGGGCATCCGAGAGAAGGAAAGGCTGGGGGCAGAAAAGCTCAGATGGCGGCGATGAGAACTCAGCGCCATCAGAAAGAAAACGTTCAAGCTCACCATCGCCGAGTAAGCTCACAAGGTGGAGCTCCAAGAGGAGCAGCAAAAGTTCAACTGGGAAGAACGGGAAGGAGGAGAAAGGTGAGGATGGGATCGGTAGGCTTGATGCATGAACGGGAAGCTGCTACGGTAAGACTTACGAAGGTAATGATATACTGCGCTCTGGCGCGCTGTTACGAAGGGTTTGAGCAGACTTAGCGAGAGCACCACTTCTTGAACTATGGTCATGCACACCCAAACCATATTCATGCCCTGCCTCCAAACGTATCTACGTCCCATTCTATCACCTCTAGATCTACTACTTCCCCCAAAGAGCACCATTATCGAACAAAAACCCTCAATATTTGGGACCCCACTCTGGATAGATTAATACAGACAACAATTTGCAGCGTAATTTTACACGACTTTTCCTGAATGCATCCAACACTAATCCTGACCCACTCAACGTTGCGTCCAATGGCGCTGTAGAAGCAAATGTGTTGAGTATAACCTAAACATGGATTGCCCAAGTGTACGCAGCTTATGAGAAGTCATCTGCGCAGCAGCATCGTCGATAGCAAGACCCTACTCCTCACTCCTTCCACCGCACGCCCCACTCCCCCTTCGCGAACGAAGCTTCAACAACTCTACCCTCCTGCACAGCTTCCACCCCTCTCTCCCTTTCCCATCCCTCCTCATTTCCGCGACTGCTCCGCCACTTCCCACCTTTACCCTCGGGTACACCAAAAGCCACCAGCCGCCTCGCTGCCTGTCTGACCATCTCCCGCTGCTTGGCGCGTCGCATGCCTTCTGCTTGCTTGTCGGGTGTTGACTTGACTGGTTCATCACCTCCGTTGCTGTCCTCGCGGGCTGTGCTGTCATCTACGTCGGCGTCATTTCCTCCCTGTGTCACTGGCGCGGATGCCGCTTTTGCCTCTGATGATGCCGGCAGCGGCGGTTGTGGCGGAGAGGTGGGAGGGAATATCAGCGCTTCGATGGTGCTGCAGATCACCACTTTCTTCCCTGACCCTGCACCCTTTCCCTTCCCCGGCCCAGTCCCGGCGCTGCCGAATTTACCATTACCGTTGGACGAGGCGGCATTATGGCTGAGTCCGGCGGGAAGGCCGTCGTCTAGAGCGGAGATGAAGGCCGCTTCGATCTGGTGTTCGAGACTGAGACGGGCGGAGGGGCTGTTGGGCTGTGGGGGCTTGGTGTGGCGGCAGCGGTCGGAGCAGTAGACTCGGGAGGGAGAGGTCATGTGGGAAGCTAGATGGGAGAGAAGTGAGTATGGGATTGGGATTGGGGTTGGGGGTGTGGATTGAGAGTTGGACTGGGGGAAAGAGGAAGGTGGGGAGGATGCCTGAATATGGCTGGGTGGATTTGGAGAGACGGTGATTGTGTGGGGTGATGTAGGTGACGTGTGAGAACTGAAGTTTTGGGAATAATTTCAGGAGGTTTTTGTTGAGTGTGATGTAGAATAGATCGAAATGGAGTATTGATTATTTTGAGCGAAAGAAGGAATGGGGGGCAGATGATTGGATCCTTCTGGGGATGATCTGACTTACACATGATTCGGCCACAAGTACGGCAATATTGGGCATCCTCTGACATTGGACCTGGGGCGTGTCTGCTGCGGCTTGGTCGGTAATATGCCATGGTTTGTTGCTGGATGCAAGAGGGTGCGGTGTGAAGATCTATTTGGCAGAGAATACATGTACTACGCCTTGCGAGTAATTTGATCGACTTCGATATGACCGATCGCATTTGCTTGTCAAATAATCGTGATAGACGATTTGCCGACGATTTCGAGGCCTCGAGAGAAAATCTGGGTCTTGGAATGCTTCACAAGCCCATTATCTTCTTGGTGTCGCCAATTATGACAAGAACTTTGCGTGGTAAGTTACTTCTTATTTACTCTTGAATACTACTTGTATAGAGACTTTTGTTGCATTTATCTTGTTAGCTTTTTAGGGCCAGGTTCATAGAGTTGAAAGTATGATACTAGCTAGGAAAGAACAGGCGCTACTTAGTCAATGACGTCTGTACGTGATGTACCATCAAATCGAAATCACTACAAGGTGGAAATAACTTGCATACACCTATCTACTGAGTCATATGTCCCTGCTGCTATGTTTTTGATAACCCAAGAGTGTCCAGTGAATGCACGCTAATTATGTCCGTCGCTTTTGATCCATTACTTGCGTTATAAAAACGCCTAACCCTATGCTTCCCTAGCCATGCATCCGCCTCATTATCCTTACAAGAGATTTGTTCAATTACAACTGACCAGATAGAATAGCTTCGGTAGCTGTGATTGTGTTAACAAGAGCCTTCATCGTATGCAGGGGGAAAGACTTACCGGAACCAATATATGCCCTCTTCGCATCCAAGTTGAGACCAAATCTACCTTCCAACTCTAGCTTGATACTTTTCTTCGTCACGGACATTAAGTCAGCGGTCCTTAGTATATCCCTAATCTCGGCCAAAATTGCATCGTCACTAGGCAATTCAGCAAATTCGGACATCATGACGCCCTCTTTGCTCATCTGCGCATTCGCCAATCCCATCTCCGACGGTGCAAGTGACAGCCGCGAGCCATATCTTGGTATTTCCATCTGAGACATTGGCCTCGAAGGTGGGTACCCGTAATCTGAGCCAGCGTAGCGTGACTTGGTCTGGTACGAGTAACCTGATATCTCCGACTTGTCGTCTCGTTGGGTTTGAGCATCCCACAGCTCCGCTTGATACTCTTCCCACTTCTTCTTCGGAATGCTGTTTGGATCGAACTTGCCTTCATCGGAGATGACGATTTGGCGGCCTTTCTCACCAGTAACGACACGGGTATTACCCCATGAGAAGTCGTCCATATGCCAGAATGAGTACAGTGGCAAACCCAGGGAAAAGACTGGTATAGCTATGATATAGATGATCATCCATCCTATCATCTCCCACTTCCGCCGGAGAATGAAGATAATCGCTTGCAAACCATAGATGGCGCCAAGGAGGACAAACGCCATCAACGGGATGACTGTGCTATTCAAAGAGACTACCACAATGAGATAGGTAAGGTATGCTACTACCGTCGGCTGAACAACGGTAGACAGCAAATCCAAGAAAACGACAAACCTCATACTGAAGCAGCAGAAGCCGCACAATTGTTGGAGTGGGATCAATTCGACAAGGTTGTGGACCGTCGAGTTTATCCATCTCCGACGCTGAGACAAGAAAACCTTGAAGCTGTCGGGTGCAATAGTCCAAGCGTGAGCATGGAAAGTGTATTTGGTCTTGTACTTTGGGTGATGCTTGAGGAGAAGAGTAGTCAGGAAACGATCCTCACCAAGATGAAGGAGGTTCTTCATGTGCAGAGTGTCGACACGGACTTGCGAATACGATTCGATAATCTCCCGGCTGACGAAGAGTGGCTTTCCTGTCTCGGCAGCTCTGATGCGATACATGGTGAAGCATCCCGGGAGACAGGTCACAGAGCCGAAAAGGGATTCAAACGCCTTTGTCAGGTTATGAGATATGTAGTATTCGTATACTTGGATCATGGTGGTGAGCGAAGATTTAGCGTTTGATAAGGCTGTTTCTCCGCATATGCCGATCAAGCGAGTGTCGTGCAGGAAAGCAGCCACCATTCGAGAGGCAGAGTCTGGTGCCACGACCGTGTCGGCATCAATCTGTAACATGAACTCATAGAAGGTCGGGTTGACTCCAATGATGTTTCGTATTTGGTGATGCATTTCCAGTTCCAGAGGGCTCATTGCATGGTTGTAGTGTACACGATTTAGGAACCGCATGATCACCATCTGCGAGTCACGTTTGCCTCGGTTCCCAGGTCGAGAGACTTCAGAAGGCTTGCCTATCTTGACCACCACCAGGAATGGAACAATATGACCTTGCACCTCGTATAGGCCGGAATACACTTTGCCCATGTTGTGTTGCTTCATTCCCTCACCCAAACTTTCAAAGCTGAGAGGTTCAGGATCGACAGTTTCCGAGACACCGAGGATATCGAGCACGATGCGGGGCGTAGGCCGGTCATTACCCTGGCCAATGATCATACCATCGCAAACGATGACAAGAAGCTTGCGTTTATCATCGTACTTCATGCGTGCGGCTGAATCAATGGCACGACGGAGTGAGTCCTCATCTTCAGTGTAGGCTGGGACCTGGCAGATCACGAACTTATCGAGATTTTCCGGCAGGTTCTTCTTTCCAAATTGTAATGCAGCAAAGAACTTGAAACCGATGACACTAACCAGGAGGATCGAAATGGCAAGTAGGATGTACTGAGAGAATTTGCATTGTGGTGAATTCCTTGTATCCGATTTTCCGACGTAGAACAGGTTGTCGAGACAGATCTCCATTCGTCTCTTCACATCTGGGCCAAGCTGGATATTCTGCCAGTCTTTGGTGAGATCTCGGCCAGAACCTTGAGAAAACAGTGCCGTCACGATTGGGTCCATGAACTGGGTGTCAACGTCTTTTGGTGGACTTTGACCTTGAGGAGCTTCTGCCCGCCCATTACCTTTGCTGTAGGCTGTCATGTCGTAGACCTTGCCGTTGATGATGCCAATATTGTATTGTTTCTTGGAAGCCAGTGTATGGATATATGATGGTGTGTAACCAACATCACCTTTTTTGTAATTATAGCGCAGCACTTGCTTTTGCTCCCACCACCAGTCGGGCCGCGAGTCGTTCGTATAGTATCTAAAATCGTGATATTTGGCATTCAGGTCTATAGCACTGTTCGCTGTTGGAGAACCCGTTACATTGGTAGGTGTGTACCCCAGCTGGACGCTAGGATCGACGCTACCATCCTTGCCGTTGCATAGCGCAGAGACCTGGACAGGGAAGAGGCTTGTGGCATCTAGACCAGCATACTTCTTCAAAGCCGATTGTGGAATGATCTTGGGGTAGTGGCTTGGCATAAAGGCGCCCAGATCGTAGACTTCTCCACGAATCGCGACGAAAGAGCTGTGCCCCTTCTTTCCATCGTGGCTAGATAGTTCGGAAGCCGAATAAACATGCTGCTTCGGGCAAATGATCTGCGGAAAGATCACAATGAAGAAGCAGACGAAGAGACAACTCAACCATATGATAAGGTTGATGGCAAACTTCTCTCTCCAGGCCGTCCTGATATCCTTTCGTTTCATTCGGCCAGTCCATTTGATGAGAAAGTCTGGAATGTAGAATGTCAATAGCCACACGATAGCGAGCCAGCGTTTGCGACTGCCCGTGGTCTTGACTTCGTCAACTTCCTCTAACTTTTTCTTATTGCCTTTCTCTGCCATCTGCTCCCGAGTTTCAAGATTCTGAAACATGTCGCCAGAGTTGAAAGCTGAGGCACCAGCATCGGAGCGGCCGTCAACTTCTCGTCCACTGAGATATTCACCATGCTTGCCTTCATCACCGTATATGTATGCTCCCGGCGTAGGGGATTTGGAAGGTGCGAGAAGATTGGTTCTAGACCCTGTCACGCCCCGGCTTTCCATGGGCGTAAGACCGTCGTCTCCAATGTCACTCAAATCAGTATCAAAGAAGCGTCCTCGGTCGTTAGTAAGTGCTTTACCGCTTTCTTTGGCTATCGAGGCCCAGATCCTTTCGCTTAAGAAGACACCGGTCGTTCCAATGCGTGCTTCATTTCCAGGCCATCTTTTCTCGTTCAGTACGGCCTCTGCCTTCTCTCGCTCACTTGCAACCATAATATTTTCAGCCTCAGTCAAGCCAAGGAATTCACCAAATGGAAGGAACAAACTGAAGTCTGCATTCCTCAGCCGCTGGCTGATCTCGGCAATACCAAAGGTTTGAATTTGGGTCCGGACACATTTGCTGTCAAATTGGTTGGCAATCCGGCGATCATTCGGCTTCAGGCAAAAGATGAAGTAAGAATTCGTATTTGGCGAGGAAATGGATTGAATAATGTTGTCTAGAGACGATAGGAATTGACCAGAGGCACCTTGGTCAATCCCAACGAGACGATTTCCCTTCCGATTATCGGCACTTCTTTTGCGAGTTTCGCCTGGCGATGTGTCCAGTTCGTCCTCGTTGGAGTAATTAGTGCTCATACGTTGCGCACCAAGCCGTCCAGGTCTTTCAGGTCGTCGTCTGGCCATGCTGGGCATGCGTAGAGGCTTAGAGCTGACCTGCGCTTGCATGACAGCGGTCTTCTCATTAGGGTGCATTACAGTATGCAGTGCGTCTTGTCCAAAAAGTTGACGTATGAAGTCGCTCTTCGTGGAATTGATTAGATTCATCAAATCCCCAGGCACAACCTCGCCATTCTCCTCGACTAGTCCATTGATCGGATAGTCGACTTCCCCAGCGAAATGACGGACAGTGAAGGTAGCCTCATTATTTTGCACCATAAAATTAGTGCCAGGCATTTTGGTGGTTGCACTACCAACTGCGATAGCGGGGTTCTTATTCTCAAAGCGCTTTCGGATGCTCTCGAGGAATTGGTGATCAGTCCTGCCCCTACGGCTTTGATCGCTGAGTATGCTGAGCAAGCCATTGTTGTGCTTCATGAGCGCTCGAGTAGCATCCGAGTTGTCGAAATAGCTTGTTGCGGGCACGGTCACATCTTCACTTTCTAGGAGATCCGATTTGTTTTCAAAGAAGCTCTGCAAAGCAAAGTTGTACATTTGCTCTGTGGCTGCATTATTTAAGAGCTGATCAAGGGATGAGCCTGTGACAGAAGATTGGGCGAAACCAGGAAAATCAACCAGGGATATCGTGTTCGCCACGGACTCATCTTCGGCGCATATCCGTTGATTTGTTTGCTCGAATATAAAAGCCACGAGCAGCGAATACAATGTTCGCGCAAGTTCATCCGCATTTTCACGTGCACCTTTTGGGTCCAGCATCACTGTCACTCTTTCGCGAGCGATTGTTTTGGTCTTATAGCCCAAGCTCTGTTCAAGATCCTGGGCGCTTAGGCCTAAGAAAGCAGCAATAATGCTGAGAACTTCTCGATTCTTCACGACCGTGACCGTTTCGCCTCCCTCATGCGAGTAGCCCCCACTCTCATCTGCTGCCGGCATAGTTGCTTCGCTTGTCGTAAATTCCAATTGCCCAATGTGCATGATGCTTGCTAATATCTGGCATATTTCGGCGATGTCACCTCGTGGAAACTCGAGCTTTCTCAAGGCTGTCTTGAAATGCTGAAACCCTTCGGAGTCATTGATACCAACCTTTAGCTGTGTAGGGTGACCAAGATATCTCCACCTCTTATGACCGATAGTTCCAGATGTGCGATTTGCTACGCCGCTCTCAGCGACGATGCCTGGATTGTCGAGGCCTAGGTGACTCTTCTCGGCTTGGCTGGTCCCAGCAAGTAAGTAATAGAGTACATGAAAGCTTCGTTCACCGGTCGGAACGGAAGCAATGCGACTCCGCTCTAACCTGTGGTCGAGTAGCTTCCCTCCAATGAGGGTCGGATTTGCCATGGATGATGCATCGTACTGCAACTCGTAGAAGAGACCAGCTTTCGAAGCCGTAGGTGTAGTGACGGATTTTGTGGTCGTGAGCGTATCAAAAACGAAAGCAGCGAGGGAAAGCTTTGTCGAAAGAGGCGTTGAGGAGAATGACAAGATTGAGGAGAGGACGTGGGAGCGCAGTGTTGTCTTTCCCGAGCCGGACTCTCCCAAGAAGAGGACGGCTTGATTTTCGGCTCTTTGCCCCAGTCTTGACCATGCTCTTCCGGCCAAATCCTCCGCCTCGCCCATCGCACTTCCTGCTTTCCCTCCATCGGGACCCTTGGCGGATGAGGTATAGGTATTGAGCGAGATCAAGGCCCGTGAAGACAGCCTTGCCACTGGTAGGGAGACATGGAATCGGCTGGCCAAGTGTGCGGTGAGCTGTGTGTCTGATTGTAGGTGAGCGGGCAACGCAGGCAGGGAAGGCTGAGTGTGTGAAGGTTGGTTGCCATGCACGTTGATGGAGTTGAGGGCCATATTTGCGGTCCGTGGCCTGGGCCAAGGGGCGATCGGTTGCGACCTATTCAACGTGTACGCTCATTTCAGGTGCAAAGGATACTAATTTCCGGTCGACAAAGCTCGACTGCACCAATGTTGAAGGACAGTAGGAGGCAGGCTGTCGTCGTTGGTTTTCGTAAACAGGGGGTTCTTAGTCTTGGCGTGTCAACGATTTTGCCGCTGGTACAAAACGAATGGGCACTAGGATTTCAACGAGCGTATCGAGGGAGATAGAAGGTAATGAAAAAAAGAGCAATTAGATGCCAACGAAAGATGTCGCACATGAACGAGAGGGTATCATCAATAAGGACTTCCCTCGTCTCCACCAGATCCCAAGAGCAGAAAATGGCAGTCTAGCCTAACGGATTTAAGGATACGAGATCACGGGGGGTTAGTATCTATTTTTGCCGTGAGCCCGCCCGAGGTGACCCCTGCATCCTTCGCCCTTTACCGTCTAGTGCGTATTCGGGGAAGGCTCTTTTCGGCCAAGGGAAGAAGCAGAGAATTGCAGCGGTACCTCCGTAACGAAAACTCACATTCCATCGCCCTTTCACTATCAATCGACCCTACGAGTAGAGCAAGGCTCTCGCTACTTCCTCCTCCATCACCTTCGTTTCTTCGCCTTGACACTCGCTCAACGACTCGACTGCGCGGCATCTCACCATCTAATACGACTTTCGTTAAACACCAACAGCAAATACGAGGAACGCCTCACGAGCATTTTCCCATCATCTCGCCCCCAATCCTTCTCGAATTTGAAGGGCTTGGGCCTAGCAATGAACACATAGACACCATTGAGACCTTTTGGGGCGACTGATAGCATGGCGACTTCAAATCGAATGTCTGTTTACTCAGGAGCCTCGACTCCAAACGGCGTCCGGACTGCGGTGCAACAGTCCACGCAAGTCTCGACGACCACCCTGCTCAACGCTCTACACACAGCCTATGCATCAGGTCAACCATACCGATTAGATGCAAGCACCAGCTTGGTTGTGAACACCTGGCTGACAGCTGCCCACCCGAGCGTGGAAGGTCATGAGGGAGGGACCGTTGATAATGAATTGGCACGCCAAGCTTGGGAGCACGCTCGACGGCGGGCTGAAGATGCTTGCATTGTCCTGGGGTGAGTCTCGATAGCCTTTGAAATACCTATGGATGAATGCTGACTGACTTCCTAGATCTTTGCATCACTCGACTCCATCGCTCCTAGTACCCTTTATATCAAAGCTTCCGCTCGCTATTCCGTCTTCTGTATATACTGCCCTCTCCGTTCTTCGACCTTTTACGCATTGTGTGACTCCTCACAACCCTTCGACGCCTCGACACTCTGCCGTAGCGGCCACCTTCAGCGTCACCCTTGCGGGCAACATTAGCGGAGCTTCGTTAGCCTTCTCCAAATCTGGCATAGATCTATCGCAAGGGCTCCTGCACATACCGGAAGAGGCCGGCTACCGAGCATTCGACGTTTTCTACTATCTCCTCACATCCGCTTCTACCCCTGCGGAGCGGGAATTTCTGAGCCTCAAAAGTCCATCAACTTATGGTCTCCTGAACAGATCTGGCACCTACTCGCCTCCTAGCTTTCTTCCGACAGCAGACGACGCAGCAGCATCAGAAGACTTCCGAGCTTCGTTAAAGGCAGTAGGAATAAAAGGAGCCTCTTTTCGCAATTTGCTCTCAACATTGGCAGCGCTCCTCAAACTTGGTGAGACTGTTGGCCTGTTAATTGACCAAGAAGACCTTGAAGAAATATGTGAAGATGTTGGGGGCCTCATTGGGATTGAGCCGGAGGTTCTCATGCGCAAGTGCAGCACAGACGAGAGGGAAATCCTGATATCCGGAATCTATGAGACTCTCGTGGACTGGGTGCTACTGAAAGCAAACACTTCCATCAAGGAAGATTTGCAAAGAGTACGTGAAGGTGACGATTCAAGTGAGAGTGGACTTGGGGCACGAACCCCGAGAACAGACGAGGAAAGAGAAGATACTGTCAATATCACCGTCGTGGAAATCCCTAGTCAAGAACTCGGAAGGGCTGTCGCCTTACGCGGCGTTTTCGATGACAACCTTGGAATTCTCGCGGAAATGAAGGAAGATGGCATTGACGTCACGCAAGCCGGTCATTCAGTCGTCAAAGAGATGCACAATGCTGTCGCAGATGTAGCTGCAGATTTGAGCTTGACTACCACGCCTGCAAGCCGCGAAAAGACGGCTGAAAGAGAACGCCAAGAGGATCTCCTTTTGCGAATCGGAGAAGAAGCCGAGCTGGGAGGTTTCTTGAGAAAGATAATCCACCCACAGGAAGGTCAGGACGTGAGACGTGGCATGCAAGCGAGAATGGATCTTCCTGATGTCCTTGGAAGCAGTAGAAACTGGTATCATCTTTCGCTACATCCCACAGACGAGCCATTAGCAACCCTCAGCAGCTTAGCATCAACAACATCGGCTTGGTCTGCAGGTTCAGTATCCAAAGAACTCCGGTCTTGGCGTCTGCCAGAATGGGCCAACTACCGTAATAAAGCTTTAGACTTTACCGCCGATTTCGATATTGACGAATTTGTCACTCGTTACTCGCGCCTAGGATGTCAGGATGGGCGAGACGGCGTCGAGAGCTGGATTTTGGAACGTGGCTGGAGCAATGGTGAAGTCGTTGTTGGTCATGACCGTGTCTGGATTCGGGAAGGTGCATGGTGGGATGCCGAAAGTATGCTAGATATCAAGCCTGCCGAAAACGGTATGCATACGCAGCAGCAGTTCGACATGATGGGTGGACACGGTATGGACAGCAGCTACTCCGCGATGACACCCGGTCATAATGGCAGTGGTTTCTTTCCTCCGATGGAAGGAGATTACGGGAGCCGCGACAATCTATTGCAGAGACAACAAAGTTCGGCTACTCTTGCACAAAGCGCGATGGGAATAGCGAAGTCTATTGCACCCACCGCAGCCAAGACCCTCAATACAATGGCTGGTGACTACGGACTAGGCGTCAAAGGCGACGAAAAACGCAACATTTCCTACTATGACGACGAGATAGGACAATATACCGGCGGTTTGGATCCTGAGCTAGCTGAGCCGAAATCTGTGACATCTCAGCCCATAGATAAAACGCGTCGTCTCTGGGTAGCCTTCGTATGGGCTTTGACTTTCTGGATCCCCTCATTTGTCTTGAGATATGTTGGCCGAATGAAACGACCTGATGTGCGGATGGCTTGGAGAGAAAAGATAGTCCTGACACTTCTGATATTTTTCCTAAATGCCGTAGTCATATTCTACATTGTTGAATTTGGGCGCCTCTTATGCCCCAACTTTGACAAGGCTTGGAACCAGAAGGAAGTCGGCTATCATCAAGGCAACGGTGACTTTTGGGTGAGCATTCACGGGAAAGTCTATGATATAACGAAGTTCGCCAAGCATTCTCACGGAGACATTGAACCAGTCGCCGATTCAACAGCAATGGCACCGTTCGCAGGATTGAATCTGGATGAGTATTTTCCTGTACCATTGACGGTGGGATGTAGATTTCTTGTCAACGATGAAGTCCCCAAATTACTGGCGAACACCACACCCATGTACCCGAATGGTATCCACACGTCAGGCCCAACTTACCAATCCAATCCAAACACACATCTTCACGACATAGATTGGTACACTACTAGGTTCCTTCCGGAAATCAAAAAATACTACAAGGGTGATCTAGTTACCACCAAGAGCGCCGTTTCCTCTCAAGCCGACAAATCAAGCAGACAATGGATCATTCTGAAAGGTAAAATCTATGACCTCACTGATTATTTCTATACCAAGAAAACACAGAACAACATCGATTCTTATTCTTTCATTCCCTCAAAGGTATCTGATCTGATACAAGCAAACGCTGGTTCTGATATAACGGATCAATGGGATGACAACAACCCAGATTTTGGCAAGACGCTCAATTGTATGGACAATACCTTCTATCAGGGAAAGACCGATTTCAGAGACACCGCAAAGTGTCAAGTTAACAACTACATTCTGCTGGCTTTCACAATCGTTCTATGTGCGGTTATCTTGACGAAATTCTTGTCAGCTTTACAATTCGGCTCTAAGCGTCGACCTGCCCCTCAAGATAAATTTGTCATTTGTCAGGTTCCTGCCTATACTGAGGGCGAAGATCAGCTACGGAAAGGTCTGGACTCCTTGACTGCGCTTCAATATGACAACAAGAGAAAATTGATCTGCGTCGTCTGCGACGGCATGATTGTTGGGGGTGGCAATGACCGCCCAACTCCCAAGATCGTTCTTGACATTCTTGGCGTCGACCCCAAAATTGATCCTCCAGCCCTTCCGTTCAAGGGAGTCGGCCAAGGCAGCGAACAGCTAAACTATGGAAAAGTCTACTCGGGTCTGTATGAATATGAAGGCAATGTTGTGCCATACATTGTGGTTGTCAAGGTCGGAAAGGAGTCGGAGCAAACGAAGTCGAAGCCAGGTAACCGTGGAAAGCGAGACTCCCAGATTCTCCTTCTCAGCTTTCTCAATCGCGTTCACCACAGGTCGCCAATGTCACCACTAGAGCTCGAGATGTTCCACCAGATTAACAACATCATTGGTGTTGATCCAGAGCTTTATGAGTATCTCTTTATGGTCGACGCAGACACAAGTGTCAAAGAAGACTCGCTCAACCGCCTCGTTGCAAGCTGCGCCAATGATGCGAAGATTGCTGGTATTTGCGGTGAAACTAGTCTGGAAAATGAAGAGAGGAGTTGGTGGACCATGATCCAAGTCTATGAGTACTATATATCGCATCATCTGGCCAAGGCATTCGAGTCGCTCTTTGGCTCTGTCACTTGTTTACCCGGATGGTAGGTCGTCGCCGTGCCTCCTGTATGATATCTGCTAATCTTGAGCAGCTTCTGCATGTACCGACTTCGAACTAATGATAAGGGTCGTCCATTAATTATTTCCGATCGAGTCATCAACGACTACAGCATCTGTAACATCGACACGTTACACAAGAAAAATTTGCTCTCGCTGGGAGAGGATCGATACTTGACCACAATCATGACCAAGTATTTCCCGCAAATGTCCTACAAATTCGTGCCAGACGCCTTTGCCAGCACAGCAGCTCCGGAGACCTGGAGCGTCTTGATCTCGCAGAGGCGTCGTTGGATCAACTCGACAATCCACAACTTGGCAGAATTGGTGAAATTGAACGACCTTTGCGGCTTTTGCTGCTTCAGCATGAGGTTTGTAGTCTTCATCGATCTCTTCGGGACCTTAATCCTACCAGCCACCTGTGGATATTTGGGTTATCTGATCTACCGTGTTGCCACCCACTCCGGCCAGTTTCCCTTGATCTCGATAGTGATGATCGCCGCAGTCTACGGCTTACAAGCACTCATCTTCATCATGAAACGTCAATGGCAACATGTCGGCTGGATGATCATTTACATAATGGCGTACCCGATATACTCCTTCATCCTGCCAGTCTATTCATTTTGGAATCAAGACAACTTCACGTGGGGAAGCACGAGAATAGTCATCGGCGAGAAGGGCAACAAACAGATTGTTGCCAATGAGGATGAAGGATTTGATCCTAGGAGTGTACCCCTTCAACGCTGGGATGATTATGCTGCTACAAACAATCTACCAGGTCGCCGGGGCATGGCTGGCCAAGAAAAGTACGAAATGGATGGCAGCAACCAGTATGAGATGGACGACATTCAATCCGTCTATTCATATGCCAAGCCAGCTTCTACAATATTGACTGGCTTTCAGCAACCAGGAGCGTATATGACCCCGACATCTCCAGCTGCTTTCCACGGGCAGTCGGGACGACAATCAGCCATGTCTTTTGCGCCGTACAAAGACGCACCTCAGTATGCATCGAAACGACAGTCTATGGTGGAGATGCCTGGTTCTCCATATCAGGATCATCCAAATAGCCCCTACAACACGATGGGACCGCGTAGCACGGGATTGCCGAGTACAGACAATCTCATCGCGATGCAATCCCCGCAGATACGGCAACAACAGCGGAGTCCACTTGGTGGCACGCCGTATGGTGGAAGCCGACCTGTCAGTACCCTTGACTTCCGAACAGGGGTGCTGAGTCCGGGCGACAGCGACATAAATCACGGCGCTATTCAAGACGCCGTGAGGGACTGTCTAGCTGAGGTCAACCTCGACACAGTGACGAAAAAGCAAGTGCGGGCATTAGTAGAGCAGAGGCTACAAACAGAATTGAGCGGAGACAAACGCGGATTTCTAGATCGTGAGATTGATGAGCAGTTGGCTAACATGTGAATTTTAAGTCGGTAATGATATTTCGGGTGTCACGAAGTGTACGAAAAGCAGGAGATGAATTGGTGACCTGGTCTGGTAGGCGTAATTGGATCATTGGGTTGATAATAGTTGGGACTGTATAAAAACGGTGCGCTGTGTGCATTTACACGGATGGAATCACCAGCCAAATATCTAGTTATAATCCACATTTTGCCATGTATCGCCGCTGCCGGGACCATAGACCTATTTCTTTATTCACAGCCTGGAGCAACGCCGTCTACATTGGGACAAAGTCATTGTTGAGCCTCAAGCTTTGCGGGCGGCGACGCTAGTCCCCTTACCGCCATCGTCAGTGAGACAGGGCCGGGGGCTTGGCCTAAATCATTGCATCCTCCCAGTACCTTAGGGCAGACCCTGAGTCGGAGCAGCCTGACCCTGCTTTGATCCCTTCACCTTGTCTCCCTCCTATTGACCCCAGCATTTGACACCAATCAATAGCGACGAGCACGCCGCAGCCATGGCGGAGTTTGTGCGCGCCCAGATTTTTGGTACCACCTTCGAGATCACGAGCAGGTGCGAACCTCCTGCCCCTCGTCCTATTACCGCGACATGGCTGATCTTGGCACAGGTATACCGACTTGCAACCCGTTGGTATGGGCGCATTTGGCCTGGTGTGGTAAGAGGATATGATGAAACTACAATCCAATGGCAGGAGTTGACTTGCTCCAGCTCAGCCAAAGACCAACTCACCGCCCAGAATGTTGCCGTTAAGAAGATCATGAAACCATTCAGTACTCCAGTCTTGTCCAAACGCACCTACCGGGAATTGAAGTTGCTCAAGCACATAAGACACGAGAATGTATGACTGATGTGTACGCGGGCCCCAATGGAGCTAATCCATCCAAGGTGATCAGCCTGAGTGACATCTTTATCTCTCCCCTCGAAGATATCTACTTCGTAACCGAGCTCCTCGGCACCGACCTCCATCGCCTCCTCACCTCAAGACCTCTCGAGAAACAATTCATTCAATACTTCCTATACCAGATCCTGCGCGGACTCAAATACGTTCACTCGGCTGGAGTGGTGCACAGAGACCTCAAGCCTAGCAATATTCTCATCAATGAGAATTGTGACCTGAAGATCTGTGATTTTGGACTTGCTCGAATCCAAGACCCTCAAATGACGGGCTACGTCTCCACAAGATACTACAGAGCTCCCGAGATCATGCTCACATGGCAGAAATACGATGCAGAAGTGGATGTATGGAGCGCGGCATGCATATTCGCAGAGATGTTGGAAGGAAAGCCCTTGTTCCCTGGGAAGGACCATGTGAATCAGTTCTCGATCATCACCGAGCTTCTGGGAACACCGCCGGACGATGTCATCAAAACAATTGGGAGCGAGAACGTCCGTACATTTCAGTGGAGTTGCTCGCCGCGTGCTGACTACCATTCGCAGACCCTCCGATTCGTTCAGTCATTACCGAAGCGCGAGCGTCAACCGCTTGTGAATAAGTTCAAGAATGCAGACCCTCTAGGTACGAGGACATTGAGTCAGCCTGGGACCCCTGCTGACTATTGAAGCTATTGATCTCCTTGAAAAGATGCTCGTCTTTGACCCGAGAACGCGCATCAAAGCAGGGGATGGCCTTGCACACGAATATCTCGCACCTTACCATGACCCAACCGACGAGCCCGTTGCGGAGGCTGCGTTTGACTGGTCTTTCAACGACGCTGATCTGCCAGTGGATCAGTGGAAAGTGATGATGTACACGCTTATCCAGGAATTGTTTGAAGAAGGGCTTTGAGTCGGCTGACTTCCTTTTGTTCCGCAGGTATCATGAGATTCTAGAATTCCACAACGTCGCGGATAGGGAGGAATTGGGCACGAACAACGAGGAGCACAATGGCTACCAATAGTACATGTCGTGGAACGCAATGAACATTCCCCATTCGTGCCTGGCGTTCTTCATGCGCGCTTTGATGATCAGCCACTTCCACAGAGCAGGGGAGGATACTCAACCTCGAACCCAATGACCTGAAATGGGCAAGCATTGAGTGTCTATCATTAGTATGGTGCAAGCTCTGTTCCAACTCCAACAATCAAAATAGCCTAGTGTGCGCAAATGCTGGCGGTATAGGCGATTTGAGACTCGCAAGTATAGCGTTGGACGCCAACGGACAGCCGTTTCCAGCCTTCTGGGAACGGCTCGTGCCCACACACTTGATGCATTGCTCCTGCATTTTTCATTGCTAATAATAAATCCCATCGTACTCCGCCTGGGCGAGGGGCCGTGCTCTACATATAGGCCGTTTCTCGCGTGTTAGGAGGGTGGATGGGAACGATGGGATTAAACTTACGATCTCCCACATGGAAGGCTAAGTCCCTAGCTCCCTTGTTAGCCTAATGTCCAACGGTGATGCTTGGTTTGACAACCTTGCAAGTCGTAATACAATCCACCTTACTATCTGATAGCTATGTTGCCCTTCCATCTTCAGCCTGTCTTTTGCGCAATCCGATAGATATTGGAAAATCGTCACAGTACGCCACCATTGGATCAGACAGCCTTGTCAGCCGGCCGGAATCCTTGGAATCCTTCCCGATCCAGCCCTTCCAACCCCCCCTCCCACCGCTACTACGGGTACCTTTAAACATTGCGACCTCTGACCGGCCACGGCAATCGCTCACTGACCGTCACGGGCCTTCCGCCTTATCTGACGCTCGTCTCAATGGAATAATGAGTGTTTCGTCCAATGGAATGCTGAGTATCCCTGTGTCTGTCCAAATACAGCCTCTCGGGTATCTGCCCACCTGAAGCTGACCGCGACCCCATCCCATTCCCTACATCGCACCCTTGTCAAGCCTTTCGAACACCTGGTCCTAGTATCAGGCGGATACGACTCCAATACAATTCTTCAGACCCTCCCTGTGCCTGGCCGCAGAGATATACCGCATTCGCGGTCCCTCGCCACACCTGCGAATATCGCGAAGCGAGAGAAGAGCGCTATCAGGGCCTTGAATTACTCCCTACTTACCATCGGAGTCTTGGCTAGAAATCGACGACTGGCTATCAACTAGCAGTATCAAGACTCAGCCTTGAGCTCGATCTCGCTCAAAGCTATCTCCCAGGGACAAAGCTCTCGTCATCATTGAAGCTCTCGGGGCACAATGGGGGCTTGTATGAGCCAGGAGAATGCAGAAGAGGAGGAAAACAAGAAGCGCTCAAGAGCAATAGATGCCAAGTTAGAGGAGGACTCGAGAAGATTACGAAAGGAATGCAAGATATTGTTGTTAGGTAAGTGACTTTGTCTCTTCGAGCCTTCCAGTCGATACATAGGTGCTAATGGATACCCAGGGTCTGGAGAGAGCGGCAAGTCAACAATCGTGAAGCAAATGAAAATCATCCATCAAAATGGCTATACCAAAGACGAACTCGCCCTCTATCGCCTCACAATCTACAAGAACGTCTTGGATTGCGCTAAATCCCTGATCACCGCTATGCGATCGTTCGATATCGATCCAGTCGACCCAGAGAACAATGAAAGAGCCGATTACCTTCTTGAATATCAAGTTGACCCAGACCCTCACACACCCTTGGACCCGCATGTTGGGGAATGCATAGTCAACCTTTGGAGGGACCCATGTATAGAGTCCGTCATGGACCATCAAAATGAGTTCTACCTCATGGACTCCGCCCCTTAGTTGGTGCCCTCTGCTTTGCTAGGAATGGCACATGCAATGCTGATACTGCCAAGCTTTTTCGACGAAGTGCCTCGGATAGCATCGCCAAATTACATACCCATTGAAGCGGATGTTCTGAGAGCTCGAACAAAGACGACCGGTATTTATGAAACTCGGTTCACAATGGGTCAGCTGTCTATACAGTATGCTTCTATCTTTTCCATTTCATAGCGGATCAAGCCCTTCAGGTCTCCCAACATCCTGCCCCTCATTACTGCCAAGATTTCACAAGTCTAGTGCTGCTTTTGCTAATATAAGTGGGCTAACAGCATGTTTGACGTTGGTGGTCAACGGTCTGAACGAAAGAAGTGGATTCATTGCTTTGAGAATGTCACCTCGATCATTTTCTGCGTCGCCCTCTCTGAGTATGACCAAGTACTTCTTGAAGAGTCGAATCAAAATCGAATGATGGAATCACTGGTACTTTTCGACTCTGTCGTCAATTCAAGATGGTTCATGCGCACATCAATCATTCTATTCCTCAACAAGGTCGACTTGTTCAAAGGAAAGCTAGAGAGAAGTCCTCTTGGCAAATATTTCCCTGATTACAGTGGAGGAAATGATGTCAATCGCGCGGCGAAGTACCTTCTTTGGAGATTCAACCAAGTGAACCGGGCACATCTGAATCTATACCCTCAGTATGTGCGCAGTCTTCTGCCTATCCAGCAGCCGTACTGACTTGTATCTCCTCACAGTCTCACCCAAGCGACTGACACCTCGAACATCCGTCTCGTCTTTGCTGCCGTAAAAGATACGATACTCCACAATGCTCTAGCGGATTCAGGCATACTGTGAGACACCACGTCCTTTCCTCCCTACCCTGCCCGTCACACCATCCTTACCATAATATCACATGACATACTACGACTACATACATTTGTCCTTCGCATGCACACCGTCTGGCAGGCGTGACGACTCGCCTGTACGGGAGTTTCATGTCAGAGTCGGGTGCTCAATCTTGGAACGAAAGCGATTTGAAGCCTGGGGGGCGTTTTCCACGCACAATTGACGCCTTAATGCTGCGTCACGCGTTCATGTGTGTGTGTGTGTGGTCTTAGACGCCGCCGAAAAAAACTTGTGTTCTGACTTTCTACAACTTATTGGAAACCTTCGATATCTTTGTATATATCTCGCTTCTGTGTGACATACCAGGCGAAAATGTTGACGAGACCTCGATCACCAAAAGCGTCCACTTCATTCTATACTTCGTCTGCCTCACCCCATCATCCACTCCAATCACACACATACATCTGTTCTCAGAATGCGCTGGCTGACGACCTCATCTTCTTCTACGTAGTCCTTCCCGCTGGTTAGAAGTCGGCTCCAATCCACTCCACAAATACCCAATGCCAAAGCATCCAGTAGGCAACAATCCATTATTTGGTCGCATCCCATAGTCTCGTCCCCTTTCAACCACCCCCGCATTCGAAAAGTTGCGCCGCGTCTACATACTTTCCACAATCGGATGTCACCCACGTCAAAACTGCCCTGTCGTGGATCTTATCGTCTAGCGCGCGCTCCGGACGCTGTGCCACATTTGCCACCCAGAATGTCGGATCCGGGAATACGACGTTGAGGAAAGTGAATTGAGATAGAAGCTGACTGTGATACGGAATGAGAAATGCAGAACCATGTAACCACGAGATGTGCGCAGCGCTCGCCGACCCTGATTCTCGGTACTCCAAAAGGCTATCCCAACAGGACATGAAGCAGAAAATCGCGCCCAAGGGAAGAATCAAGGGCCCAGAATGAAGATACGCCTCAAGAAAGCGATGCTTACATCCTCCAAGCTTAAGAATAGGATGGGTCCATGGGAGCGAAGGATGGATCTTGAAGCGCGAACATCCACAAAAGGCGGGTGTGTGGGCATATCAATTTTGTTCATAGAATTATCACGAGATGACGGTAACGGACATGATGAATATGATGAGTGATGATGACCTATACATAGATAGCCATGTTGAATGGCGTTGGGTATGGGATGTGGGAATAGATTTCTTCTTTCTGCTTTGATGGTGTAAATGAATCGGGTTTTCGCGGAACATCAATGGAGCCGAGAAGGGTTTGATATAGATTCCTTCATCACTAAGTCAGCGATCGTGGTGTGCGAGATAGGATAAAACTGGTGCCTGATGATTGGATGCGTGTATTGGCAACCTTCGAGGGTTTTGGTGCATGGTTGTTGTCTCTATCTTCAGTTTACTGGAAGAATCCAGGCTCATTGCTATTATTGATCGCATTATGCGGGCAGCTGATATTTGGGAAGATTGTGGTGGTGAGGGGGTAAGGCTACGTCTCATGCAGCTATGCGTTGACACTTCGCTCTCATTGATCGGTTCGCGTGTGCTTGCATATAGCCTGAGGACGAATCATGGCGTTACATTTCCTTGGCGTCATACAAACTACTTCCTATCGAACTATGGCATTCTTTCCCCCTTTTTCAATTCGAAATCAAGCTGGCTACCTCGGTGTTTTCACGCACACAACATTGTACTTTGATCTGACTTACAATACGCAATCTAAAGTGCAATTTCAATTGCGAGATTTTTGTGCAATGGCAAATCCTGATCCGTTGTTAGTGAACACAGCTGGACCTGAGACTTCGATATGGCGTGAAGTTGAGCTCAAAAAATTTCGACAGAATATTTCCAACCTGCTGAATACGACTTCAATTCCCGGCCACGAAGTCTTTCATCATAGAAAGTCTGGCAGTAGAACGGGCTTTATTGACGGTAAATACGTTCTGCCATTCGAAGTCGAGCGAAGACTGTCGGATGACTTCGCTTTGTTAGCATCTTTTGAAGAAGGATCGAAGACTGTGACAGCAGCCACTCTCGAGGAGGACCAGAATGATGGATTTGTGATCGTTCGCTTGGCTGCCAATAATCGACTTCATCCCACAGTGGGAGTGTTATTCAATTCAGTGATCGATGTCCTTCAAGATTGCGCAGAACTCAGTACGTGATCAAAATTCCTTAAGTTGGATTGTCCTCAAAGAATTGATGCAGGGACCTCTCGCGCTCACTGTCAATCACGCCTGCTCCGACTTATCGTCGAAGCACATCGATCCCGCATTCATGCGAAACTTCGTTCATCACTTTGGAAGCCCAAGATGCCCGGACAGAAAGGAGGCCCACGATTACATCAACAAGTTCAAAAATTCCTCACCCACTGTGGTAGCAAACTTTCATCCGACTTCCAGAGCAAAGCTTTGGACTTGAGAACTTTATACAAAACAGCAGACAAGTGCATAGCCAAGACAGAAACGGAATATGACAAGCTAGATCACGTCATCTGTCGAAGTCATGAATTCTGCTTGGAAATGGCAAAGCTTGATGATGCAGACACGATATTTGATGACAGCAGAATTCGCCCCATCAAAAAGCTTGCAAGATACTACAGCATGTGTGATCGAATGTCAGATGCTGCTAAAAGGTATCGAAGACTTTTTAGGCAACTGAAGATGCAGGAGCTGCCTGCTTACCAAACAACAAGGCTACCGGCCTTGCCTGATACCTCCGAAGTTGCTTGCAGAGTACACGCCGAAATGAATATGTTGGTTCATTTTGCACAAAGACTTACACCACACTCCAACCAGCCCCGAGTGATAGGCGTCAGCAAAGCCGCCTGCTACCTGTGTAGTCTGTTTATCCACAGCGACGGGGCGTTCCACATTAGTCGAACACACGGTAAATTGTATGTTCAGTGGACCGTGCCTGACACTTTTGCCGGGAAGAGACTAGCAAGCCAGCGCAAAAGAATATCTCGCACTTTACAAGCAGTAGATAGCGAAGTCTGCCGTGTTCTCGAGAAGGCGAAGCTCAGTAAGTGTAAACGCCGAGGGCAGCAAATTGGCCCCAATGAAAGCAATGCGACTCTAGCAAAATTTATAGAGAGGTCGCTTCTTTCATCTGAAGCGGAAACGATACGAGGGCATCATTCCTCCATCAAGTCCATTGGAAGTCCAAAGCTCCCTCAGTCAGTTCTGGTTATCCCAGCCCTGTCAAGTACAAATAGCTCGAAGCGAAAAGAAGCACCGGCTGAGTATGCCAAAGCTGATCAAGATGAGTCAGAAGTGAACTTAGATCATGGAATGCCGCCCCAGAATCGTCTTGTCAAGAATCTGATCCACCCAAAAGACCTATCTCCGCTCTCACCCCGACTTCAGTCATCCCCTTTTACAACACCACGTCGAGACTCCAGACAAAAGTCCCCCGCTCCGTCACTGAAGACGCTCTCCGCGCAATCATCCTCTTTACAGGAAGTCGCCGTAGCAACATCATCATCCATAGTTGACTCTTGGGAGTATCCTCTCACCTATACTTTGACTCCAGACCTTCCACTACGGGCGAAAAATCAGAGTGTACACATGACCTTTGAGCTAGAAGCCGGTGGGCCATCAGCGGGTAGTGTTCAAGTCACCAATGAGCCAAAGATCGATGAAAAGGCGATCAGACACACGGTGGACGTTCGAAAGCTTGAGCATGGTGAATCGAGACAGTTGCACAAAAATGAGAGCGAAGACGAACTGGTGGTGAATTTGCAGAATGGGAAGGGAGGAGGAATGACGCAGGTGAGGATGAAATGGGACTAATATGATTCGATAATTGGCTTCACATGTCAACCATAAACTTGTTTTCTGGCACCTCAAATTTCGAAATCCTTAGCTAGTGAGACCTCAAAGTATCAGGGGTTAGTATTAGCAGCCAAATTTTCAACGGAATGACCAGCAATCAAAGTAATACTCTAGCCATGGGGCATAAGTGAGCCCATACTCCTGACTATCGAAGTCCCAAAGACTTCTTGTAATTCAATCATTCTAACATTTGCAGCACGAAAATTGGTCCGAGTTTTTTTACGACGCCAGATCTTGGGCCGATTCAGAAAGCAGAGAGGCCTGAAAGCTATATTGAGTCTCTATTAGAGGCGTGTTAGTCAACATTAGTCTCTTTCGAGAGGTATAGAAACTAATATTAACCTTCTTTAGAGGCACAAGTACTGATATAAGTATCCTCTGGCGGTAAAAAGCCTAGCGCGAGTCCGCATGATAGGCACGTCGATTAATCTCCTATTTCTTCAAAGATGTATATCTTAAAGATTACCTTCTGCAAAGGTACGTAAGTTAATATGCCTTTTTAAAAAGATGCACATTTATATCTAGAAGTGAATGATATATTAAGTTATCCCAATTAAGGCAAGTGCCACTGGCTCAATTTGGGCGCTACGACGTTTGTTTGAGACGACACTTCACCTTCGTCCCACCGCGACTTCTACCACCTGTCATGATACAGTATCCTCATGGCAGATTTATTGCAATTGCCAACCGAGCTGCTTGTGACCATCGTCTCATATGTGTATCGCCCAACTCTGCCATCTTTGGCTCGCACTTGTATGACATTACACCCCGTGGTTCTGCCTCAATTGTATGAGAGTGTCTGGTTTTGGTATTTCCCCGAAGAAAAGATAAAGTCATACTCTGAGAGTCTTTGGCGGCAGTCAGTTCGCATTCATGACTTAGAAGCTTTTAGCTATGCGCTCTGCAGCAATCCCGCCCTGAAGATATACCTAAAAGCCGTGGATATGCAGTGGTCATATCCATGGCAAGTAAGTACTGAACCACCCGACCTCGATTACGTGGAGAGTTGCGGCTTTGAGATAATATATCAGTGCCTGCAAACACTTTCGTCGTCACAACCTAGACATTTCCATGTATCGCCTCTTCATTGCTTTCAATTCAAAATCCTTACCCGTCTTTCAATCACATCAATATGTTTCGAGTCTGTTACACGACACTA